CCTTGGAGGGCAGTGGCTTGGTTGTTGGGAGCATTCTCTTCGTTGGAAGACCAAGAGCCTCGACGAGCAGGATCAAATCTAGCAACGTTGGATGTCATTCCATAGGGCCAACCATAGCCTGGGAGGGCAGCTCCAGCCGTATTGGTGTTGCCAATGAAGTTTGGGAATACTCCGGTTAGGATGTATGGAAGTTGAGGAGCAGCATCTGTTGTTGAGGTTTGGCTTTGACCATAGAAGTTGTTGAGTGGGACCGTCTGGCCCGATGGCAGAACAACGAGAGGGCTGTTGTACCCTTGTATATTGGTTGCACCCATACTATTTTCGACAGGAGCACATGCTGGAAGAGTTGCTTTGAGATTCTGCATGTTGGCAGGTGGGTTTGGACCAGGCAAGTTCAAACCTGAGAGCCATCAGCAAGTGTTTATTGCATATTCGAGTCCATCTCTCACCTCCGTTGAAGTGTTGATAGCCTGTTTCACTGCATGAAATTCGATTCTGGGGATATCCAGTGAGCGTAGTGCTCGGGGCGGTTTGACTCGTAGGCTTGTCAGACATGGTCTCTGGGTCTCTTATATCAGTAGGCTTGAACAAGGAGAAATCGTGCGAAGGTCAAGGGAATGAAGGGCTCTGGGTCGACCTGCCTAGAGTTCGGTTGCCAAAAGAGTAGCTTCCAGCGATGGTTCAAGCTTTTTTCCCGAGGGCCTGATGGGAGAAGTTGGGGCGGACTCAATGAATGGGGCAACAATGGGGATCGTACAATGAGAAAGCCGAGATGCAGAGCAGGATACAGGATAAGGGTGAGGAGGTGCTAACAGCAGGCGTTGAAGCAAAGTCGTAGTTGGGTATTAAGTGAGTTGCAATGAGAAGAAAAGAGAGACAGAAGGAGAAGAGGATAAAGGAGAGGAAGAGGAGACCCTTGCTTGGAGGGAGCTGCATCTGTTCAATGGCAAGAGCGACGGCAGTAGGAAAAAACCAACTAGAATCAGTCGACATTGGCAATAACGATGTCCACTCAACACCTTTTGGGACGATGCTCAATGCTTCGTGCCATCAATAGAGACAGCACTTAGATTCTGCCATATCCACCCAAAACTCGCGAACATAGGGACCAGACAGAAATGATTATCTGCCCCGGATTGACAGCCAGCAGCGAAGAATGGAAGAGATTCTGATTCAAAACCTCTACTCTGGATCATGTAGAGTAGCAATATCGAGGCATACGCCTTTGGTAGTTGTGTCTGTGCCAATGATCTCTTCATTTGCTCTCAAAGCACATCTCATCGCAATACCATGTCTGCAGAGCCCCGCTGAATGTGTGAGCAGCTGAGCTTCTATCTTGAATAGATTTTCAACACTTTCACGAGTATTTAGGCTGGTAAACACCGGCCAGGCAGTAGGAGTTAAGGCTTGAATGAAGTCAAGTTTTGTTGATCAAAAAGTTGACGGCTCCGCTGCATCTAGTACGGCGAATCACCTTCAACCCAACTCCACCCGGAGAACAGCCTTGTCTCGACTCCGAATTTTCGAAATTGCGAATATCGAACTCGGTTCAGCACAGGTGTGAGCGTTGGTGATAGTGTATTGTCTGGCTAAAGAGGCGGATAGGCGCCATGGCTGCAGACGCTGCAGAGTCACTATGGCAAAAGGTAGGTGAACGACCTGGTGCACTCTCTTACGGCAGTACTGACACCGTCCGCAGTTTTTTGATCAACACAAGTCAATTGTCTCGCTGCTCGATACTCATGCCTCCCTTCTGGCAGAAATGTGTCAAAGCTGTGCCGACATAAGTCCTGCCCAAGAGCTGGTACAAGCCCGCTTGGCTCATACTGAGAGTCTGATTGCTACATTCAAAGAATCAACCGAATCAGTGGTATGCTGACAGGTATGCAATATGACTCTATGGAACTGACATGTATGCGTATCAGAGAGAAGCCACCAAACGAGAGGAAATCATATTCGAGGCCACGAGCTCTCCTCCACATAATGTCCCTCCGCCCAGACCGCATGTCCCAGCCACACCAGCGTTAGATCCCAGCGGCCTCTTCACCGTTGACACAAATCCTACTCCAATCGAACAACTTTTCCGTGACAACTCCAAAAGTGGAGACAAATCGAAGAATCAATCCAAACGCAAGGGCGACGAACCTCAAGTGCAATTGAGCTACGTTAACGGCGCTTCTCATGACTCGCCCAAGAAGAAAAAGAAGAAATTAAAACCAAGCGATCAGGGTCCAGAACAAGATTCGGGTGCAGATGATTCATTCCTACGCGGAGTGGAAGCAAGACTTCAAGCGAAAGAAGAACGGAAGAAAGCCAAGCAGGACAAAAAGCGGAAGAGACAGAGCGATTCCTCGATCAGTAATGGAGTCAAAGGGCCAAAGAACAAGAAGCGAAAGCAAAGGCACGACAACAAGGCGTCGTCAAAGACTCTGGAAATACGGCAAAATCAGAGCAGTAAGAGACCAAATGCGGAATCCACTGGCACTGGAACACAGAATGATCAGCCTAGCAAGAAGCAGAAGAAGAATAAGACTTGAAGACCGTCGGGACGATATCCTCAATACCGGTTTCAGAACATCTAATACTATGACTTCGTTGAACTGAATTTCAACAAGACAACGCTTTCTGCTGCGTTGCAAGCTGCGCTGTGTGGCCCACTGGCATGATTCTCCCATATCCCAACCTCTATACGACATGGAATGTGGGGCACGAGTTCTTCACGTTGTGCCATGTGAGTTTGACATTGGACAAGGCAGATCCCTGTTCGACTTCTGAAACTCGATCTTCGCTACTGATGTACCGTGACATCAATAAATGAACCGAAAGTCTGAAGAATCTCGGCCGTTTCCTTTGGAGTCGTTTGCCATGCTCACGCGACATCTTTACGTCCGCAAAACGAAGCGACCCACTCAAAAGTCCTCATCCAGACGTGACCTTTCACAAGATCCTGGTGAGTGACAAGACGCCCATAGCAAACCGCACACCGGAGACTGAAACTCGATGAGATGAGCGGCAAGCTTTAATCCAAGTTCTCAGCCACCTTCCTCCCCAAATCCACATACTTAGTGCCCAATTTGTCGACCTCCAATGCGCAAGACCAGTCCAGACGGCCCAGCAACACAACCCCGAGTTTTGGCGGGAGTTGGAGAAATTTTAATAGCAGGTACATGTGTATTGGGTACCTCCGTGCCCTAGGTAAGGTCGTGTGAGCTAGGTACATATGTAAAGGGCAGCTTCACTTTGCTCGGCCACTGTCTCATTGTCTTCGTCTCTGGCCCAGTATTATCATTCGCTGCAGAGTAAGATTTAGCAAGGCGTCAAAACTTTGATTGCTCGCTTCAGGTTGTTACAGTATGATGCAGATTTGGGAGCATACCCGATGTCACTAATGCGTATCTGGGGTGTATACTTCACTGCGCAACTGATTCGCCGAAGAAATTGCGCTTGCGTGTGTCTCGCACATTTCATTTTATGAATTGATTCCTCTAAAAATCGAACTCGAAATAGTGTCGAATTCGATTCGAGGACAACATGGCCGAGTGGTTAAGGCGACAGACTCGAACACACCGAAATCTGTTGGGTTCGCCCGCACAGGTTCAAATCCTGTTGTTGTCGACGTATCCGAATTGTGTATTCCTGCTTTTCATTTTCCCTTTTTTCTTTTTTTTTTTTTTTTTTTTTTTTTTTTTTCCCTCTCTCCCCTTCATCTGTCTCTTTTTGATGATGTGCCTGAGAGCAAGAGAGGATTGTGTGGGGCTGCAAAAAGGGTAGGGGGCGGAGTAATTTGGGGTGTTATGTGGAGAACGTAGGAGGAAAGCCAGGACTTGAGAACCGAAGAGAGTGATATTTATTCTACATATATATCATGGGCCGATGTGTCCACCCACCGGATAGGTAAGATAGTAATTGACATCTGGAATCTGAAGGAGAACCATGTATTCTCGATTAGACGGCTCCTATTGCCATTTCAGGTCTAAACTATGCTGGGAAAATTGGAAACACCAATGCTCTTATGACATGGATGTGTCCCAAGACCATCATGTGTGTTCGAATGAATTGAAGGAGACGAAAAAAATACTCAAAACACAGGTTTCTGTGCTGTGCTCCAGGAATAATCAAAAATTCCAAAGCAATGCCATATATCCCAAGATCGTCCGCGAGGAATGTCCCAGCTAGGGAAGCAGTGGTGGATTCAACGGAGATGCCACGAGGGCATATTGTAAATGACTTTGTCAGGCGCCGGCGCCTGGAGCATGATACGAGAGTGTTTTTGCTATTCTTCCTATTAGCACAGACGACTCTATACAGAGACCATTCTGGACGTACTTTACTTGCGCTGCACGGTACAGAGATATCCTTCGTAGCTCTTCTGGTTGCCACGAGCCTGTTTTCGGGCAGTGCAGAGGTAGCCCTCATAGCTTTTCTGAACACCACGGCGCTTCTTCTGGACGACGCAGAGATATCCTTCATAAGACATTTTGGGGTTTGGTGGCTTTTGGATGTTATAATTGAGTGTGAGAAAGAGCGTATTGTAGTTGGTTTTTTAATGAAAGTGTCGTTGCAGGAGGGGAACGCGGCACAGGAAAGTAGAACTGGGTATTTATATATCTCGTCATGATGCAACAAAGATGAAATTCAAAGGACCGAAGAAAGGAGCTTGATTGAGTCATTCCTGTGGATGGAAAGTTGTTGGCGGACAAAGGAAGTGGACATCTCGATGAGGCCGAGTAAAATGGGCAAGCCTTAGTATTTTTGCCACTGGGCGTAGTCCTGTTATCCCTGCACAAAGCAACCTGAGTGGGACCAGAAAAGGCTGCAAATAGGAAAGAAGTTTAAAGCCGGCCTTTGACTGGAAAGAAGATAAAGAAATCGAAATGCAGCCAGTCCAAACTCGGACCCAGGAAGACTTCTTGGTGGAATGGGATTTCAGGCACCATTGTAGAACAGGTATCTTCGTTCGCCGTCGGGAGGGATTCTCTCGTTATATTCTGAATCCAATTCTAGAATCGGCTAAAAGGCAACCATTTACCCCGAAGATGAATATTGACCTGGATCAAGTTAGCCTTGATATCGTGCTTGTGAAAACGACACGACTTTACCCAAGCGTTTCCATCTTTGTCAATCTCTTTCTCAACATGTGTGGAGAATGAAATTGCACTCATGATACCATCGCCAAACTTTTCATTCAAAACAGCCTTGTAGGCGTATCCGTAGTTTTGCACAATCTCATACAACCGGTAGATCAAAGGTTCTTTTGGAGGCATTTCCACACTTTTTCCTCGATCTGGGAAACCGCTCATCTGCGACTCGAGAGTAGCATGATCAATATCCAAGTAGTCTGACAACTTTTTGATATCTTCAGGAGAGGCTTTTGCTTGTCCATAGAATAAGGCAGCAACCGCAACCTCATCTCGACCAATCTCTTTCGCAATCGCCTCGAAAGTTACCTGTTTCTTCGCTTTTGCCTCGAACAAGGTCACGGATGAGGTGCGCAGGTTAGGATGTTGTGATGTCTGACCATATTAGCTGTTATCTTTAGAATATTCAGGTGGTGAAGTGTACATCGAGAGTCGCAAGAGACATGTTGGACGCCGATCGACTGAGCTACAACGGGGTTGCTTTTGTAGTAACGGAAAGCCGTCTGGGTCCTCGAATTTATAGCTGTACCCGTGAGACGGTGTAAAGGACGCAGATGGGAAGTCATGTTGGATGCAATGGACGGCAATATATATAGCCAACCAATTCCAAGTACCGTGGAGATGTGCACTTGTCAGTATTTGTATGTTATCCATCTTGGTGGAGGGGGACTGAGATGTGCCCCCGCATGATTGCATCAGGCTCTTTCGGCGAAGGGGATCTGTTACAATCACCCAACAGCCATCGCCCACGGTCCGACAAACATAGATCGATCGGTGCAGGCAGATTTAGCGGGATGCAGGTGGCTAGAGGACAACATCGTACTTGTGCCAATGCTCGGAGAGCACTTGCTGTTGATAGCAATCTTGGGGAGGTTGAGAGTGACTTTTCCTGTAGTCGAGGGATGGCAATTTTGTAGGATGGCGGGGTGCAATGAGGCGCAGCTCGAACGATCTGGAGGCGTTTTAGGGGACCCAGCGACAAATCTGCGGCACGGAGCTTGGCGTGCAATACTCGACAGCCCCAGGATGAAACTTCAAACATCTGCCATCATCCATCCTGTGTCTTCACTTAGTTGAACTATGTTCCTTCCCACCGTCGGTCACCTCTGACTCCAATTGTACAGTCAGTCTCTGGCCGGTCGATGCACCGAGACCTACGACAACTCGCAAACTCACCATCCCAGATCCCAACCAGCGCCAACATGTCCTCCCAGCAGCGGCCAGAAGACGACGAACTCGCTTACGGAGATGACTATTCTCGGTCTCGAGGAGGAGGAGGTGGTGGTGTTGGTCAAGATGGCAGTGATCGATCACTTCTGGGAGATACCTTTCGAAAGTTCAAGTCTGGATATGACAAGTACAAGACGCCTTCCTCTCCATCCCAAAGCTATGGCTCTGGCGGCTCAGGCTCCTCTCAGCAGTACTATGGTCAGTCGGCCCAAACTACTGGCTATCCTCAAACAGGTCAACCAGCCTATCCGGGAGGTCCGCCTACCCAACAGCCCCAAGGAAAACCAGATATAGCCTCGAAACTCCTGGGCGGGCTACAAAGCACCATTCACAACATTGGTTCTGATGTTGCCAACTTGCTGGGGCCAGACAACAGACCACCGTCACAGTATTCACACCCACCTCCAGGGCAAAGTGGCTTTGCCGGCTTCTCAAATAGGCCACCTTCACCTAATCTTCCTCAAGGCCCAAACCGTTATGACAGCTTCGCATCCGAAAAGCCGGGCAACGATGTCAAATGGTATGTCGATGGATGTGGTTACTTTTGGGCAATCAGTCAAGCACTGGAGGGAGCAAAGCGCGCCATCTGGATCCTAGACTGGTGGTTATCACCCGAGCTCTATCTGCGTCGACCACCTTCACAGAATGAGCAATGGAGACTCGACCGAATTCTGCAAAGAGCCGCCCAGCGGGGCGTCAAAGTCAAAATCATCGTCTACAAAGAAGTGACACAAGCTTTGAGTGCGTACCTTTCACCTCTTGTTATCAACTACTTCACTCTCTTCTCCCGTCGTCTGTGGGCGCCTTCGCCTCTTTTTTGGTCGCTCTTGGACTATAAGGGACAGGAACATCGTTTAGCTATACTGAGGCAGAGGCTCACTAATTGTTCCTCTTCTAGCTTTGTCTTCGGCTCATACTAAACATGAGCTCGAGAAACTACATCCTAACATTGCTGTTTTCCGTCATCCAGACCATCTTCCCGACGCTCAAACTAGCCAATCGTCTTTGATATCTTCATTTCAGGGTCTGAAACTTGATGCTGCCGGGGTCTCGAAACTTGGTGCGGATGCTCTGAAAGGAATCTACGGCCTGAGCGATGACGTGATCCTGTATTGGGCACATCACGAAAAATTATGCGTAATTGATGACAGAATTGCGTTCATGGGCGGGTTGGATCTTTGCTTCGGTAGATGGGATACCAATCAACATGCCATCGCTGATGCACATCCCACGAATATCAACGACATAGTATTTCCAGGACAAGACTTCAACAACGCTCGGTGAGTAACCCTTTTGCTATGTGATTTATGGGTGGTTGAAAATGCTTCCCCAAACAAGTTCCCGTTGAAAATCTTTGATCCTAATGGAACGACACAGAATCATGGATTTCAGTGACGTCGCGAATCCATTCCAGAACAAACTCGACAGGACTAAGAGCTCTAGAATGGGATGGTCAGTATGCAATGTATCGCATGCAAGCCGACTGTTAACAATCACTAGGTCTGACATTGCGTTGAGTTTGCAGGGTTCCTGTGTGCAGGATCTTCGTCACCACTTCATCGATCGATGGAATTTCATCTATGATGAGAAATACGATGTTCGAAAAGATCAACGTTATTACAGACTCCTCGACGACTTCTCACATCCCGTATCTGGTCCTGGACAACGTCCACAGTCCAGACCGCAGTCACAAGGATACCTTCAACCTCCAGTACAAGGAGGTGCGTTCCTTCCACCACCAGGTAGTCAACCGTATACTCCACCAGCCTGGCACACCACTAGCAGACCACATACTCCAACAGCAGAACCGTATCACCATCAACCAGGAACAGCTGGCCCTTATGGTGGGTCTCAGAATCCTCCAGCACAAGGTACACAATCTCAGCCTGAACGCCCTCAAGGGTCTTATGGTCCCGGAACGAGCGCCTCAGTGCAGGGTACTCAAGCGCAACCCCCATTAGGTGGTTACGGTCCAGTCTCTAATCTCCCGATGCAAGGAACTCAACCTCAACCTCAGCCAGGGATCTACGGCCAGGTTTCTAGTCCCTCGATGCAAGGAACTCAACCTCAGCCTCAGGGTGGCGGTTATGGTCCAGTTTCTAGTCCCCATATTCAAGGACCTGAGAGTCAACCCCCGGCCGTGTCAGGCCAATACCCACCAGTTTCGAGTTCGCCACCGGGCGCGCAACATCAACCCACGACCACAGCCGGTGGTTACGGCCAACCACCAAACCCTTCATTCCAGCAGAACTTTCCTCCTCCGCCTCCTGGACCTCCTCCTCAGCCATCTCCCGGACCTTCACAAAGCTTCTCTGCATATCAACAGTCACCCAATCCGAATCCAAGCTATGCACCCTACACTCAAGGGTCTGTAGAACTCCCTTCTCAACAACAACCGAGTCAAACATATCAACACCATGTGCATGATCAGCCCGGTACCAACCAAACACGAGACTTCGACGACTACGGGTATGGTAACGAGAATGAAAGAGGTTTGGGCAGTGAGAGAGGTCTTCATGGGAGAATGGACCAATACCGCGAGGAGGGCCGAAGGATCGGCCAAGAACTCTCTTCAATTGGTAACATCGTCTCAAGCGGTGTTGGAGACAGAGTCCACCACATTCAAGGCAAGTACATGGGTGGTACAGATCATTATGGGCGTCCATACAATCAACCCCGTCCTGTAATGACCTGCCAGATTCTTCGAAGCTGTACAACATGGAGCAATGGAACCCCTCTCGAGCATTCTATTCAGAATGCGTACATCGATGTCATTCGAAATAGCCTGCATTTTGTCTACATTGAAAACCAATTCTTCATCACTGCCACGGGGGATCAACAGAAACCTGTCAAAAATTTGATCGGTCAAGCCATTGTTGAGCGGATTCTTCGAGCTGCCAGGAATGGTGAGAAATACAAAATAATCGTCGTCATTCCAGCAGTACCAGCGTTTGCAGGCGATCTACGAGATGATGCTTCACTGGGAACTCGAGCCATCATGGAATTCCAATATTTTAGCATCAATCGGGGTGGCTATTCCATAATGGAGAAGATCGCGCAGGCTGGGTACAATCCCATGGACTACATTCGCTTCTACAACCTCAGAAGTTACGATAGAATCAACTGCAGCCATGCCATGACGCAAATAGAACAGCAGAGCGGTGTGAGATATGAAGATGCCCGCAAACAACACGACGATGTGGTTGGAGCCGGATACGGACTATACGGAGAGAGGACCGGTGCATCACAGATATCGCAAGCTCCACAGTATCAGCAATATCAATCAACTGCCCAGAATGTGACAATGCCCCGAGGTGCCCGTTGGGACAGTGTTTCAGAGTGTTACATGCTTGGAGGACAAGACATTCGTACGGTTCCGTGGGATGGTCCGCCCGAGGCGGAATTGGATGCATTCGTCAGCGAAGAGCTGTACGTCCATTCCAAGGTGAGTTTTATGCCACTAATATTGCGCCCCCCCCCCCCCCCCCCCCCTTTTTTTATCCGACTAAGTTTCCCAGTGCCTCATTGCCGATGATCGGATCGTTATCTGTGGTTCGGCCAATTTGAATGATCGAAGTCAGCTCGGTTCACACGATAGTGAAATGGCAATTTTGGTCAACGATCCCACACCTGTTCAGAGTTATATGGCAGGTCAACCATGGCAAGCCAGCCAATTCGCAGCATCTCTGAGACGACAATTGTTCCGAAAACATCTGGGTTTGATCCGACCCCAGGACATGCGACGGCCTGACCCGAATTTCGAGCCAGTCGGAGTACCCAACGTGTATGATTGGAACACTCCGGAGGATAATATCGTTGCAGATCCTCTGAGCGATGCATTCCAAAGCCTGTGGAATACTCGAGCGAGAACCAATACCGAAGTGTTCAGAAAGGCATTCCGAGCCATTCCAGATGATTATGTCAACACCTGGGCAGATTACAAGGAGTTCTATGAGTACTTCTACCGTGGTCCTGATCCCAAGGCTGGAGAAAAGGAAGCGAATAAATTGCCGCCAAAGGTCGAGTATGGACATGTAATTCGATCGGATTTCCCAGGCGGAGCGCAAGAACTCAAGGAATTGTTGAGCAAAGTCAAGGGTACTCTGGTCGAAATGCCATTGTGCTTTCTCCAAAGTGAGCAAAATTTCCAGCTTATCGTATGATATGAACTAACTTGGATTGCAGATGAAGACATTGCCAAAGAAGGACTGACTTTGAATGCACTGACAGAAGAGCTCTACACTTGAGCGACGAATGGATGTGTGCTTATGACTGAATGACCACGAACACACTTTGCGTATCGCCTTTATCGTCTCTCATCGTCTGTCGGGTCAATAGCACACGGCTTCTATAGAGTAGTTCACCGCTTCTGCATTGACTGTAGTAGTGTGGAGTATTTCTTGTCCCCCGCCTTCGTCTGCGCCCTCGTCCATCTCAATTTATCTTTGGTTCTGCAGTTCGCCCTCATCTTTCTTTCGCCTTCTAAACATTGTTGCCTGTTGTGACAGCACACGCTCAATGGCTGTCAAATAGTTGATTAAGAATTCTCGATTCATGTGTGCCGCCAGAAAGCCGCCTAAACCCAACCGGGATCTTTCCCTACCTTAAGAGGTCTTCGCCGTGCTGACATGTGACTTTCTCTGGGCAGCCTTCAACCTCACCACAGGCTTGAAATACTTTGTTCTTCTTTTCCTTTCGCAGATTTCCCTGGCTTCAAGTTCGCCTCAACTCTCATTCTCATTCCCCGCATCACTCACGCTCTTCACATCACTTTCGTCCACTTTACTACAAGAATCTTTGTTATGGCATCACGTATCTGCCTTTTTCCTGGAGCTTCCTGTCACTGCACAAGTTAGAGGCGCCATCGCAACAGCTCTGGTAGCCTGTTTTTTACACGAGACAGAATTTGAAGAGCGACTTTTGGGGCAGATCAAACTACTTGAAGCGGCCCGTGGACAAAGAACGACTTCAAGAGCAGGCTGAAGTCTGAGAGCTCATCCAGACACTGGAGACCCCGCAAGAAGAACGTCTCAAGTCTCTCGACAGTGTTTCGGCTGCGATCTAAGATAGACTTCAAAATGACAACCTTTTCAAGCGCGCATGATAGCACTCGTAGCTATTGTGGATTGTGTCAGGTTGAGTTCGAGGATGATATGCTTCTCTTCATTCATCAGCTAGGAAGTTCAGCTCACAGTATGGTTTCCCGCCTTCGAGAAACAATTTCATGCACTAACACCATTATAGTCTGCTGCCCAGTATGCGCGCAAGAGGTATATATCGGTTGCATTCTGAGGAGAGAAATTCAAATCTGACATGAACAGTTCAAAAGCACTGGAGGCAGAGATCGACATGTTGAATTGGCAAGTTCCGATAACATTTGTTCAGACATTATCTCTGATTAAAATACTGTAGGACCATCGAACAGCTCAAAACCTTTCATGCGCAGGCTGTCAAACAAAATTTCGTTCGGCATCATCTTTGATGACCCATATCGAGAACGATCAATGCACTGTCATAAGACTTACAGATTTCCAGATGCAACGTGCTGAGAGACAGCTTCAGAAAGATGCCTGGATGGCTCAAGAAGATCCACTCAACATAAATCCTTCTACTAGGAAGAGTCCGACAGCATCCGATCTCGATAGTGGAAGCTCTGTCCTTAGCAGCAATCCCGTTCACAACACAGCCACAGCGCTCAAAAATACTTTCGAAGGCACAATCTCCACCACCTCTCATGAAAAATCCTCCCCGCTTCAAAGCTTCCGTGATACTTACACAGCTGTGGACACACCTAAGATCAAAAACTCCGAGCTCGGTATGAGATCTCCAAACAAGGTCATGGACTTCGATCAGACCATGAGAAGACTGGATAGACATCCCTTTCCACAAGATTCACGGAGCGTGCTGCCAGCGGAAGGCGTCAAGAATCCAGACAAGGTACAGCCATGGCTTGATAATATGCACCCCACAGCTAGACCACCCCCCGACAACACCAGTATGGTGGCATCGATGTACGATAAGAACGCTCCCTCTTCTGCTGTCAGCGAGAATATTCCACCTTCTGTACGCGCGCGAGATCCAGATCCTGCTGCTCCACACAAGCATGTCATCAACATACCAGCACACTCGGCCATCTCCCCTAGGTCGCAACTGGACATCCAGAAATTCTGGGATGGCATGCAGCAGAAATATATCTGCCCAGGAATGAGCTGCAATCGAGGATTCAAGAGCATTCGAGGCTTCCAGGAGCATTTACTCTCATCTGCTCATGTCGGTGGTACGGTTGTCTGTCCATCTTGCCTGAAGCGATTTGGCTCAACTGCCGCTTGGGTGGCGCATTGTGAGTCGGGCAGTAGGAGATGCGATATTCGGAACAGTTCCAACTTCAACCACGTCATGCGCGAGATCACCGGTGGTGTTCTGGGCACTCAGGGATTTCTGGAGGACGGGACGGTGCAGTATGTAGCGCAAAAGATCGAAGACTGGAATGCTGAACCAGCCAATGAGGGGTGGTGAACACTCAAGAGGTAGATCATTCGCTGTTGCTGGTATGTCAGGTACTTTATGTTCTGCCTCGATGGGGCAAACGAGCCTCCATCATTTGGGGGAAGGTCCTGAGACAGAGCATCGTGGTGGATAATATGGCTTTTGCATTCCGCTCCGCTCATATTCATGTAAAAGAGGCTACGAAAGCCTGAGTTTATGTATGAGGAGGAGTACCTAGCGTAAAACGGTCTACTGAGGCTGGAGAACTCGAGAAATCTATCTGAGTTACCTGTAAAGATGCATATAACGAATTCTGCCTGTACAGTAAATAGATGTCACGTGCAGTCACGCACCGGGACAATAAAATAGAGTGAGAAAGCCTCACTTCATATACATCCTTGGGTCAATCTTCCACTTACAACCTACTCACAAACCCGGCCCGATCGTCTTGACACTAGTCGGTCGTGATGTCCTCGACGCGCGTTACGCCCCTTAGGCTCATACATAGTGTAGATTCGTTCTATCAGCGGGCGTAGACACGGCTCGACACCTTGCCGGCCTTTATATGCTAGCCCTAGAGCACAGGACGACCGACCTAGGAGAAATCCGCGCCGAGCGCGATGCCTAGAATATGGTCCGTCTTGTGGCGGATGCTACCGTCGACGTATACAAGGATGGGAGTGCGACTGCGAATCGTCTGTGTTACGTCGATTAGGGCGTCGAGTTGGCAACCGCCGTGGTTCGAGACGATGATTCCGTCCGCGCCGTGCGAGACGGCGAGCTCGGCGTTTTCGCCTGTCTTGAACCCCTTCACCCATTCTTCCATAGGCGAGCTCTCGGCTTCGAGTCAGGGGATTGCTTCGTCCCAGCAGAGCGTCGAGTTTGCTGTGCGCGTGTGGAATACGATCGGTCCAGAGGGAGAGATGCGTCGTGTCCCGTCATGGTAGCCGACGGTGCTGGGGCGGCGGGTACGCAGTTTCGGTTGCGAAGGGACGATTGCGTTTGTTCATAAGTTGTCATCGACGGCTGTCGTCTTGCTGTTCCATAAAGTTCGCCATCCATAGGTGTTTGGGAAGTTCGTACTGGTTCCGTACCTCGGTGTTTGTGCTGCCTCAACATTGGCATGTCGACGGTTAATAGGACGGTTCTGAACTCGGCCTTTTTGGTCCGCTAGGTGAGACGCCTGCTATGCTCACGCTCCTCGAACAGAATGAGCTGCAAGAGGTGAGGGTTGTCGCCGCTGGCAGTCGTGACGTCTTCCATTGTGTTCGTACTGAACGCCCTGTAGCTACTTCGCCGTCTGTGTGCGCAAGGCACTGAATTTCCATTAGGGCTACGCCAAACGACACTTCGGTCTTTGGCCAAACATGGGCACGCTAATGTCGATTTGTGAGATACCCTGCAACATCCTTGTACTAGTCTCGTGTCTGTCTGTCTATGTACTCGTAGGTGAGAGCTTCTAGCTCCGCGATCGTTAGGTAGTTGGAGTCATGGGGGGTAGCTTGGGGCTGAGATGGTATTGTTTCATCGATATTTAGAGGGTTGGGAACACAATGTGGCTAGTAGTGAGCAAGAAGAGCAGAACAACAATTGGTGAGTTTAATCGAGAAAGATACCTAGACGACAGGATGTTGATATATGTGGTGCGAAATGACCTACCTATCTGGTGACGTTGGAAGCTTGCTGATTTCGCAAACGATGGCTTTTCGGCCGCAGAAATTCCTGTGTGGGGAAGCAAGCCACCGGATTCGCATGAGATCCTCACAATCAACACGCGTTCAACAGTCTGCGGACAGGACGCTGAGCCATGGACGCCGTGATCGCAGTCCTGTAGCATCACTATCTATTCGTTTACCATCCTAGGCCATCCTCCACGCGTCTCCATCTCACTGACGAGATCTCATATCCATTCTTCCAATCCATCCATCAACCACCGCGTTCCGCCACAGTCAGACAGCTGTCTGTTTTCGTGAGGAAAATAAAGTACAAATATGAGTGTCTCAATAGCCACAATTCGCGACCTCCTTACAAATTCCAAACATACAAGATGGATAGCGCCGTTGATGTTGCTCGGCGAAGCGGCAATATGCGGGCTCATTATTTGGAGAATACCGTGTTAGTATGCACCTTGAGCGAAAACCTTTTGTCGATGATGCCATCTATGGATTCACCGCTGACAAGAGACCTTGGTTGATTCTAGACACAGAAATTGATTTCACGACCTACATGGCTCAAGTCCGCGTGTTCATCGGGGGCGAGACAGAGTATAGCAAGATCACAGGTCCCACGGGTCCTCTCGTCTACCCAGCCCTCCATGTCTACATCTATACCGTCCTCTTCGACCTCACCGACGAAGGCACCAATATCCTCCGCGCCCAGATCATATTCGCTGCCCTGTATCTACTCACCCTAGCGGTTGTGCTTGCGTGTTACCGACGGGTTGGAGCCCCGCCGTGGCTCCTACTCCCTTTGGCACTCAGTAAGAGAATGCATTCAATCTTCTTGCTGAGGCTGTTCAATGACTGTTGGGCCACGCTGGCGTTCTGGGCGGCGGTATATCTGCTGCAATGTCGGAAATGGGAGAGTGGCTCATTGGTGTGGGGACTGGGCTTAGGGGTGAAGATGACAATCCTTTTGGCTGCGCCCGCCATCGGAGCAGTCGTTCTGCAAGGCCATGGCACAAGAGATGGGATCTTTTGTGGTCTTTTCGTCCTGGTCCTTCATCTTGTCATTGCCATGCCCTTCCTCGATCGGGAAGCTGGGCTTCAATATTTCCAGCGCGCCTTCGATTTCGGAAGACAGTTTCTCTTCAAGTGGACCGTTAACTGGAGGTGTGTAGGTGAAGAAGTGTTTTTGTCTCGCGGTTTCGCCGTCGGTCTCCTGGTCATCCACGTCTCCCTGCTTCTTGTCTTTTTCCAGACCAAGTGGGTGAAACCCAGTTCTTCGAATTTGCTGGAGTTCCTGAGGAAGTATACCAGCTCGATGCGGTACGTGGAGGAGCTTCGAGTCTCGAGGAAAATCACGCCCACTTTTGTCATGGACACAATGCTGGGAAGTATGGTCATCGGGATGTTATGTGCCCGAAGCTTGCATTACCAGTTCTATGCATATCTCGGCTGGGCAACCCCATATCTTCTGTGGCGAGCAGGAGGAGGTCCATTGTGGGTTTTCGTTAACTGGGCGGTCCAGGAATATTGTTGGTTGGTCTATCCTAGCACAAACCTGAGCTCTACCTTGGTTGTGACTGAGTTAGCGGTACAAGTGACTTGTGCACTGATCGCAACGCCAGATAGATCATATCAGTCGCCCCAAGATGCTGGAAGGAAAGACGACTTCAGAAGCCGCAACGGGAGCGGTTAATGAGTCAATCTTCGGGTTGTCCATCCTCACTGTCTGACGGGGGCATCTTTCCAACCACCGACTCTCCCTCATCACTGTCTTCGGACACAACCTTTTTGACAAACTCTTGAGGCCAATATGATTGTTTCCTCCACCTGCTCTCGTCTCCGATGACGTTCACAATCAGGCCTTGGATTTTGTTGGTGCGCTCCGAAACAGGGGAAGTATCAACGAGCACATAACCGCCACGCCTGACAAAGATGACCCCTCTGAATCGAACCTCGAGTTCGACCAGGAGGGTGGTGGAGCCTGGGGTCTGCACAGTGTAGAGGTCCTTGCCATTGGCGTTGAGTATGCGAGCAATGGTCTGATCTGGAGTCAAGGAGGCTGGAGGAGTGAGGATCTCTTCGGCTAAACGTCGATGCCTGTTTACGGGTTTTCTGTTCCGTGCCATGACGCCAGTAAGCACGAGAGAACTAGAGAAGTGGCTGATTCTAACGCAGACGGTGAGTGGATTCTGGAACTTTGAGTGAGCAGGACGTGCGATTTCTCAGTGCGGGGGATTTTTGTCGGAAGCGGCTGAGTGAGCCCGTGCATTTGCCTGCGCAGTCGGATGCTGCCCGATGTAGAAACGTAGCCGGCCTGCAAATTTGCCTGTTTTGGACCAACGCAGCAGGGATGCGTGGTCTCCAAAATTTCCTCAACCCAGCCCCCTACTCTCACTGGCATGCGAAATATCCTTATCGACCCATCTTCTTGCATCTGCCCGGCGGTTAGGGTAAATAGCCTTAATATCTTCGAATCAATGGATCAGCAGCGTAGCAAGATCAACAAAATCTTACCAGCAGTGGAGCAAGCTGTGACTCGATAAGTATGTCAAGGTCCCCATCCGCTCACCCATGATTCTTTGGTTTTCATTTACGCCGGATTCTTGTGCTTCAATGCCCTAGTCTCGTTCGAGAATTTTGCCGCCATGTCTGCTCAAACGTTTGGAGCTTTCATCACTCATGAAAGCAGTCCGTCTCCAGTCGTCGTCAGACTCGATCCTGTTGTCCACCGAGACAATATATCTACGCTTCCCCCAACTGAATATGAGTTACAATGGGGTCAACGATTGAACGGACCACGAAAGGACCTCTCTCGAGACTCGTCGCCTATTGGTCGATCGCTTCCTCAAACCCCTGGCGAGCTCGAACAAAGTCAGCCTCCCACTCCCAAAAGAAGCCACGCCGTAGAAGCCATTGTCCAATCTGCGTCCGATCCGCCGAGAAATCGCTGGAGGCTGGCAGCGGCCGCTCTTATGTTCTTTCTCTTAGGAATAAATGACGCAGCCACTGGTGCCCTGATTCCATATTTGGAGGAAGAGTACAGTATCGGCTATGCAGTCGTGTCTTTGATTTTCGTCACCAATGCTGTTGGTTTCATCTCCATGGCACCTGTTACTCAGATCATAGAGGCACGTCTTGGTCGATCTGGGTCTTATATCATTGCAACTTCCCTGATGAGCATTGGCTATATTGCTCTCATTTGTGCTCCCCCTTTTCCTGTTGTGGTGCTTAGCTTCTACTTTTTGGGTTGCGGAATGGGCCTGTTTCTGGCTATGACCAATGCGTTTGTTGTGAATCTGTTGAACGGCACCGTCATTCTCGGATTTTGCCACGGCCTGTACGGGGTAAGCTTCCTGATTCGTGCAAGCTTTTGCCACATTACTGACTTCTTCAGCTGGGTGGTATCGTTTCTCCCCTCATGGCAACAGCAATGGTGTCCAACGGGGTCCGCTGGTCATTTTATTACTTCATCCCACTTTCTATATCGTTATCGTCCATTCTATTCATGGGATGGTCTTATCGGGGCTTTGAAAATGATGCTGCTGCACAACTACTTACCACCCTCGAACGCACAGCGTCCCGTCGGGCTGCTGCGGCCTTGGGTGAACGCACCAAATTAAAACTGCTCAGACGGACACTCAAAAATCGAACCACTCTTTTGGGTGCTGCCTTCATCTTGTATGTCATCCTCATCACTATCCATCCAAGCAACATTATTGACAGCTGGGCAGTTTCTACCAGGGTGCCGAAGTGGCTATATCCGGCTGGGTCATATCGTATTTGATCCATTTCCGAAACGGAGACCCTTCGCAAGTCGGTAACGTCACGGCAGGTTTCTGGGGTGGCATTACCGCGGGACGATTCATTCTTACTCATTTTGCTCACCAGATGGGAGAAAAACTGGCAGTTATCCTCCTCATTACCGGAGCTGCTGTCTTCCAGCTTCTAGTTTGGCTAGTACCCAATATCATTGGGAATGCCGTGGCAGAGTCCATCGTTGGCGTCTTCCTAGGACCTGTCTACCCTTGCGCCACCGGAGTCTTTTCCAAACTCTTACCCGTCAACATTCAAATCAGCAGTTTGTCCGTGGTGACATCTATGGGATCGTCAGGAGGCGCCCTAGTGCCTTTCATCACCGGAATATTGGCCCAGAAACTGAGTACGGTCGTCCTTCATCCGGTTGTTCTGATTTCACTTGCCTCGATGACAGTCACATGGCTACTATTGCCGCGAATTGGAAAAAGAACGGAATAAATGAAGTAGTGCATATGCCTAAGACGTGATATATGTCATTGTTCATTTCAAATCGGGCTCGTCAGTCACCGCACCGCCAAGACATGCTCTTTCACTTACTGTTCCAACATTTGCTTGGAGACCACATGCTACAGTTTCACCTCAGCCGAGGTTCACGCTTCCTTCTGTATCTCTTGATGCATATCAAATTTTTGAAACATACCAGACTGTGAACCATAAATTTTCATTGCGCCTTCGCATAGGAACCCTATTACATCGACTGCATCTATCGAAGCCTCTGGTACAATCTGAGATCCTCGTACAACATATGTCGGCCTGTTCGACACCATCTGTAAGCCACGTATCGAATCCAGAACCATGGATTTTCTCAAGAGTGGATCTCAACAGCCTCGGGGTGTCCGGAAACGGATGTCCGAATGGGCCGGTCAAAAAGTTCATCAATGGCTAGAAACAGAGACGAGACCGAGTTCATTCTCCTCTCCAGGTAATTCAACGACATTCATACCCGCGCATCACAACCGCGGAGAACATGGTCAAGGTTCAGCACATCCTGCCGTTTCCGATCATTCCCGATTACAGTTCAAGGTGCGTCATCTTCACGGGAGGCACATTATTTTGCATACCCTTTGTTTCTGTTTGAACACACACTCACTATGGTTCAACATTATTCGCTCGCTCAATCAGTGGTATTCAGGGGAAAATTCTGCGCCACTGTCATGTCCTTCCGAACTTTTTCTCTGTGCTACAACGCCAGAATATCCTCTTAAGCAAAGAAATGTCAAAATGCCCGATTCTACCTGGGAAATTTACTCACCGACTTCAGCATGCTCTTACTTTACTCATATTTTCCAGTTTAACTCATCTTCTCCAGGCCGAACCAGTAACCAGCATCAACGCGACGAACATGACGACAACTCTTAATGCGACAACTTCATATCCACCAAACATCAGCATCGCCTGCGTCGACTTCCTCGGCGATGTTCACAGTGCCACTACGTACGTGAAACGCGACCTCGGCTTTCAAGGTCAACTCGGCCAATATGTTCTACTGAGCTATGGCGATACCATGTACAGCGACGCCAACTACAGCGATACCTGGAGAGGAATGACGAGCGACTCAGCGGCCCTAGCTACACACAATCCTCTCGTCGTCATCGACCCGGTCTTAACACCAGAAGGCTACCCGCCACAATTCTGCCCTTTGGTCGCTTCTTTCGGCGAAGATCCTGCTAAATACGGTATGGGCATCACCAATGTGGTCGAAACCGACGACTCGGGCCAAGGTCAAGGGATCATGTTTTTCCTCTTGAACCACCGGCCAAACGGGACCAACAATCTCATCGGCGCTGGTGTTGCTTCTGTGACCCTTAACACGTCAACATACCCGCCCGTGCCGCAGATTCGCCGTCTCCCGCCGCGGTACTGGTGGGACGCGACGCGCGAACCGTGGTATGGCGATGTCTGCGCTCTGCGATGGGAAGACTACATCTACGGCTACGGCCACGGTGGGGAAGGAAATCCTTGGGTCTATCTAACGCGGGTGCGTGCTGCTGAGGCTACCAATTTCGCCTGCTACGAGTATTGGAACGGATCTGACTGGCAGAGTGAGCGCCTCGACTCCCAATCCATAGGCGAGAAAGAGAGTGTCTTCTGGCAGATCAACCAGGGGCAGGTCATCTGGTCGAATTACTACGGTTGTTTTTTCTTTGTCTACTGCGGTACGTCTCCAGACTCCAGCTTCAGAAGCTCTAACCCAGATTTTCTCGTAATCAACGCCAACGTTCCACAGACAACTGGATGAACTCGAAGGTTCTCCTCAAAACGTCCCCGAAACCCGAAGGCCCTTGGTCAGATCCCATCACTCTATATCAGGCCACTCCCATCCGACAGGACAGCTCGATCTACGCGGCGGTGCCACATCCGTATTTCGACAACTCGGGGAAAACTCTCGTTGTCACGTTCACGAATCATCCTAATACTATCCAAGCTGTGCGTGTTGTTTTCGCATAGGGAAAGGTAGCCCCCAAGGCCCAGCGGGATTTGCGGAAGTGGGTCGGAGGTATACGGCGGTTAGCGACGAGACGTCCAAGACTCATACATGAAATTTTAATCAAAATTCTTCGCGACACGAGCCCCAATAGTCAAGGGCAATGGACCATGACAGAATGGAACCTCCAGGTTATCCTTCTCCACGAAACATTGTCTGCTGAGTGGGCTGTATTTCTGATCTGTGGAGAAATAAACATGAGGTCATTTGGCCAATGCAGTCACATGATCACGGCCGTCAGTCACGTGTTATCCGAAAATGTCCTTTCCTATTTGCTTTCACTACAAATTGGACATTTCTCCTCGAAAATGCATTGGCAAGTCGAGATATTCAATGCTTGAGTTCTCTCCCTCTTCGTGGGTATCACTGACACCCCATTGTCGAGGCCTTGAGATTTTCCACCAGTTGATTGTTTCAGATCGGTACCTGCTCGCATCCAAGATGATGGCCACAATTTGCCTTTTACGCATCCGCAACAACACATTCCAGCATATTGTCTCCAACGCACCTGACGATATATTTTACGTATAGAATTAAGCCAATTCCCCGATTGATCAGTCAGAACATCGAACGCAAGCTCGAAAGACGCGTTTGCCGTGTAGTTGTCTTTATGGTTGAATTCAAAACGAAGGGAATGTATCGGGGCAGCGACCCTTGGCAGCGACCTTCGTACCACAGCGACCTGCTAAACACCAATTGAGCCTAGTTGTGCGAGAGTTGCCCGGAGGATGGCGAGGTACCTCAAATCCCTAGGAAAATGGGGGGTTTTCAGGTACCTTTCCATCCACTTTGCCTCCCTCGCATAGTTGGCCCTTTTTGGTGTTCTTTTTAAACAGTGTCATTAAGGCCTTTCGACAGAGCTATTTGCACTCGACTTTAGAAGCCTTTTCACACTCGATTTTGGTGTTGTTGTGTATCAGGAGCTCTCTGTCGCCTATTTAGTCTGTCTAAAGTCCCCCTTCCCCCTCTTGCCTCCTGACCTCGCTGTTGACCACCTTCAGAGCCTTCCTGATGCTCTGTGAGCCTCTTGTGAATCTTGTATGAGTCCTTGCTCCTTTGCCTCTTTGTATCTCGCCGTGTGGTTGCGCCTTCTCTTTCCTCTACCTCCTCCTAGTGCTGGAGGTGCCGTAGACGCTGGTAGATCGAAGATCTCGTCGTTGACTGTCGGAGAGGCCTCAGGGGTAGGAGATCGACGTGGTCGTGGTCTGTCTGGAGTGCGAATTGGTAAACGTCGTGAGAGAGGAGTAATCTGAGGCGGAGGTGTTGTCGGTCTTGCTGTCTCTGTCACTGTTATGCTGGCTCGGGGAGTAGACGTCAATTGAGCTTGTTGTCGTCGCTCGTCAGCGCGTTCATCTTGACGTCTTTGACGCTTTTCCTGGCGCTCTTGACGTTCTAGAATCTCGTTCGCTGTTAAGCCCCGTGCTTCACGAGGTCCGTGAGAGGCCTTTTGAACGATTCGTCGTCTTACAACAGGGTCAGGTTGGCCGATGGGTATTTGCTGCAATTCAAGGTGTTGTTGACCGATCATTGAAAGATTCCTAAAGACTTGCCTGTGGAATTCGCGAATTTGTCGCTCTCCACGAGCTATTTGAACATCGTAACGATGGCGCTCCTCAGGATTTAGCTGATTTCTGATTTCAGCGAGTAGTAGAGCCTGTTGAGCGTCTTGGTTCGACCTCAGATCTTCTTGAGGCGCCTCAGAAGGGTAGAATGGCTTCCAATTACGCTCCGTGATTTCCGGTCCTGACAGCCACCAACGAGGGTGTAGAAGAGTTTTCGGTAGAGGTAAATTTTCGAGAAAGGCCCGGAGTAGATAATGTTTGCAGGCAATACCGAACTGGTAGAGAATCGGGCACTCGCAAATCTCGCTCAATTGCTCTCCCCTCATCATGAATTGATTAAGTTCCGTCCATTCCTTCTCAAGTAAGGCGAGTGCCTCATTCGAGACCTTCATTCGCAGGGCTTTGAAGACGTCAGACTGAGCTAGACGAGGGTAGTGACGATGAGAGAGCGCCTCATCGTCCTGAAGATCCTTGAGGACTGATTTGACCTTCATCGTAAGCCGTTTAGCCGCATCTTCGAGGCTTAATTGGCCATTTGTGATCTCCCTCATAACACCATGATATGACTCGACTCTTTGACTTGCTCTGGCACCGAGATTTGCGTAGAGGCGTGTGTAAAAGTGGGCAACTTTACGCTCCTTTGGCAGCCACTCCTCGTTGATGTATTGCCTGAATTCTCTCCCTCCTTTTGCGCAGACAGTTTCGCGATTGGCGTTCAGATCTGCCTCAGTTTCGGCCTGAAGGTAAGAGTAACAGAGGCTTCGAAGCCCTTGAATCTCTGTGCCCTGATCGTCGAAGTGGCTATCAATCTCGTCTTTCTTGATTCCAAGTTTTCGCGCCTTCACAATCATTGCCTCAACCGCGTGCCAGGTGCAAAATTGCTGTTTTGCATCGGGAAAAGCCTCAGGGATTGACGCTGCTAAACCACCTGCTTGATCGCCTAAAATGACTTCGGGAGGTGCGATTTGAGGCTGCCCCGGGGCCTGGAGACAGAAAGAGATAAAACTGTGCCAGAAGAATAGGTAGGAGTCCTTGTCTTCGCTTCGACACCAGGAAAAGGCGATTGGAAAGGTTTTTCTTGAATTTAGCTGACCGACGGCGATGAGTAGAGGAAGCCTGAACGAATTCGTATTGAAGGTGCCGTCTATCACGACAAGAAAGCCTCCAACAAAACGACGCGCGAGCGCCAACAGCGAGGGATGAGTAAACCAGACTTGAATCAACTTTCTACTTACGACTTCATTCTTTTCATTTAATCCTTCCTCGACACGAGTGCTGTATACGAATCCCTCGTCTTCCAGCGCTGCCAAAAGCCCAGCAATTGTCCTCGAATCCTCTTGGTTTGGCTTCCACTTCCTTACAAGGTTGTAATACTGTCTTGACGTCAAATTCAGGCCAAACTCAGACGACGACTCGAGCACTCTTCGCGATGCAGAGTATGGAATGATTGCAATACGATGAGATGTTGCGGCGGCTCGAATTTCTTGAAAATCAGATAAGTCATTCATGAAACGCGGATAGACAGCGAGAGGATTTTCAGTCAATTCATGGCCTTCATGTTCAAGCGACATGACGGTTAACACCCATCCCTTCTCGCTGCCGCGATCAATTGACTTAAAGCTGACTCTACAACGCCAGTTGCACCCTGTTTGTCGAACCGCAGTCCTCTCTCGCTTCCTCCTAGATATGATTTCGCCCTCTTCACCGACAGCGACGTGATCCTCGAGCCCTCGAAAGTTTCGAGTTTTCTCTCCGTGGTGAATGCATTTGAAGACTGAGGCAGGCACTTTAGCATTTCCTCCACCGTTACGGACGACATCAAAGCCGGTGACGAGTGCAAAGGCCTTTAGACGTCTCTCAGCCTCAGGAAGAGACCCAAACACCTCGCCAGTAACAGGAGTCTGAAGCCAAGAGACAGGGAAAGAGTTGACAAGGCTCTCAAGAGGCCCACGAAGGTGTTGAGAGCATCCTGAAGGCGCTCGCCAGACGTCGCCGACAAAGGAAGTGGCCATTGGGGTAATAGCAACAAGAGGGGTTCGAAAAGGCTTTGCAACACCAAGAAAGTCTATACAATTGCAGAGGGGCCGATAACAAGCACTCAAATCGTGACTTGATGCGAGCACTTCAATTTTGATGTTTTGGTACCTCGATTTGTGCGCTTTTACTAGGGATTTTAGGTACCTTTACATCATTGGTTGCCTCTTTCCATCAACTACGCCAAATCGAGCTTAATCAGGTCGCTGTGGTACGAAGGTCGCTGCCAAGGGTCGCTGCCCCGATACATTCCCAAAACGAAGCCCAACCCTGGCAGCAGATGTCACCCACCCCTACTGACCTCTTCAACTCTTACCGTCGTTTACCCCAGGAGTCATCCTTGATGCCGAGAATTTAGTCGTTACTTTGTTCATGCAACCTGAGTCTTCTATGCACCAAATGAAGTAGGTTTGGCCGAGCACCACTTTGTCTCTGGTCGATCAATACGCAATGTCATCGGTGGCGTCAATTCAGAGCAGAGAGAGGAATCCCTTGGCCTCCTTAGTATCGTCTCCGCCCGAACAGATCCCTGTCAATCAGGGAAAACACAAGCTCGCCTCATATCTCCACTCCCACTTGTTCGTCCTTCAGATTTCACCGTCCTATTGTCCTGTCGTCTCAACTTTTCTCCAGGCCCACTCCCCTTGAACAAATGACGATATCCTCGCTTCCCCGCCACTTGGCGTCTCCATCTCTCTATTCGAAAACCTGGTCACGGAGAAATGCTATAAAATGCCTGCTATGTCCAACTTGCTTCTCGTTGCGCCCTTGTCTTACTCGTACTCCTTCTATTCATGGCGATCCCTCTGAAGAAACCAGGTGACGAGGCTGGAGCCGCTTGGCCAGCCATTGTTATCGGTGTTTTTGTCGCGTGAGTATCTAAACACCTCGTCGACAATTCAAACCAACTAACGACATTCCAGGTTCGGAGGCTTGCTCTTTGGTTATGACACGGGTACGATCTCCGGCATCCTGGAGATGCCCTATTGGAAAAAATTGTTTTCCGATGGATATACCGACTCTGAAGGAAACCCCGCTATTCGATCTAGCGATGAGTCTCTCATTGTCTCTATCCTGTCTCTGGGAACTTTTCTCGGAGCTCTGACTGCCGCTCCAACCGCCGACTTCTTTGGCCGAAGGATGGGCTTGATCTTATCCACAGGCATTGTTTTCAATCTCGGTGTCATTTTGCAGACGGCAGCCACAAGTCAACCATTGTTCATCGCAGGCCGTTTCTTCGCCGGATACGGCGTCGGTTTGATTTCTGCGATGGGTAGGACCAATCGTCTAGAAAATGCAAACGCGTCCTAACGAGTTACTGTAGTTCCTCTCTATCAATCCGAGACCGCTCCCAAATGGATCCGTGGTACCATCGTAGGATGTTATCAACTCGCCATTACAATCGGCCTATTCCTCGCCGCCATCGTCAACAATGGAACAGGCGACCGAAATGACTCGGGCAGCTACCGAATCCCAGTCGCTCTACAATTTGCCTGGGCTATCATTCTCATCGGAGGCATGATCATGCTCCCGGAAACTCCTCGCTTCCATATCAAAAAGGGTCGACCCGAAAAGGCAGCAATCGCCCTTGCTCGCCTCCGACGACTCCCTGCTGATCATCCCGGCCTTGTTGAAGAACTTGCCGAAGTGCGCGCGAACCATGAGTACGAAATGTCGATTGGGAAAGCCAGCTATGCCGACTGCTTCAAGGGCACTATTCTCAAACGTCTCATTACGGGCTGTTGCTTGCAAGCTTTGCAACAATTGTCTGGAGTCAATTTTATTTTCTACTACGGCACCGCGTACTTTACTCGTGCTGGGTTCCAGGACCCTTTCATTATCCAGGTCATTACTAACAGTGTCAATGTGGTATGTGCAAGCTGTCTCCTCTCGCCCAGACCCAGGATCTGCAAAACTGACACATTCTGCTAGGCGAGCACATTCCCGGGTCTGTGGCTGGTTGAAAAAATGGGCCGGCGCCACCTCCTTCTCATGGGTGCCATCGGCATGACCGTATCGCAATTCATCGTCGCAATCACGGGCACTGTCGCCGGCACTACCGATCTCCCTGCCCAACGCGCCGCCATTGCCTTTGTCTGCATCTACATCTACTTCTTCGCCTCATCATGGGGTCCTGTCGCTTGGGTAAGAGAATCCTCCCCCTCCTCCCTGCTCGAGGCCTGCCAAACTATGCTCTCTCCTAAAATAGTCGACTAATGTATTTATTGTGTAGGTCGTAACCGGCGAACTCTTCCCTCTCAAAGTGCGCGCCAAAGCCCTCTCCATGACCACCGCGACCAACTGGATCTTCAACTGGGCCCTTGCGTTCTCCACCCCGTACCTCGTCGACGAAGAACACGCGAACTTGCAATCAAAAGTCTTCTTCATCTGGGGCGGCTTCTGCTGCATTGCCATTTTCTTCGTCTGGTTCATGATTTACGAGACAAAGAACTTGACGCTCGAGCAGGTCGACGAGCTGTACGAGATGGTCGATAAAGCGTGGTTGAGTAGGAAGTTTAGACCGCAGGTTAGTTTTAAGGATGCTGGGCAACAAAGAGGAACAGCAGACGGACACAGATTAAGCCTCAGGCAGATGAGCATCGCGCAGGAGGAGAGGAGGGCAAGTCAGGCTCAGGCGCAAGAACAGATCGAGCAGGCTGGAGAGAAGGGCGAATCGTTGCACCATAATTGATGCAACAAATTTTTTGACGGGGGAGGGAGAAACAAGAGGGATTTCTATGCCGGACTCATTGTTACGTTTTACGATTGGGACAATAGTCGGCGATAAGCAGAATCCATGACAAGGCTAGGATGAAGGGAAAACTTGGTAGGCTAATGGGACCAATTTTGAGCATTCCGTCTATATGGCACAAGTACGACGATTTCCCCAACAACTAGTCTGTCCTCCCAGCGCTAGCCAATATTTTGTTCATCGTGGCTCATTCGCCATCCTCCCTCCATACAAAGTTCTGTTCGATACCCTCAACCAACGGGCGCAACGCCATTCCGTAATCCCCACCGTTAGGCGTCCTCAAGAGCGTATGAATGTGGAACTTTGCTGGGTGTGTATTGTTCAAAAACACACCCGAGTGGTGATCAAACTCGACGAGAATCACGGGGCTCTGGATCCGGTAGTAGAACGGGTCGGGGTCCGCGAAGCCGCCGATCCAACTGAAATACGTTTCATGGAAGAATGTCGAGAGGTGCTTTAGTCGGATATCCCGTGCCGATTGTGGGAGATAGAGCAAGTACTGATTGAGGATCGCAAGGATGAGCGATTGTTGCTCGTTCGTCATGGAGCTGACGAGGATGCCTTCGTACGGCACGACGCGGTTATCTCGGTACGCGCCGCATAGGTGCCGCTGGTCGTCGTGGTTCCAGCGCCCATGGGGCATAGCGGGGTCTTTCATTTCTTTGTACGTTTGGGCTTTGGCCTGCTGGTCAGGACTGAGCGACTGCATGAGCTGAAGACCGAGTTTTTCTTCGGTCTGCAAGATTCGTGTCCCGGTATAGGCTCCATCGTCGATCTCGTTGGGTTCTGCGCCCGTGAACCATGGCGAGATGATGACTTGAGTACGGTAGAAGAATAGGTTCAGGCACAGGTGGTGGCCGTAAAAGCTATAGCCCCAAGGGGAAGTGGTGGAGGGATCGCCGAAGAGGACGAAGTTATAGGAGAACTCGTTCATGACAGAGGGGGATTTGACGAGTTGGCCGAGAAAGCCGTTGATACGCATGGCGGAGACAGCTTTGTCGTAGCCTTCGGGAGACAAGGAGACACGAAGAATGGACATGACGCTGTCGCGGACTTGGGGTGTGACTGAGTCGAGGCGAATGCCTTTGTCGCTAAGGAGGAATTCCGGGTTGGACCATGTTCGCCATTCGGGTGAGTCGATGTGGTAGGTGAGCTTAGATAGTTGGTCGGCGGTGAGTTGGGAGAGGAGTGTTTGGGTCGTTGAGACGATTTTGTTAATGGGAATGCCTTCGTCTTGTATTTGGAACAGGCCCGGTCGAACGATTCCTGAAGACAGAAGGAAAGAGGTGAGTTTGAGGAATTGGAGTAATTTTTATCAGAGACAACTTACCATCATTTGTCACACCTTTGAATGGCTCCTTCAAAAGTTTCATCCAGTGAAGATACAAGGCGTGGAGCCATGGGGGTACGCCTTTTTCTTTGAAAGCTTGGGCGTACACATGGGCATCCTGCTTTGCCATGGTGGTGAAGCGAGGAATGCTCAAGTCAGGCAGATATTGGCGATATTCGCTTTCGTTGGAAGCCGCCATATCTGTTCAATCTCGTGAGTTCTCTTCGCCAGTAGTGATCGCTGGGTCTGGAGAGTCCTAATGGTAGTCAGCCACCTCACCACACGTTTGGAACGCGCTCTCGCAAGTTCCTCCAGGAAAGAAGATGAGTTCTCCCTTGAAACAAGGCTTCTTAATGCAAAAGAATTCCTCGTTGAGCAACATCCAGCAGCTGTGAAAGCTGGACGAAGTTCCCACGAAAGGCAACATTGTGGGGCAGTGGTGGAATGATGGAAATGATTCCGATGAAGGAAAGAAGCTTTGAAACTTAGGGGAAAATCGGCAATTTTTTTCGGGTGAGAAGATGCGATATCACGTTTATTGTCACGTGCCACCTCCGTTTCGGGGCATTGATCTTCCGATCCGAGCACCGGCCTTGTCAGTCTTTGACTTGTCCCTCTTGCATGTGTCGAGACGCCCAGGCCAGACCAGATCGTTATTGTCATGGTAGAGCTATGTTGAGAAGAAAAGCTTCCTCCTTTCTCTTCAAGCGTGGGTACACCCTACCATTCTTGAAGCCCTAAATCTCAGCTTGGATTCTCAGGTCTAGTCCGCTTCGTGCCACGGTTCGACTCGTCCAAAGTTTTGATCGGACAGCCTCAAGATGACAATCTTGATGTCGGGATTGCTCTGCGTAAAGGTCAAGACATCCCCGTCAATATATTCTCCGGGTCCTCCGTTCTATTACCAGGCCAGGATACCGGAGCCAGCACCATTATCGATCGAGTCTTGTCTCCTCTGGCCGTAACCGAAGTTGGCACTATTCGATGCATTGGATTAAACGTATGGCAGCCTGCTACACTTGACCATCATATAGACGTCTTGGCTGACTGGAGAGCAGTATAAACAACACGCCGCTGAGGTCGGCATGTCTCTGCCAACCGTCCCCACTATCTTCATGTTTGTATCATTCGGCTTCATTCCGACAATCAATCTCTGATCTGCGGAAGGAAACCAAATACATCCTTGGGCGACCCCTGGCCCGCACCAACAATGCTACCGAAACTTACACAGCAGGAAGACTGCGGTGATTATGAATCCGAACTGACGGTTGTCATTGGTAAGACGGCGAAGAACGTCACCGAAGCGAACGCCATGGACTACGTCCTAGGCTATACCGCGTGCAATGACATTTCGAGTAGGACCAGTCAGTTCGCGCAGAGCCAATGGAGTTTCTCCAAGGGGTTCGACGGAGCCTGTCCCATCGGTCCGACCCTGGTTTCTCCCGCCCTGATTCCCGACCCATCGAAACTGCACGTCCGTGGTCTGAAGAATGGCCAGGTACTTCAGGATTGTGGTACAGACGATTTGATCTTTTCAGTTCCGAAACTGATCAGTTTCCTCTCCCAAAGTACGACACTGCCGGCGGGGACGGTGATCATCACCGGCACACCCGCCGGCGTAGGCATTGTGCGGAAACCCAAAGTCACGATTCAAGCGGGTGACGAGTTCGCCGTGGAGATTCTGCCCTACATTGGCACTTTGGTCAATACTTTTGAGAATGAGAAATGATATGTTGACCCAAATTAGAAAGATTTGGCGTGGCAATAGATTTTGGGCCTCTTTGCCAGCTGAAAACGACTTATACACGCCAAAACTTGGGTATATAGACAGAATCATGAGGACGGAAAAAAAAAAAAAAAAAATACATAGAGCAAAAAGGGTCGTGAAGCGATTAAACAGACCATTTACTCTCCCTTTACCACTTCCTCGATCGTCTCCAGTTTCAATTCCCCTTTCCTCCCCCAACCCCCTTGTCCACTCTGCACACTTGGCCGAAACTTCTCATACATCCCAAATGCCTTCTTACCCAGCTCATCCTCTCTCCCGCTCCACTTTTCAATCGCCGCCTCCATTGTGTTCTTCAGGCGCGCATAATTCTCCTCGTCTCCGAACTTCGCCTTCAAGGCGCCCTCGTTCCCTGGCTTTCGCTTTCCCAGTGCCAGCACTACACCGTCCTCCTTGGGCAGCAGGATCTTGAAGCCCATGACGGTTACTTCCCGCTCGGACTTCACTTGGTCCTGACGCCTCCGCTCGGCTTTCTCCTCTTTGGTGGTCGAGGAGGGTTCGATCGTGCCGATCGCACGACCCTTAGAGATGGCGCAGAACGTTGCGATGGCAGAACCGACAGCGATACTCGTCGGCCATGAGAGGTCCGGATGCAGTTTCTGGGCGACGCACGCAGACCAGAGTTGGAGGACAGGAGAGCGGTTGATGAGGATCGGCTTGGGCTTTGCGGATGCAGAGGCAGATGGAGAGACTACTTTGCTTGTCGTCTTGTCTGGTTTGGTGAGTCGGCTTTGTCTTTGTTTCTTCACTGGTGGTGATGGTTGAGGCTGTGCTTGGGCTTCTAGCAGTTTGCGTTTGCGTTTGCGAATGCGAGGCTGGGGGTCTTTCTTTATCTCTGTTATTGTGGTTGGCCGCAGAGTGTCGGTGGCTTTGAGTCTCGAGGTATCCAGCTTCTTGTTCATGGATTTTGGACCTGATGCGCCCTTTGGTTCCGGGTTCGTTTTCGAATCCACATTCTCAAAATCCTCCAAGTGAGACTGTTTTGCTTTGCTTCTTGTGGAGACGACCATTGTGGCGGTGGTTGTGGGAAATGCATCGACGAGGTCCGTGCCCTGGTTAAATGGCGACTCAATAAGTGATTTTCACTAGTTGAACCCTTTGACTTCTTCTTTCATGAGGGTTGAAATAAAGGTACGATGCTGCCTGCAAACACGTCGCAGGGCGGAATTGATACAATTTCGTCCATCAGGAAGGGAGCGCTTAGCATGACGTCAGATTAGTCTTCCCTGGGGTTTTCCTTTGGCCACACTCATAGTCACACCATGCTTCCTCCACGAACGTAAGCCAGCTTGGCTAAGATGTAGAGTACCAACGAGTAAGTTAAAAGAATAGTAGCCCAGTTCCTTAATACCTCAACTCCCAAGGGCTACCATTATCCTTACGCTGTCAAAGATCCAGCTTAATCCCTTGTAAAAGCAGAAAGAAACAATCCAACAGATATGAGAAAATGCCTAACAAGGCCGAGTCTTAACTTTACCCTCCTCAAAATACCTGCATTTTCCATCGGCGTCTTTGGTACCAGTCTTCAGGATTGCTTCGCCGAAGTCGGGAGAATTGTTGTTGATGCTACATGAGATACAAGTTAGCAGAAGTCTAGAGGAGAGATAAAGAACAGTCAAAGGACTTACCAAGGTGCGCTCGGGCACTGTCTGCATTTCATTCCCAGAGGCTTCAATCGGTTGTTATACAAGGCTCCCAGGTTGGATGTGCCCGGGTAGGTAAGTTTGCCGTTCGTCATCTCTCCCGTGCATTGGGCGCCGTAGTAGAATTTGCACTGCCAGCCATTGGGAGGCTAATCCAGAATCGAAGGTCAGCGCCAGGAACTTACATTAGAACAAAGGCCACGAAGTCAGAATAGGAGAGATGGTTGAACTTACGCCGACAGACGTGCCAGCATCCCAAGGGAAGTCCATACAAGCCATATCTTTGAGCGCTATCCAGTCACATTTACCTTGCCAGTTTGTCTGATCGCAGACATACACGCCAGCAGGAGGAGTGCGTTTTTGTATTTCCACCTCTTCTGCTGGGTTGGCAAAATCTGGGTAATCTGGGGGGAGTACCGGGGTGTCCTCAGCGGTAGGAAGGCTGCCCATGTCCTCTTCCTGGGCAGCGACAATGCCGGCGAATACCGCCTGGACAATAGGTGAGAGAATGAATGAGAACGCGTGCATTCTTCAATGTGGAGAATTCAATTGAGGGTCGACACAGATCGTTTCGTGTGTGGATAAATTGATCCAAGGGGAAAGAATATGTGAAGGTCGATCGATAGATTTGGAGAGATCATTTTATGACGAGAACACCATCTTTATAGTTGCAAATAGACAAAGACATTTCCGCTATGGACACCCGAAAAGAGGATATCGTGGCTTGACGATGGTTGGTTGCGGAGTCCTGTTGTCCTTTGTCTCATGTCCCGTTGACGAAGAGGACATGTCTCAGCGATGCGGTCTGAGACTCTACGAGCAGGAGAGTCGACCTGAGCTTGCTGAGAAGGAGGAACGTCGTCAAGAACAAGAATTCTTATACTATTTGGCCGGAGTTGTCCTCGCACAGATGAACTCTTTCGTCAGCTTGATTCTGGTGTACGTAGACGTGGAAGGAGTAGTCCCATATGATACGCTGATATAACAAAGGAAGTCAGGAATATGATCACCTCCATTCCGCTCAAAGATATTCATGCACACCAATTAGAGACAAGGCATGGTTCTCCGCTCTGTTTCAAATTCATGAAAATCCAAGAATGGCGACAGCTCAGAGTTGAGAATAAATGGACAAAATGAAAGTTGACCGGAAACCCTCTTTTAACGGGCACCATGGGCAAGATTTTTCGGATTGATCGGTACGAATCAGATGTAATGAGCCATGAGTGACCATACGAGGTTTCCTTGTAGTTTCATCAACCCTTGCCATATTTGGCGTGTGAAGGTTCGATACTCATTCAACATGCGAGCAAAGCTCTCCTTGATGATAATATTCAGGACAGGTGTCCACAGAGATAAGAAACCGAATCATCTGGATTGTATTCTCGCATTGGCTGTTATATTTTCTTATTGACCTGTGATGCAAAACAAGGCTGAGAGGATTATTGGCGCATCCGTTACGGCACAATCTTACACTGGCTGTGTTAAGCATCAATATTCCGCTATCCTACTGATTTGGCCACGTAAATCCTCAACAACCTATTCATATTTGTAGGGGACGGTTGGAATTACCGGCTCTTGCACTTTTCGGCCAACATCATGACAATATTATAGCTTGCAATCCGGAGCACTCTCGAAAACAATGAGACGTCCTTGTTCGCCTTTGCTCACCCAATCTCACCATGGAAAAGCTCTCACCATTGTCAAAGAAGAGACAACATACTTCCGAGCATGCATTGAGGCGTCGTCTGCCAAACATATGCTCGAAGTCGCTCCGCAAACCTCGTCCTTGCCGGTTTATCTGCTTGCATTCGCCAACCACAACGGAGGATGACCTATGTACAAGATGCCAGAGTATCGAATTCAATGCTGTCTACAGCCTTGTCCCAAAAAGTTGGAGTAGCCGGGCTAATATCACGCCTCGGAGGGTTCCTGGTCAATCCCTCGCAATCCACGGTTGCACAGAAGGAATTCATCCTGGTGCATCCCGTCGACTCACATAGAGGCCGCTGCCAGAGCAAGGCTGAGATCCCCCCTTTGGAAGTCAACCTGGTACATCTGGTATGATGTCAATTTAAATTTGTGATAGATATTGAGAAATCATCTGCTCCTTGTCGCATCATTTACGAGTACATGGCTCCTATGAGATTTGTAAAGAAGGACGAAGAGATAATGCTGCTCTAATAATGGTGAAATGGTGCTGTGCATTACATAAGCGGACTTCGCGTTATCGATGCCAAGACTTTGGAGGGAAGCACGTACCTACGTACTTCTATCATTTGATACTTCGTCATCCTTCGTCGTTAGACTTTCCATTCTATCCCGGCGGTCATTCTGCTCTTCATGGATACCAGGGTCCCTTGAACAACATATACCTATCCACCACACCAGGGAGACCTTCGTCACCAGTGTCCACAAGATGGACGAGACCTCTTCTCATCGGACAACAGGCACGCGACCCAATTTCCTTGTCATTGTGGCTGACGACTTGGGCTTTTCAGACGTCGGGGCCTTTGGAGGAGAAATCAAAACCCCCAACATTGATGGCCTGGCATATGATGGAGTCAGGCTCACCGACTTTCATTCCGCGGCAGCCTGCTCTCCCACACGGTCCATGCTGCTGAGTGGCACAGACAACCGTAAGTACCGTTCTTACCACTGGCATTCTTGCTTGGTAAACGTGTTCTCAACCCTTTTTGCAGATATTGCCGGCCTTGGGACCATGGTTGAGACGATCAAAGAATTCCAGAAAGGTCAACCCGGCTACGAAGGATACCTGAACGATCGCGTGGCGGTACTGCCCGAACTCCTCCGAGACGGCGGTTATCTGACTCTGATGTCTGGGAAATGGCATCTCGGATTGACGCCCGACCGCTATCCGTCTCGGAGGGGTTTTGATCGCTCTTTTGCCTTGCTACCGGTACGAGAAGCTCCAATGTCGGCCAGGAATCCACTGACACACACCTATAGGGTGCTGCCAATCACTACGGCTGGGAGCCGCAATTCGACGAAAAACCCCCGGGAATCCTCGGCCGCAACGGAGCCTTCTACGTAGAGGGTGACACGGTGGTTGCCCTCTCAGATTTAGGATCAAACTTCTATTCCTCCGAATTCTTCGCGACCAAGCTTCTGCAGTATCTTGGGGAGCGAAACGGCAAGCAAAAGCGGCAACCGTTTTTTGCCTATCTTCCCTTTTCTGCCCCGCACTGGCCGTTACAAGCCCCGGAAGAAGATTGTCGGAATTATCGAGGTGTATATGACGACGGTCCAGATGCGTTGAGACAGAAGCGCCTAGCTCGACTGAAGGACCTCGGCATTATTCCCCCGTACACGATCCCTCATGAGGTAATCACTCCTGCTGTCGACCGCCCTCTCACTCGAGAATGGAATACGTTGACCGAGGCGGAAAAGAAATTTTCGTCCAGAACGATGGAGACCTTTGCCGGGATGGTCCAGAATATGGACGCGAATATCGGACGGGTCGTCTCGTACCTTCGGTCGACCAACGAACTCGACAACACCATGATTCTCTTCATGTCGGATAACGGAGCCGAAGGGTTGTTGTTGGAAGCCTACCCTGTGGTGACCGAGAATATCTTCGACTACATTGATCGATACTATGATAATAGTTTAGACAACATAGGTCGGGGCAATAGCTACGTTTGGTATGGCCCTCGTTGGGCTTCCGCATCGACGGCTCCTTCTCGACTCTATAAATCTTTCTCCTCCGAAGGTGGGATTCGAGTGCCGTTTATCATGAGGTACCCACCATTTACCTCATCTCAAGCGGGGAAAATTGATCCTGCATTCTGCACAGTCATGGATATTGCACCGACCTTGCTAGATATGGCCGGAGTCCAACATCCAGGAACCTCCTATAAAGGTCGGTCCGTCGTCCCTATGCGAGGGAAGTCGTGGGTGCCATATTTTTCCTCGTCGGATCACAAGTCCATTCATGACGAAGACTCGGTGACGGGATGGGAGCTCTTTGATCGGCAAGCCCTTCGCAAAGGCAAATGGAAGGCAATCATGATCCCAGAACCGTATGGACCAGGAAAATGGCAACTCTATGATCTGGATGCGGATCCGGGAGAAACCCAGGATTTGGGATCGAGGGAGCCCCACAAGCTGCAAGAACTTCTCCGGCACTGGGATGAGTACGTCAAAGACGTGGGAGTTGTGGGCGCAGCACCGCAGTATGGAGTGCTTCGGATCGATGACTGAGTACTCTAGCTCCGGACGACGACAAACTTCAGCCATGAGCGCTCCAACCCAGCTCATCATCAATATCAGGATGGAAATTTGGCCACGGTCTCGTTCATGTCCAAAAGGTACAAGTTTGCGGGTGGTCAGACAAGATATAGACGAGCAAGAAGTAGCACCCGGCCTTAACGAAATGCGGGTGTGGTGAACAATTTCCCGAATCGAATCAGGAGACTTTTGTGAGGGGTAATTTTTGGACGGTGTGGCTTGGGCAACCCCACGTTCCGTTTTCGGCTTTGGGTCTTGATTCTTGATGGGAAAATTGAGGTGTGAAAAGGTAGGACGATGATTGAATCGACTAAGATTTTGCTGACTGCGGTCTTTCGCATTTTGAGGTTTGCGCCGACCATCGGTCCCCTACTCGAAAAGATTTGTCGTAAGCAGATTGTGGACTGGTCGAGCTGCAAGGTGTACTGCCACATATCCCAACGGCCAGGTATAATAATAGACGATGGAAAGGCGGTCCATGTTCAATGCCTCCTCTGCACCGCAGTTGCCGGATTTCGAAATAATCGGGTCTACGGGAGAATGGCCGAATCTTCCGCTCCCACTTTTCAGGCCAAATGGTTGAGCCGTGATATATGCAAAGTTCTGTTACAAGGCCGGAGGGACAAATAGGGGAACACCAAGCGTGAGATTTTCTTGCGAAAGCTTGTTGCACCCCAATTGGTCTTGAAGTTAGCTGTCACATCACGAATCCGTAATGATTTCAGCACATAACAGCACACAGGGCTGATGGGGTAGCGATATTTCAAAAGCCAGATCCGGCCAATCCATCAAGTTCAACCTCTTGTCCTGTTCCGGCCATGTCGACGGAACTCAGTTGGACAGTTTCCCGTGTGAGCACTCGAGCTTGCGGACGCCACGCCCCACCGTCTCGGGAGGGACCCAACTCAAGCTCGGATCTCGACGCGTACTACCAATACCTTAGTAGCCATCCGGTGCTGAGAGTTGCTAACATGGCGTCAGGGACGGGGTCGCCGATGCATCGCACCATGTCGCTAGATTATGGCGTGGTGTTGGAGGGCGAGGAAGGGGATCCAGGAGAGAAGCGACGACTGCCTCGCGACGACTTCTTCGTACAACGAGGCACCACGTATCACCCATCTCTGGAGGAGCCCCAGCACAACGAACCCTGTGAGGCCGCTGTTGGTCCATTTGGACGGTAACGAGGCGGTGATTGAGGGGAAGGAAGTGTTGCCGGAGTATTAGTCGGATAAAAATCGAAATATCTGTAAGCAGATATTAGGGAGATAGGCGATAGCGAGCTTGGCTCCAGAATTGGGGATTTTGGGTAAGTAGTGGCTTTTTCCGAGCGAGGCAGGCCAACCAAGCGATGCATCATTGGACTGGAGTCGGATACCAAAAACAGCAGACGAATATTCATTAATAATTGAACGTCACGTGCGCCGCAACCTGGCGAGCGAATCGTCGCACCATCTCAAAAAAGTATTTATCCCTCTCCAACACCATCCCGCCTTTTCTTTGCTCTCTTCAATTCTCTCCCGTCACCACTCACCTCCGACCCCGTCTGCCTCCTTCGTTACGTGCGATCACCCCTCCGACTTTCGTCCACCGGCCTCAAACTCCTCCCCACTTCCGCAGTGTCGAAGACTTATCTTCTTAACCCCAATTTTCATCCCAGACCCAGATCCTTGCAGACATGGCGGTGAGATCGGCATTTGATCCCAAGGACATGGTGAGCAGAATCTCTTTGCTCCGGGCATGCGGAAAACGCCACGGTTTGCTGACGGCCATCTCTCACCCAGATCTTCCGACACCTTGGTCCAACTGGATTGAAGGTCTCGGTTTTCTCACTGGGTACAACCAACTAACGTCCCCGACGGTGCGCCATTGATCGACCTGGAACTGACGAGTTGGCGCAAACAGGCGGTTGGCTCACATACGGCGGCACTCAGAAAGGCACCATTGTCAAGGAGTGAGTCATGTTCTCTGCTTGCCAAATTCTTCATGGTTTGCTCATTTTCTCTTCCAGATGCATGCAAGCGGCTTGGGACCATGGCATCAATTTCTTCGACACCGCCGAAGTCAGTTGGATCTCCTGGATCCGCAAATAATTTTCAGAATGCTGATAACACATTCCAGACATACGCCGACGGTCAATCCGAAATCGAGATGGGCAACGCTCTCAAGGAACTTGACTGGCCACGAGACGAATACGTTCTCTCCACCAAGATTTTCTTTGGCACCGGTCGAAAAGAACCCAACACCCGCGGTCTCTCTCGAAAGCACGTCGTTGAAGGCCTCAAGAGTTCCTTGGAACGTCTCCAACAACCGTATGTCGACATTGTTTTCGCTCATCGACCCGACTATGCCACTCCAATGAAGGAAATCGTCGAGGGTTTCACCCAAGTCATTCGCAACCTCAATTTGGCATACTATTGGGGCACTTCCGAATGGTCTGCCGCCCAGATCACCGAGGCAACTCTCATCGCTGAGAAGTACCATCTGATCGCCCCCATTGCCGAACAACCGCAATACAACGCTTTCCACCGTCAACGCTTCGAAGTCGAATACGCTCCCTTGTACCAAGAATACAAATACGGCACCACTATCTGGTCACCTTTGGCATCCGGCATCTTGACAGGCAAATACAACAACGGCATTCCCGAAGGATCACGCTTCAGCAACCACAAAGACTTCTTCAACACCGCTATCGCGATCCTGCAGCAGCCTGAAGGGAAAGCCAAGATCGAGAAGGTGAAGGAATTGACCAAGATTGCCGAACGCCTCGGAGGCAATGTCTCACAACTCGCACTGGCGTGGTGTGCCAAAAACGAAAACGTCAGCACGGTCATCCTGGGCGCCACCAAGGTCGAACAGATCATCGATAACTGTAAAGCTCTCAAGTTGATCGACAAATTGGACGACAAGACCATGCAAGAAATCGAGAAGATTCTCGACAACAAGCCTGCAATGCCAGCGACCTTTGGGAGATCGAGGTAGGCGGGCATTCTCATTGACCCGTATCTTTCACTCTTTGCTGGCAGGTATCGTCCGTCAGTGACGTGCCGAGAAGGCCATAATCTAGCCAGTCCAGTCAGTACAGGAGCTGATCGCACGTACATAGACGCGAGTGGCGCCAGAGGTCAGCCAAGCTGTAGCTAAGACAGGATGGGACAAAGAGAGGTAGAATCAGACAGGGAGATATTGAAAAGACTCATGAATATTTGTCCGATGGAGATTGGCCACCTCCACCTTTTCACGACCATCCTGTAGGTCGACACCGCGTCTCACTGCCCATTGTTTGTCTTTATTCCCAGTCTTCTTTCGCATCTCGTGTTTTTCCCTTTTCCTCCTTCTCACATCAGGCTTACATGCTCTGCCTGTTTGAACTATAGACTGTGACGCAATCTCGTTGGTCATGCCAGAAGATTTCTTCATCAAACAGAACTAATTGTCAGTGGTCGTCTTTCCTGGGAACTGGCCGACGTATGGGTAACAGGCTAGGACCAGATTTAGGTATTCGCATATCGACGGGTGGAAGGCTGACGACTCGTTCCCCTTCGTTCACTCGGCAGCAAGGACGGTGGATGTGATATGTGGTGGCGCCAATGCTTGTAAAGGCCCTCGGAGGCATTATACGCTACGTACATGCTTCGAACCTATATACTCTGATGGTCTCTTGGACCGCTTCGAAATAGGACAAGTCCGTAGTAAAATCATGTGGATGGATGACAGATGGATGTCACGCGTCACGTACTTGTTACGCCGTTGTAGCGGCGAGGAGATGATGTATGAGCTAACTAGAACCATCTGCTGGAGGTGGCCGCTTTTACTTATATGCTCCGTAAACGAATGGAGGCTAGCGTATGACAGAGTCCTTGGCAGAAATCCACATTGGCCTGGTTGGGACTAGCCCACGAGAACGCTTCGACTACTTCTTCGACCCCTATACCCCACGCGACCCTCTCAGGAACCATGTACGGATAGACAACAACAACAGCACCCACTATTTCAGTCAACCTGTGCCGTTGTAGCGTTCCCTACTTCCTCTTCTTCCTTCTCCTGTTCCACATGTGACAATGGACCTGTGAAATATCCCAAGGCGCTAGTAACTGAGAATAACATGCCCTCACTTAGTTAGCTACCAATACAATTCCACTCGTTGTTCTACAGACCTAATCCAAGGCGGTGGACCTGCCGCATGTGCAGGGGCCTGCTACAGGGGAAAGAAGCGGCGAGTTCAAAGATGCAAGGTCTTGTGATGCGTCCAGGGACATTTGCCGACGACAGATTATGTCAGTATTCGACCCTACTCGAAAAGACCACGGGGCCATGCCTCATTCCTGGTACGACGAACACATGTTCTGTCGTTGTCAGCACCACTCCGAGTCTCGTATATCGTACAGCTCAACTCTTGCATTTTGATCATGGGAGAGATCGGGAGAACGGTCAATTCCAACTGGGTCAGCCTTCAGTCCTGGACCACGGCAATGCAGCAATAACGGGTTTGACGTTGGACGACTACTGAGACGACGAGACTCGTCCGTGTCAACGAGGCGAGATGGGATGAACCGGCGTCCGAGTACCCCGTTGACCCGTTGCCCTAGCTACTTTGGTTAGCACGCCGGATCTAGGAGAATAGAGGCGCCGTAAGGGATCCGGGACAAGTCACCTTACAGTAGTTTGATTCCACTCAATCGTAATTTTTCTCACGCATTGAGAACTGATTGTCCAACGTTCATCCTCCACAAAATTCAATAATAATAAGCCTACGGTATCGGTAAGTGGGACGAAATCCTCCATCGAGAAAATATGTGATCAAATTAAAATGGGTGGCAAAATCGAACGAGAACGTTTGAGAAACGCCTATCGAGATTATATCAAAACTACAGTCCCGGAGTTTCACATGGCTCCTGATAAGGCTCTCGAAGATGGAGCAACGTGCTTTCTCAGCCATGGCAGTGGAGCCTCCCACTTTCCCCCTGGAAAGAAGCGTACCTGCATGGATCTCACACGCCGTCCCACAGTTGGGGAACAAAGAAAAGACCTCATGAAGCTGCAGTGCACGTATTTAATCGACAGCCTGCGGAAACAACGCCAACCGTGTCCTGGACATGAATGTGTTTACATTCGAATTCACTTTTGAATGCCGGCATTGACTAACACGCAGAGGGGCACTCGTAGATTTAGATGATACTTATGATTCGGAACAGAAGCAGTCTCACGATTCATTGGAAGATCTGGTATATCATCCCAGTGGCACATCACCGGCCGAGACCAGTTCAGACCTGTCAAAAGAGGAATGGTGGCCCGACGACGCAGTTGATACCATCTCATAAGAAAAAGGAAAACTCGACGATATCTGTTGCAAGTTCGCCAAGGGGCGAAGCGGAAAAAGTCATTCACGAGGACGTAACACCAAAAATAGAGAAGGATCCTCCCAAAACTTTAGGGTTCAGGAAATCGCTTCTGCCCCCTACCGCGATGCCCCAGATACCATAAGGTATATGAACAATGGCAATTTAACTTTCTACAACACGAAGCTGACACGCTAGAAGCTGTCTAAGTCGATGCAGTCCAGCAGTTTGAGCAACACCCAGTGTTCCGAATAGGCGGTCCAAATGGGATGGACCGCCTGGACCGCCTGCTTAATTTTGGACTGGCTGGAGCATTACGTTTACCCATCCAGGGCACCTAGACTCAATGGAGCTAGGCCGGACAACCCTCTTGCCTTACCTATGATCGAACACTAGTAAGGTCCCTCAATTCTATCGTGGTATTTCATCGGATCCGGTCTGTAGACCACCCCAGACAAGCCCTTACTGATCACACTCGAGATGGTTCGCAACGGAGCGTTAACGAACGAGCCTCGATGTCGACATGGTCCACGGATGGGATCCGATGGGTCGTGGTATTCCATCGGATCCAGTCTGTGGACCACCCAGACAAGCCCTACTGATCAAACTCAAGTATGGAGCGTTAACGACGAGCCTCGATATCGACATGACCCATGAATCCGACCCCACGTTATACCACCGCCATCGGATCCAATCCGTGGACTATGTGGCCAGGTAGGGCCGAGAACAGTGTATAGCGCTGGCCTCGATAATCTAGATGGTCCTTGGATCGGATCCCATGATATACTGTTGAACAGTATATGGCAACATGTTAGCTGTGATACTGGAATACTCAGCTGGACAAAGGATCTCGCCTATGAGCTGAACGCGGAGACGTCGAAAGGCTGTGCCAAACGGCTCGAACTTTCTCTCAACTCCGGCTTCGCGAAGCACGCTAGATTCTTCCAAGAGTGTATTGATCTTGACGTCGTCATTAGGAACAACGAAGGAAAAAAGGCCGCAACGGTCCTGATTGCGCTGGTCGGCAGGAGGTTGGCATACGCGGTGAATCGTTGCCTTGTAATAGCCGCCAGTCCACCATTCCATCATTTCACCAGCGTTGACGACTATCGCGCCAGGAACGTATGGAACCCATTGCCACTTTCCCGTGAAATGGTCCATTAGCTGTAGGGAAGCCATCGGCTGACTAAACAACATGGTTATTGAACCAAAGTCACAGTGGCCTTTAAGCCAAACTCCACCAGTTTTTTCCATGTCTTCGGCCTTATGACTGTGAAAGTACATCATGTACCGGAACCAGGAATCATCATGAACCTCATACTTATGGAGATAGACGAAGAAATCCTCCGGTAGGTCAAGCGAGATGGCAAAGAGTGTCAATAGCCGAAACAAGATCACTTTGTGGACATGTTCGTTTAATTCCTGAATCTCGTCTTTGAAAGGGGTGAAGGTCGAAGGATGTTCTCGCAGAGTGAGATCCCGATTCCAGTTGTACTGCTCAATCTGATCCTTAACGCCCTGATCGATTTGCCAGTAGTTGCGGAGTTTGAAGCCTTGGTAGCTGCCTTCCTGTTTCATCTTCCCTTCGAGGCGCTGCTTTTCCTCTAAGGGTGTTTTTGTGAGCACATGGTAGCCAATATCCACTTGCCGGTCGATCTGCTCAATGGAAATGCCGTGGTTAACCACAACGAAGGAACCTTGGGTTCTCATGGCGTGTTTCAGCTCCTCAGCGAGCTTCTTGCGGGCGTCTGGCCCATTCTCATAGGTTGATAGGTCTAGTGTGACCAGTTTCGCATATTCGAGAGGTTCGGACGTAGGCTTGACCGGTACAAAGTGCTCCAATTCAGGCTTGGTCACTGTGGATGGCATCTTGCTGATAAGATCAGAGATCTCTGGAATTTGGATGACTCAACGAGTCCAAGGACTCCAGATTCTTTTTCTTGGACGATGTGTTCACAGAGGGTGAAGGCCGGTGTTGCGTATGAGCATGGTCTTTTATCGACACGATGCGATTTGCGATTCTCTGAATCTATGGGGCGCTGGTGGAGTAATTTGCGTCTTCGGAGCGGGGAGAGCACCAAAACGTGCGAGGGATCGCGACCACGGCGCGAAACCCACTCTCAAATTCGGGCACACACAACAACCGATCGCTCTCCGGTCTCGCAATTGAGGTAATTCGGCTTCTGCACCATCCCATGAGAGTAGCTAGGGCGAGCGGCCTTCTCTTTGTCCGTGAACTGAAAAGCTCGAGGGTTTTTGGTAGCCTGTTCGTCCGAAATCGTTCCTCAGGATTCGCTAAGTCTGTCGAGAAAGCATCGCATGGACCGGGTTCACTTGGAAGATCAGGCTGTGGAGTCTTCGAACCAAAGGCGAAACTCGCACAACTGCCAATCTAGAGAACGGGATCATGGGAAAATACAGCGACATTATATCGCCGACGCACATCTCTGTTTCACTGCCTCCGAATAACGGGGTAACATGCATGTCTTCTGCAATAATTTTACATGTTCTCGGTAAGAGGGTACAGCAGCTTCTTTTAATGAACGGCAGTTGTTTCCGAGAGTATGAAACATAGTCGCCAGTCATACAAAAGAAAACCCTCGTGGGTTGTTTTCACTTTCCAAGTCCCCATACACGACGAATAGTATCTATGAGTTGCGGAGTGTCTTTGGCTCTCTCATAATTCGCTAGAGACAGGAATTTGGCATCTAGTTCGTCACTGGAATTCTTTTAGTTCTCTTACATGAAAATAGAGCTCCTAAAGACGTCGTTACCGTGTGAGTAGTTGCTCGGGATCATGTTTCCACTGTCTCCGTGCATACATCGCCAAATATTTTCTTTACAATCGTCTTATCCGGGACCATGACGACTTGCTTTTCAAATGCCCTGTAGGCTCTAGATTGGAGAGATCCTTCCGTGAAATCGGTATCATTGCTTGGTTGATTTTTGCTGTCAGTACGAGCACGAAACCATTGGAAGGCTTGGCTTGATGCAGAGCCTTTGCTTCCTTGCTGAGGCTCAAAATACCGATGGCTGTTTTATATGTCCGCGTAGTCACTGATTCAATGTCATCGACTGCGACGTTATGTTCCTTCACTAGCTTTATCGATACATCTACCGAAGGATACGAATGCCGGCGCGAGGCATGTCATTTAAAGCGAGATCCGAGGACAGACCATCTCGCCGCCGGATCTCGATCAATTGCTTGTGGGTTGGTGCTTTCTGATACGAGTGTCGCTCTCATCCACATCTGCCTTCGGGGATGTTATATGGACCAAGCAACAATCCTCAAGCTAGATAGGCGGAGATTATGCCATCAAAGCATTCTTTTCCCGTATCGACTTTCTTGCAATGCGTTGTATCAAGCAAAAAGTGCCAAAGTCCTGCACCCTGGGTGCCTGCAGTTCCGACGGCAGAAACTAATGTGGCTGCGTCATGCTTTAGGAGTAGCTGGCTGTGGCAGCAGCGCCTATCACACCGGCTGTAGCGGTTGTATGAAATATCTGCGACGGATGTTGGTGGACGTTAACAGACGTGGGTAAAATATTTGGCATCGAATTATGGCTTTCCTATTGCCTTACCTGATGCATCATGCTCCTGTTGTGGAGGTCGTCTAGTCCTACCACATGCGAACATGCACCATTTACCAGAGCGGCGAAAGCAGAAGTGGTCATCATTTCTTGGAAGTCCACAAGCTGACATGGTCCGTTCGGAGGACCATGGCTTTGATGGCACATGTTCCCCGCCAGCAGCCGAGCCAGTCAATAAAATTTCCTCCGTCCGCTCTACAAGCTTCGCTGGCGACTCGTCGTAGGTTAGTCTTGGTTTATAGGTTCGAGAGCGAGCCTGACCCATTAATCATGTCGCTTTGAGGTACAGCTCCCCACGGGCGAAATCGGAGCTACAGCGTACCAGCCGACGGCAAGCTGGAGTTCGCCCACTGGTGCATGAAAAGTTGAGGTAAGGTTTGTTCCCCTAACGATCTATCGAACCCAGTTAGAGCACCTACAATTGAGCCTTGGGCCCACTTACTGTGCTCACATCTCACGTATTACACACTGTACCCCATAGAGTGGGAAGGTTTGCCAGACAAACCCCGGGACGGGTTGTAGAACACGGACACAAATTTCACGGTTTATAACCCAGTTATCCTGCAGTGTCCCCATGGCTGTGGTCCAAAGGGCTATCGTCTAACCACTATTCACCCAACCATGGCCTCAGCCAACACCGTTACCGAGAATGGCTCTGCCAAGAAGCCGTGGCGGTCAGCCGCAGCAATACTCCGCGAAATGCTGAGTGACCCAGAAAAGATAGTAGTCTGTCCAGGTGTCTATGATGGCTATACGGCTCGCATTGCACTCGACATCGGATTCGATGCGCTCTACATGACTGGAGCTGGGACTGCAGCCTGCCGTCTAGGAGCAGCTGACCTTGGTATCATCAACATGACAGAAATGGCTGCGAATGCAAGCATGATTGCGGGTCTGGACTCCAGAGTCCCTGTGATCGCCGACGCTGATACTGGATTCGGCTCGTCACTGTCGGTGGCTCGGACGGTCAAAACTTACATTGAAGGAAATGTTGCAGCACTCCACATCGAAGATCAGGCGTTTATGAAGCGGTGCGGCCACCTCCGCAACAAAGAGTTAGTATCATTAGATACCTACTTAACTCGAATTCGTGCGACGAGCATGGCCCGAGAAGCATCTGGTCGGGACATTGTCATTATTGCACGAACCGATTCTCTGCAGTCTCTTGGTTTTGATGAGGCTATCCGGAGACTGAAGGGAGCTCACGAAGCAGGAGCTGACGTAGCATTCTTCGAAGGCCTTTTGTCAAAGGAACAAGCTAGAGATGCAGTTAAAGCGCTGGCGCCAATACCGTGCCTTCTTAATATTGTCCATGGCGGAGTGACGCCTGCAGTCACCGCGCAGGAAGCAAAAGAAATGGGGTTCAAAATTGTCATCTGGCCCATCCTGTCATTATCGGAGGTATACAATTCGACACGTCGCGCAATGAAGGAGCTGCGTGACATGGGTTATGTAATGGAGAGGGAAGACAAAGCTGGTGGTATCTACGATGTGTTCGGCGTCCGTGGGATCAATGAGTGCGCAGAGTTCGATGCTGCTGCCGGAGGAGCTACTCTCCAGGGCGGGTTTTGAAGCTACTTGAATTCGACCGCATCATTTCAGTTTAGACAGCCTATCTGAAGGCCAGATAGAATGACTGCATAGGGCTACTTGATTTGTTGCAGCTTCATTCCTGAGATCTTTTTAGTGATGCCGTTCTTTCAGAATCGGGAATGAGATGAATCTACATCCATATGCCAAAACATATCTCAGAGGATTGATCCTCTGTCAATCAGAGTACGCCACCACGGCACAGTCTGACAGGCGGTTGTTACAGGTTTGTAACCAGGAGAGAGAAGTGTTGGCTGGTACTCAACGTCTACATAGAAGTCAATATCCTATAGACGGTAGAAGAGGAGGATAGGGTTAAAATATCGATAATAAGTGGCGTATGCTTGTATGACAGTATCCTTTTGCATAAATCCTCAATGTTTCGGAATGCATCTAGATATCTTCCTGACATAAATTCCAGCTGACCACTTGGTGAGGCTGCGCCCAAACCGGCTGCTAGTTCCGGTGTGTCCGTTTGTACGTTGCGAGAGGCATTGATAGCTGTCATTGCAAACTTGTTTTCGTTGGGACCATTGTGCATTACATAAATTCCGTCTTTGGACATTCCTTCAGTCTTGTCTTTGAAGTCCATATAAACCGGAGTATGGACGCCGCAGGGGTTGTAGGCAAAGAATTTTAAGTCGCGCTCTTTATTTCCATTATGCATAACTGCCCATACCGTGGGCATTGTGAGCTCCAGCGCTTGAAGTGTAGAACATAGTGCCTCCACCGTGCCATGGGATCGCATTCGTGAGCTGGAAGCCATTGCGGCGGCCACTCAACGTTCATTACCATGACATTGATGGTAATCCACTTCATTCATGAAATCTTTGACCTGCTGGCTGTCTCTAACGTCCAACGTGGTAGTCCGCACTCGGATACCGGTGTTGATGGCTTGGCAAAGTCTTTCTGTCTCATTCGATTCTTCTTCTTCCATGGCCACCAGGCTTATTGTCTCCGCAGAGGCCTGGGTCAAGAACGGAGCGCAAACCCGCCCGATACCATGCCCAACACCCGCGATCACAACGTTCTTTGCCGCTTAAGGATTTTGCTAAATCTTTGTTGACACGTGGATTTGTAGCGTAGTAGCAGCCATGTTCTTACCCCGAAAACCTTCGTTTGTGCCTTGGTCGAAATTCTCTTGATGACGTGTAAATCTCGCCGGATACGATGACTGCAAATTCTGCAGGCACGTATAAAGAAATCAGTCCAGATTCCTTTCTCCCCAGGCGTCGGAAGATACGTGCGGAGATTCTGCAAGCTCTTGTGTGCACACACCCCCACCTATTTCGCGCCCGGGGTTAATATTCCTCTACCCCACATGCAAGGGTCTACCACAATAGCACGTAGTGTTCTCAGTTATTCAAGCCAAGTTAACTTATTCAAGTTAGCCTTATTCTAGTCTAGTCAAGGAGTTAACTAGGTTAGTCGAATAAGTTAACCGAGGGACTAGCAGCTCAATATTTTAAAAAAAAGGACCCCTCAATCCTATCGGTTCGACTGAAAGTCGGGTGTTTTACCACTCTGTTAACGTCCTTGATAGGTCAACCACGATTTTAGAGGTAAATTTGGCGGAATAAAATATAAACTTTTAGTTTTTTAATTTGGGATTTATCTGGTTGTGGCTTGACGTTGTACGGCACGTGTTTACGCCAAGACCGTCGCGTCGACTAATCACGTGAGCATGTGGCTTGGCACTATCACGTGAGAACGTAGGCCACCGCCATCGGATCCAATCCGTGGATCACATGGCCGCTCAGGGTCCACAGATCGGATCCAGTCTGTGGACCACCCAGGCAAGCAGCGCTGTGACGGTCGAGGATCTGATTAATGTATTCCAGCTAGCATCTAGTTCTAGGTACAAGACGCAGCACGAAGAGAGTGGTCCGTTACGCCAAAAGTTATCGCGGATTAAACGTTGGCGGCAGCCGAATAACTTATCGATAAACTAGTTGACTTGACTAAACGAGACTAGAGAACGCTGGTAGCACACTCTGGCCAGTGAAAAGTCACATCAATCCACGGTGGAGTTTAGGACATGGCTAACCGACGCTGCTCCGTGGGGACTAAGTCTGGTTTATTCCCAACCGATGACGCCAATCCCCAGAGTTTCAGGGTGCTAGTCCTCACGTGAGCATAAGTTGCTTGGGATCGACCTCAGAGCATCGTTCGATAAGCATTGACAGCAGAGACGTTAAGCGTAGTCAACACAATTAAGCAGAGAACAACGCGGCCTTTAGTAGATCTCCGCCTCCTGGGCCAACTGACATTGCACCTTTACGGAAGAATCTACCTTCGACTTCCACACGGTGCTGTCCGTCGGCTAGACTACATCTCTAGAAGTCTGGAATGATCGAGACCGTCGCATAAGGATTCAGGCCAGGTCACTAGCCAGAGTGTAGAATCGTTAGATCTCGCCATATTCGTACTATCTTTGGCGGAAATGGCCGGGCCGTGCTTACTGGGCGACATAGACCATTGCTAATCGTTTTGAAAACTTACTTCCTATGTTATATGTGCAACTCAGGAACTTTAACAATCAGCAGGGCCCATGATAGACGTGCTTTGGCCTGATCTTGTGGCTGAACCTTTTTCAAGGTCACAAATCGATATCTTGCCGCATGCTAGCCCAAAGCTTGCGGTCAGGCATCATCAGCCGGGCCCGGTTACATATGGCTAACATAGGACGTCTAGGAAATCAGTGTCTGGTACTGGCCGTCATTTGTCTTCCTGCCCCTATGGTATCCCCTGCCACAGCCTCCTCCCATGTATGAGCTGGGCTAATTAAGACCGAGCCTTTTCTTAACTCGTTCTGAAACCGTGGGCCACTGCGCTTCGGCTGTAAACTCAGCATCGTTCTTCCAGAGATATTCCGCTGTTATACCCATTCTACTCATAGTGAAATCCTCCCTTACCTTCACTGTCTCACGATCGTGGATATTGTGGTATGCATCACGGGTGGAGAGGCCAGTAGCCTCAGCTCCCAAACCCGACGAAAGACTGGGTCCCATCCTTCGAGCTAATTCAAGACATCTTCTTTCTTGCCTTCGATGCTCCAACCCTCATCGATGTCGGCAACATCTTTGTGGGTAAGCAGAGCATTCACCTCTTTCCCATCACGTAGAACATTGACAATGCCGTGCTGATCCGGACCCAGGTAAACATGGACAGAATCGCCTTCGTATAAGGTCAGCTCCGCTCCAACGTTTGGCCATAAGGCTTACATCCCTCACCTTCTTCTATAAACTTCCGGGTAAGGGGATCGTTCGAGAGTTTGGCTCCATCCATAAAGGCCCTGTAGATAGCATAGCCGCTGTGTTAACACGGGAATTGTTGCCTTTGTATCGAGATCAGATCCTATTGTTTGGCGAAGAGCAAAATTCCAGGTGGACAAAAGCAAGGGGAAAGACAGGGAATTGAAACCTTTATCCGGCTCAAAGCCCCAAATATAGGAACTAGTGCTCCATGCAAACCAGATAGCAGACAGCAACAAAAGAATTCATCAATCCTTTGCTGATGGGGTCCGTCGAGCAGGTCATCCAAGTTGCTAGTCCGACCTTCAATTTGTCAAGTGATAATTAGTAGACGGAAGCGACTTCCCGTCGACAACTTTCTTTGTACAACTGGTCGCCGCGGATCTTGTCGGCTGATCTCGCCCCTGTTCAAAAAAAGGATCTCAGATGCTGAACAGCTGTCAAACAGTCAGTGCATGTACACTGATTGCTGTTGAGTGCTCTATCTATGTGGTAACTAGTCCTAGCAGATTGCCAGTATATATACACGTTCAGTTGAACTCTTTTCTCCTTCTATTCCTGCCGCTATATCCCGAATAGGAATGATAACCCTTTTTTCCAATAATGGGGCATTTGTGGAGAATCGTCTGCTCACCCGATTCGAGCACGTGGTCTTTTATGTCATGTAGGGGAATCCTACCCCGCCACGAGGCATTCTGTCACGGGACGACCCCTGACATTGGGACAAACATGTCAAGCCAGCAAGCTGGCACCCTTCCAATCACCAGCGGGGAGTACGTTGCCTTGATGCTTCTTCAGAGCGCGATTAGTTGATGTTATATTGACTGCCTCGCTGCCATTTAGATCATTGCCTAGCTCCTATGCATTCGTGTCATGACGATTCCACACTGAGGCACTCTAACAGATGACACCGTCACGGAATGGATGTGTGTGGCCAGAAAATAAGAAGTATACGCCATATTGGACAATGAATTGGTTGTCGGAAGCACCAGTGTAGAGAGCAAGAGCCAAAGAGGTCAAAGTACGACGGAGGTTTTGCTTCTTGAAGATCTCCTTGAATCCAGCTTCATTTGCAATTTGGAGATCTCCGCCATTTCCTCGTCGACTTGTAGTTCAGTGTAAAAAACATCCGCTCTGGCCTTCACTTCAAGCACAGTAGTCGCGGGGATCCTGGCATACATAGGAAGTCAGTGTGCCAGTGATACCAGCCGACAACATCATGCCAAATGATGCCAGACTCATGATGAGTTGCTCGACTTCTGTCTGTATATCGGACCCTCCAAGTGGGGTCGGATTATGATAACTAAAACCGTGAGGAAACCAGGCATGGCTTGAAACCGTTGATGGCTCTTTGGTCGATACCATAGACGAACGAAGACATATCCATAAACATAACGATGGTGATGATCTTCCTGTTGTCACCCAAGACGATCGGCAGCTGGTATTAACGATTGATGTGGTGGAGGGTATGGAGTCAACTAGTTGCTGATTTTCGACATGTTCGGCATGCGCCTCTCCACCTTTCTTTCCCTTTCTGGAAGAACTTTCCAGGGCAACCCACAAATGGGTGTGGTCCAGACCTTATGGTGACATTTCCCCACCAGTTCGTGGGGTATATACAGTCACCCAATTTTGGCCATCGAAATTCTGGGTATCTGAATGAAGACCCCGGCTGCAAAGGAGGGCAATTAAATGAATGATGACGGCCGGGGTGGGTCTGATTTCCATTTGGTAATGCTGGAACCGTAACCTCCAGCGGACCTCTAGGCACATGAAGATTGATACGGAACGACGAGGTCTTGCTGCCATACCTCAAATTTCTTCGCCGTGGAAAGACTGATTCTTCAGCGTCAATTAGAAATCGACCCAGAGCAATCGTCGTATGACCGTCCATCATCGAGTAAACGTCGTTACGGGTGAAAAGCACAACCATATGTGCTCTCCACAGGCCACGAGCTCTGTCTCGCGCCACAGAATGTCACTGTGCATATCCCAATGCTCTCGAGGTTCTATCACTAACCTCCGACGAATGTGGGCATGTTGTAGAGCTTGCGTTCGCTGCTCCAACAGAGCCCTCATAAGCTTGGGAAATCCAATAAAACACGATTCTTGAAGGCTCTCTAGTTGTGTGCATATCGACGCTCTTAACGGCTTCGACGACCTCCACTTTCCCGACAAGATCGAGAAGAGTCCTTCCATTTTGAATCATTTGACTCTTTGGTTGAATTATCTGTTCTACAAGTGCTGCAGGTTATCTCGAAGAAACCAGGATAGCACCCTGAGTCTTATCCGGTTCAACTTAAAACCTGCACCTTCCGCTTGCCCCAATTTTGGCCAACAGAGAACGCCGGCCCGTACCAAATACGTAGTAAGCATCCCGCCTCGGACGAAATGTTGTTGTTAAGTTGTAGTATGGGGCGTATGTAATGGACTTTATTTTCTATGAGATATTACTGCAATGGCTCCTACAGACGACATATCCAGATGCAACACACCCACTCTATACTCGACCACGCCTGGACAACACCGACGCTACAAGAACCTTTTAGTCTTTCCCACATCAACTGTTTCCTGCGTTACTCTACTCGCTTCCACCAGCTTTCGCCGTCCACGAAACTCAGTGGCCATGAGCTGCCTCAAGCCATTGGAACCCCTGGTTAAGGATGTCAGCACAAAGCTGAACACACACGCTTCCACCACCACTACCAATCAAACACTTCCGCTCCATGACTTTCAAGTAGTTCTACCATCTCGCTCTTCGTTGCGTTTGCCGTCTGCCCAGTTCCATCCAAGTCGCTGTTCTTCTGAGCAGAAAGAGCAAGATCAAGTGCATTGAAACCCCAGCTTCCTCTGCCGCCACTTGCGTTCACATTGGCGCCCATTTCTAGCAAATATTTCACAGTGGCAACATCTCCAGCCTCCACAGCACACATAAGCGCGGTACGTCCGCAGCGATCAGAAGTCAAGTCGATATATGGTGGTTCCCAATGTCTGTAGCGCTCGCGCGACGGCGAGCGCGAGGTGGCAGGCGAAGATAACGAAGAGACGGGCTCACTACCCGCTCTCATCGGCTGAGGCGACCCTTGTACGCCTTTTTCTCTGCCTAATGCTTTCTCTTTGCCAAACCTTGGGACAAAACAGTCCAACAAAGCCTCAACGATCTCCAGATTGCTCGTATATGCTGCGAGATGCAATGCCGAAGCATCGTGTGGAATTCGGTAAATCCCGTAAGAATTTCCCGGATAGTTTCTAGCTTCCATGTCTGCGCCGCTATTGACTAGCAACCTGATCACAGCTGGATTTGGAGTCTCAGACGCGGCCGCAATGTGCAAGCTTGTATCACCACGAATATTTTGTGCATTGACGTCTGCCCCGAGTGAAATGAGTATGGAAACCATTTCTTCGATGCCAGTGTCTGCTGCGAGGTGCAGCAAAGTCTGGCCTGCTCGATCCACAAAGGCGGGAGGGAGTATCTGGCACGATAGATCACGAAATCGTTCGACGTCTCGCGATTTGATCGCGTTGTAACACTGGCTGAGCCGAAGCCAATCGTGCCGATTTTTAGTTCCGGAGTCGAGACTATCCTGTTCCAGGAGCAGCCGCACCACGTCTTCATGACCATTTGCCGCGGCGAGGGAGAGTGGCGTGTTGTCATCATTAGACGTGTGAGACAGCATAAGCTTGACGAACGGAATAAAGCCGGCAGCAGCAGCAACATGGAGAGCGTTCATGCCACGGTTATCGCTTGCGTGGACGTTTGCACCATGGTTCAGCAAAATGTTGACAGTATCCTTGTTGAAATCGTACTCCAGGGATTCCAGAAGGGCAGTCCTGCCGTTGTCATCTGTCGCATTCGGATCTTGTCCCACGCTCAGGAGGAGTTCAATAACAAAGCGATATTTCTCGGGTGCCTCTAAGGGGTCGACGTGCTCGTGTGACTTGATAAAAGGTCTTCGGAAGTCTGACTCAACCTGGCCCCGACCGTCCACGACCCATTGAAGAGAGCGTACCGCGACTATCAATAGTGGTATTTCGTCCGCATCGCTGCCAGCAACGAGCGATGCAGAGCCAAAGCTGAATAAAACCCGGAGAGCAGTCCGATCGCCATCTGCGATGGCCCTTTTAAGCGGCTGTCGAAGATCCATGCCCTCTGGCAGGACCGCTCCAGCGTCGCGAAGAGCAGATGCAATATCCAATTCATGATTCATGCAAGCTAAAGTAAATGGTGTATGGCCGTCAAAATCTGATTGCGTGAGTCTCCTACCGCGCGATCACCGTTAATGTGAGACATACGTAGCTTTGGCTCTGTTCCGTCTCCGTCCGAGAATCTTTCTCCCCCGTAATGTGATTCTTTGTTCGCTCGAATACTGACATCAGCTCCGAGCTGTATCAGCTTTCGCACAGCTTCGACCTGCCCGGTTTGAACTGAATCATGTAGTGGCGTATTTCCGAGGCGGTCTGGAAGATTGACGTCACCACCGTTTTGAACCAGCGACTCGGCAAGATCAAGGGAAGTCTTAACTTCTGTTGTGGATCCTGTGGTCTGATCTGCGCTGTGCCAATGTCTGCTCTGGTGTGCGCGAATGAGCTTTGCCAGACCAAATGCATGGGAAATCTTCCCTCTCTATCTGGTAATCTCAGCAGTGGCTTGTGTGCGCAAAACATGCGCGCTGTTTCGACATGGCCCAGAATTACAGAGTAGTGCAATGGGCTGCGACCATCGTAATCTGTTACCTTCACACTTGCCCCATGACTTACAAGCATGTTTATCAGCTCCACGTTGCCTGTATAAGAGGCAAGCAGGACCGGAAATTGTTGGTCTTGGATCCGGGCGTATGTTCGAGGCCACGGCTTGTTGAGATCCACTCCAGTATCAATCAGAGCCTTCACCATTTCTGTGTGCTCGGTCAGGATAGCGTATGCAAGCACGCCGGCCACATAGTCATTTTGATTGATCAAATCTTCCGCAAACCAAGAATGGCTAATTTCCAAACCAATAGAGGTCAGTCGGCTAGGATCCTTTTGCTGCAGCTCTTCCTTGTAATGTGTCAGCCTTGGAAGCAGTGGGCGAGGCCAGTCGCTGCGCTCTGCGGCGGTTGTTTCGCCTTCGAGTGTAGCTCTAAAAACGCTGTTCGGCGCTGCGGGAAACCATGCGACAGCTCGCTCAAGCACGGTCTCCTCGAACGTATGGCCTGCCATGACTGACATGGGATGAGGCTTCATGAGATCTAAAAACATGCTAGCAATTTCAGGGACCTGTGACCTTAACGCTAGGTCAAACGGTGAGCTACCGCGGAATGACTTGACCGACCAATCGGCATTCCGCCTCAGAAGTACATCACAAATCTCGGGATTGGCGCGAGAGACAGCAATGTGAAGAGGTGTATTGCCGTCCATATCTTTTGCCTGGATATTGGCTCCCTGATCAACCAGGTAACGGAGAGCATCAAGGGGAGACCAGAAGATGGCCCAGAACAGCGGTGTCCAACGCCGTAAATCTCTCGACTCAATATGGGCTCCGCGCGACACCAAGAAGTCCAACATGGCGTGGTGACCTCGAGCCGCAGCCCAATGGAGTGGGGTCCGGCCAAGCGAGTCTGGCGCGGTAATCTCGTTGTCGCTGGGTGATTCTAAGGCCGTAATGTCCTTAAGGCCCCAGAGTGCTAATAAATGCATCTTCCCGAAAGCCTGCGGCAACTCTGCGAAGGCCGCCTTGACCAGCTGGCCCTTCGTTCTGCGCAAGTAATGAAATACTTGTGCCACATTCGATACTGAATTCTGCGACTGTAAGAGCTTAGATATTTCCACGGTCAAGTCTTTCTGATACTTTGCGGCATGGGCACCCCAGTGTGAGGCTGCATAACCCAAAAGTGGATAGTCCGTCAGTAGAGTAACCATGGCATCCAAGGTCCGGCAAGGCTCGCGTGCGAAGGCTGGCTGAGCAAGATAATTGACGCAACTGCGAGCAATTTCGAGATCGTAACGTTGAAAAATATCAGTGCGATAATAATCAAGGTACTCTTCGACCGTAGCGTGGGTGAACTGTACAAGGTCATTGCTTTCACGATGCTCGATATATCCCAAGCACGCACCGATCACTGTTTTCGGTGTCGTCAGATTCTCGGGATCGACTTCGACATCGTCTGGTTCCAAGGCTAATGCATGAAGCAACTCCGTCAACGTCAGCGGACGTTTAGTTCTCAGTACCCAGGCGAGAGTCTTCAATGCCAAGTCTCGTTTTGCCGCCGGACCGGACAAAATTCTGTCAAGGGTGGCTTGATGGGCGGAGCGGAGGTTTTTCGGCACATTGAGCAGTGCTTTTCTGATTTGGCGGACGGTGGTGAAGCCGGTGAAATTGTCCAGAGCCATCTTGACCAGAAGAAACCTAAATGACTTTGTTAATTATCGTCCTGATGCGAGGGGGACGGAACACTTTCACTCCGTCTGCGTAGTCAATCAGTGTTTCCACGACTTCATCTCTAAGTGATTCGGTAAGCAAAGACTCCAATTCTTCGTCTTCTTCGAGGCACGACTTGATAAAGGTGGCCAAGTCTGACTTCGGCGCTATGATTTCGACCCATCGATGGCCGGTGGAGTCAACAGGAAGATCGATGGGAGCGCGCCCGGCGACATAAGTCTTTGCTGCGGTCTGCTTGAGGTGTCGAAAGAATCTGCTCAAGCCAAGGTGATCGGGGCATTCGTCAAAACCATCAATCATGACATACACTTGGGGCGATGAAGGGATCAGTTTACATAACGTATCAATCCAAACTTTATCAGTCGGTTCAGTCTTGGTCTGACCCGCCTTCTCATACAAACACAATACTTGTTCCGGGAGATGATCATCATTCTCAAGCAACTGGCGAAGGAGATTCCTGACCACTGCAACACCCGTGTGGTATTGATGCTCTGCTCTAAAGTCAAAATAATGATAGAGAACACGAGCGGTAGCCGACATCGTGGAGGTAAGATGATTGACCAAAAAGGACCTGCATGACCGTGAGCAGAGTCGTATGATCTGAAGACAGGGACTTACGCTAGCGTGGTTTTGCCCACGCCAGCTGCATGAAAGCAGATCAGTCTTGGATTCACAGACTTGACGTCCCAATCGCGAACTCACGCCCACCGGTACAAAACAAGCTCTTTCCGCCCTCGTCGTGCCAGCGGCGGAACTTTCGATCATCCAGGATCCAGGAACATGTGTCTTCGCAATAATTTCGGAAGACATCGTTGTTGTTAATGGCCGAAGGATTTGAGTAGATCCAATCTAGGACAATGGTACGTCGGGATTCTAATTGATATCAGACAGTGCATAGGTGAACCGTTAATACGGTACCAAAGGGGCAGCCAGACCGTCTCTATCCGCTTGTGCCGCCGTCAACGTGGCATTTGATATCCGCCTACAGTGTCAGCAGCGGTAGATGTTGAGGCGGGAAGACGGACAAGCTACACGTAGTCACAATGGAGTTGAAAATATTGCTCCATCGGGCGAGCTTTTCGACGATCTCCTTCGTCTCCTTCTCCTCAAATGGCCAGGCAAAAGCATGAACTTTTGACGTAAAGCTTGGTCCGGCAGTGCTCCGTTTTTGGAGCTTTCACTTGGTAGTCTCGAGCTCCTTCCGGCATTCTGCTATGAGCGACTTTGGAAGGAGATCTTTATCAGATGAAAAGGTCGACTCGACGCCCGGAAGAGACAAAGTCTCTTGGACTCTGAGAAGCGCTGCGCTCAGGGCAAGAACCTCCTGTAAGTACCGCGAAGTTGACCTTGGAGCATTTCGGACTTTCTGCATGTATTCGTACGATACCTGGGAGACTGTCAAAGTCAGGTTAACCAAGCCCGCGATGCCTGAAGCGACACCGATCAGCTCAGCCATTTCTCCAGAATTTGTGCGAAGAAAAGTGGTTGAAATTGTGAATTAAAGAATTGGCGCGCCATGGCACCGCCAAGAAGGGTGCCTAACGCACGCATTTGAATAGGGTTGGGGGCAAGCCCTAGTTACACAGTCCATCCCAAGCGTGCCCAATAGACATCCCAACATCCTCTCCTGACGCTACACTCTTGAACCTCGCTTCCTCTCTATCTCTCTCTTTCACAAGACCACAATCATGGTCGTACTCGCGGCCCTATCTGTACCTCGATGGCGCAGACTCCTTTTGTCTTGCCAATTCAGAGATTTTCATGTTGGCCAATCACGTGATGCGTTGCCTTTGGCAATGTTGCTCTTGTTAGATAGAACAAGAACGCATTCCTTCACTAGACTCCACAGTCTATCAACTCATAAGTCCAGGGTTGAAGCGGCGCTATATATCGTTCATCTAGCACACTCTTGTCCATCTTCACCTAAGAACACAATACAAGGGCAACTTTCGTTAGCAGGGAGCTATATCACGTGGCTGCCGGCAGCCTGTTCTTATGGGTCAACTAATTTCAAGCAGCGCTAATAGTTAAGATTTTGGGGGCCTACTAGCCTATGCTTCAAGCTATTGGTCCCTGGAACTGTAGGGCTCAGATCACGTGCTACTAGTGCTGAGCTAACGAAAGTTACCCTTGTCGAGTGTAACGCAGTGCGAGGCAATTGCGGGCGCGCGTCACGGGGCACCCAACTTATTCCCCAGTCCCCGGTTTTCGGCTGACCTTCCCTCATGGGTCCTTGGCAAAGCTATCATATCGATACCATTGCCAGTGCTCGGATCCCCGCTTCGTCTCCCCTCCCTGTCATGCCGGCCTGCCTAAGTTCTCTTCCGCCCACCTACACGTCCCACATCCGATTGGCAGTGTTGTTCGGCCCGGTTGAAATTTGTCAATTGAATGCTTTACAACATCTCTGTCTAATCTGGCTTCTTGCACGTCCCTTTGTCTTGGGCTATCGACAGTGTTCCGTATAGCTGGACATGCCGGAAAATTGTACGATCTATTAGCACATGGTAGAATGCGATCCAAGAGGTCTAATTAGATTGCTTAGCTTCTTCGTCAGAGCGGCGACCACGTCCACATGTCTGTCACCTGTGCCACAGAGCGTTTATTCGCGCCGAGCACCTTCATCGCCACGTCGCCTCGCGTAAGTCATTTGTCGTTGGTGCCCATTAGCCGCTGCGATAGTTGACATGAAATGTGGGCAGATGATAAGCGGAAACCTCATGGCTGTCAAGCATGCGGAGCAAGCTTTGGCAGGGCCGACGTCCTCCATCGACATATGAAGAGATGTGAGGAACGCCGACTTCAGGCCTCGCGAGCTAGAGCAGAAAGTCAAGCTGCGGATGCGCAACGAGCAGCCCGAGACCAGGCCGAAGCGAACGTGAGAGCTGTGTGAGTTCCGCGCGTGGTCCCCCCTCGTTCTGCCATCATACTGACGGTGGAAGCTTATCCACTTCCCGCGACCTCACCACCGTTGATACCGTCGAAATCGTTCCTGATCGACCAAATACATTTCAATCGCCGCCCAGCCAGTTGCATCTCAACACTCCGCCTGCATCCTCCACATCTACTCGCACGGAATGTCATGGAGAAGGCGAACTAACATTGAATCCCTCCTTTTCTGTCTTGCCGCCTCACCAGGGACGGCCCGCTCCGTCTCCTGAGTCTTCCCTTTTGACACACCGTCAAGTCCCTTCCGACCATGCGCAATCGGCCGGATTCTTTTGGAATCAGCCTCAAGCAGCCTTTAACGGATTTGGAGGACCACAGGCCACGCTGAGCAATCAATTGGACCATCTAGCCACTAATTCTGCTAGCCAACGAGTCCCGCTCGTGCCCAGCCAGCCTGAAACAGTTGAAGACATTGCCAACTTCAATGTGAGCGACTTCATGTTTCTGGAAGACTCTTTACTCCCTGATTTCGAGTACGACTTTACGGGACTTAGCCCCGGCCCGGCCGCAATCCAGGTACCGACGCAGCAACAGCCCCCTCTTGTCGACGAGGACATTTTGTCCAGCCGAACTCGCCATGTGACGCCGACGCCCTCTCCCAACGACGCTCAGGAAGGAAGAGCCGCTTATCATGTGTCACCCCGACCGTTCCGTGTGCTGCGCTGCAGTCAAGGAGATGTTGAGGCGGTCGAAAAGGCCCTGTTGGAAGCCAGCCATTTCGAAGTCCGGATCCCCACTCACCTACCTAACCGGTCTCGTCTCGCAAGATTCTTGAACGCATATTTTGAGTATTTTGATCCGCACACACCAATTGTCCATCGGCCGAGTTTCTCGGTGTCGTCGGCGCCTCGTAAGACTCGCCACCTTCACTGTGCTTCGGGGCTAACGACTCTAGCGGCACTAATTCTAGCGATGTTGGCCATTGGCGGCTGTTATCTCTCCGAGCATGACCGTGCCTGTCAGTCGTACGAGGCATCATGCCGTCTCCTTGCACAAGTAAAACCACCCCACATTTCTCACTCGCGCTGGAACTCTCTAACTCCATCACCAGTATGAAATCGAGCTTTTGCACCAGTCAGAGGTTGAACTCGGGCCGATTCAGGCCGCGCTCCTTTGTGTCCAATTTGGAGCCTTTACTGACAACCCAAACCATTTCCGTCAAGCTCAACGACAGCTCTCGCTGGTGTCAGATGTAGGTCATAGAGATTCTATCCTCCCATTATTCCTGAATCCACAGCGGCACCGGTGGCTGACGTTCTGTAGCTTTTGAAGTCGGCTGAGACAGGATTTCCAAAGTCTTCAGCTGTAGCCCATGCCGATTGGAATCAGTGGTTGTGTGCTGAGACATTGAGCAGGTGTGTTCGAGCTGGCTTTGTGTCATCGAGGTAGTCCATGAGCTGACGGCGGCGTGCAGGCTGACTTGCTGGGCATGGATTCTCAATGCTATCATCGTGGTCTATGACCCTACGGCCACGAGCCATTTTGCACACCGGGAACCTTCGGAGCTGCCCCTCCCAAGCAACGACACGCTATGGCGGGCTTCTTCTCCAGGAGAGTGGGCGGCGAACAAGGAGACAGAGGCCCCGTCTTCCCTGACCATCAAGAATGCGGTGGCAATGATCCTTCGCGGGCAGAGACCTGCGGAAGCTGTCAGTTCCTTCGGACTACTCTCGCTCTTAGGTCCGATTCTCTCCTACATCTGCGGCACGGAGCGGTACTCAGTTCTGCCGTCTAGATCGGTGGACAAAGATTTCGTCTCAAGAATGGAGCAATCATTGCGCTCATGGGAAATTCTCTGGCACCGACACCCTCATGCTGAGACCGTTCCCAGCAGGCACGGCGACCCCTTGATGGTAGATTGTCTGAGTCTGCTAGGCTCGGCGTACTACCATTTGTACATGGGCCCAGAGCTGAGACATCTAAAGCAAATCGCCGCCGATCCAGGGACACGCTTTTCAGCGCCCAAATATAAACTACAGTCGCAAATAATGCGAGCGGTGAAATATGCCGCCAGCTCATGGCTGGTCCGGGCCAAGCTGGGCATAGCACATTTACAGCGGACGGCAGCATTGTCATTTGGTGGACACGTCCTTGTGACCGCGTATGAAAGCGGTAGGTTCTACCAACTTTGCCATGCTTTTCCCCCCAAAGTCGTCGGCTAACCACCTCGTTCCCAATTCAGCTCTCATACTGTCCTGGTGGCTGTCTATACGTAGGGACGCATCGTTTCAGTTTTCGGGGAGTGGAGAAAACTTGGACGGTCTCCGGATATTGGACGGATTGTTTCAAGAAATTTTCGAGGAGATCGGTGACCAAGGTGTTTGCTGCGACTTCCAAAAGGTTCATCCTGGCAGCCCTCCCCTTGATTTCTATCGGATGCTCATGCATAGATGGGTCTGGACGTGTAAGTGTAGCCACCAGAGCTGAAGATTTTATCACCTTTCGCTTTCGAGTTACGACTGACGAGCCGGCCATAGATTCGGCTGTCATGGAACAAAACCTCAAAAATCTCGACTCGAAGCTGAAGACTGCGCAACCGAATTCTGTAACGAGCAACCTTTCGAGAATCATGAATTAAATATCGCCAAAGGAGCCCTATTGTTCATTCCGGCGATATCAGGCCTGGTCTGTGTCGAGGTTTTCCAAAAAGTGTTACAACCGAAGGCCGAAGCGAACAAGTCTCCAATAATATTCAACATCGGGCGGTGCAAACGTCGCTTGCAGAGGAAACGTGCTGCGCAAGGTCTTGTGAACCGGTCCCGGAACATTCCCTGCATTGTCAATGCCCTCCATTGCTCGATGATACGCTCCGACCTACCCGCCCAAGGAGAGCGGTCTACCAGGGAAGGAGTATATATCTGCTGATTGAAGGTCTCCATCCTGGGGATGTTCTATTGCACGACAGCTCGCATGATATGTCTTCATATGTCGCACAACGTACTGTACCAAGCCCTGCAATGCCGGAACACCTCATTGGCCAGCGCGAGCAGAGGATAAAAGTAACCCGACAGTCTCCAAGATATGGGTCTTGAGACACTAGTTTCCTCTTTGCCGGTTCTGCTTGCGACTATCATGGATGACAGCGTGTTGGCTGGGACCCATTATTACGGCTGGAGACTGTCCAAGATTCATGGCCTCCGGCACTTTCGCTGGCGGAGATGTGGAATCACGACGACCAATTTTATTTGCAGCAAGGTCGCCAATTTGGCGCTATCAAGTCATTTTCACCAGCGCCATATATTACCTTCTGATCATATTTATTGGCTACATTTGGGTGACCGCTAGCCTTGTATCATATTTTGTAGCCACTTCTCGCACGCATGGGAATCTGAGTTACTATGCAACAGAATAAGGAGGCGTTAGCTATCTCGTGCAACATCAAAGGTGGTTGCATTACTGCCGCGGTTGCTGTTGGTTGCCAGCTAAGCGAAAGGGCGAAAAGCCAACGCTAGGGATTGTAAAGAAATCCAGGCATTGGTACACTCAGATGCAGCAGAATAGCACTTTCTACCTGGCAAATAGCATAGGAATAATATGCTTCTACAGTATGCTTCTTGGACTGTGCAACAACGTACGGGCTCGTCGGCAAAAGCTACGAAGGCAAGCTGGCGAGTAGTCTCACCAATGGCAGCGCTCATGTTCCTTTTGGTGCGGAAGTAACACAGCAACGGATCGCATAAGCAATGCCAAGTCACTTTCCCCACCCCAATTGAAACCTTGCCATCACTTGTCCTCTCCATATCCCCCGCCGGCTTATCGAGCAAACCCACCCACCTCTCATCGCCAAATTCCCCATGCCCTCAAGTCGACAGCAGCACGATCCGTGCCATTATCGACGGATACTGCACTTTTGCGTCCTGATGGCCTTCCGGCCTTCGGCAAACTGTTATCAATGTTTAGCATGACGAAAGCTATCGCTAGCCTTTAATATCTATTCGTGTACAGGCTGCATTTCCTGACCCGCTCATATCGCCTCTGCTTCACTGTCTCGAGCCAGAGAACTGACCACCATGCAGAAGGACCGACCGACCACGTGGCGGGTTCAAATTGTCCTGGTACTTTAATGCCGCGGTGCAGCCACTGATGGATGACAAACGATCGGTAGTGGCTACTTCCTGTAGAAAGGCTTTTGTATTGAAGTAGAGTCGCCGCAAAAACTAAGCTTGAGCAGGAAATCGGCAAAACAGCGAGGATGAGCTCCGGTATTCCCAGGAGCCTCAAATTCTCGACAGTGGCTCACGACAAAAGCACTCAATTTGCAGATTCAAGGCAGCAAGATTGGCTTTATCTCCATCCACTGTGGCTGCGCTAGACAACACTTTGGAAAAATTTACGGTAATTGTAGGAGACACGAGCGGCTTCCCGTGGGGTCAGGGAGCGACCCAACAGGAGATCCTGGATATGGAGTTTGTCACCACAAAACCTGGCTGCGACCCCATCGGAGTGCCCATTGTCGAAACAAACATGTGGGTGGGGGTTATCCGGTGACGGAGTGATGGCCCAACAAATGTGGGGCCAGCCAGCGCCGGGAGTAATCACTTTCTCCTTCGCAACAGACGAGATGAAGTGATACAAGTATCACCTATGACGGACTCGGTTATGCGGGGTCGTTTTCGACGTGACGGAGACCACATAAAGTCTACCTATATTGTTCTCTCCAAAGTCTGCTCCGGACATCTGCGACCAACCACTGTGCTGCCCAAACCGCTTGAACTGTAGAACAGGCGTTGAAATGAAGGACGTACTAGGATCGAACGAATCTCTCTCTGCTCAGGCCCTTTCTTATGTCAAGGCCAATTTCCTTCTTTTAGTGCTCCTCGCAATCATCCTTCGAGGCTTGTACAAACGATATGCCTCTCCTCTTCGACATATTCCCGGGCCTTTCCTTGCATCATGCTCCCGACTTTGGAAAGGTGACCATGCCTGCTTACCTTTATCTTATGCCTACTAACAGCCAACCACAGTCTGGAGTACCTACTCTGGTCACACGGAGTTAGATCATATAGCTTTGCACAAGAAATATGGTAAGCTCTCCATGATATTCCAACCACAGTTTCAACCTCCCTAGGAGCTGATTCGATTGACCGCCTGTAGGACCTGTTGTGCGAACTGCCCCGAATGAAGTATCGTTTGGATCGACGAATGCCGCGAAGGACATTTTTACGGTGGGCAAAGGCTTCCACAAGACTATGTTTTACAGCGTCTTTCCGCCAAAGGTCAGTCAGGGTTTCGACATCCGAAATGAGACCGGGTTCTAAGCGCCTTTAATAGCATGCTCCAGACATCTTCACTGAAGTGCGCGAGTGGAAGCATGCGCAGATGAAACGTTACGCAGCGACGCCCTACAGCCTGGCACAAATGCAGAAGCGCTCCGAGCCAATCGAGAATATGATCAAGCTTCTAATAGAGCATTTGGACAAATATGCTGCCGACGAGAAGAAGGTCTGCCAATTAGGTAATTTATTACACTACTTCGCATTTGATGTACGTGGATCGGCTACTCCTTCGCCATGAGCTTTTACACTGACACTTACTCAGGTCCTTGGTGAGGTAGCGTTCTCAAGGCAGTTCGGCTTTTTAGAAAGGGAGGTCGATATTGAAGGTTCGATCAAAAATATTGACGACGTCCAATGGTACGATGGCATCGTCGGCCACGTTCCAGAGCTGGATATATTCCTCCGGAACAACCCCATACGACCATACCTACCGTTTTGGAAGCCTTCACCAACTACTATGACGAAAATTGCGGTCGAGGAGCTCGGTAAGCGAAAACAGCCAGATGGAAGCTATGATTCAACCGGTATCGATCTTCTCGCCGAGTTGCTGAGGGCGCACGACGCAAACCCTGACAAGTTCAGTGTAAATGATGTGTTTAGCATTGCTCATGGCGCCGTGTAAGTTTTATCACCGACCTCCATTTCAGAGGATTGACGCCATGACATAGATTCGCCGGCTCTGATTCTACAGCCTCGACCATGCAATCTTTCTTCTACCTTGTGCTTAACTCTCCTCGAGTCTACTCCACCTTACAGAAGGAAATCGATGACGCTCAAAAGGCCGGGCAGCTATCGACAGTAGTAAGTTACGCCGAAGCACTGAAGCTCGAGTATTTCCAAGCTTGTCTCAAGGAAGCTATGCGGGTCCGTCCGGCAGTCGGATTGGGGATCTATCGTAAGGTGCCACCTGAGGGTGCAGAGATTGACGGAAAATTCTACGCCGGAGGAACCGAGGTTGCTGTCAATGGATGGGCGCTACACCGTGACAAGACCGTGTTTGGAGACGACGTTGACGAATTCCGCCCGGAAAGGTGGTTTGAACGCGACGCTAAGTTCATGAGCAGCCATTTGTATCAGGTATGTCTACGACCATTCATCGGCTCCATATTCAGCTATTAGTGGAACAAAAGATTAACCGACCAATACTGACATATGGTACCTTTTAAACAGTTTGGCGGCGGTAGCCATCTCTGCATTGGGCGTAACCTCGCATTGTTCGAAATGAATAAGGTCTTGGTTCAGATCTTGAGAGCATTTGATATCAAGCTGGTATACCCCGGTCGACCTTTGAAATATCACTCGACTTTCTTTGTTGTGCAGGAAGGCCTGGATGTGTATCTGGAGAGACGAAGCGAAGCATAGTGTGAATGAGAATGACGAGACCTGATCATGTGGCACACGGCTTGACGACGACGTGTCTGGTGATGACCAGAGAGTAAACATCCGGTTACCCAAATACTTCTGTGCTCCCGTTGGTCGAGAGAGGTGGAGCACGGAAATGCCAAACAACTCATGCATTTTGGTAGAGTAAAGGAAGTAGGGTGATGTGTCTATGTTAGTAAATCACAATCCGAATAGGAGTAGGAAGGGACCGTCAGACTGTAGTTTCGAAGCATTTACGAAGCATACAATGTCTCCGAGGATCTTTACAATCCTTGGCGTCGCCATTTATCACACAAAGCCGCAATTTTGTCTGCTCTCATGTGTCCGGAGCAGCCTTCCCAACTTCATTTTGCGGAGAACCGCATATCGGGTTGATTCGTAACATGTCACTTATGCTACTTCTCCATTCGAGGCTGACTGCTGATGAATCCCCCCCGGACACCTGTATTGGAAGGCTCTACAGCCTTGGTGGTCTTATGAGCCACAATTAGCATGAACGTACCGTACTGCATTCCTCCCATTGCAAGTTCTCAGCAATTGTATCTCACCTGTATACGAGCGTATCTATATGCTGCTTCTCCAAAAGCTTCCTAGATAGAGCTCGGTGCTTCGAGGTCGACGCAACATATTCTCCATCGATTGACTATAAGGCTCCAGTAGTCGACCCATCGACATTGGCCGCCTCCGATACCTCTAGGCTCTGATCGCAATAACCTTTACCAAATGTGCATTGCTAGCTCGCCAGTGTCACCTCCTCCATCTATCACGGAGCAGCCTCTGATCACTCCGCACAACGAGAACGATGGTAACCGCAAGATCAACTTTTACGCCGTGTAACCACCCCCCACAAATCCACGGTGGTGAGACAACTGGCTCCTACACTCCGCAAGACTGATGGCCGGCCGAAACCTCCACTGTGCTTTTTATGACAAGTCTCTCATGCAGTCAGAACGCCTGCATTGTCATGAACGTACACATAAGGCCTCATTATCTATCCCCGATATATGGGAAACAGATGGCTATGAGAAGCGTTTCTCCCGCAATTATTCAGGATCACCACCAATATTACCACGAATAATCTGATGGAAGTTGCGAATCCTACGGCTATAGAGGCTAATCGGTTTAGCGGCAGCGTATACAACAGCAACATGATTTCTGGTACCTCGCCTAAGCACAAGTGCCAGATGTGCACGCTCTGTCGACCATACCATACGCACCCACGATTACCACACAGCTGTAATCACTCGCGACCACGTTCGATTTGAGCGCCTTTATCAACGAAGTCCGGGTCCACGATTTGCAGGCTGTGTCTGGGCTATGCGGAATGTGTGACATGTCCGCATCCAGTTCGCCGGATAAGCGAGGACTATCAACCCCAGAGGACAAAGGCTTCTTGCGCCTGTGTGAGCCGAGATGAACTCTTCCCAGATGAATGGCTCACGTAGCTTGATCGCCCTTTGGCTCCCTCTTGTAGATGTCACGATTCAGTCATCTACGTGAGGACAATAGTGGACCCTGATACGGTTCCTTAAGATGATGGCACAGTTTCGAAGCAATCACGCAAGAGGGGTAGTACGAAGCGGGTCGATGTACTCAATGGTAAGGGAGTCTATTGACAAAATTGACGACGTAGTGAAATCACAAAGTGACCATGACTATGTAGAGGTGGAGTGCTCTGTCCTGTCTGTGCTCTAGGCTCTGTGACCCCGGCTCTTACTAGCAAGGCTGCCAACCCGGAAGCCACCAGCAATGCGCGATATCACCCGGCATAGGGCACACCAGCCCAAGCGAGAGCCTAGTTTTGCGCTGTCTTGAGAATTAACGAGCCTTCCTTTGCTTCAGTTTCCCTTCACGACGGCTCACTCGGTTCTGAAGAGATCGTACAGAGTGTGCCGAGAATGATTTTGCGTTGGCTGACGGCTACACCTAAATGAGGAGTCCGAAAAGTGCTTGCAGGTGGGTAAATCGGGCTGCGAAAATGCGATTCAGCAGGATTCCAAAGTTCCAACTATGGATGGGCAGAACTGTTTCATTTATTGAACCAATTGAAACACGATTCACCACTTTTCTACCGTCCCATCATGGCTTCCATGCAATCCTTTGTTGACGGCAATACTCAACACAAGGATACTCATCGTGAGTGAGGTGCTCTATCATGCATGAAAAAAGTGACGCTCTCTCCGTTAGAGGGACACCTCATCCTTGACCGTGGTTGTCCTTTTAGTAGCAGGATCATGCCAACCCGAGCCCTACCCCAAGTCAGAGCAGCGAAAGCGATAGAGGAGGCTCAATGAGCAAACAGTGCCAATCCCCGTCTCATTACGGTCGTCTTCCTTGCGCAGTTTCTAGGAAGGACATGAACAAGGCTCACTCTACGAAGTTGGGAACGACAGCCCCGGGACCGACACGGCTGTAACCCTCTGTCTTCAATAGGAAACGTCTACCTGTCTCAGATCAGCTGACGTAAATCCTGAACTCGTATCGTAACTTACCCGTACCATCAATAGAACGTATAATCCATCCAAGAACCAGTCTTGCTGTGCCGCTGCTTGCAAGCGGTGCAGGGGGCGTAGTAGGGGAAGGAGTCAACTTTAGAGCCATAATGATAGGGCAAGGGAGGGGTTTTGTGTCCAAGATTAGATCAGTCGGAGAGTCGAGTGCTCAAAGGAATTGAAAGAAATGTCTATGGGACAAACGTATAGTGAGGGTAAAGAAATTACAGCAAGCCTTAAACTGAGCAGGATTTTCCCTTTCCAATTCCCTTTCCCTTCTCATCATGTTCATACAACCGTTCTTCCCTTTCCAAGCCTTTCTCATCTTAAACCTCGACAGATTCACTATCTGGGTCATATCCAAATTCCCTTGTTACCCACTTCCGGGACCCAAGTTGGGAGATGCGAAAGGATGCAGAAAGGCCCACGAGGCCCGAGCCGACGATGTGGACAGAGGGTATGAAGACACAAGCGAGAGTACTCCGTATGACCACTTCGCCCAGGTTTGATTGTCAGCTATGTGTTTGCCTGCTCGAGCTCCAAAGCCACCGTCACTATCCATAATTATATTTATTCTTTTGTACTGCTGCCTTGACCGCGGAAACCCTGGGCTGTGGCATTCAGAAGTTTGCTTTCCTCCATATCGCAATACAAGAATCCGAGCCAATCACGCACCCCAGGTCATCTTGCTATATCGTGTGAAGAACGGAGTAGTTTCGAGACAAGAAGAGTCAGTCGACGTAAGAGCTTCTGTTCTTTGGTACAATTCAATTCAATCGGCTTCGAATCTTGAATTCAACCGCGCTTCCTCCTACACACCTGATTTCATCTCTCGTCGGTCGCCGCTAATCTGATCTGCCCCCGGCATCATCCAACCTTGATCTCTCATTCTTTGTCGTCCATCGTTCTTCATCATTGTCGTGCTCTCCTCAATCTAACTCGATCCAAAACGGCCCAACTTCATTTCACTTCATCAAACATCACATTCCATCAAAAAGGTCACATCCATACCCGTACTCGTATAGCCGGTAAGACGTCGACTTTCATTCTCATCAGCGAATTCATGCTCAGAATCCAGTTCTGCCTCGATCCTTGATTCCGTCGAAGCCTGTCTTCTCAACACTTGTGGGGGGTAGGCAATTTCTGCCAAAATCGTCGGATCGTCTCTTGAATTTCAATCTGGGAAATCATCTCTCCTCCCCAAATTTGGCTCAGGCATAGTTTACTACCAATAAAAAAAACATTTCTGGATCTCCTTGTTGAAAATGTCGACTAGTCGGCAGCAACTACCCGAATGGTGTCAGTTTCAGTCCTTCCCCTTGGATTTCGACTTCCTCGCAATCAGTTGGGTTCGATGCCTCTGCTTTTTCCCTTCAGTTTTGGTTTGTTTTCCTAAATGAAATCGGCCGAATACGAAAAGCCCCTAAACTCTTCTTGGTGAGCCGGCGACAGGACTGCGCAGATCTATTAGCAACAGGTCTTGCAAAATCTTCGATTTGAACTTACCACTTTGCACTGGTGTCAAAACTGGCGTCACACTTGTGAACTCCTGGTCGAAATTGCTGGTATCTTTTTCGTTCTTGACTGTTGGTTTGAACGGTGTTGGCAGTCTCTTATGATAAACGTCATCCCAATTGACACCTTTGAAGAATGCGTGGCTCATAATTTCCTGTGCGTCACCAGGTCCACTTCCCAACCGTAACTCGGGTTCTCTGGTCAGAAGTTTCTGTAGAATCGATACACTGTCACGGGGCATGTGAATAGGATACAGAGGTTCGTCGGCAAGTATGGCATCGTAAATTTCGTCCTCGTCTTCTCCTCGGAAGGGTGATTGTTGAAGCAGCATCTGGTAAATGAGGACTCCGAATGCCCACCAATCAACTGCACGACCGTATTTCTTGTCCAAAAGAATTTCCGGAGCCATAAATTCAGGTGTACCACAGAATGTGGACGTTGTTGAACCATACCACATCTCTTCCTTGCAAAGACCATAATCGGCAATCTTGATGTGACCATCCAATGTGAGCAAAATGTTGTCCAACTTCAGATCTCGGTAGATAACCCCGTTCTCATGGAAATACTTGAGAGCCAGGCATACCTCGGCAGCATAGAATTGAGCTCGCTTAAGGCCAAATTGTCCACGTTGGATGTGTAACATGAGATCTCCACCGGAAATGTATTCCATGACGAAGTAGACTCTCGTTTCGGTTTGGAAACAGGCGTGCAGGTTGAGCAAAAAGGGGTGTCTTTCTTTGTTTGCAATCAAGAACACCCTCTTTTCCGATTTGGTCGATTCAACTTCATCATTTTCAATGATGAATTCCTTCTTTAAGACCTTGATGGCATACAATTTCTTTGAGCTCTTAGCCTCCGCAAGCATGACTTTACCAAAGTTGCCCTTCCCTAACACAGCAAGGAAATTGAAATGATCCAGACCAATCCTTGGTCCTGAACCACGTCCCGATGGCGGAGTGGCCACTTGTTGTTGTTGTGAAGGTGCTGGTTTGATAGGTGCTGGAGCATAACTCGGTTGACCTTGCTGTTGGGGTCGTTGCTGTTGAGCCAATGCTTGCTGCGGGGCCTGATGTTGGGCCATGGGTTGCTGCATCGGCTGTCGATCGTACCCTTGGTAGGCACGGGGATCATACGAAGCGTGTGGTTGGGCTTCTGGAGCCGGTGGTCGTGCATTGGCGTAACGATCAGCTTGCATTTTCTGAGGACCATAATCCGAGAAGCCTTGGTTGTATGATTGGGAAGATGGTCGAGCCGTTGCAGCAGTGGCCGCTTGGACTGCCGCGGTGGAGACTGCTCGCTGCTGCAAAGGCCTTTGCTGCGGCGGAAGCTGAGATTGCTGGGGCTGATTGTACATCATATTTTGTGCGGCACTCATTGCTGCGGCAGAGGGCTTGGGAGGAGGCTCCACGTGAGTCTCATAAGATTGATTCGATATCTGGGGTGTCAATGCATTCCCATCCGAGACAAAACTTTGAGTAGGAGATGTCGGACCCGGTCGGCCGGAGTTGGGTCTCAATGTCCGACTACTCAAGCCAGAACTGACCGAAGAAGATTTGTTGTGGTGTTTTGTTCTCTGAATAGTCTCCAGGATCTCATTGGCAACGATCATAGACATACCGCAGAAGTCCGGAACCAAGTGCTGACATTGGGCATGGCATGTAAGGCCACATTCCGAACATTTCTTCGCATTTCGCCTTCCCAGTGGCAAGAGATAACCACAATGACAACACCAATTTGCACCAATATTTGAAAAATTGTCGAACCGATGCGGAATCCGATGGTTGATTTTTTCTTCATCGGGATCGGTCTCATAGTTGGCTTTACTGATACATTTGGTGACGACTTTGGGATAGCATTTTGTGTGGCAGGTGTATTTGCAGTCTGCACATTGCATGCCGGCCGAGTATTTGAGGAAATCTCCACAGAGGGCACAGCGCATGACATTGTAGAATTGTTGTTTGACGAACTTGTGTCCCTGCTTTTCGTGAACCTCTTCCTTCTTTTGACGGACAGCTCCTTGACGGTTGAGACCAATGTCGAAAGGTCGACGAGCTCCAGTTTGCTTCTGGAAACTCATCGTCAGGTGAATTCTACCTGCTGGTTCCATCGAAAACCAAGAATCGATCATTACCGGTTGCGTGTGTTGAGCAAAACCGGCAGCGGAACCGGCACCAGCTGCGTCCCCAGGAGGCATAAATGGAGCAGCTTGAAAGTCAGGGCCTGGTTTACCCGGGCTGCCGGCGTTAGCCATTTTATCGGCAGACACCCACCCATTTTGTTGAAATTCGGACTCGATCTTCTTCCGGCGCATTTCTTCCGCGATGTCCGAAATTCGAATCCATAGAAACCCGATTGGGGTTGGCCGATCACCGGCCTTGTCATAAACAGTCAGCTCAATCTCGTTTGCTTTGTCGATATCCACGTTGTGGATTTCTTCTGTCCATTTGTCGGTCCTTGTCGCTCGAGTTTTTGCTCGGATGTTATCCTCCACCTTCATAATGACAAAGGTCTCGGGCCCTCTGGAAAATCGAGAAGAAGCTGCATGGTCGACGTCTTTGATGGCATGAATGCGCATTTCGAGGTGTCCTGTAAGAGGTTTTCGCATGTTTGGGGCGTTGAGACTGTCGTCTATAGCAAATGTCAGTGCTATCATCAAAAGGTGGTGCAAACACTTTGCTTACCGTCAGCACCATCCGATGTTTCAATGTCAACATGTAAATCCATGTATCGTTTCAATGCCTGTTTCAGCAACTGAATCTTCTGATTACTCTCGATGCGACGACCTTCTGCGTCCAGCCGGCTTTTTCTGTCACCCTCATCTTGATACAGTCGCACCATTTTTTCAATGCCTGCTTTGTACTGCTTTTCTACAGACAACTTGAACTCGAGCTGGGAGAGCATGAGTTGGATTTTGGGGCCGAGATATGGGGTATCATATTTAATGAGATCTGGAACAAATTGTGAGGACATGTCACGGGGCCTAAGTAATTCAGAGACATACCTAATTTTGAGAAATTGGGACGAGCTTTGGGAACGGGAGCAGAGTACGGTCGAGGATCTCCATACGGAGCCCGGGGTGGCATCATCCCAGTGCCGCCCTGGCTATAACCACCTGGACCGGGATCTCCATAATCCCCTCGCTCACCAGGGAAATATCCTCGAGGGTCTTTCGGCGGAGGGGTTGGGCCCCCTTCCCCATGGTAAAGCCGTTGTCCACGTCCGTCAGGTGTTCGATAACCAGGCCCGCCGTGGACAGGCGGGGTGGGTGCAGCATCATCATTTGGTCCCCGCTTGCGAAGCTGTAACTCTTGTAGCTTGTCTTCTAAATAGTTGATGTTTCTTCTTCCATCGCGAATGTTGCTGTCAACACGTGCCTGAACTGCAGCATTGTTTGTGGACTGTCGCATGTGCGTGGCGGCGTTGATAAGCGCCTTTTCCCTTTCGATCTTGCGGTAGACCTCGGCGATGGCCTGGTCGGTGTCTGCCATGGTGGCGACGCTGGAGAGGGAGGAAGTCGATGATTTTGTGCCTGCTGGGCCGTGTCCTCAACGGGCGTGCAATGTCATGGGCCAAGTCGGGTGATGCTCTGACAAGGGGACTGGACTGGCATTTGTTGACGAAGGCAGGATCAATGGAAGAATGTTGCTCACACGAAGGAGAGGCGGTAAGGTCAAGGGAACTGGAAGGTGAGAGAGGATCACCTTGGTACTGGCAAACAGATGAGAATATTCATGGCCTGGGAGAATGTAGCACAGGTCGTAAGTGGTGGTGTTGGTGGTGATGGTTTTTGGTGGTCCGGTCAAGTCAGATTGGTCACTGGTGCAAGTGGTTCGCAGGCTCACTCGCAGGCTTTTCAAGTCGCTTCGGTCCACCTGCGGTCCTGTCCTGCACTGTGCCGAGCTCCGCCCACCACGCCACACATTGGCTCTTCTCTTGTTGTCACGCTACAGGAGACACTTATCCACAAACTTCTAGTCCCCCTCAACGGATGAGGATGACGTCGAATAGGAAATGCTTGTGACCAAAAATTTAGGATTGAGAGGCGATTCCCCCCCAAAAAGGTTTTACCGATCCAAAGGCAAGTAACTAAATTGGCCCTGACTGATGGGCTTTCAAATTGATGATGATCTCACTTACCGGAAGTGCGAGTACTAGTCACGCGAGGACCACGGCCCAAAGGACAAAAGTTGACACGCACAGAACCTCCGGTTACAACGGACCTTGATGCACAATAAGCTACACAAGAAGCGCCATAACAGGGAGGAGCAGGATGCTGGAATGGCTAACATCCTGGAGGCTCATCGGCCAGTAGCCATGGTTGTCCTTCCAGACGAGGGTCTTCAACGACCCCGTATCGATCCCCTGACTTGTTGTTCTTGGATCAACTGCTATAGGCTATTATTCTTCACCGGAATGAGATACAAAACAACTGCAAAACCCCGGTATCCTTCAAAATGCCTGACGAATATCCTCCTAACCGACTCCAGAGTATCCGAACGGGTATCTAGTATTCGCCCACTTATACCCTCATCTCCTCAGCGCCATGTTGTTTACATGTCCGGGCTCCACCCCTCAACTCCCCTTGTCACTGCTCACCGCACAGCCCTACAAATTGAAAGAGGGAAAGTCCGCCATTCAACTGACTGGGGGGACCGTGCGACCCCACCGATCTCACACAGCCAGCAAATCCTATCCACGTCGGATCCTCCATTATGTGCCATGAAAATGCGGCTGAGAGATATGGGGTCTCAGCCAGGTTTAGTTTAGGGTAACACCATCGCACATAAGTGCAACAAGATCAGACCTGGATGAACACCCTCTATGACTTGGGCCGAGCACTAGGCCAGGGCGGCTCATATGCCTCCGGTCAATATTTCAAATGCCATCACCTACTGTTTGTCGAAGTCAATTGCGACGCAGCTGCATTTGATATATTGTCCGTGGCTCTCTCTTCTATTGATGACGAATCTCGGGGCTGTTTCCTTGATCACCAAATCATTCTGTAGTGGGCGTTGACCCCATTACTCCCCGTCCGAAGAATTCGCTAACGGTACCGAATCGATGGTTGCTTCTGGCCAATGCCGCTTTGAACAGGTCATGCTGATCCGTACTCTCTACCTGCTGGCGCCGAATTGCTTTGATGGTGTCATTTCCGGGTTTGCAAATGGGACATTCCACTTTGTCGTCTTCGTTCATACCCAGTCCGGGTTTGTTCAAGCATTCTTGATGAAACGAATGCTTACACATGAAGTGTACCGTCGGTAACGTTAGGTTTCGACCACACGATGAGCACCGGCGTGCTTGAAACACTACAGGCTTCGATCCAAGGTCTGCCAGTTCCGATTTTTTGGACGCAGTTTCTGTCCGATAGGAGTCGATCAACCGGCGGTTGGCCTGGATTTCCTTGCGCTCCCTCAAGATATTATCAGAGAGATACGCTTTAACCATACCCATCATCACAGCCCCGCCTTGGGATAGGACTTTCACTACCTGCAGTGGTGCCATCAGGTTCTCCTGGTCAATTTTGCGGAGAACGTTTTGAAGTTCTTCTTTGACCCCGGCTTCTTTGAGGACTTCGGCTGATGAAGAAAAATAACCAAGAGCAAGTGGGTAGAGGGATGGATCCTTTGCCCCGTACTTTCTCAGTGCTGATATTGCTCCAGATGTGTCTTTCGCCGAGGTGTACGATCGAAATATGTCAGCGTAGAGGTTCGCTCGTTCCCGCACCAACGTTGTACCAGCGGGGAATTTGGACAGAGAAGACAGAAGCAGGACATTCGAAGTATCAATTGACGATGCAGCCGGTGATGCAGACTTGTTATCAGCTATTAAGCTGGTGGCCTTTATCTGCCATTTTTCCTTTTCGGCACTGCCTCGTGCATTATTTGCAGCCTCAAGGTACATCTCGAACAGGGTAGTGGACAGGTCTGAACTGTCCTTCTTGGACAGATCTTCTTGGAGAATCAAAGCTTCGAGAAAGGTGATGAACTCTGAGGGGTGAGCTAGGAATGAAGAAAACGCGCTTCGAGGACGTGGTATCGTGTATACTGGATTGTGGTTGAGTTCCGGAGCATCATCAGTCTGATCGTTGCTTTCCGGTGGTTGATTGACCGGAACGGCCGAGTCAGCAGCAGAGGATCGATTCATGAATGGCAAAGTCCAGAGAGCCGAGAGGCTTTGGAAGGCTCCTCCCTCAGTCTGCGCCTGAACTTCGGACACAGCTGGCACGTCCTTTTTCGGGGCATACCGTCCTGTGTAATATTCAATGAAGAGTTTGGTCGTCTCTTCCGGACAATGTTCAATGAGGCTGCGAGCATATTTCATTAATACCGGGTAGGCTGATTCCGGATTGAGACGCCAAATGTACTGCAATGCTTCGGCGTACTTCTTTGAGTCCTCAATCAATATATCGATGACCAATTCGTTCTCGCCGTGTTTGGTGGCCAGATATGCCGCTTGTTCAAAGTATCCTCCCTGTCGACACATTGAGATTGCGGTTTCGACATCAAATTTGGTGGTTCCTGGAGTTCGGATGAAAGCATCTAATTTCTCAGTATCTTTCAGCTTGGCGTAGCAATTTAATAGCAACGTTGTATGATCAGCAGTGGCTCTGTCATGATCGTGCAGCTCTTCGAGATAGTCGATTAAGTTGTGAATCCTCTGCGTGTCTAGAAATCGTCGAATGACTTGGGATGGTTCGGTATTGTCAATGGCCCTCAGATACTGCTGCATGGCTGTGTCATAGTCGCCTTTCTGGTAGAGATAGTCACCATACTTTCGGAAGATAATGTTTTGTTGAATTTTGTCCGCACCTGACTTTTGTGCGAGGTTGATGGCATAGATATACAAATTTCGCTGGTAGAGAATCTCGAGCTTCTGCTGCAACGTTTTCTCTTGGTACCTATATAGCTGTTTCAAATTAGCAAACCAATTTCGAGTCTAACTGGCGATCACATCGTACCTTTCCTTCCACGGTCAAAAGAAAGAGCTCATTCCATTCAACAAAGACCTCTTTGACCTGAGAAGAGAGCGACTCGGTATGAGCGATATATTTGAGATCAGTGTCAAGCAAGGTGAAGGAGGAACTGCTGAATAGCTCGTCTATCTCGTCACCTCCAAGTCTTCTAAATGTTTTGGATTTGGACACCTGTGCTACTCGTGGTGGGCAGACCAAACCGACATACTGGTTGTACATCTTCACAATTTTCTTCGGGCCTTCGAACGCATAACTAGGTCCGCGTCCATTTGGACCATAGTAATAGATAGCATCTTCTCGAGCGATGACTATATCTCCAGTCTCGTGGTCTTGTGTCATGCAGCCGACATTGCATCCTCGGTTGTCGACGTTCCGTACTGGCTGACCTTGGCCCTTGCCAGATATGATCAGACTGCATATTTTCGCTGTGTTCGCAATATAGAGAACTTTGGTTGAACCCTGACGGGCCTCCAAGCCGGTAATGGGGTCCTCAGACTCGAAAACTGTTCTTTGCTTGGTTCCTCGATCATGAATGAAGTCTCCTCGAATGACTGTGACAGATCCATTGGCGAATCCCACTGCAATTTGGGTCAGATCATTCAGGACCACCAGGGCTGACACCTAGAGCCCTCAGCATAGAATCAACAAGTGGACGCCGGCGTCCATACCGGAAATTGTCTCCTGCCATTTTGAACTCCAATTGCACACAAGCATCTAGGGACTCCTGTCTTCTTCTCTAATTTGTCCAAGGCCCAGACTTTCAAGGTCGGATCCGTTGAGAGATTCTCGCTGACGGTGACCAAAAACGAGGTATTCGGTATTTGTTTTAGGTGGGTGACTGAAGCATCCGAGGCGTCTGAAGCTTGAAAGCGGCGCACAACCTTCAAGGCACGAGAAAGAATCCGCACCGAGCCATCAGAAGATCCAAGGAATAGGGAATCAGAACCTGTAGTCAACGACACAACATCGTTCTGTCCACCAGTCAGATAGGCGAAAAGATTTCGGAGATCACAACGTACATCGATGACATATGAGCCGTCCTCATTAGCAGGCACAGGGATTTGGGATACATTGAAAAAAGGGAATGCTTTCCAGCTCGTGAGAGCCATAATATCTCACAGCAGAGAGTTCTTTAGGCAAACACGAGAGCCCATGGCAGCAAAAAAAACAAGCTTATTATTAAGGCTGTGTGTGCATTCAACTCGTAGGCGGACGGATCGAGAAATGCGGGTTGGTGTTTTCGGGAGCCTTGCTTAATACCTGCGAAGCACAAGGGAACTATTACGCAACATCAAAAGCTGCCACAGGTGCCGAGAAAATATTATGTCTCCCAACTCAACAAGCGTGTTTGGTAATAAATCATTTACAGATTCCACTTTTGTATGTGGGCAGACATGGTATCCAGCCTTGTCTTTATAAACATTTCTTACAAGATTTCAACTTTTTGCTTCGCTAAATACCATTTCGAAAAACAGGATATCGTTACCAACATTCAAGTCATTCACAGTCATGATACCACAAGATGTCCAGTCTCACATAGCGTTAAAGCATTACTGTTCCCAACTAAATCGAGGACCCGGATGATTAGATCGCGCTGATGTGTTGGTCACTTGCTCTTCCGTCACTGTACTCAAACCCTCTTCAACAAACCTGCTGCCAGTACTGGGTGAGCGTGACGGCGGACGTCCATGTAGCTGAGGTATCAGAAGCGTGTTATGACTGGTATTTGTGGAGGGGCTGATGTTCGAGCCGCTTGAGAATTGGCGTTGCGGTCTCGATACCGCTTCCGGCGATACTGGACTGGGCATGCTTCGGCTATTACTGTTGCTTGATTGATGAGAGTGGCCATCGCTACCCGCGACCGGGCTGATACCTTGCTCGCCAGAGGATATGGTTCCAAACCCACGGCTGTTCCTGGGGCTGTAAGGACTCACGCTACTGCTGTTGCGATTGTTATTGATCTCTGCAGGTGAATAAGGGGGAACTGGGGATCCAGATCGTTCACTAGCAGCAACATCGCCACTTTTCGTCATTGAAGTCCGGTGCTCGAGCTCTGCTGGGCGTCTGGGATCATTCCTCATCACTGCAGATTCCCTTCGGGTACCATCCTCGCTGCTAGCAAAATATCGTGGGGACACTGGTGCAGCCGGCATTTCAATTGGAGTATTGCCTGAGAGTTCGAATCGGGAGACAGATGGATCTGCCGGCACCTCAGTGGGATGCCGCTTGTCACCGAGAAGTTCAGAAACCGAGGTCTTCGAATCTGGAGCTCGGTGTATTCGGCTGAGTAAACTTCGCCTCTTGGTTTTCTCGCCTGAACTGCTGCCCTTCGAACTCCTCTTTCTGAAGCAAAACATCCAGGCCAGGCCCACGACGATTAAGACGCCCACGGCAGCACCAACCCCAATACCAACTTTGGCGCCTGTGGATAGTCCAGAGTCTGCCGAACTAGCCGGGCCTGGCCATATGCTGTCCTCGGGACGAGAGATTGCCATAAGATTGACATTGCTAACGGCGTCCAAAGTAAATACCGCCTGTGAAATGGAGAAATTATTCCGTTCATAATCGACCGTTAGGTAGGTCTCCTGTAAGAAAGCCCGTCCAATCGTATATTGGGTCGAATTAGCTGCTTTGCGCAAGGGAAAATAGTTCGTGGGAGGCGAGGTAAAGTTGGCGTCTAGATTTGGAAATGGGTAGGTTAGCTGAAGATTGAATGCGTCGTATGGTAGTGTCAGCTCGATCACGTCTGAAGAACCAGGAAGATTACTGAGAGCAAATGTGAAAGTCAAGTTCCAAGCGGTGAGCGCGTCGGGGGATGACAGGTTATCATCGGGGAACAAGTAGAGTTGCAGGTTATCGTCGTAAGTGAGATTCAAGGAATTTGCAAAAGAGTCACAAACTTCATCCGGAAGCCATAAAAATGGCGTTGATGAGTCGATGGTGAATAGGTCGGCTTGCGAACCATCAAGGAGCGTTTGAGGATTCGAATCCCAATTATTCGGTAGAGATTCGCCATTGGAAGGTGAAGAAGAGACCGTTATCGAATTGATGGCCACAATGGGAGCGTAGTCTGTACTCAGGGAGAATGTCATATCATTGGGAACAAATCGATTTGCATCGATCCCTCCCAATGTCAATGAGGCCGGGACACTTTTTAGTCCTGCGATCGAAGTTAGTGACCAGAAAGCCCGCGGAAAGGACGATGGCACATACGGTAAAATGCGCCCGCAGTGTAGCCATAGCTGTGACTCGGAATCAAACTCCCGTTCTCGACCAGGCTAGACAACAATGGCAAGTAATTCTCGGTGCCACCAAAGCGAGTCTGTTGAACACCGAGACCCAAGCTCCCAAGCCACTGGTCGGTGGAATTGACCACCGCGACGATCTGACCAGGCGCAGAATACACATCATCGAGATACACGGTATCCAAACCATAGTATCCCGACCCCGAGTAACCAAGCTGGGTATCAAAGTTGAGCTCATAGAGACCTTGGGGTTGGAAAGTAGACGATTCGTTTGTCAGGAACAGCCCTCCTCTTAAGGCTTCACAGGTGGATGTTCCATCGCAGCCAGAAGCGCCAACAACCCACGTCTCTTGACTTAGTGTGCTGGGAAGAAGTGAAAGCCATTGTTGCGGCGATCCAAGGCGAATGCTCACGGCAGACCACAGCCCATCATAACCAAAGAAATCGGTGCCAGTGGTGGCAACGATAGGCTGGGGTTCTGCTTTTGCAGCTAGACAAGATTGGAGAAGGCAAAGTGCGATTAAGAGTTTGCCAGGAAGTGAAGGAAAAGATGACCCAGCGCAGATTCGATTCGTAGGGCGCATCATATCGCGAATGTCAGTGTGCCGGAGCACATTAGCATATTGGGGGATTCTTGGTCGCGTTGCAAGTTTGAGCGACAGATAGGGCGTTATTGTGATTGCCGAAGAGAAACGAACGTGATTAACGAGAGAGTATTGCAGTTGTATTCTGCACTTGACAAAGAGCGGACGTCGGCGAGACAGGGAGCTGAAGATGGAAGACAAATGTATGGGCACAAAAGGCGGGTGGAAGAGATATCTCAGGATGCAGATGGAAACCAAGCTAGACCATACTACGGCGAAGAGGAAAGCTCGGCCGAATCCCAGGGGAACGAGGTTCTCTCGCCGAGAAAGCGAGGGCATCCGATGCTTTTTCGGCTGATAGTCGAGTTCTTTCTGCCAGCCCATGCCCCTTGCCAACAACTTCAGGACCGCGATCAGCGATACCTGTCTGGCAATGATAGTAATGTCACCCAGACATTCACAAGACCACGCTTCCATGAAAAAGGATCAGAGTTATTTGATTTTCTCTTGCGAGGTTGCGATGCGAGCGTAACCCGACAAAAGTGCCAGCTCAGCCGCTCTCAGACATGAAATTCGGAGTAAGACATGACGAATGCCCTTCCACGGTCGTGGATTTCAAAAGTGGTGCCCGTCAAGTATGCTTACAACTTCTCAATCAGTCTATATGCATAATATGTAAATTCTCTATTCTATCCATCGAGTTGGTTCAGTATACAACCAAACACTAGCAAGAGTTCTTTTGACGAAAGTAAAAATGTCCCTTGGGGGTCTTCGGTTATGGGAACACTTATGCAACCCTCTCTCCTCCTTCATAACTGGGCGCAATTCGTATCAGTAATCGACGGAGAAAGAGATTGAGATTGTCGCCTCCCACTGTCATGGTATTATGTGTGAATGGATTCTTTCCAACCACCAGGGATCGTCGTGATTGTTTCTTCTTTTTGTCCACCTTATTCCCCGTAAGGCAAATTGCGTGAATTCTGATACTGCAAGGCAGACTCGGCGGGTCCCGCGTTTCAATCAGGCTTGGCGGCCTGTGGCATGATTACCCCGGTCGCAGCCCGTAACATGGACTTGAAGGCCTAGGCCGTTGATCTAATGGTCGACCAAACTCGAACAATCTGGAGTGGCTATTAACAAGCCCATGTGACATGGAATAGAATGATTGGGTCATTCTAAAACCTGGCAGACAGGCTGAATTTGCTCGGCAAATGCTGTTGAGGCAACTGTCACGTTTGGAAAAAGCCATCATCTTTGTTGGAGGACGCGGTGGGAGATGGGATACCGTCGATCGTCCGGACCCCGGCTACCCCTGCGTGAAAGGAATCGATTAAAGTCAGCAGGAGATGAGGATGAATTTTTGATGGCCGAGGAGGGAGAAGGCCAGCTACTGGCGGTGAATGGTCCACAATCTCAAATGTGCTGCATCTTGCAATGATGGTCGACAGCATCCTTCAGTGTGTCAAGACGGGAAAGGGAAAGGCCTTCAATAGCCTCTAGCCTCTTGGTATGCTCTGCAGCCAATGTCATGGTGCAATCAATGTCGCCTCCCTTGGGCTCAGGCCTCAGGCTGGCTGAGCGGCGGCCCTCATCCAAGCATGAAGCCGCAAGAACGACCAAGCTCTCCAACCTAATTAGTGGGTTTTGAGCCGACAATCCTCCCGCAATCCTCCAGCATGGATGCTGTGGGCTCTTGGGTTTCGAGGCTGTGAAGGACTGGCTGGACTTCTACCTATTGATGATGATCCTCATGCTTCCCCGCCCACCCAATCCTAGTCCTTCCAGTGTCTCCTCCTGCCTGCGTGTCCACCTATTTGGCGGGAATAGATCCACCGAATGGTCAACCAAACACATCTGTTGTCGGCGTCGCCACTTCGACAGTCTGAGAACTCTTCAGCCCTCTTTTCTACTCCACAGCCGGCCGGCTGGCGACCAGAATCTACTCACGAAGGAGCCCTCGTGTTGTCCTTACTCCTGTTCCTGCGTTGCTTTTGCACTCGACAGCATTCTTATGAGAACCAGTCTCCCACACTCGCTTTCCACGAGATTGCCATCTAGCAATTGCCCTCGAAATCCTGAATTGGCGGTGAAATATCGCCGGATGGGCGCGACCGCTCACGGTTCAACCATGAAGAATTGAGGATTCCTTGCAAAGCGCTCGTTCGCACAGTCATTCGTTTTAATCAATATATATTCCGCACTCGCTTGAAGATTGGACAAAAGAGTTGGAAGCAACATCTCTTCACTGCATCATGCATATACTCTGGTCTCTCGTTACGTTGCCTGCTGCACTCGCTCCTGCGCAGAACCTGGATCTGGACAAAAAGACACCCCTCGGATTTATGCGCAGAGGTCTTCCTTTTACAAACGTTACTGCACCTGAATCGAACTTGACCCCAACGACAGTCACTAGCTTTACGCCAACCGGGACCTATACAGATCAGTCAACACCATCCAGCTTCGGGCCACCAACATCACTCCCACACGACTTCACCAACTCGACGAGCTCTACGACGACGTATACCAACACCCCGACGGAGTCCTCAACATGCACTGGCTCTGTAACATACTATGGATCCGTTCCTCCTACAGTCTACGTCACCGTGACCGAAGGTTTCAATGTCACTGTGACAGCCAGCAATGCGTCCATGACAGAAACTCCAACTTTAGTCACTCCCTTACCAGCCTGCCAAGCAACAATTATGCCCTTGGCCGGGACTATCGACCCAGAATACTCGTTGTCCGCATCCGCTGATTCTTTTGGCCCTGCCAAAACCGGTCAACCAGAAGCGGGCACTTTCAACGGTGGGAATAATCCCCAAGTTGTGACGGGTGGTGCTCCTACTCCCGCAGTTTCTGAAGGCCCATCCCCTGATGCCTTTTCCACAGCTCCATCCTCTGCAGTATATTCCAGTGTGGACTACACCAGTACTGTCATTGTTACTAAGAAAACACCAGTAACTGTGGTGGCTCCACCGACTACTTCGCCAGATGTCAATTTTCAGTCCCCTCCACCAACTCCTACCAGGGGTGAAAGCAACCCCCCATCAAATGGCGGCGGGGGTGGATCTAACAACAATGATAACAATAACCCTCCTTCTGACGGAAGCAACAATGGGGGGGCGTCTCCTGGACCCGGGGCTCCCAATAATCCATCTCCAATAGCGACCAATGCAAATTTTCCTTCCGTCAGTAACAACCTGGGACCAGGTCTTGGCACGTTGGTGGCAGTACCGCCAACGACCACCGGACTAGGCAATATCATCGCTTCCATCATCAACTCGCCTTTTGCGACAGCGTCACCAACTCCGCCGCCTTCAATTACCACCACAATCAACAACGTCCCTGTCGTCATCCTTCCGTCTAACGTCGTGATTGGATCTCAGACTGTTGCCATTCCGACTTCTGCTCCGACCGTCGTCGAAGCCAATGGAGTCTCCTTTACTGTGCGACCCTCGGAAATTGTCGCACCAGCCGGTACCATAACGATCCCCCCAATACAGCAGGATGAGGCGGTGACTTCTCCGGTGCCGAGCTCTACGATTACCACGGCTGTGGGCCAGCTAACCTTTACTGTTGGTCCGACCGTGGCGATCATATCCGGGACAACATACAGGATTGGCCAGGGGGCTCCAGCGACAACGATCACAGTCGATGGAACTCAGGTGTCGATAGGTTCCAATGGCGTCGGGCTACCCAGTACCACTTTGGGTCCTGGCGGTGTTGCAGGTTCGCCTTTTATTATCTACACGGTGGAGGGGTTGACATTTTCCGTGGACAGTAGTGAGGCCGTCGTCAGCGGCACAACCTATCGCATTGGATCCAATGCTCCCCAGATAATCACAACTATCGGTGGCGAAAGTGTCTCGTTCGGGCCTGGAGGAGTTGGACTTGAATCGACTACGATTATTCCGACTGCAGCGTCATCGAAGACTACAAAGAGCAGTTCAAAATCGACATCTGCTTTAGCGTCTGCCACACAATCAGCTAGTCCCTCCAGTGATGGGTCATCGAAAGCACCCCGACCGTTTTCCGAATTGTCCGGCTGGTACCTTATGGCCATGCCCTTAGTATGGTTTGTTCTTTGATCATCGCAATTACGAAAGCGTGGAGTCTGGCTGGTTGAGAAATTGGGAGGAGAATCTTTGATGTTGTGGTGTTTGGGAAATTTGGACGTTAATTTTTGAGCTGGGGATGACGTGATACCCGCAATAATACATGACCTGGTCGGATGCTGGAAATGGGACACCCTGTTGGCAAAGGATGAAATGCAAGGAAGGATATTTGGATATGGGAATAATTGTATGGCATAGATTCTCTAACGAACCGTGAAAACGATAGTATCGAACTACATTCATATTATCTCCATACAACATTCCCTGCCAGTATTCCGCATACGCTCATGATGGAAGCCATCAAGAAGTTGACCTGGTTATTGTCCAGGATGTCGTGTCCAGAATTGATGACTCGGCTCTCAATACCTTTGTGAGTTCTGTCTCTGACTTTCTGTTGATGGGTAGGGCTGTCGGGCTGCGATTGACGAGGCTTTGTGAGCACCTTCACTCCACCTGGTCCCTCGACGATTTTTCCAGACCGACGGTCGATCACGGACGCCTGCAATATTGCGCCTAACAGCGAATCCAAAAGCGTCCCAAGTGTTCCCAGCGTGCTTATAAAGATGAATAGCTCTAAAGGCTCTACCTTGGCCCCCTCGCAAAACTTGAGCAACAACAGACTCGTTGCTGAAATGGCGACGCTTCCGGCAATCCCAGCTAAAAGCCCAGCGAATGTGACACCACCGTTGGTACCAGGCGGAACAGTGCGAAGGCTTGTTATGAGCACCGGTCGGCTTTTGGACAAGATCCCCAGTTCACTAGAAAGTGTGTCTGCTGCAACGGCGGCGTAATTACTCATGATGCCCAATAACAGGAGGTCTGCCGTCTTGTCACTCCCCTCTCCAAAACATTCTGACGTGTGCTCTCCAGCAGTGTTGAATCCATAGAGCCAAATGTGTGATAAGACTAACGAACTGGCACAACCACTGTTCGCAAATACTTGAACACTCGTCCGAGGACCTTCTCCGCCAGGGCTGCCGCCGCTTGACAGTGTGAGAGTGGCTTTCACGTCATGTTTCACCTTGGTCGCCGTCGTCCCGAGAAGGAAGAATGTGCATAGGAGCGCAAACGGAACCGCCGAAGGATGGAGAGCGTGAATGGTCGCAGTTAGAGCTGCTGCTGCTATCCCGACTGGGGTCAGTGACTGGCGAGTATATGCTCGGATGACGAGGAGGAGAGTGATGGGAACAGCAATTATCGCACGCATTTTTGCTGGTATGAGCGAAGGAGGATCGAGGGGAAGCCTCCAGAAAGGAGGACGAGCGATAATGTGAAGAAACTCCCCTATCTGAGCGAGGTGTGGACAGATATATCTGTTCCCGTTATTAAGGAGGCTGCAGCCTGAGGAAGCGAAGATGTGCCGATGAAAATGACGTCTTGTTGCAGCCCAAAATTTGTTTGACTTGGGACTGCAGCTGCTGGCTTCTTCACCGGAACGTTTTGTATTTTTGTATGCCCAGGAACTTTACATCTTTCTGGAAACAATAATGAAACCTCTCTGCTCCAGCCTGCGCCATGTTCAGGTCATTCCTCGCTAGGCCGGCACTCACCCGGCAAAGCACAGCTGTGAACGATGCCTTAGGAGCCTTCGCTCCCACCAGGTCGGTCCGACGAAACCTTCATCTTGCTCCGCCCTTCCTTCTCGATGACTATATACCTAGATACCACATTATTTCCTCAGCCAACGCCGCGAAGAAACGATCTGCTGCCTACGCCCACCTCCGCCAGTGCAACCTCTGTCCTCGGCTCTGCAACGTGAATCGCTATGAGACCACGGGACATTGCCTGATTGGTGCCGGAACCGTCAAAGTATCGACTATCGCACCCCATTTTGGCGAAGAACCGTGCCTCCAAGGACATCATGGATCCGGCTCCGTCTTCTTCAGTGGGTGTAATTTGCGGTGCGTATTTTGCCAGAACCACGATATAGCACATCAAAAGGTTGGATTTGATCTCACACCCGATGAACTTGCGGAATGGATGATGAAGTTGCAGGAGGTGGGCCATGTACACAATATCAACTTTGTGACTCCGGAACATGTGGTTCCCCAGGTGGCTTTGGCAATCCTAAGCGCAAGAGAGATGGGACTTAAGGTTCCCATTGTATACAATACCAGTTCTTTCGACAGCCTCGAAAGCCTTAAGCTCATGGATGGTTTGGTCGACATCTATCTCCCAGATTTCAAGGTCTGGAGTAATGACACAAGCAAAAGGCTACTAAAGGCAGACGCCTACGCCGATGCTGCAAGGGAAAGTATTCAAGAGATGTACCGACAAGTCGGCGATTTATGTTTCACTGCAGATGGTATCGCCAAAAAGGGTGTGCTGGTACGTCATTTGGTTATGCCGGGCAAAGAACAAGAAGGCGTGCAAATCATGAATTGGTTGGCTGAAGCACTCGGAAAAGACGTCTTCGTCAACGTCATGGAGCAATATTATCCAGACGCCCACGTCGGTAAGGAGAAAAGAGGATCTAAAGCCAGCAAGGACAAGAGATACGCAGAAATCAACCGAGCAGCTAGTCATGAAGAGGTTGGAATTGTTCAAAAGGCCGCTAGAGATGCTGGCATCTGGCGATTCGCTGAAGCTGCAAGACACGGTGGATGGAATATTTGAAGAAAGGCCAGAAGTTCTCTTGCACCAGACAATGGGGCGTACCATGTTGAAGCTGTACTCGATATGTGACTTGAGCTTCTTTGTGCGATCCACATCACATTCCTGTGCGGCTGTGAAACAAGTGACCGCTAGTGGCTGGTCCTTGCCTCTTTGTGAGGTTGGCCGATCGAAGACAATGAACATCACGAGAGTCGCTGATACCCGTTCTCAAAAGCTGACGATGCAGACTCTTTCGGATTGCAACTCCTTGCACCTCAACCTGGACAAGAGAAGATACCAAATTCCATTCGAGCTCTTCCTATACTACAAAACCTATGTCGTCTTTCCAAGACGCCCCTTTCTCAACTACCATACCAGCACTTTGCACAGCTCAATACTCAGAGCTTCAACAGGAACGACTATACCTACACCAAGCTCTGGTTGGGGAAGAACGCCGCAGGGAAAGACAGACCAGGCTATTGAAGAAAGCGGAAATCAAACTCAAGGCTATAGATCCTAATACCACCTCTTCGGTTTCCATCAAATCATTGAAGAAGAGCATCAGGAGTATGCGATCAAAATTGAATAGATGCGTACAGACTGAACAGGTGCTCATCGAAAGCCTCACCAACGTTGTTTTGCAGATGCAGAGACTAAAGCAGCATCAATTGCGTAGGGCACATCAAGAATATCCTCAGCAAACACAATATGAGCAAATAACCAACCTGTGGCCGATATATCCTAGTTGGCCGATGATGCCGTACGTGTCACCATCATTGAGATCCAACATACAATACTACACGCTACCAGAGATGACCAATAGCCATTCTCAGCCTCAAGGTCTGTACGGCCCCAATGATCATGCAATGGTCTATCAAGTTCCCCAGACACCCATGTTGCGACCAGTTCAATACAGTTCCAATCAGCCGGCTTATGCTTATCCCGTTCCACTAGTCACAAACAATAATATCTCCAGGTCCAGGGACCCCGATTCGATAAGCCCAGCTGATACCATTTCGCCATACATGCTGAGTCCACTACCGACGACACCGACTTCCAATTTCCCTCCCACGTCAATTCCCTCCATTCAGCATACTGATATTGTCGAGGGTGTCAATATATCGACTCAACCCACTCACCAGCAGAACCAACGGCTTTCAGCTACCTATACTAAAACAAACCAGCTTAAACAAGAGAAACAAAACCTTGACACAAGGACTCAGTCTACTTGATAGCCAGAGAACTGTTCTCATGTTAGAGGGGAAGGCCAAACGGCAGAAATCGTGCTGAACCAGATTAGCTCCCAGCGAACATGCAGATCTTTCCTGTTCCAGTTTGACATGTTTGTTTTGTGGTACTTTCTCAAACAGATTATATCCGGTGTAAAACAAAGTCCAGTTCGAATGAGCGTTTATGCATTCTCTCGCTGCTTCAGATGTGCTCACGAGCCGACCAGTAATCATCACATCAACTTCCGACTCAGAGAACACGCAATTCATGGGGGGAATGAAGACGAGGGAGGGAAGCACCAAGGACAATGATTTGTCTAACATTCTGCGCCCCTTTGATACATTTATTTACAGGTGTATCTAATCCCTACACATCATGCCCTGCTGGAACACAAAGAGGTCAGGTGGGGAGTGAATCCTGAATGTGGGCGAGCGAGAAAAGTAAGCGAGGCGGCTTTGAGAAGATGGAGACTTTCTCCGTTCCCCCTGGCTAATCCCTGCTAGTGCTGGCGCTCGTGTTGGTGTCGGAGCAGAAACTATGGTGAAAAGATGATTGTCTAGCGAACTGATTTAGGGAATCGCAGGAAACAATGCTACCCTGCTTTCCATGTGAAGTTGCCAGAAAGGGTTCAGGATCTCTATTTAGCCATCCCACCTGGAAACTTGGTCATGACTGTTGTCGAAGCGGCGAACCATTCATTCGAGAGGTGTATCAGCCTAGTGTGCCAGAATGTCCGAGCGAGATACGATACGATCCATAGCGCGAGGGTCGCATACAGATATGGCCAGGAGTCGCTTATGTTGTCGGCGTGCCAGAATAGAAGGCTGCGGTAGGTCACTAAGGCGGTCAGCATTGCCAGCGGAGGTGTACCGCTATACTATAAGAAGGGATAATTAGAAGATATCATTGTTGTTGTTCATCGTCATTCGGACTTCTCTGCCACATTACCACCACCTGTTCCACACCCGTTGAACTCCGTGTGCAAGTCTGTGTAACCATTATCATGTGACGGAGCATAGAAGAGATGGGACTGTATATAGTAGGCTGAGAACGTGTGTGACGCTTCCGACCCAACGATGGACGACGTTAAGTTTCTCGTGGCTTACTCCTGTCAGTATCACGATCATGTTGGCCTTGCCAGCCAATACAACCAAGAACAGCGTACAGGCAAATGCCATGAGACCAGTACGTATGGCGATTGAACGAGATCCGTAGCCTTCAAGCTGTCCGTAACATGGTCGTGCTGCAAACGCGAGAACGGCGGTGACAACAACGGTGAGCAGCAGAAGAGTAACACTCCAACTGAAGAGAACTCGAGCAGCCTCAACAGCCACCTCTCAATGCGTCGGTGGGGCAGATATCTATCTACCGACGGCGAGAAAGTTTTGGGTTCCACTCGACAATCGTCTCCAGAGTGGACGATGATGCCGACGTAATAGAGCGTCCTCCAACGGCGGCAGGCGAATTGACTTATCCGTGGGGTGATTTCTTGCGATAAGTCTCCATCTTCAGCAAAGCCTAAGCAGCTGCAGCTATTACACCTTTGGGTCGGATAGTGTTCCTGTACGATTCGAGCACCGCTCCTGCAGTGGAAACCTTGCCTAGCTCTTAAGAAACTTGAGCACAATTCGCTTACCATATAGGAATGTTTTTTGGTTCGTTGATGGAGAGTTTTTGGGTCTGGAATGCACCTGAATCAAGATTGGATGATCCCAAAGAGCAAGAAGAGAACAATCATGCCGGTTCAATGGTTGAAAAAGGTTTTGGGGAGATAGATAGTATACAAAGATTTGTAAGATTTGTATAAAATAGTCGTACCTCGAGCTTGTTGAGAAAGCCCAGCTCTTAGATCGTCATCAATAGTTCATCCACCACATGAGTGTCCAGTAAGGATCCTGTTGGAGCCAAATGATGGCGTAATGGTGCTTGTCCAAATATACATACGGTCCAACAGGACCAAGAGCGATTGCAAGAATGACAAATGCAATCAGAAACAACCACCGACCCTTACGCTCTCTGTCCGTAAAGAGAGCAATGCTCGAACCCAACACCATGAAGAATGCTGAAAACAAGGGCGCATGAGTTCCAGCTATGGCCGCAATCAAGAATCCGAGTGATCCTAGGAAAAGGACCAAGGTATATTTTCTCACTTTGAACCACTGCTTCAGCCCTTCTTTGGACCGGACCTCGCGCCATTTAAGGCGGAGTTCAGCTGCTCGACTGATCGGTAGGAGTTTGTCATCCAGCATTTGGTATGTTATTTGGCCTCCTTTGAGCTCCCGTCGGATTTTCTCCTGCAATTTGGCGTTTGGTAGCATCTCAGGGACCTCATCACCGAGGTTTGCTCGCATGCAATTTGCCAAATCTAGAACTGCGCGTTGAAGTCCCATTGACCGCCCAGCACGGTCGAACCGGGAATTGAAGAAAGCATCGAGCCACATGATGTACATTCCTAGGCACCAGACGAGGATGAAGACGATAACGATGAAGAGGATCAAGAAAGAAAACCCCCATTTGTAAGTTGTGTTCTCTTGTTGGCAGCGACCATTCAGATTGATTTGGTCCAAATCGTAGGTGAAGTCGCCATTGGTGAAAACTGGGTATGAATAGTTGTGGAATGGTTGATCTCCGTCATCGGTCTCCCACCAGAAGCCAAAAGGATAATCATGCCAGTTATAATCTATATATCCATAATCCAGCCAACCTTGCTTCCAAAAGATGGCGCTAATGTTCAGGCTAGGTGCTTCCAATTGAACAATTTCACCACTGTTGTTGAAGGTGGAGTTTGTCTGATTTAGACCAAGGAATCCGAAGTTATAAGCATATTCAGAAACATGCCAGTAAAATTCACACATCGGATCCTCTGCTGCATCTGACCAATCCAGCGAGTCGTCGGAACTATACTGAGGATACAGCATGTAGGTGCAACGGTCGGAATACTGATAACTTTCCAGTTGGACAATGTCCTCACCGGACCCGTACCTGCCAGTCGTGACCTTATAGTCTTTTCCCAATTGATCACTGATTCGGTCAGCATCGTGGACGATATATCTGACCAGGTCAAAGTCGGAATAGGGCACCATGCTTCCGGTATCGACTTCAACAAAGGACTTGATGTTGGCTGAGTACCCAGTCATTGCGCTGACTAGAGTTGGGAAGGCAAGGACGAAAATGCCACTGATCACCATCCAGATCACAGCAGCCTTTGCACGCCAATTTTTGTTTTTGAGCAGGTCTCGCGTGAGTTTGAGAGTGCTGGTCAGTGTGCCGTTTTGTAAGGTGACAGCTTCGAAGGTGCCGTAGGATACAGGTGAGGATTCCATTGATCGAACCAACGCTTTCGAGAAGACAATGAAACAGATGATAACGAGGAGGGCCTGTCCTCCGCGGCCGACAATGATCTGCTGAGGTCAGTGCCAGTTTCCAGAGGCGAGATAGACGTACGTACATCCCAACCGACGTCAATGATCTTGGCTGTAGTAAAAGAAAACTGACCAAAGCCCAGGGTGATTTGGAAGAAACCAGAGAGTGCCCAAATGTTGTAGTCATCATATCCGACATAGAACCCAGAATCTGGTCGACAAGCTTCGTTGTTGCTGTACAGCCTGCCAGAGGTGATCACAGTCAACGTGATGATGAGAGCAATTATGACGAAAACAGGGCTCAGAATCGTAAGAAGGCGCCAAGACTGATGCCGCCAGTTGAGTGATTTGAGGTCGATGAAGGCTTCCCGAAAGAAGATTTTGATCTGAGACGGTGCCCGTTGCCATAATCCCTTGGAAAATAATTTTCGAATTCGATTAGAAGCTCCGGAAGGAGCTCTTGAACGCCGTCTATGATTTTGGAACTTGATCAAACTGATTTCGGATAGCCGGCTGTACTGGCTCGTACGTGTACGGACACTTTCCCCGTCGTAGTCGTCCAATTCAACACCGACGTACTCCGTTCTCCTCGAGTCAGCCATGGAACTGGTGTTGATGGTGAAAAGACCTGAATACCCTACGTGGGGGTGATAGGGACTTGTTCGTTGGCACAATGAGGAGCTGAGGAGCACATATTATCAAGCAGAGCCTCGAACAATGTTCCCTTCCAACGCTTCATGTGATTGGCCAATCGACCTGTTTTGGTGTCGCCTAGCTTGAAATCACAGCCCATATTTAACTCCTCGATGGGGTTTTTTTTGGCAAGGAGCCAAGGACTGTAGGTGACAAAATTCATTGCTTACCTGCCGCTTGACTTATCAGACTAAACTGTTAGGCCCGGACATGGCGAGCAATAGTCATCAAACCAAGGTTGGGGCCCAAACGAGGCTTGAAAGCTGGTCCGAAACAGTTTGTTTCACCGTTGATAAGAGGCTTTCGAATCCCTGCTGGGCTCGGAATCAGAGCGTTTAAAAGACTCCTCATATCTAACCACAACAAGGAGCTTCATAATGTCGCTTTGCCTTCCATATTGTTGAGAACATTTCGGTTTGTTAAGAAGCGTATGTTCAACGCTTCGGTGATGATCCAAAGACTGGGCCAAGAATGCCAAGAATGCCAAGAGTTGTGAGGCTGCTGTGTGGCGCTGGATGCTGGTGCGTCAACGTGGATGATAGCGGAGGACCACCAGACCGAAACGACGGTGCGAGACTGTTCGAGAGTATCGATACGTACTGTCTAGCATATGATGCTATCGCAGGGTCCGCACCCTGGACGCTCGCTTGATATGAGGCTTTGCGTCTGAAGCTGCTTTTAGAATTGGGTTAAGGCCACCTAAGCTTGAAAAAAGTCCCGCCCAGTTTTTTATGTGGCCGTTGGCGTTGATTGCTTGGTCATCCAGCTTACTGACTGTGGAGTATCCCATACACTGTGTTTCGGAGAAGGGGGGGCAACCAAATTGATTTGTTAATTACTGTTGATATCGCAGAACTCATGTACAACCTGCCTCTTTGCCACTACTCGATGCTGACATTAACTCCGTCCATATGGCCACCCTTTGCCAAACACTGACCGATACCATTGAAAACCAAGATTCATGACATTCCGTCTGTGGTAGAAGGATCTCTGCCCATAAATACCTTAAACAGCCTTCGACTGATCATAGGGCCCAACCTCTTGTCACTCCACCCACCGTCTTTGTTTACACTTTTCCGAACATCTTCCAGCAACAGATTTCCATGCTGGTCGAAGCCGTTGATCAGCTTTCTGACCGTGTTCCATTGATTCACGATTCCGTAAGCCATACTCGGAGTCACCCGCTGTATCTCTTGGAGCATTTTGACAAACGTATCTTGGGCATCATCCCCGGCCCGAACTTGCCCACTATCCATACAAAATGATGCAAATTTGAGGTTATGATTCAATTGCGCCAACCGATACGGCCGCGTGGCAAGATGCTGAGTCAACGTAGATATTTGAAAGGCTGTGGTCCCGGGCGACACGGTATGATGTATCAATATTGGTTGATGAGCGAGCTGAAGATGTAGTAGTAGGTTTTCAACAATGTCAGAGGTGACAAATGACAGGTCGAGGGATTGGATGGCCGTTTTCTTTCGTTTTCGAGATCTTGCTTCGGTTCCACTGGGTGCCGCATTCGATGAGCTGCCCTCTTCAGGCTGCAACATCTGAGCCCGAACGGCAGCTACATAGTCTCGGCTTTTGGCGTTGACATTCTTCTTGAGCCAGCCATTCAGCCCCTCAATGAGATAGATAGGAATACAGTCCCGAAACCGGCGCCGAATCAACGCCACATGAGCGTCTAATTTCAACTTCATCTCTGCTTCCGTGGGTGAGGCTGACACTGTAGACGTAGACGCGGACTTGGGCCCCGCCACCATGGCGGCAAATTCGACAGCGGGAAGATGGATCAAAACGTGCTTCTCCGTCACAATTCGGCTTCGGGATGCAGGTTCCCATTGACCGTCTTCATCGTTGTATGTAGACGTCACCTTTCGCCGCCACGTCACGATATTTCCGTATTGATCTGGTTGTGGGATACCTTCTATCAGATTGGCCTCTTCGTCGATATAGTTGACTTCCACTTCAACCTTCTTCATGTATTCCTCGACCTGATTACCGACGTGGGTGTCTTTGAGAAAGCTTGACATATCCACGATCATTTCAGGAGCCGCGTCTTTCTTATTCGTCCGAGTTCTATTCACTTCCGCTAAATCGGCAGCTTTCTGCTTTTCCAGGGCCTTTCGCTCGCGTTCCAGCCGTTTCCTTTCTTTCTTGGATTCCATTTCGGCACTTCGGGATGCTTTCGCTCTGGCTCGTTCAGCTGCTTTGCAAGCTTTCTCAGACTCCGACAATTTGGAAGTTTTCGTGGTTCTGGGCTGAGCCGGGTTTGACGAAAATACAATGTCATCGAGGACATTGGCTGAAGACTTTCCATTCCCTCGATTTTCCGATGCTTTCGATTTAGGCAGTCGAGACTTGGCTCTCTCGTCCTTGCTACATTCCTGCGTCAGGTTTGCCAAAAGGTTGGCCGTGCGATTCGAATACACCTCATCTTGCAGCTCCATTCTCGTTGGCTCAGACCAAGTGAAGGGCGGATCGTCCATGAGTGCATCTTGCGAGTCATCCAACGAGAATTTCCAGGTAGCTTCGAAGTTCTTTTGCTCCTTAGTCCTCGGTTCTGGCGCCGACGAGGAGAATATAATGTCGTCGGCAAGGCTAACCCGGATCTGTCGCTCTGGAGATCTTTTCGATGCTTGCATAGCAATATCAAACTTGGCGTGAAGCAGTGATTCATGGTCGGATGAGATCTCAAAAGTGATGTTTGACATCGGGTTGTTGTCAAAACTTGCTCCAGGTTGCTCTGGCTGCGAATCCGGCTCAGGACTTCGTCGCAGTCTCTTGGACGGCCAATCGATCTCGGAATCAATTGACCCCGTGTCATCAATGTCATCGGAGGAAAAATCAAGCCTTTCAATGGATGCAGAGGATCGGGAGATCAGCTTTTGTTTCGGAGGCGCAGCTTCCGGCGAACTCGAAGAGAGAAGCTCGATCACTTCGGTTGTCATTATTGCAGTCCAGAAGATCTTCCATTTATACTATTACGACAAAAAGAACCAAGGGAAGATGCAGCGAATGACAGTTCCGGCAATAACAACTGAGGCTGAGGCTGGATGCTGCTGAAGCCAGAGACGCAAATATTATCCCCGAAAGGAATCCAGCCCAATCTGGACGTCTAAACAATCTTGGCGCAGGCGCGTCTCCCCTTGCCGACCAACGCGTAAAGCGGCTATTGTTTAATTTGGTCAACGCCCGAACTACGCGTGTTCAGGGCAGCCAATTTAATTTTGTCTATTGACTGATTTGTTTCATCATCATCATACCTCGGCGAGTGCCTCCTATTGTGCCTTGCCGCCGAACAATGGCAGCTCTGGGTCCGAGTTTGAGTGCATCCTCCGAGCCCGCGCGAACTCAGTCGCTCTCCTGTCTCCTCGACCATACTTCGCCTTGATAATCGTCGCTACAAATGCAGCCAGAAACGCTGTCCCGAGCCAAAGGGCTAGAACAATATCCTTCCTTTCAAGGAAAACGCTTCTTTTGCTGCCGAGCATCTGCGTCACTTCGTCGTGGAGCTTACTGGCCATGGTGCTTCTCGTAAACTGCTCCCTGACTCTTTCCCTTCCATTCTGACCTATTTTCTTCAGTTCGGCGCTGTCGAGTTCATGCAAAACCTTCCTCATAATGGCAGCCCATTCATCCACCTTGGATACATCGCGCAACCAACCTGTTTTCCCCTCCACGACCGTTTCCAGAGGCCCTCCAGTATTTGAAGCAAGAACCGGGAGACCATAGTGCATGGCTTCGACTGGCACGATACCAAAGTGTTCGTTTGTGGGCGTGTAAAGTAAAAGTCGGGCATTCTTTAATAGGGTAGCCTTGAATGGACCAGGTACAGACAATAAGAATAGGACTTGGATATGGTTGGGTATGGCTAATGCCGTGGGCACCGTTTTGGCTGTAGCCGATGACAATCCGAGACCCTCGGCCATATCAACGAGGTCTTTGTGATACTGAACATTCTCGCCGACTCTCTGGTCGTAGCCTCCAGCTATAATCAAACGTGTCGCTTCACGATCAGCATCGGACAGTTCTCGGTATGCTTGGAGAGCCAGGCCGATGTCCTTCTTCCTTTCGAATCTATTGATGCTCAGAAGAATCTTGAATTGGCCATCCCACAATGGCTTCTGGTCTATTTCATCTTGTCGGCCTTTTTCTTCGACATTCACGCAGGGATATATGACGCCTAATGAGCCGGCTAATGACGGCCAAATCCTCGAGGCAACAGACCTGGTAAAAGCCGAGTTAACGACTATTCGGTCGCTCCCCCTCATGCTCCAACCCTCCAGCCAATCAAAGGGAAACCTGTATATTTTCTTTGCCAACCCTAGAATACCGCGAGCTCGGCGATTGGCAAGTAATTGATCAGGAAAGTGACAATAGAATAAAGTCCGTTGGCGACCAGGGTACAACCATCGTAGCAGGGGAACGCAGGCTGAGAGCTGATCGACAACAAAGATGTCGGGGCGAAGTTTGTCCAGTTCATTACTCCAGAGCGCAATCGACAGAACAAGGTGGGTCTGGCGAAGAATGGCGAGGAGGAGATGAAAACGACCAAGGAAAGAAGGAGGGAAGAGAGTGTTTCCGCGTATTCGGACATCTAAGGTGCCTATATTCACAAGTCTGTCAATACTTTAGTTGTCGAAACACAATGGGTAAAACCCAGATAGAACTGACCATCTCGGGCCTCTTCAAAACAGTGTTGGGGATCACAATGAGAAGTGAAGATGACGACCTTGTTTCCCCGCTCTTGTAAACCGACGGCAGCATCAACAATCAGCCGTTCTGCTCCACCAATCCCAAGATCTGGGTGGAAGAAGACAATGCTTTTTTGCGGCCCCTGAGATGAAGAGGCAATTTTGCGTGAGGAGAGCATAATGCAAGTGAACGTCTTGGAAAGCTGGGACTAGCCTCACTTCCACATTCTCATCTGCCGTGACAACCAAAGAATTGAGGCAGAGCAAGGCTTGTAATCTTAGCACCCACTCGCATCAAATCAGGTCGCAACTTAGCATGTCGGCAAACCTTCCCTACTAATGAAGTCCATTAATCAAGATCCATTGCGTGCCATCGTGGATCTGAATTTCTCATCGTGCAGTTCTTTGCGCTGGGCATGCGCTAGGCATAGGCTTGGCTCGGGCAATTTCCTGGCATTTGCTGACCTACTGTAGGGGGGGCCCGATGGAAGTCCGCCACTACGAGAAATTCGCCAGTATGATTGGCACAACCTCTACGGGCTTCCTGTTCTAGCCACTCCTATGCCCCGGGCTCGGTCGCAATTCATGCGCGTTATCGTGCATCCCCTTGTTGCCAAAAAATTGTATGGGGCCCCCTTCTAGACGCAGGTCGGCCCGGTTGCATAGATAGAATTGCAGATTGTCCGCATCCTCCGCGAGCTTCTTACCTTCGCTTTCTCGAGAATCACACCTGCGGGCGTTCCCTGCGCTTCACTTCTTTCTTTGTAGGTCCATTTGTCTGGGAAGCTGTACCTTTCGTTCAACTTTTTTTTCCATCTGGCAATCTCAGACTTCCTCTCGCTTCCCTTACCTTTGTCATACACTATTCCCTTTTCCACCGCTTCGGGATAAATTACCAGTCGAAATGGCTCAGGTCAGGATCAGAATTCGCCTCCCACGAATCTAAACTGATCGATTTACAGTTCAAAATGACTTTCCTCGCTCTCATCGCGTTGTGTACCACTTACGCATTTGCCGTCTCCCCGCTGGTCGTCAAAGGGTCCGACTTCGTCAACAGCGTCGATGACACCCGATTCCAGATTATCGGTGTGGCGTAAGAGACGGCGCCTTTACGATTGCAAGAAAATACAACACTGACCGTGTGGACAAACAGTTATCAACCCGGCGGCTCTTCGGGCTTCAATCCTGGTTCTGGTATCGACCCGCTGAGCGATGCTTCAGTCTGCCTTCGAGATGCTGTCCTCATGCAGCGACTAGGTGTCAACGCCATCCGAGTCTACAACCTCGATCCTGATCTGGACCATTCCGAATGCGCTTCAATCTTCAACGCAGCTGGTATCTACATGATTCTCGACGTCAACAGTCCCTTGCCCAATCAATCTCTCAATCGCGGTGCTCCATGGGAATCATACAACTCGGATTATTTGGAGCGCGTTTTCCAGGTCGTCGAAGGTTTCATGCATTTCAACAATACCTTGGGCTTCTTCAGTGGCAATGAAGTCATCAACGAAGACTCGGTCCCAGAAGTTCCCGCATACATCAGAGCTGTCACCCGTGACGTCAAAGACTACATTGCGGCTCAGTCTCCACGACCAATTCCTGTCGGCTATTCCGCTGCCGATGTCCGTCCATTGCTCGTGGGCACCTTCAACTACATGTCTTGTGGGTTGTCCAACGACACCGCCTCCAAAATCGACTTCTTCGGTTTGAACTCCTATTCGTGGTGTGGTGATGCGACTTTCGAATCTTCTGGCTACGACGTGTTAGTTAGCGATTTTGGTAACACCACTATCCCCATCTTCTTCTCCGAATATGGCTGCAACCTGGTCACCCCTCGTGTCTTCACGGAGGTCCCCGTCTTGTACTCCGAACAAATGACCACAGTCTTCTCTGGCGGTCTTATCTACGAATACAGCGAGGAGCCAAATAATTATGGTTTGGTCAATCTCAATGACAATGACACCGTGAGCATCCTCCAGGATTACGACAACCTTAGAAAGCAGTACGACTCCCTGGACGTTAGCGTGCTGGAAAAGGCCAATGCTACTGCAACTTCTCTTACTCCTCCCGACTGTACATTTGAACTTCTTTCGGGCACCAACTTCACCATGAGCTTTGACATTCCTGCTCGTCCAGATGGGGTGGATGATCTTATCCAAAATGGTGTCTCCGGGAATTTTCCCGCTGGAACCTCTTCCGTGTCGGACACCAAGCCTTCGCAGATTGTCTATGCCACGAATGGACAAGAAATCACTGGACTTGAGTTGAACATCCTAGCCAGTGATCAGAGCAATTTGCCTGGGAACAATACTAGTGGTACTACTCCTGAGGGTGGTTCACCATCGTCGACTGCAAGTAGCAGTGCGAGCTCACCAAGCAATACCAACGCTGCAACAAAAGTCGATGACATCCAATTTGGATCTTTGATCATGGGCGCCTTGGCGGTTGGTCTTGTTGCGCAGTTGTGAGGGATTGGTGATAAAGAAAAGATGTGAAGAAACAGATACTGGGGGTGATAGGATTGTCGTCTTCTCGAACAATGTTTTCGTTCTTTCTACCTTCATGGAGCCATGCGCATAGTTGAAGTTCTCTTCGATGGACATAGTTGCAGATGACTTTGCAGGTCGAAGTTTCGAAGAACATAGGACATGCTAATGATTAGATGAATTAGAAGGGGAAAAAAAAAAAGTTCCTTTACCGATAAGCTGTCTGTGTATCATTGGAACCTAGCGATGGCTTGGCCTGAATTAAACGTGGATTCTGGCAATTCGATCAAACAAGGTCCAATCATGCCTGCTGCATCTTGAGTCAATGCCTTCGCCAACTCTTAAAATCTTCGCGGTAACGCATTGTGTATTCTGTTGTTGGCTGGACTATTTTCTTGTGATCAAGAGGACCGTTCGCCTGGACAAAGAAGACCAGGGCAGGTTGACGCAGGTGCCCATCGTCGGGATCGTGTATTCTTCTACCAGTCACGCGTGCCAGTAGTGACAAGCAGACAAAGTAAATAATACCTCTGTACGTAATTTCCAGGGCTCTCTGAACTCGAGGTCGTTGGGAAACTTTCCGGTAGACTGACGTCATGACTGAGAAGTTTGAGTGATCGCCACACAAGGATAGTACGGTTGGCCATAGCACTGGCACAGACATTGGCAATTGGCATGAGCATTGACATTTTGCCGTGTTAATTTTTTCTTTTTTTTTTTCTCTCAGCTCGACGCACAAGACTTACGCCTCAACTTGTGGCGCGTGCGTCGTTGTGGAGGGGTCAATGTGCCAATGGCAAAGTACAAAAGTCGCACAATCGAAGAAGGTTGTCAAGATCGAGCCAATCATCGGCCCACGAAACGTGCCAATGGCGCAGTCGCCAAGAAAACCTTGAGCGAAATCCTGATGTAATGCCTGTGGCGCAGGGCTTCCTCCGGCCAATCAGACATGCGGCGACCGCGTCTTCCCTAGTTTGGACCTTTCTACACACCACCAGAGCAGGATGCAGACGATCAACGTCACTTGGGCGCCCGTCACTTTTGAATTGTCGCAGAAGCTACAAAGGCGCCCAAATCCCCTCGTATTGCTTCGTCTCTTCTATTCTACCACACAAATCCGACCGAACAGACAGTCGTCGGCGAACCCTCTCTCAGCCCCCACGACCACAAATCCACCATTATGGGCCACGGTGGCGCTTTTCTACGACTCGGCCAGACAGGCCTGCGAATCATCGAATTCGCCTGTGCCGCTATCATTTTCGGTATCTACAGCTACTTCCTCGCGGTCCTGGCTAGACATAACATCACCATTCCAACATGGGAGCTGGCCGTTGAAGGCATGTCTGGCGCCGCCTGTCTCTATACCATCTTCGGCATTCTCTTCACCCTCTGTCTTGGAGGCGTCTTTTTCTTCGCTCTCATCGCCGTCGTCCTCGATATCTGCTTCGTTGGCTGCTTCGCCGCGATCGCATACTATACCCGCCACGGTGCCAACTCATGTCGTGGGATGGTCAACACTCCTCTCGGCACGGGCCTCGACAACCAAGCCGCCCCTGGCGCCGGCAATTGGGCCTTTGTCTGCAGATTGAACACGTCCTGCTTTGCTGTTGCCGTCGTCAACATCTTTCTCTTCCTCCTCACAGCAGTCGTCCAGGTTCTCTTGGCCCGTCACCACAAGAAGGAGAAGCGCTTTGGCCCCGGCCCTACCAACAACTACACCAAGGGCTTTGGCCGTCGTCCATTCTGGAAGCGTAACCGTAGAGTCCAACCGACTCGTGATGCAGAGATGGCCATCGGCACCGGCCCCACCTCCACATACCGTCCAAGCCACGAAACCGGCGTGACTGGCTCAACCATGAACAATGCCGGTCATTCTCCTCTCTCCTCCGAGCCCAAGTACGGCCAACCCGGCTACGGTATGCAAGGGTACGCTGCCCCCGCGACGAACTACTAGTTGATTCGAGTCCGGATAGGACCACTACCACCACAGCAGGTAAAAATTCCGGAGACCCGCTATTATGACATAGAAAGCTCGTCACTCCCACACTCTGTACCGACAACTACCTTTTCGGCAGATTTGTTATTCTCTCGAACCAGAATGAAACCTCTTCTCCTGAAAAACAGGGTGGGAGCGGAGCGGAGCGGAGTGGAACGGTCTCGTTTCTTTGTAGCAAGAGCAGCGGCACTTTGCGACGGGTAACGGAGTCTTCGCTAGTTTTAAATGCATCACGACTACGCAAGGAGGAAAAGGAATGCAAAATTGTGTACGGGTACGACGGATGATAACCGCCACAACTGTTCCTATATCATTAGTATCTAATAATTTACGCAAAAATCTCAAAACCGGAGAACTCCACATCGTTTCATCTCATCAAATTGGCTTTTTCTATCTTTCTGTCTGTCGTCTCTTTCCGCACTTGTGTTTCGACCGGTTATGTGATATAATGTCGGCGGATCTGTCAACGGCCTGAGGCTATATTATCTATCTGCAAGGGGCCTTGATATCTCCATACCGTAAAGGGTCTTCACATCTCATTCCATTCTCCACGTAAGCGGGTACACGAGAAGGAGGACAGACATGTGTAGAGGTGGAGCAATCTTTGGATTCATCTGCCTCTATTACTGGCATGGTGCACTCTTTCCCTGGAATCAAACAACTATGTAGATTTGCAGCATCATCGCCTTTGTTGAGTCTCGTGATCGCTTTCGTGTGGGTGGCATTAGAGATTTGAATGAAACTGCACCTCTCTTAGATCCAGAATCTTAGCAACCCGATGGGTTGTTGCTATTGGTTCGCACCACCACGACGCGGTCTCGACACCACCTGTCCATTGTGCTTTTCTGCTCAGAAAGTTTCGCTTAAGGGGAGGGGGATCCACGAATAGAACACTGGCATGTGCTGAGGAAGGTTTTGCCCTTAGGAGCGGCATGGATATGGCGGTTAACTATTCAGGCTTCAGGTTTGGGGATCCCAACATTTCCCTTATGAGAGGTGAGTCGATTAGCCTGTGGCAAGCCTCCAATGTCCTATTGCTTCTGTTGAAAAGCGTTTCCCCTTCCAGGTCAGACATGCATCGTTTTCCAGTCCATGTGATCGAACGACTACGCAGATCAACGCAGATGGATCTTTCACATTCATCATTCGAAGACCACTAGAAGGAGGGGCCATCATAGGATGAACCAAAGAGCCCAATGACTGGGCTGATTACCCACGTGAAGAAGCCGGAAACCACCTGTTGGAGATGGCGGCGAAGATGTATCCCCCAGTTTTGGACCAGAAGGGAAGTTTAAGGTCATCAAGACCAGGGGATTGGGACCGGAGACGGAGAGAATGAAGGGGGGCCTTGAAAGGCAAGAGAATCATCCATGCCTACGGCATCAATGAAAGCGGATACGAGCTTTCATGGGGAAATCGTAAAGATGGTACTGGATGGGGTATGATATGAGGAACAGCTTGGAAGATGCCAAGAGAAATACCAGAGGAGATGACACTCTCCCATTACGCGAGTGTGGCGCGGCTACCTCGCCGGGTTGCCCGGAATGGAGGCTGTCCCTCTAGGCCCCTCCCCCGGATGACAAGCTTTTTTCGACCTGTAAGTTATATCATCCGATTTCTTGTTGAATCAAAGTCGTGTCCTCGATTCGGCACCTGCATCCAAGATGGATAGGAAGCTGCAATTTCGTTGCTGGTTCCACCAGGTTATTAGCCATGCGCCTTGAATGAAATGTGTCCGGCCCTGATTGACTTTTTGTATGTTCAGCATGTCGGCGTCCAAAGACTCCAGCGGCACCTCCAAGATGGAGAAGAGCAACGGCCCGCAGCTGAGAGGAGCTCAAAGTGACGATTTGAATCATCAGTATACCACTCCGGATGATTTGTCCGTGGATGAACAGAGTGCTATCTTACAAGCCATGAGCCTTGAGTCCCCCCCTGGAATGGTCACGTCACCAACCAGCTTATCAACGAACTTTAACCATCCAAACATTCCTCTATCATCCACTCCATCCACTCCCCTCAGTCCTACAACAGAAAGCTCTTCTCCAGGGCAGTCCAAATTCACCAAAGCTTGGCAAGAAGTCCGATATTTTGCTGGCGGTCTCATCACTCACCCCTACGAATCGACAAAGCATTACTCGATACTACGACACTCTCTCGGCATAGTCTACTATAGTGGTTCTTCCACCAATCTAGCAATTACCATCTTTTCCGACCGAGAATTGCCCTCCGATAGGACTCTGTGGCTACAACGGAAGGGATTTTCTGGGAAGACAGGCTTGAAAATTGGCGGTTTACTAGGCGCGAGAAGCACTTGGATTGACGTCACTCCGGTCGTCAAAGCCACGCCTGATCAACTTAATCCTGCCAATGAACGTGCGTGGCAGCGAGATATCAACAAGTTCCTCAAGAAAGCACCGAAAGAGATCCGATCTCACCGTGTTCGCGAGACTGACATACTCAGAATTCCTTGCGATGCCGATGATGGCTATTTGAGAGTTGTCTTGTGCACCGCTGAAGGAAAGAAGGTCCTGTGCGGCAGTCCGATATTTCGCCTCGCCTCCTCGTCCACCGACAGCAGCGTGATCAGGGGTGCGTCGCTAAAGACAATGCCAATCGAGATGGGAATCAAGTTGGCTTCGGTGGTAGCAAGCGACACCGTGTCGGCCACTCTGACACCGCTGGCCGAAACTGCTAGGTCGGCTGTGACCACTCAAATATCCCAGATATATCAACCTAGTGCGTTAGCTCAGCAAGCCATGACCACGGCCTATGATGCAAGCGGGGTCCAGGATCGAATCGACAACATGAATGAACAATACGATGAAGCTCGAGAAACCGCATTCAGTCCCTCTGAAGGACAAGCGTACGATGCCCTGGCCCGTCCAGATATCGTCGGACCGGCATCGGGTCCCGTTTCGCCTTTTCCTGTACGGTTTCATGGAAAAGTGGTACCTGGGACCGGGAGAAGTAAAGAATCGTTGAATATGCCCACTGCCAATCTAACAGGAGTACCCGAAGACATTCTCTGGCGGCACAAAGGTGTCTTTTTTGGGTGGGCTACAGTAAACTTGCCCAAGAAACTGGCTGGAGAGGAGAAGAACGTCCCTGATGAATGGCACCAAGCTCTCATTTTCATCTCCCCAGACCCTGACCGAAGGAGGACAGTTGTTCATAAGAATACTGCCCGCGTCTACTTGATACACGACTTTCAATCAGCTCAATTCTTTGATGCCAAGCTATCTGTCATCCTGATGGGATATCTGCGTGCTCTACCAGAACCCGAGCCAGGACAGGAACCGGACACTGATGCTCAGCTGTTTGACTTCTACAAAGATGTTGCCACAACCAATGCAAGCCTGTCTCGATCGGCATGGACTGCAGAGGCTAATGTGGAAAAGGTTAAATCAGCGGCCTCAAGTCGATCATTCACAGAGCGATATGTCGATTTCCGGCAGAGCAGCCAGAGGCAGATCGATCGAGTCCCAGTGCATAGATTGGGTGTGCGTACAGAAGGGGCATCTCTCAGAGATCGGTTGGTGGGAAACGGAGGAGTTTGGATTCCAAGAGAACAGTTGACTCATACGTCGACTGTCTGAATTACCAGTTTTCAGTCATCATCTTGCCTATAGCGCCATCAAAAGCTCACACTAGAGCAACCACCGCCTTCCTGAAAGCAATCTGCCTATTTCATTCATCAAGATGAGCTATAACACTTCCGATTTGACTGGAAGCAACCAATGAAAGTTTTCGAATTTTTGTCAAAATGGGACTCCGGTGAGGTATCCCATTATCCTGATGACGATTTTGTACAGGATCAATTTAAGTCCTGTCGCATGCGCAAGATCGATGCTCCATCGAGACACCTTCAAGACTCTTCGAGCTCGAGGGACAGAGATCTGATCATATGCTGCGAGGGCCTCTTCCAGCGTGTGCGTCTTTTTGAAGCAACTGGCAAGATCCCACGAGTCCATGATTGCCATGTTTGCACCATTTCCAGCGAATGGACTCACTGCATGATTGGCGTCTCCAATCCAAATGACTGGTCCATATGTGGACGGTAAATGTGGAAATGGAGGCCGATCCATGGCGTTGACCTGCATCACCGTGCTGGGATCCGTGGCAGCGATCAAATCTTTTACGACTGGAGAGAAATTTGCTGCCACCTTCGTCGATTCTTCCATGAGCTCGTTCAACCGTTCTTGAAGGATGGGATATCGTAGTCGCTCCTGGGGTTCACGACTTGCTCGACTCAGACCCCAGAGCACAGATTTGTCGTCAACGGGTGATACGAACAACCCGATTCCTTTGCCGCCCAGCAAAACTCCCCAGTCCCGATCAACGGGCTTTGGAATTTGCCCTCGATGGGCAAATCGTGTGGTTCCACCCCAAGTGTAGTATCCCGTATAGTCGAGTCTGTCATTTGGTCTCAACACTGACCGAATCTTACTCCGAGACCCATCCGCTGCTATCAAGATATCACACAGCTCAGTTCTCCCGTCACTCAAAGAAACTCGCATCTTGCCATCTTCGGTGGACTGCGCGTCGTTGACGGCCGTGCCCCAATGAATTTCAGCACCAGCTTCCGCCGCAGCCTCAGCAAGGACTTTCTGCAGCGCATTGCGACGAATCCTCATTCCCGTCAACTTCTTGGGTCCAAATGGTTGCATGGGGAAGCGGAAGATGGATCGAAAATTTTGATCCCAGATGTTGAACCTTCCCCTCTCCTCAGTTGCGTCTTCTGCATTGACACTCACGGCCCTGACCCGCTCATACATGTCTAGGAAGTCGAGGACTTGAATACCGCCTGGCCGGTTATCCGTGCGAAGAGAGAGGGAATATCCTTCGCGCCCAATACGGATTTCATAGCTGTCTCGCTCGTATACGATGACTTTGGGCCTCGAGGCGCCAGGGAAGTGATGGGCAAGGGCAATGCAGAATGTGAGTCCGGCGATGCCGGCTCCTGCGATGATGATTGTGTTGGAGGAGAGAAAGTAGGTTGCCTCAGAGGGGGAAGATGACATTCTGATTCTATTGAAAAGAGAAGACGATGAGCTCAAGGATTAGAACGCCTCCCTGGGTGGGACGTCCGGGGCCAGAATTTTTCCTACTTTAATAGGTGATTTCATAGGTAACAAGATGATATCGTATAGAGTCTCGTATTTTTAGCTTCTTCGCGGGAAGCGTACCCGCAGTTTTTACCCCAGGCACCAGCGATTCACCGACCGGTCATACATCGCGCTCACCACCCCATCACTACTTAAACCGGTCTTAGGGACTCCTTCACCTCTATCGGTTTCTTTCTCTTCTGTTTCGGAATATGGTGGCGGCTGTGTTCGTAGCTTGACTTCGAGAATTTGTTGCTCGGCAGTTGTGATCGTTCATTTGCAGGTGGCTAATGCATGAGAGAATAGCAGCCTTTTAATGGGTCGCGTAGCCTCGTTGGCCTAGGGTTTTGAGGATCTCGTCGTTGGAGGAATCATTCTGGGTGGTTAGAGCCCTTGTGGGCGGGATGTCTTACAGTATCTGCTCCTCGGGTTGGCTTGGATGCTTCAGGTACCCCGCCTCTAGGTTATTGGATGTTGGTATTGCTCTGTGGATCCACCACCGGTGTGCTGGTATCCCATCGATGACGCTTGAGAAGCAGTGTTGGCGTAGGCGTGTGCTGACATTTTGAACTCTTAATTTTGTGACAGTTTTGGGCTCTTCTGGCGTATTTGAGACACTCGGTTTTATGGTATCAATCCACGTGTGTCTTTTTTTCTGGCTTCAGCATGCCGTCTCCATATGCAGAAGATTTGCCGTGTTCCTGCACTAACCCAAACTGGGAAGGTACAAGCTTCTTTTCGCCCTTTGTGGAGTTGGAGAGTACCTCAAATCCGGCATCTTCCACTGCTCCCGTAGGTTTAAAGGTTGTCTTAACTCGCTGTCGATTGCTAGCCTCGAGGGCTGCCTCGAATTCAAAAATTCTACCGATACGACCTTGCTTCTGAATGGAGCATCTCCAGTGGTGCCATTATTCTGTTGCTCGCAACCTTATGATGGCCCGACTTCTTCCAATTCCCGGTAAAGAGAATATGGGGAATCACGCAACGGAACGAACCCGCTCGCGCAAGCCTTTCAGTAGGTGCAGAAGGTCTACCATTGACACTTCCTCAGTCTATGGCGGTTCACCCATCGCCAAGAATCCTCAATCCTGACAACGGATGGTACATCCTCGTACCGCCGATTCCCGAGACTGTCATAAAGGCGCGTTTCTATGTAATCTGTGGCTGATCAAGATGCTTGATGGCAAGAACGAGTTGGAGTCGGGGAGGCTTGCTGCAGTGGTGGATGAAGCGATGAGATGTGAAGACCAATCTCGAGGCCGGGATGGCTGACACCCGGCATAGGGTGGACCAAGATCTAATCCAAAGCCCATGGGGAAGGTTGTCGACTAGTGTATTGGACGGAATGAGACGGAGAAAGCCTCCTTCAATGCCAACCACGCGGTCAGGTCACATGACCAGATACGATCACGTGCTTCACATCGGCAAACCTGCTGTATCTTGTCAGCAGCTTCCCCAGATTTGGACGATCCGAAGAACGAATCAACAACCGCAGAAAGGCGGGTCTTCCAGCGACGGCTCGATCGAGTTTTACCGGACAATCACACGGAAAGTGTGTGATCATCTAAGCCCAAGAGATGCCAGCCTCCTGGCGCAGTTGCGTGGGCGTGGTCCGACCGACGGGACAGTAGTGGCAAATACGTAGACGGAGAGAGGAAACCGAACCTAGAGGCAGTCAAAACATTTTGGATTTCGTCAAAGCTACCAAGAGACGAGGAGCCACCGTAAAATGAACAAGATAAAGGGATAAGAAGGGCACCTCAAGGGAGGGACAGAAGAGGAGGATGGCATCGAATATGACTGTTCTGCTGACCAGCACTCTCGATGACGACTTGTCAACTTGCTCTCGAAAACATGTATCCTTGAGAGTCCCACCACCTACAGCCGCAGCTTGAGGCCGGGGAGGGCATGGAGAACCAGGAACTGGGCATGGGGATCATGGGATGGACAATCACGTGGAAACGCTAGTTTTTGGGCGTCATAATAATCAATCGATCAATCAAACTATCAAACCTTCAAGTTCCCTCCATCTTTCACCCGGTGTGCCCCTCATTTTCGGTTTTTCCCAAACAAGGAACCCGTTCTCTGCACCGCGCACATCCGTTCTAGATGCGATGTCGCGAATTCTCCAAGAGCCAATTGACTCCTTTAACTGAGCAAAAAAAGAGAGCAAACGGCAATCCCAAGAAACCATGTGGAGCGGAGAAATCACGCGTTGATTTCACCTTTGGTTGTTACCCTGCAGCTGTAGCTGGGGTTCCTCCCCGGTTGTCACACAGCTTCAACTGGATTCCCATCTTGACTCTGAGCACGACCGGCATTGTTCGGGCTAAAAAAGAGCGGAGTGATGAAAGCTACTCTGATTACCCGTCCTGGGTGGAGGCATGAAAGCGGGAGAAAGTTGTTTTCGATGTCCTCCCACGCTTCTTTTGTTCTTTCTTCCCGCGTCTCCTCTCTTTGTCAGATTTCTCCGTCTTACTCCTGCATTCTTGCACCTCATCGAGCATACCCGACACGGATCCTCAATCAATTGCGAACAGGAAGCCCGACTACCGGCATTCTCCTCTTGCCATATTCCACCACGCCAGCGACTTTCTAAACCTCCTTCTTGTGAACTGCATACGTCACGACCAAATCCTGCGCCTTCTTGATTTATTCCATCGTCGAGCACAGAATTACCTTCCCTGTTTCTTTGCTTGTCGAAGAATCGTCGCTGACATTTTCGATGTCGGAAATGAACGCTGTCCGCTTTTATGGCCAACGCGATATACGGCTTGACAAAATCCCCGTACCCTCCGTCAAGCCTGGCCAGGTAAAAATCGCGCCCAAATTCTGCGGCATCTGTGGCTCCGACCTGCACGAATATCTGGGTGGTGCAAATCTGATCCCTTCGCAAGGCCATCCTCACCCAATAACCGGTGAGACACTCCCCCTAACGCTTGGCCACGAGTTCAGCGGCGTCGTCGAGGAAGTTGGATCCGGAGTCGATCACGTCAAGCCCGGTGACCGAGTATGCGTTCAGCCCATCATCTACGACGGCAGCTGTCGAGCCTGCCGACGAGGATTGGTGAATTGCTGTGATAATAATGGATTCGTGGGTCTCTCCGGCTGGGGTGGTGGCCTTTGTGAACATATGGTCGTTCCTGCAAGCTGCGTTAAGCCGTTGCCGGACAATATCTCTCTCGAAGTTGGTGCCCTGATCGAACCATTGGCAGTCGGCTGGCATGCAGTGGACATTTCACCCTTCAAGGAGGGCGATTCGGTTCTTGTCCTCGGTGGTGGTCCAATTGGTCTCGCGGTGGTCCAGGCACTAGTTGGCAGAGGATGTAGGAATATCATTGTCAGCGAAGTCAGTGGCAAGCGGAGAGCTTTTGCCCAACAATTCGGCGCCCATCATGTGGTGGATCCGATCAAGACAGACATCGTCGAAGAGGTCGAGAAATTGACTAACGGAGAAGGAGCAGATGTGGGATTTGATGCAGCTGGTGTCCAACCGGCAGTCGATACGGCCTTCAAAGCAATCAAAGCCCGAGGAACTTTGGTGAATATTGCAGTATGGGAGAAGAGAGCGACGTTGAACATGAACGATGTTGTGTTTAGAGAAAGAGCGTATATGGGAATGTAGGTCTAGTCTTTCTTTTTCATGGATCTGAGAGAGTGGAGTCAACATCCCTGCACCCTGGATGGATGGATGTTTGCATGTGTCCACGATGCTGACTGGCTGCAACACACAGAGCAACTTATGCCCTCGGTGATTTTGAAGCCGTCGTCAAAGCCATTTCAACAGGTGAGCGATGACCTAAACTTGCGCAACTTCACGAATTCCCAATACTCTTCCCAGCTCATGATCAAGCATTCGATCCTAACTGGGTTGTCTTGTGGCAGGCGCCATGAATCCCGAAGGCATGATCACTAAAACCATCAAACTCGACCAAGTGGCAGAAGAAGGCTTCAAGACGTTGATCGAAGACAAGGAGAATCATGTCAAGATCTTGGTGGATGTTGGCGCAGGGATATAAAAAGGTCCGAGGCACGGACCGAGGTGATATGGAAGCCAGCCCAAAAACTAGGAAAGTTATGATGTGGAACGCACATTTGAAATACAATAGGGACGAAAGACTGGGGCGGGAAGTACAGCAAAGAAGAGAGACAGACGTCTTCGATCCCTCCATGCACAGCTCCAGTCCATCAGAGGATTTCCTCACCCGTCAAATGTGAATATTTGGATATTCGAAAGTTCGAAACATATTCCTCCAATATGGGACGGACGTCTGATATTTGTCCATTTGCGCAAGGGACCTGGGCTTCTACTAGTTGGTATTTTGTATTTGTACCAAATCCCTTACATACCACACTCGAATATTACCTTTCCTTGTCCTTTGCTGTCTCCTAGCTAAGGAAGCGGGTGTCATTACGACCACCGCCGATGATGTCGTGTCTACACAATCTATTTATTCACATACTTTCAAGCTTTCGCTTCGTCTCTTGTTTATTTCTTTTTCTCTTTCCATCTTGTATCTAATTCTTGCCAGTACTTCTGTCGCCATCGCCATCATCAAAGTTGTCGTCGTCGTCGTCGATTCAAACTGTCCGTCTCTAGCAAGAAAACCCATAACGCTAAGCTCTTTTTAATTACTAGCTGTATTCATCTCACCTGTAGCATCACCATCACGCGCATTGAGCGTAAGCTGCTGCCATTATATTCTATCAAGTTCCTAGCTCCAAGCTCGTATTCAATATTCGACATTAGCAATCACAATTCTCGATTGGTGAGGCAAATAGCAACGGCAACGACAACGGCGCTGAGCGTGCTCGGTGTTATAGCCGTTTGATGTGCTCTAAATCTCCATTTTGTTTGCGTCTTCTACTTTTTGGCCGAGATTATCCAAGCCAATATGCCCTCTCAAGGAAATGTCGATGTTTTCTTTTTGCATTGAAGACATGTTCGTGATTCATTAGTCTGCAAAGTTCAAAAAAATACAAACCCTTTTGTCTTTCAAAACAATCGTGGTGGGCTAGTTGAGATGTTCAAGTTCCGGCCGCGCCACAGACCTCGGAAGCGGGTGCGGACTTGACTGTGCCTGTACCGATGCCAGTGTTGGCGAGGCTTGTCCACTCTGATCCTCGGAGTGCTAGGATCTTTCAATTTGTGCACCGTCACTAACTCTTTGTTAATCTCAAAATGTTTGATGAACAATGCAGATGATCGGCGCCAAACTCGCACGACCGCAGGAAAGCCCAAACACGTCGTGGAAACCGTAACCGTAGGCGAGTGACAGGAGCACATTGAGACGTGTCACCTATATTCTTGAGGGCTGCGATGTGGGCTATAGCATATATAGCCACGGAAGCGAGGAGATTGAACTCGCGCAGTTTCGCCTCCATGATGTCTTGGAATATGGAGCCACCCGCCAATATGCCAATCGCCATGCCGAAGCTGAGGAAGAAGACGTACGTGGCGATCGCGGCGTCTTCATCGCTTGTATGAGCCCTGTTTGGGCCGTGCAATTGAGTGCGCTGAGGCGTAGGCCGTGCTCGAAGCCGAAGATAATCATGTGGTGGCGGTACTGGAATTGTCGCATCACATGATAGTCAAGTCCGCGGCGAACGTGGAGAGAACACGGCCAGTTGAGATCGCCCAACAGAAGCTGCCTGTGCGAGTGATTAGGGCGCCGATGATAGCAGTTCCTGGGATCAAAGTGAGCATGATAGAGAGGATGGTGACGCCGGTTTGAACCGGGGGATTCAGACAGATAGATTCGAATAAAATTGGCATATAGTGCAAATGGCCGGAGAGCTGTGCATCGTCTTGTGTGTTAGATAAAACTGCAAGCGAAAAACAATCTAAACGGTTGAAGGGAAATGGAAAGGAAAACTTACAAGAAGACCCTGCGCAAACGTGGCGGCGTAGACAGCGAATGTTGATGGATGATGGAAGACAGAATGTCTCTAGAACGGAGGTCCCAAACCGTTCCCAGAAACCCCATCAATGTCCCGATGGAGTGATAGTGCCTGAACGTCGCCTAAGTACAAGACTATACCGTTTGCAGAGGCATTACGCGAGCTGACACTAGCTGATTGTCATTTAATCTTGGGCCTATTCAACGCAGTCATCACTTGGCCACGACCTAGTAAGTAAGCGCAAGGCTGATGCCAGGAGACTCCGTAACTGGGTCCAGCATGAAGCTTCCCCCTTGGCTCAGCCATAAAGGACGGTAGAATGAATGGAGACGGGAAGTGGTGATTGGTGGAGAAGATTGTGAACAAAAGGAAATATGTGGATCACCTGCACTCGGCAATGTCTAAATACTGTTAGAAGGCTATTCAAAAAGGTATAATTTTGCTCCATATCAACACGGTGGCTGAGCCCATCCTCTTTGTAGTAGAAGCTCTCCTCTCACGAATGTACCCAATATGGAGATTTAGCCACACAGCCTTGTCGGCCTCAATCTGGTCAGCTCCAAATGCTGCTCTCCGACTGGCTACAAAGCCACCAGCGCTATGGATAAGTACCCCGGTCTCCGGCTTTTGTCGCTTCAATGACCAGCAACATGGACAATTGGTTTTGCGTATTGTCGTTCGTTTTTGCAAATACCTCTTGGTCTGCCTGGACCCTCTCCGCACAACATTATCAGCCTTATGCCTTGTTTCTCGCTGAGGCATAATTATTTCGTCCGCAACTCCGCGTGCAGAAGTGGATAACGGTATTGCTCGTTTATCACACCCTTCGTTTTGATGCCGTGGGCGAGAGTGAACCTCACTGTTCCTCAGGATCCTGATACCCTGACAAACGGTCGCCCTTGTCAGTTAATCCACTAACCGCAGACAAATTGGTAAATGCATCCAAGGGGTGGGACTTGTTCATGCGATTGTTTTTATTAGGTACTCGACCATTTCCTGACACCCAGACCCTTTCTCCACAAGTGGTCTTTTGGAACAGGTGTTGTTCTCTCGCCGTATCTTTCTGAATGAGCGTCTACTAAGTATCTAGCTGTCTTTTTCGTGTAAATATTGATGACTTCCCTTTTATACCCATTCCAGAGATATTCCGCGGTCCTCAGCTGCCTCCTCTTCCTCCGGAATACTACTTAATGGGCGTCCAAGTTCTGACTTCTTCGAAATCAAACACATAATCCACGCATCTTATTCGTACCTCAAGGGCGAGAACGTCTAATCATCTGACTCGAATCGAACACGATCTTCGCTCGCTAGGATCTCGTCATCTGCTTTGAAGGTCCTCACGCTCCTATCCGAGCAGATCGAACTCTACTAGGAAGATCACTGGCGTGGGAATGGATTCGCCAACAAACGCCAAAAACAATCCAAGTTCGCCGTCAGGCCCATCATCTCCTCGAAGTGATACCAGCTCATCTCAGAGCAATCCACAGCTACTCTGGGCCACAAATCTCCATACGGATGCACAATCAACAAGTTCGCTTGCCGAGGCCCTCTCAGATCGATCGGATAGCCTCGCCTTGTGCATGTTTGGTGGGCTAGTTGATGCTTCAAGTAACTTGAAGACTGAACAGAAACCAAAACTCACGGGCATCAAGGTCGAACCAGGGTCAAGCTGAACTTCTCCAGTCTCAATCACGAGATGATGTTGATAAGTCGGGGGTGAAAAGTGTGCAGCTTATCGATTAAGCACTAAGAGATGTAGTTCTTGCATCTGGAAACCCATCCAGGAGGGGAATACGCGTGGATATGTCCAAAATTTGAGGCCGCAGGCCGCTCTGGACGCTGTTTACCAATGTCCATGACTGCCTGATGGAGCTAGGATGCGATCATCACATGCCCTGTGCGTGATCGGAGGCGGCACAACGTCAGGATCTATCGTGTTGATGTCTGGTGACCGTCATTATATCTGGTCATGGACTTCGGGAGGCAACCCGATCGTGGATATTAATCACCGGATTTCTCATGGATAAGGTGACTGCTGCAAGGCTACCCAGATGAGGCTGACGCCAAGAGGAACCTGAAAAGCCAACATGGGAATTTTGTCAGTTGTCGAGGGCAAGCATTTTCGGTTGAGGTCATTGGCAAGGATGCAGTCATCCATGATCTTTCCTGGACCGTGATTCAGCGGTAGAGTCTTCTTGGTAGGGGGTCCGATTTCGGCAATGATAATGAATATTTCTTTCTTGCTACTGCATCGTGAGCATTGCCGTGTCATTGATCTTCCTTTACTTGCATGTCGAGATGCCATCATCGTGCCCAATGGGTCGTGCCGCCAATTTGAGGACATTCGACCTTTCCAGGCCCTGATTTGACGAATCAGACGTCGCAGCCACGTAGAGTACGAGCATGATCACAACAACCTCGATGCCACAAACTTCCATATCAAATTGTCGATAATTAGGGCTTGGCATTTCGTTCTCCATGGACGACCCCCTCGCCACAGGCCCGATGCGCCATCTCCTTAGCAGGGCCCCGGACACTGGACAACCGTCCGAAAGAAACCGTCAGGGGACTAAAAAATGCACAAGACGTTCAAGAGCCGGTGCGGCGGTAATCGTAATTGGAAAGGGTACTAGCCGAGATGGTAAATTTTGATCTTGCATCGCGTTCAGACACAGATCCGCCAGGACCCGCAAACGCCAAATTCGAGTTTGAATTTCGTCTAAGAATTGCTGAGTGATAATGTGAGATCAGATCAAACCAGGGTCACGGCCATACATCTGTAAATAGGCAAAAGGTGAACTTGACCCGGTCTTCGGTCGTTGATGGCACGTCTTCGCCCTGTCCAACGCCCGTTGCAATTTGGGTTGATTCCTGTAATTTGTGTCGAGTCAATACAACCAACCCGTTCTAGAAACGAGTATTCGCATGTTGACCATCCAGCTGTGCATTCCGACATCGCTGAGCCAGGTTGCAACACGTAGCGTCTAATGTCTTGAATCACGTGACAAGGTCAAGCGCATTACCTTTATCGTCGATTCGTATCATCCGCCTCGGGCCTGGGCGAGAAGCTGAATCGCCCACAAAGCGTGGTTGTGGCTAATAGCCATCTTTGTGGAGATGGGAAGGGTCTGTTCTCCCTAGAGTCCCTTTTGCTGTGATAGATCGGGGTGAAGCTTTGTGCTGTTGGGTGTTCAATAGCCTGGTTTGAATTACCGCCCTCAAATCAAGTAGCGGAGTACGGGGATCTGTATCGCTTGGCTACGGAAGGTTGCTTGTGCTTTGCCGAATTTGTGACTTGGAAGAATCCGTCACCTTTCAACTCGGCTTTGCAGACACAGGGTGCGGAAGATAGATCCATGGGGCTGTCGTTCGAGGACTTCAGCGGGACATCGACAAAATCTCTGGGGGACGGTCGCATTTCTTGCTGGGCTTGTAAAGTCCTACAATTGCCTTTCTAGACATCACTCCAATCTGTCTTGTCTGGTCGTTGGCAACAATTCCTGGCGAAGGTCGTGAATGCAGGGTATGCCATCAACGCTCTCGACCTTTCGAGTTCGATTAACTGGAAGTTGATATATGTCATTTCCACGTTTGGGAACTGCTCAGAGCTGATCCGCAGATTATATTTGCTGAGGACGGACTGTCTGAGGTCCATTTGCCAGTATGCTAGGATGGCTTTGAACGCCACTCGCTTTTCGACAAAGTCGTAGCCACACCCTAAAAAGCAACCTGTCGATGGCGGGCTGACGCGCTGAGACGATCTTGAAGCTGGAGTGAAGTCGATAAATGTGCGTTATTTCCGATCCTTTCGGAGAGGGATCATAACACTTGGACGCAGCTGTGAGCAAGAATCCAGTGCTCTACTTCCCGTCGAGTCAAAGTAGTGGCATAACGCTTCCAATCCGCTGTCTCGTGCCCTGGAAGAACCTGAAATTACTTCGTCTTATCGTTCCGCTTCTTTGATTTCTCGAGCTTCTGTAGTTCTTCTCTTAGAATTGTCTCCAATCCTTCGTTTCTTCGAGTCAGAAGCATCACATCATCAGTCTTTATAGTGGTCCGTCCTGCGTGTCTGGCGAAAGATTCGAGGTCGATAGCAGCATTTCCTGATCAAGTCTCTTTATCAGTATGAGGTTTCACCATGAGCCGCAGGATAATAAGGATACGGTTTTTTGGGTTGGAGGAAAGGGGAAGGAGGAGGGGGAGGTAGTACCAATCTGTGCCCAGACCAACTCCATCAAACTTCCAATGAACTGCGGTGTTGCATTGACACCCAGATTGATACTTTCTTCATCGACAATCTTGCCAATCTGAAACCAGAGGGATGACCGGAGTTTCTAGGGGTGACATAGTGCTTATCAGCAGGTTTTCGTGAATCCGCAAAGGAAATCGTCTGACTTGGATTGACGGGGGAATTGCGAGTGTATTCAGTACAGTTGAATCCCTCATCAATTCGTCTCGACATACCTTTTGCAAGGCTTCTGCGTCTGAATCTGTTGCCGAAGCCATTTAGGAGATTCTGTAGAAGCAACGTCTCAAACTGCGACTACGAGGAGAAGTAAACACGGCTTAATCACGTCGGCGTGATGAGCGGTGAAACGGTGGACCATTTAGTGGTGTTGGCTATCATGCGGCGGAGCACGAAAACCATTTTGCCATTTGCAGAGCTTCGCGTAAATTTCAATGTAGGATTTTGGATTCTTCATCTTGAAATTCATTGCTCATCGCCATGTTTGCCTAGGGTCTGATTGATCTGCTAAATGAGCCTTCTTGAGACCAGCTTCGCCTCGTTACTCTTTTCCTTCAAATTACATCCCCGGACTCTCACAGGCGAGTGGATAATTATCGATTAATCAATCTAACTCGTATCAGCAAAATTTTCCGCTGGGTTTTCATCCGCCGAAACTGCTTCAGATTTGTTTGCCTTGGTGGCTAGTCTCCGTTAGATACACGCGCTCAATAAGTTTCGGAACCCGCACAGAGTCGGAAAACGAAGAATTTGATGGATCTCGAGACCGGAATCGTACATTGGCGACCATCTTCAATCCCACATAATGCAGCCATCTCCTCTTCCTTCACAAGCAAAGGGAATCTGCAATCAGGCGTTTTGCTCCCGAATCCGGCGCGCTCCACATGAACAGTGTCCAATCTAATGAGTAACGCAGAATTTCTTGTTGCAGTCCTGTGAACTCCCTGTGTCGTCCGGAGAGAAGAGAGAGACTCACGTCGAATAGTCCCAGCAAGGAGTATGCTCTGTCTTCGACTCAGGTAGTTTCCCCCCAAACCATTCGTTCACTAGGAGTGTAATGGGACGGAACATGTGGTGAATTCAATGCAGACTCTGGTATTAAGATGACCTTCGAGATGTACGTTGTGACCATAGCCGGTGGGAAGAAGAATGTCCTCGTCATAGAAATCCACATGCCTTGGAGCAACAAGCTCCTGGAGAGTCCACCCCCGAGTGAACCATAGAGATGATCTGAAAGAATGTTCCCGCCAAAGCCAGTCGCCAGGACGGCTCATTCCGACCAGTCTGCTCGGAAAAATGTCTATTAGATGAGCAATATAGACCACGGATTGTTTGTACCACTTGCATATGGAATTGATAACTTTAGATAGCTCAGCATTACTAGATTGATCGATCCAAGGATCCAAATTCGGTTACTTGTGCGGATTTGTCCAATGCTTTTGTAGACTTTGGCCCCAAGCGAATAAGTAAAATGACCCTCCTATGCATGTGTTGCTCGCATCGTATGGAGAATCCAGGTGCTCATGAAAATATCATCTGGCACGATTGTGTCGTAGTCCATCAGCATATCCTGAACCGCCTGTTTGCTCTTATTTAGTTTTATCATATTAGTTGGTGACAGCTCGAGATTGGCACGATGCAAAATATCTGTCAGGAACGGTGATCGATCTCCGGAACTTCCATCTTCAAGGAGATGATGACCTGCTTTATGAGCCATGCGCTCGATGGCCGTCCGCAGATTTGGGATCTGATAACTGCAGGCGACAACAGGAGCCCATTGTACAAATTGACTCACTGCAGCAATATATGTCATATACTCTTCCTAGAAGTCCATGGTGTGCGGTGGGGATGATTGCAAGGTTCGGTATGTCTGGTTGAAAGGGAACCAGCAATGAGCGTCTGGCTCAATACAGAGTGACTCGCAGGCCAAGCTGGTCAACACCTTTCACGAATGACAGAAGCTGCTCTGGATACAGCTCACCTTTGCAGCTCAACCAACCGTATCGGACAAGGGTTTTCACTTCTGGGGCCCAAATTGTCCCTTGAAAATTGCAGTGGGACCAGCCTTCTTCCGGATCGTAGCCTGTTGCCATCGGCAAGTAGTGCATTCTTTTAGCCAAAATCGCATCGATGTAGATCAAGTAAGACCTCAGGAAGTACCTGAAAGTTTTCGCGCTGTGAAACCACTGAGGTATTTTCATCATACGTCCTGCTGTAAAGAACGTCTTGAACTGAACTGTGGGACAGACGTACACCAGCTTTGGAAGATTGGATCGGTAATGGGCCCTTCATCAGACACGGTGCCAGAGACGTCTAATGACATGTAAATGGAATACGGCGGTCTCTCGGAAATCTCATTCTGATTGAATTCAACCTCTAGCAGGCTTTTGGAACATCCTCTAATGCACTTGGATAGCTGTTGGAGTTCTCTTTGCAGAAAAGTCGCCGTTTCTTTTGTATTGGTCCCCACTGAAGTGTCCTGTTCATGGTCTTGATTGGTGATGACCATTTCAACAAACCAAAATCGAGGAAGCCCGAGCATGAACAAACCATTTGTCTGAGAGGCCAGCTCTAGGATCTAAAAACGGTATACCTAATATGGCGGCTTAGTCGAGTTTAGAAGATTGGCCGACAAGTCCTCGAGCTTCGTGGAAAGTGTCAAGATAGTTGATTGGAGATCTGTAAGCCGGTCGCCTGCGATCCAGCTTTCTGCAAGGTTTCGCAGGACCAGTGCTACCCAAAGGAACCCCCCGTCACACTTTTCAGCAATTGTCTTTCGAAGCCACTGGAATTGCTGCTGATTCACATGTAAATTTTGAAAATCCTCATTCTTCGAGAAGATATCTAAGCGATGAATGTCCCTCGACGAGATATCCTGCAAACGCGGTCGTAGATAATTTGAGAATGTTGCATCGAGGATGGGGCGCTCACGGCTCGAAACGCAGGTTTTCACGTTGCCAGATTGTTTTGAGGACCAGCGAATTAAAGAGCCTAGCAGGGAGTCATACCCTATATCGCATTCCCTCGGGTTCGAACTCGTCTGGGCCGTCAATGAAGAGAGCTAATCGGTGACTCCCGAATGTATTGGATGCATCCATGAGAACATCAAAGGCGTTCTCGAGCTCAATCGAATCAAATGAGATTGTGGATATTGCATGGAACATATCCTCCGTCCTTTGCCCCTGCTTCGGCGGCACCTTTAGAATCAGGTCCGGAAATTCTGCGAGAATCGAGTAAAGTAGGCTGCGGATCAGTCCTTCCGAAGATTTTCTGCAACCTAGTGCCAGATCTCCAGAGAGAAGTGGGCCAGCACCAGATCTTTGTCGTCTGTCCTGCATTGAAGTGCTACTCTTCTCTGAGCGTTTTCGTGTAAGAACCTCATCAAGGTCGATTTTCCAGACCCTGGTCTGTATCATACATGGAAAATGGATTTATCGGTCCACAGCCACGCATTGCAGTCAGCTGCGACTCCGGCCATCTTGGTGGTCGTTTCCCCGTTACGTATGGCTGAAAATTTCTGCATTGCATCCACAGTCAAGTTCTCGTTCGGGCTATCTACGCTGAACAGCCACTCAAACGCTCGTTCATGAGCATCGTCGATCGATTGATAGTGCTCGTTCATCGCCTTGAACCATAACCCTCAAGAATCTGTGTGTGGCGAGTTTTGAGGGCAATTCACCCGAAATTTTGACAACTCTGCGCAGCGGGTGAATGGCGTCGGTCCCAAAAGATGTTACATTCCCCATAGCGAATAGCATCCACATGGTCTTGGGGTGTCTTGAGGTCCATGGTCTGGCACTTGGTGGACGGATCCTTAGCCTGTAGTCCCTTGAGAAGCTCGAGCAAATCATCCGCGACGACTGAACACTCAGACGTGAGATCATTGAGAGATTGGGAGCTGGCATCAAGCCGCTCTGGAGGAATTTCTGACTCGAGGCTGACTGACAATCGCTGAAGGCCTTTAGTTACCTGCTGGAAAGTCTTGTCGGCGTCTGTAGATCCTGTAGTAGAATGATAGATCTCTTCAGCAGTTGCCGGGGTGGTTGATGTAAAGTCGATGACAACCGAATCCATCGAGCTTGAATGTAATCAACTTGAGATCAAGCACAGCAGAGCGTGCGGTCATACTGCTCATGTGGTAAGACGGGAGTGTTGAAAAAAGGAGGCGGAAATGAAGCACTTTCGTTTGCTGTACAGGCCAGAGGCAGGAATCCGCAACGTGGCGGTGCAGTGAAGCCTCAATGACTACTGCGGAGTGTTTACTGATTAAGCGCACAAGGATCCGCCTTTACGGCGCCATATACACCCCCTTTTGTAGGGAATTGTCGTGACATTCCTATGCCGAGTTCAATGATCCTCACGTGTCGTGTTACCAGGCTCAACTTCGGCTCAGCCTCCCCTTGAGCCGCTCAGGCTGACCGCCCCTTAGCTCAACTACTACCCATTCTCATCACCTATTCTCGGTCCCATTTTCGGACCTCTACTCTTTTTGAATACTCATACCTTACTTATAAGTATCTCTTTTCGAGGACGATGGTGAATTTCTACGGCCGTCTATGAGTAAACCACTAGTATGCAAAGTCATCGAAAAAAGCTCAAGCTTACGAGGGCCACTGTGAATAAGCCACCCGATTACGGAGCGTATAAATGTTGTCGGACCCCCAGTACTCAACTCGACCATAAAGGCATGGCAAGGATTAGGTACTTGCCGAAGCGGGCCTGTTATCGGTTTTTCGGAGACGAATCAGATGATCCAAGGCAGCGCTCAAGGCTCGGCCCACCCATTTTATGGAGAACAGGGGTTCGCCAAGAGCTTCAGTATGCAGAGGTTGAAATCACCTCAAACTGTACCACTGTACTCTTCAGACAGCTTGGCGTCATGGGGTCGTTTGAGTGCCGATGGATAGAGGCAGACTCGCATGCTCACTCGTCTTTACGTACGGGGAGCCGGACTGAATGGAGAATCTTAGCTGCCCATGCGCGATATATCTGATGGTGGTATTCGTCATCACTATCTGGAAAGCGCTTCAGAACTCAGAGAATATGTACTGCCCATGGAGCCCACCATCTTCATCCAATATCACTCCATTTGATTTTCCTCCGCTCATTTTTGATTCCGCCTCCAGGTGAGGGACAAGCCGTGGACCGAGATTTTCGGGCATCGTTCTTTCCAATTCAGAAGAAGTCATTGAGCCGGGCTCATACAGGTCATTCATTTCTCCTAGAAGCCATCTGCCCCACAATACCCAATATGCGTGGTCACTTGATTCCCATCCTCCTCATGACGATGGTCAACGCATTGCCACAATCCGTGGTCCCTCCCACCGATGCTGCAGCCACCGCGGTGGGAAAAGGAAAGTTTACAAGTATGTCCTTCCATCATCAGTATGTTCCAATTGTTTAGAGGGCAGATTTGACGAACGCAGTCAGAAGCAATCTCTCAATCCACGCTCGGGCCAATAGACTCATACCGGTTGTGGTCGGTGGTGTCCAAGACGTTTTTGTGCCAAATTTTGTGACTGCGGCAGTCGGTGATGTTATTCAATTCCAATTCAGCGCGGGAAACCACACCGTTACAGAGAGCACCGCAGATGCCGCATGTCAGCCGCTGCAGGCAACGGTGCCAGAGGCCATCCATAGTGGCCACATCCCCTTTGAGACTGGTTCTACAATGGTTGGCACCTTCAACATGCCGGTGACCACTACAGACCCCGTTTTCATCTATTGCGCCACCGGACCTCATTGCCAAGAGGGCCAGGTCATGATTGTGAACCCGTAAGGATTTCTCCTTCGGAGTTTGCAGGATGACAGACCATGCTAATAATGACCTTAGGACGAGCGAACAACAGCTCTTGGACTATGCAGAGCTCTCCGCGGCCACAGAGGCAAGCGTGGACGGCACAACGGTCTCCGGTGGCACAGTCGGCCAGATACCCCTGGCGGATGCCGCATTTACTGCACCACCAGCCGAAGAAGAAGCTCCTGCAGCTCCTGCGGCTTGAGAGATGGAGCTGAGAATTTGGGAGAGATGCCGACAGATCTGCCGAACGAGGGCCAAGATTGCTGAAGAGGAGCGAATTGTATATCCGGACGAGGATTTCTTGTGGTTATGAACTATCGGCGGCTTCGCCGTACGTGGACGCTTGTCGATCCAAGGTTTGTCGTGTGGGGTATGTTTACCAAGAAAGTGGACTGTCTTCGAAGAGAGAAAATCCTATTATGTTCAACAAGCGAGGAATTCTGATCTGTAGGAGTGTAAGATCCATAATCTCCCACTTCTGAGTGACAATGAATGCTGTCATTGGGCCAAATTCCATAGGTCAGGGTAGTCCCATCCAATTTATCAATGATAGAGGTCTGCACAGTCACTGACGATTTCCATGTCGATTGTCCCTTTATGGGCATTGATGTCAGGTCGGCTCAATTGCAAGGTCAGTGCCATGCCATTGAACGATCATTGTCGTGATGGGATGGAGAGACCCCGATGTTGTCAATGATCCTTTTAGCATATATCCATGACTAGTCAGTTACTCGTGACGCAAGATGGGTTCCTTGACAGAAAGATGGTAAACCGGGAACGTCTCAGGAGAGAGGCTCTGGGCAGAGAGTTTCGGACAACAGAAAGTTGTCTAAGCACCCATTGAACCTGGTTGCACGAGGGTTGTCAGCAGAAATGGCGAGGTACCTCAAATCCCTAGTAAAAAAGGGGGAGTTTTCAGGTACCTTTCCACCTACTTTGCTTCTCTTGCATAGCTGGCACTTTTTGGTGCTCTCTTTATAATGGGTTGAGGCCCTTTGGCTGAACTTTTCGTGCTGGCCTTTACAGGCCTTTTGTTGCGATGTCAAGGTATCTCTGTCGTCGATAAGGAGCGGTTGAACATAGATATCTGGTTCATGTTCGAGGTCGTCCAGGAACGGACTGCCATTGCTGGCCGACTGGTGTGAGGTTGTGAAAGTCAAGAGGCTGAGCGTTGCACAGTACAAGAACTTGGGTGGCCGTCTCCTCACGTGTAGGGCAATCAGGTCAACATTACATCAGTGCCGACAATAATACTGTACCGGCAGCAACTCTGGAGTTCGGCAATGATTTTGTGCTATCAGCCAGCGAAGATAGGGTGGTAATGGTATCGTTGATAGTAGCGGCAATCGTCGACCGTGACAGAGGACCGAGTCTTCGCCTTCCGACCCGAGGAGACGATGAACGGAAGTAATGGTGAAGGCAAAGGAATAAAGCCGGCTGAACAAGAATCCATGCCATGACATGCAAGGAGCAACATCACTGACGCGATTCAGTTTCGGTACTTGGATTGGTATGTTTTGACTACCTCCAGTCATAAATTCTAACCCAACGTGTTATGGACCTTGATATCTCCGCTAGGTCTAGCAATCCCAAGATGATTTTCCCAATCCGATCACCGCTCCGATCTCGATTGGCCATAACATCTAACCTATCGACCGCGGTCAGGCCTTGCTTATGAATGCAGCGACAGCGTCCTGCATGAATCTGGCAGTCTCGCGGACGGTTGGCGGGGTCACCAAACTGAAGTGATCTGCACCCTCAACAACATGAGTTTCGACCTCACCCAGCAGTTTGTCCCATCCATTCGGCCCAAAATTGGTTCTCTTTCCATAAAACCAGCCGACCAGACCCAGTCCCTCATCTTCCATGACGTTTCCGTCCACATCCTCGATACCTTGTGCCCACTCGGGGATTTCCAGACCCTGCTCTTTGATCACGTCGATCATGCCCTTTCTTGCCCATATGACCACAGTCTTCAGTGGTCGTTTACCCTCAGGCATCGGTTGAGCGTTGTACACCATCAGTTGCTTCACAGTGCTGAGTAGATGTTGCCTTTGCTTCTCTGATATGGCCCCGAGAGCCTTTCCGGCCCGTTTGATACCCACCGTCAACCCTACCTGGTCGAGAATTTCCATCGTCGGCTCCAGTCCATCAGGCATTGGTCTTGGGACGCGCATGTCTAAAAGTATCAGGCCGAGGACTGTTTCACCTCCGTCGATCAAGATGCGTGCGACTTCGTATGCGTACGCCGAGCCCGCAGACCAACCTCCGAGCATATACGGGCCTCGCGGCTGCGTCTTTCGGATGGCATCCACGAATAGCTGCGCCATTTCGTTGATTGAGATGGTGTAGTCCAAAGGACAGTGAAGGAACGGTGATTCAAGCGCGTATACTGGAAGCCTGTTGGGAAAGAACGGTAGATGCAGATACGCCGTGCTACTTCCGGCGCCGTCGACAAGCAGAAACAATGGTATTTGTCCTGATGATGGCCGACCTTGAAGCAAAACCACGTTACTGGAATACGTCTTCGTTGCCTGAACAACGTCTGACTTTGATTTCTCTTTCTCAGATGTCGGTGCCGGTGGCTGTTCCGCCATCCCAGATCCCGAGAGGGCAATGACCGGCGGTGGGTCCGGCTGCCCGATGCTCCGCACGACGGACGGTGGATCTTCACGTCTCTCCTTGTCAACTGAAACGGCTTTGGCTGACTTCGGGGCGTCTTTCTCCGGCTTGGAGAATTTAGGCTCTTCCAAGGCTACTGGCTCCGCCATCTCGGATAATGCTTTTCTCATCGCCCCAACGGTCGGGTGGGCGGTGAAGAACGCGGCCGGGACAGAAATGTTACTGCTTCTCTTGATGGCGTCGATGATGGCGACACTCATCAATGAATCGACTCCCATGTCCTCAAAAACGGTGTCTTCGTGCATGTCCTCCACCGGATACCCAGTCTCTGTGGCTATGGTCTTGAGGGCCAGGCTGAAAATGTTCTCTGCATCCAAGACACCGACATCGGAAGTGGCGGCCGAAGATATCTCCGAGTCAGACGACCATGGGGTGTTCACACCGGTGGTGACAGTACTGACAGAATTATAGTACGAATCACGCGGCGTATCCTGGCCGGATGGTGGAGAGGATCTCAGGAACGTCTTACCCTGCATATGGCCCGCAGGGGCCACAGTGTCGCGAGACTGGCCAAAAAGAATCGAATGCAAGATCCTCTTCGGCATTCTCTGGAACATCACGCCTCCGCAGACTCCGATAACTTTGTCGTCCTCGAAAATGTAGACATCACCGGTCAGAACGCCATTCTGCCGTGCTTGTCGCATACGAACGTAGCTGAGGTACGTTTTGGTCTCGGAAGGCTCTCCCATGATCCGCAGGCTTCTCACACCGGCAGAGAAGTATGCAATGTCATCCGGAGTGTCGACGCTTCCGTTGAGCAAGAAACCCGCCAACTGAACCAAGGGGTCGAGCCAATACGGAGCATAAGTAAATTTAGCCCCGTTCGGAACCGGTTTGAAGTTGACCACCGCAACACCATCATCTTCAGGACCCAGGATCACCTCGCTCATGCCTTGATACTGGTCGCTGTAAGAGACAACATTGTTGAAAAGCTTGTACACGTATCGTCGCGAGAGCCTTTCGGTCTTTCCGATCCTCGCGGAATCACGTATCGACTCGATTCGGCCGCGGACGAGATAGGCGGTGTCATTCCAGCTCTCCTGCCATTCAGCAGAATCACCGAATCGGACGGAGCATCCGCCGTGGGTTTGTAACTGCTTTTTGTTTTGGGAGTGAAAAGAGATTGCGACCGTCCAGCCGGACTCCGCAGAGGCGACCGCACTGACCCGGATGATTTGATTTGCTCCTGACTCAGCCAATGTCAATGCCTGCGTGAGATTCAGGTCTTCGATAGACATCGGAGGTATGGATTTTCCGGGATGCAGCTTTTGGTGGATATATCTTCCCGCTGTATAGGCCATATCGGCGAACACACTACTGGGGCAGATCGGTTTTCCGTTCACAATATGCCCTTGCATCACAGCAAGCAGGTTCGGCTCGGCGGTCTTCGACACGAAGTCAACAGCTACCTTGGTCGCCGACAACGATTCTGTCTCGACGCGTTGAAGTGTTGTTGTGGGAAAGCCTTGAACTTTCGTGTCTTGACTGCTCGTCCTGTCTATGCCTTGGTCATCGCGCATTGACGCAAGCGCGGGCTCTTTGAATGTTGTCCAGAAATCTTTGACATCAAACGCGTAGGTGGGAAGATGCAAAAGGTTGAGATTCTCAGCATGATCACTGTGAAAGGCTTTCCAATCAATGTCAATACCACGACTGTACGCTGTATGCAACGATGTGGAAATGGTTTTGAAGTTGTCCTCGCGCGGCTTAAGTGATGCCATGCGTTGCGATGTCGGAATGTCAACACATGCCGACGCAAGCCCCAGACAGACAGGACTGGGACCCACTTCGAGCCACAGACCGTCGTCCTTGATGAAGTCAGCATTTCGACAGGCATTGATTGCACCCAAAAAATCAACAGGTTGACGCATCTGCCTGACCATGTAACTGCTCGAGAAAGTCCCGGTTTCGCGCACGATTTTGCCCTCCAGTGTCGATGCGACAGGTATCAGCGGCTTGTTGAAGACGACTCCATCCGCGAGAGTCTCATAGTCCGCCAAGACGGTGTCCATCTGGATGGAGTGGAATCCATAGGCGTTCTTCAGCATATCAGTTCGGATTCCGGCTCTGTCGCAATCCTCGCTGAAGGTTTTGATGTCTTTCAACTGCCCACTGACAACCGTGCTGGCAGGGTTATTGATGCAGGATATCTCGCAAGCTGTGGTGCTGCTGGCTAACCTGCTTTGAAGCTCGGCAACTCCAAGCCTGACTGAGAGCATGCCATACGTTCCGTTTGAGCAATGCTTTTGGACCAAAGTGGCACGATGCCCGACAAGGTAGAGCGTATCGCTCAGCGACAAGACGCCGGCGACACACAGTGCAGCGTACTCGCCAAGACTGTGGCCCACTACCACAGTAGGGAAAATGCCCCATGAGTTCCAGGTCCGTGCTAGAGCGATCTCGAGCGACACGATGGCAAGCTGGATTTCAATTGTCGATCTCGCATTGACGTCAACTGAGTCGTCTGCGATCAGGTCCGCAAAAGGGGGAAATCCTAGGAATTCGGCCTGTTTCTGGCAAGCCAGAATACATTCGCGGAAAGCGCGACAATTCCTGAACAAAGTCCTTCCCATACCGCTGTATTGAGCACCTTGCCCGGTGAAAAGAAACACTGTCGTGATTTTGTCACTGACGCGCTTTGCCTCGGCAGACACATCCGCCTCAACCAGTTCAAGCAGGTCATCGGCTGACGAACTGACATAGGCACTCCGGAATATATCGTGGCCTCGGCGTGCTGTACTTGTATATGCCACGTCAGCAATGCTCACGACATTCCCTAACAGGAATTCAACAAGACGATGTTTAGCCTTTTTCAAAGCGCTGCTGCTCCGAGCGGAAAGTGCGACAATATGGTATCTGCGAGGATCTTGTTCTTTGCTCTGTTTTGCTGGCGCATCCTCGATGAGCAGACTTGCATTGCCGCCCTAGCCATACAAAATCAGCTTTCATCGGCAAAACCAGAGCTCCGAGACTTACAGCAGCGTCGAAATTGTTCAGCAAGATTCTTCGTACGCCGTCACTCGTGGCGCTTGCCTCGAAGCCCACAGGCTCATGCGGGAATTGTATGTTGAGCTCTTCCAATCGTGGATAGTTGACATTCAATTTGGCAGGCATGCCGACTTGTGGAGGAATTTCATCCTTCTGAAGCATGAGACAACACTTGATCAGTGCTGTCACGCCCGCCGCCTGCAGAAGTTGTGTCAGCCGGGATCTTCGTACCGGTTTATATGAATGCCCACTTACTGCTTCGCTATGTCCAATGTTTGCTTTGATCGATCCAACGTAGAGGGGCGGTAGTCCACTCGATCGATCTTTTCCCAACGCATTGCCGATGGAAATCATCTCCGCCGTATCCCCCGCTTGTGTGGCTGTGCCGTGAAACTCGACGTAAGAGATGTCACTCGGTTGCAAACATCCTTGCTGCAAGACTTGACGGTACAACCGCTCTTGAGCCTCTGCATCGGGATGAGTAATGGACACAGCACCAGCGTTGGCATTTCTGGCACCGGCTCGGATGACAGCGTGAATGTTGTCGTTGTTCTGCAGAGCGTCCTCCAGCCGCTTGAGAACGACAACGCCAACGCCTTCGCCACGGCAATAACCGTCGGCGTCGGCGCGAAAAGTTTTGCAACCCCCCGTGGCAGACAGAAAGCCACCCTTGCTTAAGCCCGAGAACGGGCGCGGTGACGATAGAATGGACCCGCCACCAACGACGGCCATGTCACAATTCCCCGCGTTCAATTCCGATGATGCCAGGAGAATGGCCGAACAGCTTGAAGCACACGCCGAATCGACACTGAAGGTGGGGCCGGTCCACTTGAAGTGATGATTGATCCGACCGGGATAAAATGCCCTCGCCACCCCGGGGACGTAGTAAATGTCAGTTCCATCGTTGTTGATTTCTTTCTGGTCATCTGCAGCTTGGCCAAAGAAACTGGCTACGCGTCTGCCTCCTTGCGGTAGGTCACCGTACGGGGGCTGACCCGCTGCCTCCAGGGCTTCATAGGTCGTCATCAAAAACAGGCGCTGCATTGGGTCCATCTGTAAGACTTCTCGGGGCGACAAATTGAACAAACGGGTGTCAAACTCTCCTGGGTTGCTCAGAAAGCAACCATATTTTGTTGAAATCGAGTTCTTCTTCAAGCCAGACGAGTCGTAGTACTCGTTCACGTCGAAACGGGAATTCGGAATCTGGAGAAAATGGTCTTAGTATGTCGAAATCCGAGGTGACAACAGGCACGCGTACACACCTCACGGTGAAGATCTTTTGCTCCATGGATGGTATTCCAAAGTTCCTCCATGTCTTTCCCTCCGGGGAACCTTCCAGCGAAACCTACGACGGCGATGTCCCGGCAACTAGCGCGATCGCCTGGAAGAGCTGTGGGTGACTCCAAAGTCTCTTGTATAGTGTAGGCCGCTCCAGCCGTATCCAACAATCTCTTGAGCAACGTCGTCTGCGTGGTTGGACCCACAACTGTCACATCAATGGGGTCGTTGGCCGGCAACCCCAAAGCGGCATCCATGGCGCTGTTGACGTATAGTGGGTTTTGAGATATATCTACGAGCATTTCGTGAAGCAAATCTCTCAGACTCTGGCATCGATAAGGCTTCAATGAAGATGGGCTTATAATAGTGGCATCAGGTGAAGGCTGCCGGCCGTGGAAAGCAGACGAGCCGATGATAAAGTCAAAATCCAACAATGGGAGATGAGGGGCATGAACAGCACCCTCGATGGGAAGTGCTAAATGAGGCGCTGCACAGAGTTCGGGACAGCTTGCGAACAATTGCGTGAGTGTCGATGGAGGGCCAGTAAGTGTGGTCCATTGATCCGCAATCACGCTGAGGTATGCTGACCGATGCCGAGGTATACGCTGATCAACATCAGCAAGGAGGGTCAGGACGATTTCTGGACAAATACCTGGTCTGCATGGAACTTGTCGATTAGTTCCTGTTGTTTCTCAGCCGGCATTGAAGTGACGAGATAGCCCCAGGTGCTGGTCCGTGGCGCATCATCTATGCTCCTTGAACGGTGCAAAATTTGAGCCGCACAACGCACAGTCAGAGCAAGGATGACCAGGGACAGATCAAAGAGCTCAGCTGTAGTTTGTGCCACTGATGCTGCAGCAGCGGGCAACAACCCCGTGCACAGACCCAGCATGTGAATCTGCTTTCTGTTTGTTCCCAGAAGCTGTGGATCCATATGGGCATACCTGTGAATGAACAGTCAGCATCTTGCAGGACAGTACCAATAAAGGGGGTGGAGGGGGACTGATATACTTCAGAAGCTCTCCCAGACGACTGATGCAGACCAGCGTCATGTTCACTGCCCCTCCAGGCAGCTCTTGCTTCGCCCATGTCTCTGCAAGCTCAATGATGGTGTCGAAACCCGGCCAACGATCACGCTGTTCCGCTTGAAGCTTACATATCTCCAATTTGACCACTCTTGTGGCTTCAGAGAGGAAGCGTTGGATGGTGATTGATGATCTAGCTTGGCGATATAAATTGTGAATAGCAGGCAGGGGTGACACCACCTCGTCTCCAAAAAAGAGGACTTGTTTTGATGGCATCGTGAGCAGGGGAACGGTTGCTCTTGACACCTTCTGTCTATGGAGGGGTTGAGAGAAGAGGGAGAAGCAGAACCGGTATAAATACTTCAGATACGGGTCAACAATCGGGACCTGCCGTGGAGGGAATGGTTGCAAGTGGTGCTCTCTTCCGTCACCAGACAACTCTCCTGCTGTGTTCAGTTGTTTTCCCCCTGTCTGATATCTCAAGGTAGGATATCTACACCCTGGTACATGTTGGGAAGCTGATGGCACCTCAGTTCTCTTTTTTTTTGTTTTTCTTGGTGGGGGTATATTGACCCATTCTCGATGATGGTTCTGGGAAAGCTCCAATCTGATAAAGTGTCGATCTAGCTTACTTCTAAATGACTAGAATTCGAGATCCCTGGCCCCCCGGAGGGGGGAGGGGGTTTTTCCTTGTCCTGCGGTACCTGGTCAGGGCAGCCGTTCCGGATTTACAAGAAAGGGGAATTTGATACGTACTGACATTACAAGACGGGCTAGAGGTAAAAATGGTAGCTCCACATGGCTTTGCTGAAACTTTGTGTTCGTAGAGCTAGGCTCAGCCAAGTTAGTCAGATCCCGACCCATGCAACTGTTAACTCGGGTTAAGGCACTGTTGCCACGCATGTCTAGGGCGCCCTCTCTGGCGGCGAACTCTCCTGTCCTTTCATCTCTCAATCCCTCCAGGCATGTTCCAGCTACACCATACCAGTGGTCAACAGCGCTCGCAGGTGGGATGTGTCACATCTGAAACAGGAGAGGGAAGAAAAGGAAGAAGGGAATACCGCAATGGCAAAAGATGGACTGAAGCAGCTACTGTCTACCTGTATTTTGTTCTTCAGAATGGGTAGCAGGAGTCCTGCAGTGGACTAGTTCCACTCGGGTAATGTTATTCTGTACACCACATTTTGTTATTCTGTACACCGCTTTTGATTGGTCCGGATTTTTATTTTTCCGGTTATCTGCGCAGTTCGAAGATACGTGATGTCACAACACCTAAGTCTGCCTATATAGAATGCAGAAATGATGGTTAACGATGGTATCCTCTGCACGGTCGATACCTCGTGCTGACTAAGGTAACAAACCAGCGCCCATAGGCTTGGGAGGACCGCTCATAAGCCGGAGGGGGAAACCGCCCATGAACCGGGGGGAAACCGCCCATAAGCCGGGGGGCAACTGCCCCGCTTATGGGCGGTTCCCACCCAAGCCTATGGGCGCTGGTTTGTTACCTTAGTCAGCACGAGGTATCGACCGTGCAGGGGATCTCTACACAAATCCGGCTGTGTAGGCCACAATAATTTACAAAGTATACAGAGAAGCTCAAAATGCACGGTACTTATCTACCAAGGAAAAGGGAATCAAATGTGTTTATTGCTTCGCAACCACCTATAACGGGGAGAGTTTAACGCGTCACCCCTCCACAGCTACGCCACTTACTAGTGTTTTCTCGCCATCGCCGGGCCAACGGCAACAAGCTCTGTTAGCGCGGTGTACAGAATAACAGGATGAGAGCGTTAAGTGTACAGAATAAGGCGAGAGAGAGGTGGTGGTGTACAGAATAAGGAGAGTTGAGGCATGGTGTACAGAATAAGCAGGTTTTCCGGTGTACAGAATAACAAAAGTTGGTGTACAGAATAATACCCCCCGTTCCACTCGGCCTATAGTTGGTGTCACGTGCCAGGATGAGATGCTCCCGCCGCTTCTCATTCGGTCAGTTGACTCTCTGAGATGCCCCCCAACGGTGAGTTGGTCTGTTCATTGATGTGCGGGAGGGTTCCCAGCATTATTTCCCCACTCAACCTTTAGAAATCTGAGTCGACTTCCTTGATCACCTTAGAAAGTTAACTTCTAACCATTCTACCTTGTCTACATTCACGTCGAACCCATTTGCGATTCAAAATGGCAACCGCACATCCCATTCCTGATGAAGCCCTCTCTGGCTGTACGCCCTACAATCCCACCATCCTGCCCAGCTATGGTTACAAACCGAGTCTGTCCGCCGGAATTACCTATTGCATCCTCTTTAGCATCGCCCTTTTAGTACATTGTCTCTACGGCATCCTCCATCGACGATGGGCGAACTATTTGCTGGCCACGGGAGCCGTAGGAGAGCTCATCGGCTGGGCAGGCCGCACCTGGTCATCGCAATGTCCTTACAACAAGCACGCCTTCCTGATGCAAATCGTCACCTTGGTCATCGCGCCTGTCTTCTTCGCCGCGGCGCTTTTTGTCATGCTAGCACAACTCAGCGTTCAGAGAGGGCCTCAGTATTCGCTGATCCCGCCTCGGCTCTACCTCTACATCTTCTGCATATGCGATGTGATTGCCCTGCTGATTCAAGCAGCAGGCGCTGGCATTGCTTCCCACGAGTTTGATACGCAGGGTGATCCCGAAAAAGGTACTCATATTGTCGTCGCGGGCCTCGGATTTCAATTGGCCGCGATGACCGTCTTTTTCCTTTGTTTCGTGAGCTTTATCGTCAGGTCCTTCAAGCAGACGTGGCCAAGGCACGAGGCGGCACTGGTCGGGTCGATGCTTCTCAGCTTCATCTCTCTTTACATTCGCTGCGTATACCGGACGGTTCAACTTGCGGAAGGCTGGCTGGGTTACCTATCTCGGCATGAACCGTTCTTTCTCGTCTTGGATGCGGCATTGATGGTTGTCTGCGTGGGTATATTTGTCCCGTTCAACCCTGGGACCCTGCTACATCTCGAGCGCAGCGTAAGGGCTCGCGAGGGTCCTGAACATGCTCGGAAAGGTGGCATTTTGCTGGGTTGGCTTCGGCGAAATCGGGTTGCCGACAACAAATCTCAAAATTCTGCTGGAGCGACAACGGATGCACAAGGGGACCGAGAATCCGTCAAGTGACGCCCCAGCCTGACCCGGTCCACCACTTTAAGACGCAAGACCGGGTATACCACAACTAGGGGGAGGGGGGAACTGATGGAGGCGAAACACTGGACAAACAATGCTGCCTTGGGGACATTCCAAAGAAACGAAGATATTTAGATTGATATCAAGTCCACGAGCACACACGAACTTCTTATTTTGTACGTGATAACATCTTCCACACAACCCGAGCAACCGCTATGGGGCCAAGGAGAACAAGGGAATATACGAGAAACAAATCATAGTTCTGAGCTTTCCAGAATGACATCCTCGCGTCGGCGGTTTGACGATGCGCCGGCCTGAGCTCACGCCGGCATCTTGTGTCGTTTTCCGTCACCTTTGGTCCGCTCGTCTTCCACTCATCGTCGTGCTCATTCCAGTTATACCTCAGCTCATGGTCATATATCACCTCTTCCATGAGGTCAGCAGCGTATGCTTTTTTCCTACGTTGGATACTCGCAATCCGTTTCAGCCGCAGACAGTTTCTTTGGACGACGCCGTCCGCGTCGTTGACCAGGATGCTAATTTTTTCGCACAGTTCACGATCAGTGAAGCTATGTTTGTCCAGTCCCAGGCCGACGCCTGCAGCATGGAGACACTTGTCGTGTTTGAACTGATCGTTGAAGATAGGCATGCCCACCACAGGGACACCATGAAAGACGCTTTCATATACTGAACTCGATCCGCAATGCGAGATGAAGACCACGGTGGACGGATGGTCAAGGATCGCGCGCTGCGGAGCCCACGACAGAAATCGCCAATGCGGCGTGCGATTTTCCACAATCTCACCAACCTCGAGGCCGAGAGCCTGGGAATCAAAATTCTTTCCTCTTTTGATCGCCCAGAGAACGCCGTCAATATGTCTGGACTCCAAGGCGGCCTGAACGCCTCGGAGAATCTTGGTAAACCGCTCACCACCCATGCTCACATGGGTGCCGAATGCGACGTAGACCGTCTTCTGGTGCGAATTGAGAAACCTGAGAGTCTCTGCATCCAACGGAGGATAGTCTTCGTAGAGGATCGGTCCGACCAGGGTGACCAACGGCGGCAATTTCCGAGGAATATCCAAGCCAAAAAAGGCGTTGATCAAGTACAAATGGCTCGGTTTCCGGACGAGACCTGCCGCGGGGACTCCTGCTTGTCGACGCATCCGTCGGCGCCAAAGGATGTGATGCCGAAGGGAAAAGAGCATCGTGATCGCGAAGACTTGCTCGTAGATTCGGTCCCATATCGAGGCGTGCTCGCTGGTGAGACATCTTTGTTGAAATCCAGGAATGCCGGGCATATAGCTTGGAGATTCCAGATTGAAGGGAACTTGAGGATGCATAGACGCCAAAGGGACCAAGTACTTGTCCGCAACGTCTTGGCATGCTTGGAGGTCCAGGACATCGGCGAAGATGAGATCGGGCCGCCGCTGTCGAACTACGCTGTCGAGTGACGGGTGGGTGTCGACCCAAAAGCCTTCCATGAATTGCAGAACCCTGATCATGTCCGCTCGACCGGTGCGGTCTGTGATGTCGCTGTCCTCGAGGAGACGGTGGTAGAGCTCGTCTTCTTCCGGCGTGATGCAGCGTGCAATGGCATGAACCTGAGAGATGAAGGGATATTTCTCGACCATGATCTGTTGTGACCCATCGCAACAGGCCAGACGGATCTCATGTCCTCGAGAATGGAGCACCCGGCAGACCTCCAGCATCGGAACTGGCCCTTTATCAGTGCTGGGACTTCAGTAACACGAAGATGGACGGGGACTTACACGCATGGCTCCATCTTCCAACCGTCACCACGGCGAGAATATTTCGTGGCGGCGTTGCTGGAGCGAGTTTGATGGACATTCTGTGCGTGCTTACCTTGGGAAGTGTTGTGCAGACCTATGGGGGATGCAACATTCAGCTTGATATCAAGAGTCTGTGGCCCTCAATTCACGCATTGCAAGATCCGTGACACCGCGATGCCATGACTCGTACGTGTACTGAACCGCCCAGACACACTAATGTTCTCGATGGTGTTAACCAAATTTACCTGCAGTTGAATCGAGGTTCTCGTTCAGGTTCATGGGTCCAAGCCGCGAATTTTTCGTAAATGGATCTTGGGATTACTTTTCGTCCGAGAAAAAGAATGTCGCAAGGCGGTCTAGGGACAAGCCAATCTTTCGAAGGTGCTGTACTGTAGATCCCTGCCGTTATGCAGAGAATCAAAACGTGCTTGGAGCCAGATCTGTTCGCAATGAACTTCGGCCCCCAATGGGAAATACCAGACCACTCTTGTCATCGAAAGCTGGAACGTGGCACCGACTTGTAACGTTTTCCAAACGGCTTGCATCACATGTGGGTCTTTGTGTTTGGTCATTTCCGACCCACTGCTAACAATCCGATTCGGGCCGACAAGTGGCCTCCGAATGATTTTCCGCGCATTGCCTGATTTCGGTTAGCCCCAAGATCGACAGAGCTAGTGTGGCTAAGACTGACTAGTTAAAAACTCTAATCTGATCTCTTCAGATAGCTATATGCATAACGATCCAGGATACTGCCGCTTTTCAAAACTGCGTTGGAATCAAATCAAGCCATCAGGTGGTCAACCAAACTACCCTACCAATTCGACTGTCAACCGTTCCGTCTGACATGTGTTGACGAGAGAGCCTAGTTTGAGACAGAGCCCTTGCTCTAGGCTGAGCCGATGTAGTCGTACACCAGACGACCTCGTCTGCATCCTTCTCCGTCCTTTGTGACAATACCACGTCTCGTATGATAACGCTTCCCATCTATCAATTCGAACCCCCACGTTTGTTCCGATGTCCAGCCTCCCTCTTTGGAGACCATTGTCGTCTGCAAATGTTGACCGTCATCCATCCAAGAGCTCGGAGATCCATCTGCGAGGATTTCGGCGTTCAAAAACGCGTGGTCTTCCGTCTCCAGCGCGCTCAACGACTCAACCGTCCCCGAAAAGTACCGACCACGATCTGCATGGTCAATATGAGGGAAACAAGCTCACTGATACATCACCAGGTCTCGATGAAGCACGGACTTACTTTCAACTAGTCCAAATGGACCGTTGTTCTTCGTGAGCGGTTCCCAGTCTAGGACCCTCCTGTCCTGTCCTTTGATCCCGGCTGGGCCCGATAGATCGATATCGAGCTGCGCCTTTCCTTCGCCGTCAACAAACTCCTTGATCACCAGCGTCGGGGTTCCCGCGACCATCATCTTGCGAACAAGCCAATTGATCCCTTGCTGGCACGGGGTCAGAAGTAATCCGATGGTGCACGACCCGACAGCTTCGGCAGGCCACAAAATTGTTCACTTACGAGCTCCAGCAGGGGCCCAATATCGTCCGACAAGCCCTTGTTCTTGCTCACCACAGTCAGCATCATCTGGATGAGAAGGCTGCCATTAATTGCACTTCGCTTACCACTTTGAAAGTTCCGGTGAGGTTGCCAATCTTAACTTCATCAGGAGATGCCATTGTAGAATGATGTCCCTGAGCTCAGTCAATCAGTGTCGGTATGGACAACTCCAGACCAAAAAAAAAAAAAAAAGGGTAATCTACAGGATGATCCGCGCTCAAGGGGAAGATGGGATGTCGGTGGTAGTCACGTATCATGTCTCGATAATATAGTGTGGCTGAAAGGGCGATTGCAAGTCTGGGTCCGATGCTTGGCGAGAGGTTTGGGGGAGAGACTTGATTGGTTTGATTTCCCCCCAGCACCGAACCCATCCGCGGGCAGTAAAATGCAGTAGACTGTCCAACGGGCAAGATGTTGTTGGTTCCTATCTCTATCGAGAGAAAGATGCTGTGTTGGGTAAGGCAGGGTGCCAAGCCAGAGGTGGGCACCGTCAATTAATAACCCAGAGTGAACTTCATGATCCAGGCCACCCTACCGAGTACTCCTACCTAATTTAGGTAGGTAGGCGAGATGGTCCACCTCACACCTCTGGGACCGCCAGGGAGTTGGATGACTTCCTCAGAGCTACGGACCTGATTGCTTTAAAGGGCCCTAGTGGGCTTAGGCCCTACATCGGCTATTCCACCACTAAATGCCATGCATGAAGACAGAGCTGCGGATGGAAATTGAGTGATTTACAGTAGCTGCCTCGCTTCCGCCAGGGACTGACACTGTGGGTACCGCGTTCACAGATAAGACAAGGTGGGGCAAGGCTCAGGAAATGGTTTGAAGGATCACGGCCATGAGAAACCCTGCCAACGTAAGGTTCAAGGGAGCTCAGAGTAGCTCGAGGACCGGGGTGGGTCAATGCTTGGCATAGGGCCTCCGATTCAATATTCTAGAATCTGTACCTGTCCTCCGAATTATGGTCTTTCAAAGCGTAATGCGAGCTGCACTTTGAAGCCATGTATCGTCATTGTTTCGACTTCGTGTCATGCAGATTACCAGAAAGCTAGTCGCTGGAAAACACCGTCTGACCTGATAGAACTGACGACTGTCATCATCTCATGATAATTTCCGATTATCCAAAATATCCACATGTGCTCCTTCAATGTCAAAAATCCCGCCATCATCAAATAGCTGCAGGAATGGAGCGCGCGGCATTTTGTTCGTCTGGAAGCTATTGGATCTTCACCTGTGTGAGGAGGAAAAAGAAATGAAAGCGTATGAAACAAGACCAGTCAAAGGAACCTGAGAGCTACAAGATGGGTTCCTGTCTAAATCTTCGTGCCTGAGAAGAATGTTGTGACATTGTGTCTGGCCGGTGGAGCGACCAGGATAAGTGCTGTGCATTTGCTTTAAGTTTTTGTAAGATCGGACGAGGAGATGTGGTTGACAGCCAAAAAAGGAAGGAAAGAAAGAAAGAAAGAGGCCCTACAGCAAACACAGTACACTCCTTGATGGGGGGATTCGATTATGATCACAACAACTCTGTCTGAAGACACTAAGAGCAATTATGTACCGAGCTTCTGCAGACTGACCAACTCGGCATAGCGACCTCCTGCGTCCATCAACGACGTGTGGTTACCTTCCTCGACGATTGCGCCATTCTCAAGGAAGTAGATGTGATCAGCGTCCTGAATGGTACTCAAGCGGTGAGCTATGGCGACCGTAGTTCGTCCCCTGGAGGCCTGGTTCAAGGCAGCCTGGACGATCTTCTCGGACTCCGAGTCAAGAGCTGAGGTTGCTTCGTCGAGAAGTCTATGTTGATACAACATTCAGTACCGAGTGCAATATTTTGGCCGCTTGAAACAGAGAGTAGGAAGCTTACAGAATTGAAGGGTTTCTGATCAACGCTCTTGCAATCGAGATCCTCTGCTTCTGTCCGCCAGACAGCAAGACTCCCTTCGTGCCCACCGTAGTCTCAAACCCGTCACTGAAGCGGCCACTTAGAATGTGAACGTGGGGAGGGTGATGGCGTTAGACTTACGGAAGAGATATGATGAAGTCGTATATGTTAGCCTCCCGACACACCTGGTAGAGGGCTTGCTCTGAAATGTTACCACTTGTCCCTAGAAGGATATTGTCCCTGATGGTTCCATGGTAGAGAACTGGTTCTTGACTGACAAGGGCGACATGAGAGCGATACTGATTGATGTTCAACGATCGAATATCCTTCCCGTCGACAATAATACGTCCCGTGGAACAGTCGTAGAACCTCTCCAAGAGAGATATGCAGGTAGATTTCCCGCTTCCACTAGCTCCAACGAGGGCAACATACTGTCCCGGCAAGATTTTGATATCGATATCGCGCAAAACATGGTGATTGTGGCCCGGATAACGGAAAGACACAGCCTGAAACTCGATTGCACCTGTCACCGACCGAACTGGAAGGCCCTCGATGGACCATGTGTCAATGGAGGGTTTTCGGTCACATATCTCCTTCAGCGACGCAGCCGCCGTTCGAGCCTTGGCTACATCTGGAGTTGATGCGAACATAGAGCCTGCTGCCTGGGCACTGAAGACGATCTCGGTGAAACATACAAAGAATTGAAACAAGGTGATCTCGCGCTGACTGACCAGAGTGCCGCCATACCAGAAGCCCAGGGCTATGCAGAAAAAAGGAAGGGCCTGCGAAGCAGCATACAGCACAGCAGAGTAAGCTGCTGTTTTGAGTGCTGCGCGGCTCTGAACGTTCAGCTGGCGCGTATATTCCTCGAGAACGTTTTGCTCGCGTCCGAGAGATGCGACTGTCCGGATTGCAGAGAGCGCTTCACAGGCGTAGCTTGCTGATTGTTCATACGCCGCCTTAGACTTCGCTTCCGCATAGCTGAGCATGTAGAAGCGCAGGAACCCTGAAGCTAGGAGAAATGGCACGGTCGATGTGCAAACCAAACCAAGTTTCCAACTGAAAATGATTGACAGGATAATTGCAGCGACGATGCAAGTCGACATGGATAGGATTGTTCCCAGGATTGGTCCGCTGAAGCCAGATATGTTTGTCGTTTCCGTGGCCAGGAATGATATGAGGGATCCGGTAGTCTTCGACTCAAAGAAGGATATTTCCTGTCGCAGGATGCTTCGGAACGCCGTGTCGCGCGCCCGAAATAGCATTCTCTCCGAGCACTTGGCGAAGGCTCGGTCCCTCCAGACATTGACGACAAATAGAAATATTCCCAGCCATAAGTACATCAGCGCCCAAAAGTTGACATCGTCTCGGAGTTCTTGGTATAGTCGAGGGGGCTTGGACATGGCTCGAATGCACTCCGCAAAGAAAATCGCCGAAGTTGGGGTGCCACTACCGCCAAATATGCTCATCACAAGGCCAATTGTCATCCATCCTTTGTCTTGCGTATTGAATTGGACAATGAATGGGATCAGCCCAGAGGTTTCCGTACCTCTTTTGTCCGTTCGTTGATCGTCCTCCTGGGCCTCGGTGCTGGTTTCAAGGAGAGCAGTCTGTCTTGTCGGATGCTGCTCCGGTGCGGCTTGCTTGTCGTCTTTTTCCGAGTCAGAATACTCAGGAGGAGCAAGAAGTCCCACTTTCTCGCTTGGGTCATGCCGGATCTGCTGAGCTTCGACCAGATTGAAGTAACTGCTTCGTCTCTTAATGAGGTTTCCATGGGTTCCCTGCTCAACGATCTTCCCGTTCGCCATGACCACAATATTATCGGCATCTCGGATGGTTGAGAGTCGGTGAGCGATAACGATGGTCGTCCGGCCTTGTGATGCTTTTTTCAGAGCATCTTGCACTAATACCTCTGAATTTGTATCCAACGCAGACGTCGCCTCGTCCAAGACCAAGATTCCCGGATCTCGGATAATGGCTCGAGCAATCGCGATTCTTTGCCTTTGGCCTCCGGAGAGCAGAGAACCTCTTTCGCCTGCGCGCGTCTGAAAGCCCGCTGGAAGGCGTCTGATGAATTCGATTGCATTTGCCTTTGTCGCCGCAGTCATCATGAGATCGTATTGGAAACGTTCCACGGGAATCGAAATGCTCTGGTGGATCAAAGGTGTGAAAGGTGTTCGTCGATCGATCTTAGCAATCCTCCTCCTCTCAGCAGTGAGAGAGACTGGGGTCACATGGCAGATCGTCGAAGGGAAGCTGTGAAGGAGAATTGGTCAGAAGGAAGAACCCAAATTGAAGGCTACTTCTGTGACCTTGGGCATTTTCCAGATGACTTCGATGTTTCAATCTGCTGTCTTTGCTGGGTGCTGGCTTCTATTCGTACGCGGCTGTTAGAGTCACCGATTGGCATCCCTCCTTGGCCATATGAACTTCACGTCGTTTCGGCTGTGCATGTTCATTTTGCGGCAGCTACAGTACAGTACTGTAGACACACATAATTTATTACGCCCGGCAGCAAAGCCGAAAGGGCAAGCTAAAGCTAAGCTACTAATACAATTCTCAAAATATGCCCTAGTCTCCTTAAAGCCCATACAAAATTAAACCTTCGCCTGTAGCTCCACTTGCTTGCTACGTCTTTGCGTCAACCACTTTCGCGGACGCTCACTACTCTAAAGAAAAGCCCTCCTCGTCTCTAGTTGCTGTTCGTCTCGATGTACCGCCCGACTCCACAGACGGTTTTCGCTTCTTGGTCAGAGCACATAATGTATTCCCATTTGCGATGAAATGGTTGCGCGAAACCGACGAAACACATATTTCATTTCGATCTCGCACTCGCACTCGCACTGGCACTGACCAAGAATCCATAGATCGCTTCATCAATAGAGCTTACGAAGCTTCTTGACCTGCATCACATTCTGGTGATACTCCTGCTCTTTCAAGTCGTCTTTCTGTCGCAGGCTACGCCGGCGATGCGGGTCTTTGTTTGCCTGTAGAGATCTCGAAAGCCAAGCTTTGTCACTAATTTGGCTTTCGGGGGTCCAGCAAGAATTCCACATAATCCAATAGAGCATTTCACCATCGTGTTCCTTTTTCCCGATGACAGTATACACATGAGAAAGAAGGCCGCCCCCGCACTCTGCTCGACACTTCCGCGCATGCGGGTCGAAGGTCGACAGCGTACCTTCGAGATTGGCCAGAGTCTTATTGTAGAGATCCTCCAACCTAATTCTAATATCCTCAAGCTTAGCCGTCAAATCTTGGCGTTAGTCGGGACAAAATTCCATAGGCGCATCCATGTGTCCTTAGCACCCAATAGATACTCGTACTCCCCATGTTTGTAACAGTATCTCCGGTCGTAGGCTGCGTCATGGTCCCAGAGTCTATCGGAGGGAAGTCCCACGTCCTTGGAGTCGAGAGAAGGCATGTCCCTTAAGCTCTGCGCTCTGGTGTTGTGCTTTGCCATATCCTGAACGGCGGCGACGATACTAGCCTCTTTTGCTGCGCAGACCGAGCTGTTCGAGCTGTCCAAGCTGTCCAAGTCGTCCGAACAGTCCGAACAGTCCGAACAGTCTGGATGCAGAGGCGACTCTGTGTCACATTCTGCCATGATTTCTTTAAATGTCTTCGCTAATAGTTGAGACGGTTCATGTAGTCCCTTTTGGGACAAATGCTTCGAAGTCGAGGACAGGAGAGGCGGAGTGATTCGGCGGGAGTTGATTCTCGGAACGACAGGTATTGTCTTGCCAGAGCGAAGAAGTCTTGCGTTTCGAACTCCTTGAAGTCGGGTTTGAGGCATCGTTGAGATAATTGATTGTAGATTGGGCGGTATCTTTTAAGGAGTGAAATTTAAAGAGTAAGAAGGAAGACAAGATGCGAAAGGGAACATTGAGGGTGAGCGACCGTACTAATACCCATCGGCGAGGGATTTTGCCAAGGACACAGCCTCTGTCCTCGCGCTCGTCGACGACAAGGTGAGACAGAATGACAGGAAGCAGGGCGAATCAGGTTGATGAGTAGGGGGCCATGATAGCACCTGCTTGTCCATAGTGGCTTCGGGTCGGCTTCTGTCGCTGCCAATCGAATCTTATTCGACAGAGCTCTGCAGGGAGGTCACAAGTCGCAGAGGGTGGCTCGTCCTTGTGGTTGGAATCGATGTCTGCCCTGGTAGGGGTGGGAGAATGCCTAGAGTGTGCGTTCGACAGCCATTATTTTCTACATCAGGCTTTTCTAGCGACATGATAAATGCGTTCCTCTCCGAGATTTCACGGCATGATACCTTCAATTAGCTGTATCAGAAAACCCCTCGGCTACCCCGGGTGTACACCTACCAGATTGACCGGTCAAGTCACTGATATTGCGCCTCCCTCCGTATAGTTCAGATTAAGGATGTTGGGGCAATATACCGTATCTACCTACCACATCATTTTGTCTACACTCGTGAGAGATTAAGCCTGGCAGCCTTTCACTTTCGCAGCCACGAATCTTACAATCCTTGCTAGATTTATGGGAGGTGTAATAGCTGAGAGCTCGTACAACAGGCGGTGATTCGCCATCTAGATTCTGTCGCTGCTTCTGTAGCATATGTTCCATTGGCTTCTTGTCATTCTTGTTTATGCCGAAAAACCGCTTGTAACATTGGCCTTAGATACTTTTCTAAGCTGATCGAGTGCTGGTGACGGGTGAGAGACATTAATGTTGATATTAGTGAGCGTTAGCATAATAGGAGGTGGAAGATAGCACTGCTAGTCGCAAGGCAGGATGATTTAGACCGGCTGATCTGGATTGGAAAGACTCCGAGCTGTTGTAGGAAGAATATCCTGCACAGTCTCGGCCACTGACCAGTGTCCACTAACGCGGACAGTTCTCCGTTCACGGCAGATTTGGACTTCGTCTCTTGCGTACATTTATTCTAGTCCTATTTTGGCCACCTAGTCTCAGATGGCGCCGACCTGGCCGTTTTCTGGAACCTGCGTCCAGTTAGACCAATGCTATAAAACGTTCTCACATATAAACGGAGATATGAAGAGATTTAGATCACAGTATTTGAGCAAGAACGTGATCCACAGTTGCCCCACATCGAAAGACAGCTCTCAGAGACATTAAAGAGAATTATGATGTTGTGTCCCAATACAACTTAGAAAGTGATGCTACAGTACACATGATGTGCGACGCTCATCAATAGGAGTCAGATGGGATGTATTGACGAGTCTGACCTCGATGACTAGGAGGTCGAGGACTATGATATATATAGGCAAAAGGAGCGACTATTCTCTGTCCGATTGAGGCCTTTTTCACCGCTGCTAGATACCTGTATCAGCCTTGATATCAGCCATGGTTGCCTGCGCCCTGCTCAGCCACCGCCCTCAATGACCAATGGGCAGCCGATATTGGCGGCACCAAGAAGCAGTTCTCAGCCTCATGGTGAAGTATGAAAGACATTGCAAGCTACAACAGAGCTGTAGAACCTGAACCGTGCAAGGATATACAGAATCTTGTGTCCGCACAGTCTGGGCTCTAAGGGCGTACTCGGTAACCCCCAAAATGCGCCTATTATGCGCATTTAGGGGTCAAAATGCGCCTATTATGCGCATTTAGGGGTCAAAATGCGCCTATTATGCGCATTTAGGGGTCAAAATGCGCAGGTTGAAAACGTCCTCTCGGTGAAGTAGGCGCATTTTATTCTGCGGGCCCTGGTGGATATGCGCCAACTTCCTAGCCTAGAGACTAGTCGATTTAGCCTTGAAAATGACGGCAAGCGCAAATGTGACTCGTTACGCGACAAATCATTGCGCCTGTTTTTGACTGTTCATAGTCTCAACTCATCGCCGAGCCCATAAACCTTGCTTTTTTTGACGCCGATATGCCCGATAAGTGGACGGAGAGGGAGGAACGATATTATCTTGACCTCATGAAAGACGGCCGCCGCCGCGGCCGTCATGGAGAGAGATTCAAGCCCGAATTCTGGAAGGAGTGTGTTGTGAAAATGAAGCATCTCTTTCCTCACACCACCGCGGCGCGATTGAACTCCAAGCGAACTGACTGGCGGCGGAAGTGGACTCGTTTCATGAAACTATATCAAAAGACAGGCTTCGCATATAATGAGGCAACAGGATGGTTTGACGCCGAGGAAGAGAATTGGAATAATCTGAAAGATAGACCGTTAGCCGACTATTACTACTTCAAGGATAACCGAATGATATATAAGCAAGACCTTGAGATCATCTTTGGCAAGTCAACTGCCACCGGAGCCTTTGCACCCAGTCGTTTCGTTCAAGATAACCATGAAAGTGATGAAGAGGAGAAGGAAGAGCATGATATAACTCAAGAGGAGATCGATTCCGCGGAGCCTGTTGAATGGCCAGACTCACCTGTTCCTGCGATCAACACCCAACTGTTAGAGAGTCCTTTAACGGAGGAGAGCAACTTTCTCTCACAGATTGAGGGCACTCAATGCTTCTCGACATTCAAAAAAACAGACCAACTCACTAGAAAAAGAGCGACTCGTTCACCATCGTCCACCTCACTGTCCTCAACAAATATGGAACCTCCGGAAAAGAAGAGAAGGCCGAGAGACTCAGTTGCGGAGTTGGTTGATATTCTCCGTGAACGTCTAGCAAACGAACAAGAGGCGAAGATGCAAGAGAGTTCTTCTTCGAGGCAACAAGCCGTCAAATTTCTCCTTGAGAATATCGCTCTAGAGGAGGAGCAAATGATTGTCGCTGTGAATGTTGTTGATAGACGATCAGAGATATTCCTTGAGTTAGGCAAGACTAGTCAAGATCTTCAACGAGCATGGTTATTGCGTGAGATAGCAAAGGAGGCGTAGTTGCGTTCGGATCATTATATTTCCCAGTTCCTAATTCATGAAGTTAACGATGAGATAGATATACTTGATAGTCCTTCCACATCTCCTCCGCCAACCTATCTCGCAACTTGTTCATCCTCCTGCGTTCTATCGGCCCTGCCCATATAGATGATTGGGGAGGTTTCGGCACTCTGTGAGCTTGCGCAATATCTGCTAACTCCTCTAGATTCACGTCGAAGTCTCGATCAATAGATCGATCTCTCTCCGCAATGAAATTAAAGACAGCCGCAAGAGCAATCATAAGGTCAATCTCACGGTTAATCGCATATTCATTTCTTTCAGCCATGATATGGAACTTCCGCTTGAAAACACCGAAAAGGCGCTCCACTACATTGCGGTGCTGAGGCATTTGTCGCAAGTTAAATAACTCCTCCTTATTCTGGGGCTTCTCTGCACCCTCTCGCATCCACTCCTTTAGGTGAAGCAGATTTGTCGGAGAGCAGTGAGCGCGGGTGGTAGATCAACTGTCAATTCCTTGCTTTGCGAAATAGATACGAATGGTTGGCGCTCCGGGGTACTGCTAGAGAAGTTGTTGTGAGGATCTGCATGGCCGAATGATGATTCGATCATGTTGCATCGTTCATCATGTTTGGCGAGCCAAGACCAATGAAACAAAGCAACAACACATTGTAAGTGTTGATCTTTTGCTTCTTGACGGCTTTCTGCTCATTGTCGTGTGCCATATTGACGTCGGAATAATTTTCTCGTGTGGTACACTTTTGTGCCTAGCGGTCGCGAAATCGTTTAGGAAACAAACAGGAGGCCTCACCTCTTTATTATAGACGACGTTGTCTCGTCGAGTAGGTACCTCGCTTCCCCAGGACCCTGAGATGCCCAGGAGCGGAGGTGGAGTACCCCGGTTATCGCATAGCGCTTTTTGAATGTCCGAGGGTGAAACTTGGGGGGCAAATGGTACTTATGACACTTGTGACGAGTCAGAAACTTTATCATTCCATCGACCCGGATCTAGTTCACCAATCAGTGTCTGCGTCAGCAGTGCCTTTTCGGAGCTCGTGTCAGAAATGATTGATTCAGCACAGCGAGGAAGTCGCAATAAGCGAGTCAACGACAGAGCGGCTTTTGTCCGAAGGGACGTGAACGTTTGTGAGCCACCCATTTGTATTGATCTGCAGACTGACCCTAAGGGCAGAAGTGGAAACATGGTTTTGAACGGGCATCGACCGCTCGTTTTCCGTGCTCATCTCTAGTAAGAATACCTGTGTATCTTGTTCTGGCCGTCCGTCAAATCCTCATCCGTGGCAGCCTCATCCACATCCGCTGCCCAGCCCGCACGATCCCTGTTCCTGTTCGCAAAAATTGCCAAACCCCAGTACACAAAGGCAGTCAGGATCATGATCGCGTAGCAAACAACGAGAGCCCAGATGCCCAACTGGTAGTAAGGGGCCTGACTTTCACGAAAAAACTGCGGCCCAAATATTTCGCTGACGGCCAGTGACACGCCCAACGCAGCATTGACAAAGGGTCGCTTCGTGCTGCCTCGCGTGTTCGCCGTGGCGATGGCGAGTGCCATAATGAAACCCACGTTGTAGAATCCCATGAGATACACACCGCCCAGTGCCACTGGGCGATTTTTGTTGACATCAACTGAGTGGATGATTATCGCACCGGCAAGGGCAGGCGCTGTGCCCAGCGCCCACCAAAGGCAGCGAGTATTGCGGATGTAATAGGCGAGTATCGAAAAAAGAACCTGCGCGACGATACCAACGGCAGCTTGAGGTGCAGCCAGAAGGTTAGTGCGCTGGACGGAGAAGCCAAAGCCCTTGATGATGAGTGGGTTGAAGTTGGTAATGCCGGCCGCGGTCACACCCTGGGCCAGGACAAAGATGATCAAGGTCCAGAATTTGGCAGACATGAGGGCCTCGACGCACTGGTTCAGCTGGAACTTGGCCGGTCGGTCGTTGTTGTTCTTTTGTTGGGTGTCGACGAGTCGGGCGACGGCGATCTCCCTTTCACGTGGTGTCAAGAACCACGCGGTCGCCGGAGATGTTGGCAGGAAAAAGAACGCCAATGTGCCGACGAAGATGGTGATGGATCCGTATATGATGAACAGGTAGCGCCAATTGGCCAACTTTCCGTCGATATTGTTGATAGCGAAAGCCAGCAACCCACCAAAAATACCCGCGAAAGTGTTATACCAGAGTGCCGTACGCAAGGGTTGCTCACTCCGCTTCCACCAGTTACCGATAAGGATCATGGCGGATGGGAAGGCCGGAGCTTCAAGCAATCCCAGGAAATATCGCACGGTCGCCAACCCGGCGAAGTTCTGGCATGCGGACATGCACATAATGGTGATACCCCAGCAGACGGCGGCAACCCCGACCAGTTGGCCCACGGGAAACTTAAGGATGAGGAAGGCCGATATGGGCATTCCCGTCAGATACCCAAAGTAGAACAAGCTTCCCAACCAGCTGTACTCTTGACCCTTGAGATGTGTGTCGGCTTTCATCCCCAAAATGTTCGCATAGGCCAGGCAGTTCTTGTCCAGGAACATGAGGAAGGCGAGGAGAACTATGAATGTCAGAATCACAGCGTCGGTTTTCATGAGAATTTTGCGCTCTTGTGCCGGATCGATAGGAACGACGCCATCCTCTTGGACGATCGCCCGTTCCTTTGTCGGCATATCGTTCAGGGTGTTATTCATTTCCAATGACATAGTTGCTGACTGGGACACGGGCCCGTTATCCGGTAATAGCTCACAAAAGATGCCGTGCTGTGACAGAGGGGTTTTGGGATCATAGAATATGGGGGTGTCTTTCAGGGTCTTAAATAGATAAAGTCTCTAAACAGTTGACTTCTGTCCCCGACATTCGGATAGAGAGTCTTCTGGAAGTCCGCCGCAATTTGAATCGCAGTGCTTTCATCACTTCCATTGAAAGCAGATCATGGCGACGTAGAAGCCGTCCACATCGCCGGATTGCATCTAGTCACGCGCAATCATCTTGCTGGAAAGATACGATGGCGGCAGACTATCTTGTGCCAAAACCAGACAACCCTGGTGTCCAAGACATAGACACGGAAGAAAGCGTCAAGGGACTGGTGGGAAGTGGGGCCGCAATAATCAGAGGCCGTCTCAATGATAAGTGTAAGAGCGGCGATAGCTGCCGTCACGATCTTCGGGAGGAACAACAGAACGCGTCTTTCTAATTATTGTGATTCTACTCCGGACAATCGAGGCATTGCGACACCAATCATCGTTGAACGAAAGGTGGTCAATGAAAAGAGTCAAAATGACCGTGGAGAGGAGGGAGAGAAGAAACATCGTAGAAATGTAGTCACGTGATTGACCGAGATGCACGTGATGTCCTTGACTCATTTTGCGGCATCGCTTCCCGCCATATTCGACAACTGTACCATCTTAGATACGCATCTTGAGAAATGTTTCCGCATCGTTAATCGCTATTTGGTGTCTTTGTTGCAATTGTGTGGTCACGAGCTGAGTCGATACCGTCCCAAACCCTCTCCTGCTTCAGGGATGTTGTAACAAGATATTGAACTTGCATACGTGCAATATTCGCTCTCAGATCTGCTGGACGTGATAGCAGCAGTCCCTTCCACCACACAGAGAACAGAGGTCGAACAGATGAACACTATGTCGATTCTATAGTCCTCGGCAGATGATGCCGACGGCGGGAGATCCACAGTTGCATAGGCGGGTTGCTGCCGCGTGAGTGAACCCCTTGTGCATGTCTGATCCTCTCTTTTAGGAGGCTCCCCTAATTGGCATGGTACAGATGTCGGTACTGCAAGAGACGTAAGATCAAATGTTCAGGGACGGACCCATGTGACAGTTGCACCCGTCGCAAGATCTCCTGTCTTTTCGAGGATGTGGGGAAGAAGGTGGTAGTATCTGAAAGGCAGGTGTACACTCTTGTCGTGTTCTGCAGTTCCTCTGACTTGGTCGAAGATACTTGTTGGAATTGGAGAGATATAGAAACGAGTCACACAGGGCTTTGGACGGTCAATCGAGCCGTCCTTCATCTTCTCCTTCATCAGCTACACGTCCACAATGTCAAGACCAACAAAGTTAGCAACATGCCCCTATAACGCGTTTCTGCGTTGTCGTCCTTGCGATGACGAGTGAGCTGACCTCTCCAAGATGATGCCCAAGACCATACCGGGAGCGCTGCTGTCGAGCAGGATAGGCCACTCGATCAGGCGTCCAACTCAATAACCAACCCCTTGGTGTCTCAAACCTCCTCTTATGTGCGAGATCCTGTTGGGAGATACCGTGAGGCGACCGAAAACATTGTCAATATGGGTATCACGTTCTTACATGGCTTTCAGGATTTCTTGGTCCGTCTTCGACATGGACCTTCAGCCAGAGGGTTTTCGACCGCCTCAAAGAAGCGTTCCCCCAAAACCAAACATCCCCAGTGTCGATGAATGTCGATGGGACTGCGTATCAAATCGAATGGACAGCCGTAGATCCGACCGCTGCCGTGGACACTACTGATCTACCTTCAATCGACTATACTCTCTATTTGATGAATGCCGTGAAATTTCACACATGTCAGATGTACAGACCGTTCGATGACGAAGAGTTCACGCGCAATTTGTACGAATTTCATCAACTTGGACTTGAAAAAATCAACTCTTCTAGACTCTGGTTTGTTCAATTCCTATTGATTGTGGCCCTCGGAAAAGCTATGGTCATTACGGTGAAAGATCCTACCACCGCTCCTGGTTCACTATGGTTCCAACGTGCGATGTCCCTTATGCCAGATTTTGTGCGTCTTCAGCGCGAGTCCGCCCTTGCCATCCAGGTTCTATGTCTCGTGGCACTGTACCTCGTATCAGTTGACATGAAAGAGGCTGCGTATGGATACGTATGTGTCTCGACTCTGTTCCATCCAGCCCCCTGATTTGTCCCGGCAAAAACTGACATTTTCCTTCAAACAGATCGGTCAAGCCGTCCGCCTCTGTCTTGTAGACGGTTTACACCGCGACACACCCCGTCAGGCGATGGGTGAAAAAATGGCAAGTCACTATCGAGATATCTGGTGGACAGTGTACATTCTCGATCGAAGATTGTCGTCAATGATTGGTGCACCAAGTTCCATCCAGGACGCAGATATCACCTGCCCGCTACCAGGCATAGATGATGATTCCCACCGAGGAAGAGTTCTGAACATCCATGTCAAAATATCGAGGCTGATGGCTCAGATATTGAATTGTGAGTTTCGGTCTCGTCTATAAGATGGAACATGTCTCATCCCTTATGCAGCCGTATACAGTGTTGAACGCCTTAGTCGACCATTCGTTAAGATCATTCAAACTGTTCTGAGGGACATGGCTGCAATGGCCCATGAAATGGATGCCGTGTTTACTTCGGCTGCCCATGGGGAAATCGGGGCCGTCTCAACAGTAGCTTCGCACATCAATTTGTCCTATCACCACGTACGTATTCCTAAGATACTCACCATGGTACAGCTCACGGTCTCACATCCACACCACAGTGCATCCTCCTGGCCACTCGACCGTTGTTGCTACACCTCATGATCGCTCGCCTTCGCGGAACCTTGGGCTCCAACGACTTAGAGAAGACAATGTTGCCACAGACGAAGGGCTTGCTTGATACCTGCCTACAGTCTGCACGAATGACGCTTCGGATTTTGTCAACTTTGTATGAGCACCATTTGTTGGGTAAGCCTGTCTCAGGGTTAGTTTCCAATCAACAAGTCTTACTAACGTGACACCCAGATTCATTTTTACCCTTTGATCTCGAGAGCATATTCTCTGCAGCTTTTATCGTGACCATGGCATCTGCTATCGTTCCATCCATGATACCCGATGTAGCTTCATTCAAAGCCACTAGCTACCGGATCCTGGACTACCTTATTCGTAAGGGCAATATACCGGCACAATTCCGGAAGCAAGAACTCCTCTGCTTAGATGAGATGATTTTGCCCCTTCTCAACCAGGGCGACCAAGGCTTGTCCCAGCAGACTCACGATCATGATGAAGTGCCTAATATGCATCCTCTAGATCTAGGACTGTTTAGTGGATGGAGTGCAGCACCAGGAGAGGGTGGACTAAGTCCGTCCCAGATGTTGAACATTGCTGATCAACTAGAAAACCAGGCCGAACATTTGACCAGTATGGATAGAGCATGGGCTGCAACCAGTCCGTGGGCTTGGTGGTGGGAGCGTCAGAACGACCCAGGAAATCCTTATCCTGCCATTTGAGAGACCACCCGACTTGGACCAATTAGGTGATATCTTGTGGCAGTTCAGTGTGACAACTATCCAGCTGATTGAACGCAAAACCACTGCTTGCGATGTTATCCTGTTTTTCCACTAGGATATTTATCGTTCCCGTATAGAAGGCCCTTCCCTCGACCAAAACTCTGACAGTAGGATTATCGACGCAGAGATCGGAACCCGATACCTTCGAACTGGGCTTCACAATCTCAGTGATGGAGCCCCTGAACCCCCCGGATCCAGAATTGGCTTTGGAAAGCAAAGAATGGTATACTCGCTTTTGTGTAAGGTTCAACTCGCCCGTGGCGTACGCGAGAGCAATACGAGCTGCAACGCCGCCACCTGTGGGGGAGCGGTCTATCTGCTCATCCGCAAAGAAACAAAGTCCAGTCTCCTCGCTATCGTGACCGTTGGAAGGCTCAGGTTCTTCGATACGCCTGGCTCTGTCGACTATCAACACTGAATACAATGGCTCCGCCTCACTAGCATCTCGAGTTGTGGTGTATGGTGACATCTCAGGGTTTGTGTTCACGGCTCCTTTGAGCAAACTGGCAGCCTTTTTCATCTTCTCAATGTCGACTCGGGCTAGTCCTTGGGGGAATCCGAGTTCCCGTGCATCAATCAAGCAATAAAAAACGCCTCCATAGCTGAAGTCGGCATTGATTGAACTTCGACCGCCCAACTCTGGCCATCGGAAGGAGGGTTTGATAGGAATCTGCACTGAAATGCCACTTGCGTAGCAAGGCACAGACACAAACGACACGGGCCGGGATGGGTCTGATCGGCCATTCGGCAACGTTGGCACAGTGAGCTTCAGGATCCCCGTCGGCGCATGAATACTCAGCTGGATGGTCGACCCTTCTGCGTCTACTCTCAATCTATTTCGTTGTGGGAAGATAGACTTGGGTGCGTCAACCAAAAAGCGGCCCAGCGCCAACGTCGCGTGGCCACACATCTTTGAAAACCCAGCATTGTGCATGAACAGGACTCCCATATCCGCTTGGCCCGCAGCAACGAGCTCTGTCTCTGGTACCAGAACAGCTCCATACATGTCCCAATGACCACGAGGCTCCAAAATTATCCTCCTGCGGATGTGGTCGTACTCTTTTGACGCCTGCTCACGCTTGGCCAGCAGTGTGCTGCCCGTCAACTTCGGGAAACCAGAGTAGATAATTCTTGCAGGTTCGCCACATGTATGCATGTCGACACATCGGATGACTTCCTCGGAGGCAATGCCACCAAAGAAACTCGCTTCAACATCCATTTGGTTCATATTTCTCTCTCGAGGTAGTTTCAAGTGGACAAGGAATTGGTGCGGAGCGACTGATTCCAAGCTTGCCCAGCCTCTGAGTGAACATATGCTCGACCTTGAATGAGGGACGGAACAGACTAAAGATCATCCCTCAAACCGCGACAAGACGGAAAGAATCAAGTCCTGTCTACGTTAGCTGAGTACTATCAGCTATTTCCCCTTTCTGCGAAGTTTGATCCAGATGACTAAGAGCGGGAAGGCCAGCCGCTCTCCCCGCAACGGGACATATCAAGCCATGGCTGAGCCTTCCCAGCGAGCGGAAGAGGCCGCCGCTCCCCTGCTCCGTCCCTCGAACCATTCTGTCCTGCCCGTCGTTGCTGGATTCAGCGGAGGTGACCAGAGACAGAGGCTTGTACTTTGAGAGCGCCTTGTGTTCAACCACTCCATTCCGTGCAACAATATCAGACGGCGCACATACTATTGTCTTGTCCGACCACAAATTCTAGGTAAAGCAACAGCAGGTGTTCGTCTCTTGGGAGGAGAATGAGCCAGCCTCGAAAATGTCAGGGCAGAAGCATATTTTGGTCCTAGGGTAAGAGATGAGGAACCCTGTTGCCCTTGGCTGAAATCCCTGGATGTTTTCATCATTTGCAACCACTGACAAGAGCATGTAAATGCGTACTATAGTGCCGGAGTCATTGGCCTTCAGACCGCCATATCTCTTCTCCAAACGGGCTACGACGTGACAGTCCTGGCAGAACACCTGCCTGGCGACACCTCTGTCGAATACACATCCCCATGGTGAGCAATTCTATACCCACTCAGTCTTCCGAAGAGGGGAAACGGACAATGTCTTCATCAGGATATGAACCATCACACCAGCCAGGACCCTGCTGTTATTAACGAGCTTCTCGTCGTTACAGGGCTGCTGCAATGTGGCGATCAAATGGTCTCCCCCATGAGCACGAAATCCAGGCATGGGATAGAGAGAGTTACCAGCTTTGGTTACGAAGTTGCGTTCGTCCAAGCGTCCAAGACACGCTGACCGTAACGACCTCTCCGAAAGGATCCAGCATCACGGTGAGTGTTATATGATCAATCAATTTGCAACTCGTTATTGCCTAACTTCCGACTCTCAATGCTTTTCTCCTCACGATCGTCAAATCAATTCTACTGGTGAATGCATTATACTGATATGTGGAAGGGTGTACCTATGAGATTGTTTTGGTACGTCCTGTCGTATCCTGGCGCCGGTCTGACTATTCTCCCTTGCTTGAGTTTTTGCAATGGGGCCATTCGTTCTCCTCCAGCTCGACAGGACGATCAACTAAAGACTTTGTTTCTTTCATAGGACCGGACCACACGAGTTCATCCCTGACGGCCCCGAAAGCATATGGTACGCGCCACACGTGCAGAATTTTCGAGTCCTCGAACCTACCGAGCTGCCACGACCGTTTGTCTGTGGTGCCATCCACGACGGCATCGCCATCAATACCAACTTCTACCTGATCTCCCTGGCGTCCACGATTCGGGCACTCGGCGGGCGCATCATCCGTGCCTCGCTCCCCAGGAAAGGAGGCCTAGCGCAGGCCATCATGGCGGCCGAGGAGATCATCCAATCCGATGAAGGTGGTGGCATCCAGAAGCAGCAGCAGCACTCCGTTGACCTGTTCGTCAACGCGACAGGTCTGGGTGCCCGCACACTCGTGCCCGATCCCAACGTCTATCCGATCCGAGGGCAGACCGTGACGGTCCGCGGCGAAGCCAAGAACATTACGACCATGTTCTACCCGGGCGCAAATGCCTCCATCACCCCACGCGTCGGATCTGGAGTGTCGGTGCTGGGCAGTACCTACCAGGCAGGGAACTGGGACCGCAACCCGGACCCTCAGGTGACCCGTACTATCCTCGAGCGGTGCAAGGCTCTCGGGCCCGAGTTGCTCAACGACGACGGCGATTTCGACGTGGTCAGCGTGGACGTCGCTTTCCGGCCGGGGAGAAGAGGTGGGCCGAGAGTCGAGCTCGAGGAGATCGTGATCGATGTTGCAACTGAGGATGGCTCAGAGATCAAGACAAGAGTGGTGTGTCACGAGTATGGGCATGCTGGCGGAGGGTAAGTCGGATCTCATGTCCCCCTTCTGCATCCTCACCCACACTGTGACTCTTTCTCTCTTCCCACTCCCTCGATCATCCCTCATATTTTCCCCGTCTTTCTTCGTTCGAAAACACTGGGCATGAGATTCACAGTATCTAATTCGAGTGTGAATCATTTTCTTCATCATAAGTAGGTACCAGAACTCTTTTGGCTCGGCTCGAAAGGTAGTGGAACTTGTCAACAACTGGTTTCGACAAGAGAACAATGTCGATAGGGCGCGGCTCTGAATTAGCCAAGCTAGAATAGATAGTATACCCAGGACCGAGAGAGGTAGATATAGCCATTTCGATCTTGTACCAAGAAACACTAGCAGTTATACACCTGTCACACACCGCTCTGACCTCAGACACATTTACTGAGATGTGAATGGTCTCCTCTCCGCATAGTCGAGAATCCCCTCAAAGTCTCGCGGAATTTGTTGAGCCTTTGGTAAGCTGGTAATGATAATTCAGGGAAGAGATGATGCCATTGCTGATCTGCCAAAACGTCACGGTCTTTAGCAGGTCGCAGCTCTCGTGGACGAGACGTTCGACAGAGACGGTGCCGCGGATCAAGTCGATTTCGAAAGTCGATAGGTCGTGACCAAACGTCCTTTTCAAACAGCAACGGTCGAGGCTGGCGCGGATGTCGTCCCTACACGCCGGACACCGACCCATGTCCATTGCCTCGTCCGACGGCGACGGCGACCCCAGCTTGAGATCCAGGAAGACCCAGACGGTCAAAGTGGCGATGCACACCATCAACGCGGCGTGAGGGTTTTTGGGTTTGTCGATCCGCATGTGCACCAAGATCCGAACCGCGTGGACCAACGCGGTCTGCATGCCATCAGGCTGTTCCATCATCCAAGACGACAGACGGTACCTCGTCACGTCAACCTCTCGACTGCTCGCCTTGTACCCCACAAACCCATAGAGATCCTTGTAGGTGGCCTGCATGGACACCATGGTACAGTGGTACGCCTGGGAAATCAGTTGTCTGTGGAGAGGCCAAGACTCTTCGAAGCACGGTGTCTGGCACAACACATCGTGACACCGCGTGAGGAGTGCCGTCCATTTCGTAGTAATTCGGGTTTCTTCCTCATGTGTGTGTTTGTGGTGTAGCCGAGCGAACTTCTTAGATGCTCTGACGTACTCTCCAATGTCCTGTGTTATGGCTAGAATTGCAAGGAACCTCGAGAAGCTGCTGAGCATCGTCATCACGGGTATGTCGTCGTCGTCGTCTTTGTATAGTATTTCGACCCAGTCGTCAAGGCTGAGCGGATTTTGATCAAGGTCTAAGGGTAGTCTGCGCGTGAGTAATTACCCTTGTAAGACAGGCATAAAACGCACCTTGCTTTAGACGCTCTGCGTTCCACTCTTTCGCCGTACGTGCTTCCCACAATCCTTCTGGAGCTGGAAGGGGCAATTGACGTGCGCGCAACGTCACCATGGGAGGCAAATCGTACAAAAGGGACCCTTGCATATCAACAGCCTCCTGGAACGTTAAACTATAGCAATCCCTGACGATAATCTTCAAACTCATTCTTGACACGGTCACGGAGAGTGTCGGCACATCTCAGGGGTAGCTGGACTCCTGCAGTATCAAAGATCGCCTTGAAGCTCGAGGGCTCAACCGTGGTGAAAGGTTGTCTTGTCTGAACGACCCATCGCACCAGTGCTTGTTCAAGGCTATTGCCCTCCTGCCTGGAACTCAACATGCGGTCTAAAGGGCCTCGAGCCGGGCTTTCTCTCGACGCTGAACCCGGCCCAATGCGATGGCGTGTGCGAAGATGAGTGAGCAAATTTGAAGTCGTGCCGTGGCGAGACGAGTCGGAGGACGACCAGCTACACCGCTTACAGACGAGCAAGCGATCATTCTGTGGAAGCCGACCTCTTTTGCTCCACTGCACGTCAAGTTCGGTGATCCAAAAATGGTCTTGAGTCCAGCTAGTATGCATTTTTCGCCTCTTCGCCGCGGACTCTACAACGCTCGGGCCTGTCGACAGACAAAGTTCCTCAGATTCTGATGTGAGAACCGTTGCGAAGCCACCGGACACCTGCGAGACCGACTCGGCTGGCAGTGGCCCTTCACCGTCATCGTATTCTTGCGTGTCTGAGACAGTGCTTTGCTCAAGGACCGGCGAGGAAGGCGAAAGCGACCTGTCGAGCCCGTTGTTAAGGGCCAGATAGTCTTTGCGAGGTAGATTCCGCGTCACGCGAAAGTCACCGAGAGCCACGGCCATGTCTTCCAATACGTGAGCTGTTTGCTCACGGCATACAGCAATAGCAGACGGTCAGATCCATCTGGCATGAGAAGTATGCCTATCGAGAAGAATCGCGCTCCAACTAAGCCAGAAAGGCTTTGAAATAAACAAGTTCGCGTGCGAGGGACTTCCGAGCCCTCCGGAGCGTGTTTGAAGGGCGCACTACGCGCAGCCTCTCCTGTACGGCATGTATGCTGCTTTTGGGCCATCGCAAGTGCATCCAGTCGCCTCCGCGCCTCGTAATTGATTCGGTGTAGGTGAGTTGGTTCAGGTTACGGATATAAATACATCAATTTGAGATGAGTTTACTCGCGTGAAATCCGCATCGACCTTCAACCGCTCTGAACTGCGCAAAACGATGGAGGCCGGACTCTCAACATGTTGGAAAGCGGTTGTGGAGCACGACGCAAGCTTCTCTGGGTAGATTATGACATTTGCAAGCTTACAAGGGTCAAGAATCAACGTCGTCGTTTGGTGGCCGGAACGGATCAACTATCTGCCGAACATGAAGTGAATAATGTGAATACGAATAACTTATGAATATTGCCCATATTCGCGTGAATAAGTATTCACTTTATTCGTATTCGCATAGGCGAATATGAATATGGCCCATATTCATATTCATTTATTCATTTCGGAGCCCTAACAGTATGCATGCGGGATCCCGGCCACTTGGGATTCCGGGGTCACGGGCCTCCCAGCATACAGGACAGTGTGTTAAAAGCAAGAAGGAGGTAGTAAAGGCCACGCCAGCCCACACTCGGATACCTCAGTAAGAACGCGCTAGCAATAACGGGGCTGAAGCCAGACCCAGCATAGGAACACATGTAGAGTGTCCCCACCGCCTTGTATCGATGTTTGGTCGGAACCAGCTCACCCAAGACGTAATGATACGAGAGCTGGGTGGCGGACGCCAGTCCGAGGAGGACATTGCCGCCGATGAGAACGGGGATGCTCTGGGCGCGCGAGCAGACGATGCTGCCCATGATTCCCAGCACTGCTCCTCCAACGAAAAAATACCGCCGGCCGAATATGTCCGAGAGCTGGCCCAAGACGGGCAGGGTGACGGCGAGACAAGTGTTGTAGACGTACGAGATCCAGATGTAGTTGGGGTCCGGCCCGATGTCTTGGTTGATATAGGATAAGACAGGAGCAGGGTATCCGAACGCACCGGTGCCCGCGACGAGGCCCGTCCCCAGCGCGCAGAAGCTGCCCACGAAGAACTTGCTGCGGAAATAGCTGGCTGGCAAACTGTCGGCGTCGGTCACAAAGCCCTGTTCGTCGGTCACTAGAGCACCGTCTCCACATCGAATCGCGCTCGGCCGGTTGCCTCGTCGGCTGAGCGGTCCACCTCCGCCAGGTCTTGTGTTTGGGACGTAGGTTTTTCCATCTGGTCCCGCGGTGATGGATATATGCTGACGAAAGACACTGTGTAAAACTTCAACCTCAGACGTGTCGCCACGGGCACTCCCTAGTTCTAAATACCTTTGAGAACCCCCGCCGGGGACAGCCTGGGGTATTAAAGACCCCGGATTTCTCCCTGGCCACGTTATTTACTTGTAGCTCCGGCCGATCAATCCCCTGGCAGGATCAGTATAAGCTTCATGCGACGATAAGACAACCGACCTGTCAAATAATGCGGCGAACAAACAGCGGTCCCATCACTGAGGTCCTCCTCGTGTGGGTCTGGATGTGGAGAAGTGATTTTTAGCGGACAGGGGGCCAACGACTCGTAGTTATTTCAGGGTCAAATACCGAGGCCGACAGGGGCGAGACCGCCCATCTCTGGGAGCTTTTGTAAATCAGATGCGACTCGTATATGGAAGACGTCGAACGCCAGAGCTTGTACTGTTTGTGGCTGTGAGTGATTGGGACCATATGTCTTCAAACGCGGTGACCAAAGCAGGCAAATCTCGGACAGCCAGCCAAGAGGGGGTCCAAGATGATGGATTCGTCTGAGGAGTCCATCCTGTGTGTCAAGGAGGGCAATATCGCTACTATTGTCCTGAACAAGCCCCAGAAACTGAATGCCGTCACAAGAAAGGAGCTGCAACGAATCACTACGCTCCTCCACGAGATTGCCGACGACAAAAACATTTTCATCACCGTCATTACAGGTAGCGGGCGCTTCTTTTCTGCCGGGCTCGATGTTGGGGCAATTGACCCTACCCTCCAGCAAGAGAGAGGCGATATCCTCGGAGACTTCGTCAAGAACAACTTCAGCATAAGCCAGGCCTTCTACAGGCACCCCAAGATCTTGGTGGGCGCTCTGAATGGGCCGGTGGTCGGCCTTCCTGCAGCGTTGGTCGGCTTCTGCGACTTCGTGTATGCCACTCCGCACACTTTTCTCTTGACGCCCTTCTCTTCCCTGGGCCTGGTGACCGAGGGCGTTGCGTCGATGTGTCTCGTGGCGCGCATGGGGATTTCCAAGGCAAATGAGGCTCTTATTATGTCTCGAAAGATACCGTGTGACGAATTGGTCTCAACTGGGTTCGTGAACAAGGTGTTTTCGGGCAAGGATCAGAAGGATAGCACAGGGTTTTTGAACCAGGTCAAGGCGGAGATTGAGGACAAATTAGGCCATCATTTAAACCGCGAGAGTCTCCTCAGGATCAAGAGCCTGATCCGAAGGCCATCTCTAGACGCTCTTGATGCCCAAAACATCTGCGAGTCAATGGAAGGAACCGGGAGGTTTCTGCAAGGCGCTCCCCAGGAGGAGTTTAGAAGGATTGCAAGCGGAGAGAAAAGACACAAATTATAGCACGTCAAGGAGCTGTAAGCTACGTCGAGGTCTGGCTCGTAGTCCCGAGGGAGTGGATGGTCAGCATACAACAAGCCATCACCTTCGTCTATAGAATTCGAGACCAATGTACAATCGATGAGTGCAAACCACCGTAGTCCAATCACCGGGGGCTGAGTCCTGTTCATCTGCAGACCATCAAGTACCACCATTTTCAGGGCTTGTACTCAGCGGCTGGGGTAGTCCGATGGTCCACCCGTTTCCCTGGTGGCAACGTGGTGCCGAGCATCCTCGGCTTGACCAGGTCTATGCTGTCCTACACATCCTCACTGGTCGCTCTCGACTTCACTCGGCCACAGCCCAAACGACTTCTTAATCTTGCTTCTGGCGACCATGAACTTCGAGATTCCCCAAGAGGTCCAGGACTACCTCAAGCGGCTGGATGCCTTTATAGCCGAAAAGATCCTTCCTCTCCAGGAAGAGAACATCAAGTTCTTCGACCATCGCAGAGAAGCATCTCGTACCGATTGGAACAACGGCGGACTGCCCTCGCCGGAATGGGAAGCACTCCTCAAAAGGTCACAAGCGCTGGCAGAGGAGGCTGGCTTTTATCGCTTTGCCTTTCCAAAAGAATACGGCGGGCACGGAAGTCCTCATCAGAACCTGTACATGTGCGCGATCCGCTACCACCTCACCTCGAACTATGGCGGCGGCCTGAGCTTAGCCAACGACCTACAGAGCGAACATAGCATGGTTGCAAATGACCCAGTGACCATCATGCTGCACCATTATGGGAGCCCCGAGCAGCGGAGGGATTTGATCCCCGCCGTGGCCCGAGGAGAATTCAGGGCCACCTTTGGCCTCACTGAGATCGATCACGGCTCCGATGCGACATTCCTCGACACCACGGCTAAAAAGGTTGACCTCGCAGATGGTTCTGTAGGATATGAAATTAACGGAAACAAAAAATGGCAGACAGGAGCCCACCACGCCACCCATTGTATCGTCTTTGCTCGAACGTCCGGAAATGCGGGATCCCCTCGAGGTATCACGGCTTTTCTGGTGCCCGTGAAAACCGACGGGGTCGTTGTGGACTCGTACCAATGGACTCTGAATATGCCAACGGACCATGCGACCATATTCTTCCGCGGGGTTCTGGTTCCCGAGACAGCTGTTCTCGGACCGGTGGACGACGGGTTGATTATCGCACAGACCTTCACGGGCGAGAACCGTATCCGGCAGGCGAGCTCGAGCTGTGGCGCGGCCTCATACTGCGTCCAAAGGAGCATCGAATACGCCAAAAAGAGAACCGTCTTTGGGAAGCCTCTATCTTCTAACCAGATGATCCAGTGGCCGCTGGTTGAGCTCGCCACGCAGGTGGAAATGCTCCGGCTATTGATCCTTCGGACCGCCACCGAGATGGACCAACTTACACTTCGGTGCAAAGACTCAGGAGAGAAGCCTTGGTCTGTCATTGAGCGCGAACTCGGATACAAGATCAGCATGTGCAACTACTATGCCAATCGTCTCTGCACGGAGGCGGCGGACCGTGCGATCCAGATCCACGGAGGCAATGGCTATTCACGGCACTATCCGTTCGAGCACCTCTGGCGGCATTTTCGTCGTTATCGGATCACGGAAGGGAGCGAGGAGATTCAAATGAGGAGGATCGCAGGCACGCTCTTCGGGTTTAAGGATGCTGGTCGACCGAAGGATATCAAACTGTAAATACGAAGGACATCGTACCAGACCTACACCCGAGCCAAGTATTCACACTATCTCCTCCACCACCTTTGAAAAATGTAGCGTGAGTAGTTTGTCTGCACTTAGAGTTCACGTTGCATAGAGCATCTTCGGTTGGAAAAGATCACCCAACAGCCTTTAATTCCAAGAACAGTTCCTGCATCGAACAATTCAGCATCTCTACCACATTTCCCCAGGGGTCTTGAACGTAAGAGGCGCGGTACGACTCTGTCAGAGTGACGGTTTCTCCCACTTGCTTCGCCCCCATTCGGATGCACTCGGCCGTCTTCGCGTCGACGTCGGGGACGGTCACGCAGATGTGGAATATGCCGCCCTTAGTGTATGTATCAGGATTCCAGTCGACGCGCTTTTTGGGCCCATTGTATTTCGGGTCAATGTACTCAAAGATCTCAAAGGCGACTCCGTTGCCCATGGAGAGGATGCACATCTTCATCGATCTGAGCTCGGGGCCGTAAACTAGAACCATCCGATTTCAAGGTCAGCGGACTCACTTGGGTCTTCTCACCAACGGGGCATTTCGGATGACTTACTCTTGTTGGCAGATTCCGCTGTTGGCCCGCCACTCTCGGCGAGCACGGTGGGCACGATGACTCGAAAGCCGAAGAGCTTGGTGTACCACTCAACGGCCTCGTCGAGATTGGGTACCGACAGCGCGAGGTGATTAAATGCACAATTTGGCTGTGCCATCGTTGAGGTTGTCGAGAGGAATTTCTTTGCCCAACGATCAGATCACCAAGCGAGAACAAGTACGGTCCTTGGTTTGAAGCCCTGTCAGTGTGTCCTGAGCCTCCAAATACGATGTGCTCAGCGGAGCACGATACGCGCGCGTCCACAGTGGCATTCGGTGTCTCTCTATTTTGCCCCAACCCCCCCACCGGTCGATTCAGTCGCACAGTCATACCTATCGCAACTTTCCGCGTCGTAAAGGTCGAATCGTCGAATCACCAATACACGAGATCTAACGAATAATCCATTCAGCGGCCTTGGGTTAAACTTGCCTGGAGGGGTCATTAAGCAGTGCCATCAACATATGCCCGCCTGAGGCATCATTAGCGGCTGCTATGCTGGGCTAGCTGTTGAGAATACTACCTGTACATGAGGAGCATTTGTTGGCGTTGGGAGCACTGGCCGGGGCTGCGTACGTCACACCCTGTCTATTTACGGAAGCCCGAGGAGCCCGTCTCTGCCAAGGAGACTACTTACAAGTGTGTAATTTCCAATCTCTTGGGGTGCTACACTCGACACGCGCCAAGGGGCGACGGGTACTGTTCTTCCGGGCCAGACGGTGTACCAGGAACCATCATGGATGCAGCAGTGGCTCTTTTCGGGACACATCACTACTTGGATTCTGCGTAGAACAGCACATACTACGACTCGTACCGTGTTGTGCCCCTAACGCGTCACCGAGTAGGGTAGAGGGGTACCCCGGTAGTTATTCATCCAGAAGCACGATACAAGATTGAAGAGAGCCACCCATTGGCTTAGCCATGCCATTCCAATGAGGCTTCTCGAGGTCGACGGCTTTCACCCTCGCCGGCATGGCGTTACAGGCCTTACTGTTTGCGCTTTTCAGTGTAGTTCTACCTCTCGTAGTCGTCTACTTGAACAGTCTCTCAAAGCCACTGAGAGGGATTGAACTTGTCGGACCGAAGCCTCAAGGATGGACCTCGTGGAAGGCGGGTGAAACTTTCAACTCGAACGGTATATCTATTCTTCAAGAGGGGCTCAAGAGGGTAATGTAAACCGCTAGTCTCCCACCAGGTTGGCACAGGATTGACTCCAGCAGCTGAAGAACAAACCATTCCAGGTGCTCACGCACACAGGCCCCAAGATCATTCTCCCGCCATGCTACGTCGACGAGATCAAAAGTGACCCGAGGTTCTCGCTCGATTTACCAAACGACAATGACTTCTTCGTCCGCTGGCCCGCGTTCTCACCCCAGGCCATGTTCACACGCAATCACACTCTGATCCAGATGATCAACTCCAAGCTGACCCCTTCCCTCACGCGTATCACGGCGCCGGTTAACGAAGAGAACGAGCTGGCCGTCCGGGAGCTGTTCCCCCCCACTGACTCTTGGAACTCGACTCCTTTTGCCGAACATATGCTCTCGTTGACCACGAGGACTTCCTCCCGCGTTTTCGTCGGGCTGCCTATGTGTCGAGATCCAGTGGTTCTGACCGCCATGCGAGACTACTCGGCGGAGCTGGTGGCGGCCGCGCAAGCGATGATGAAATGGCCCCTGCTCCTCCGGCCGTTTGCCTACTTGTATCTCCCCGAGGTGAGGAAGCTGTCCAAGACGGTCCAGATTGCTCGTCGCTGCCTGGGCGCGGAAATCGCACGGCGTGTCAAGGCTCACGGGGGCCGAGATGAAGTTGGTCATCTACAATGGTCGCAGACCCGGAGCCTCGACGCGGTCGAGTGGTTGCGGGAGACGGTGCGTGCTCAAGGGAAGAAGTTCGACCTGGTGGGCGGCCTCCTCAGCCTCGCTTTTGGTGCCATCCACACGACGTCCCACACCCTGACACACGTCATGTACGACATCATCGAGAACCCGGACCTGATCCCCCAGTTGCGGCAGGAGATCATAGACGCGTTGAGGGAGGATGGTGGCTGGAAAAAGACGACCTTGTACAAACTAAAATTACTGGATTCGGTAATGAAGGAAAGTCAACGCGTGTTGCCAGTACGGGCAGGTGAGTGACGAAGCACGGGCCCTGATGGAGCCCGTTGATTCCTCCAAGGAGCCTGCTGACGGAACAACGACCCATCCATAGTCCTTTTCCGACGTGTCACTCTGGAAGCTGTATGCTTGAAAGATGGCACCGAGCTCCCCAGGGGAGTAGAGGTGAACATTCCCAATCTCCACATGCGCGACGAGGCAACCTACGGCGAAGCAGGACGGTTTAATGGAGCCAGATTTCTCAATCTGCGCAGCCAGGCCGGGAATGAGAGCAAGTACCAGTATGCCACGACGGGCGTGGATAGTCTCGGTTTTGGCCACGGACAGCACGCCCGTCCCGGACGATTCTTTGCCACGTTACAAGGTCTTTCGAGACAGCGTGGAGGCGGCGACGGACTATCTGTCGCGGGATCAAGGATGTCAGTGGAATGCATTGGAAGAGCTGCTCAAGGACGATAGATCGTCAAATATCGACCTTCCAGAGTACAGTCAGTCCCTTTGTACTGTCGTGCAAGTTGCTCTGGTCGATCTCTTGTCCTCATGGAACGTCAACCCGGTATCCGTTGTGGGTCACTCAAGCGGCGAAATAGCTGCAGCCTACTGTATCGGCGCCATCAGCAAGCAAGCCGCTTGGAAGATCGCGTACCATCGCGGGATCCTATCTTCGCAACTCAAGAGTCTTGCTCCAGAGCTGGAAGGGGCCATGATGGCTGTTGGAGCCTCGGAAACTCAAGCGCAAGAGTATATTCAAAAAGTAACGGAAGGAGAATTGGTCGTGGCTTGTGTCAACTCGCCCTCGAGTGTGACCATATCTGGAGACGCCATTGGAATTCGCCACCTGACAAACATGCTCGAAGGATTGAAAGTCTTCCACCGCAGGCTAAAGGTGAACACGGCCTACCATTCGCCGCATATGCATACTATTTCATCCATATACATGCACTCTCTGAGTGATGTGCAAGCCCAGGAATCTATCGAGGGTCGCCAGATGTTTTCAAGTGTGATCGGAGATCTCGTGGACCCTGCTGAACTGGGGGCAATGAATTGGGTGAGAAATCTCGTATCTCCAGTTCTTTTCACGGACGCGGTGTCCGCTCTGCTACAGACAGGTCCGGATGGACGTCGCTGCGCAGGCCCCAGCGTCGACATCTTCGTCGAGATAGGGCCTCACCCAGCACTTCGCGGCCCAGTCAATCAGATCATGGATAGTCTCGGAGTCAAAGGCATTGAATACCGAACCATGCTTCACCGGGGCCAACAAGCCGTTGATTCTGCGCTGACCTGTTGTGGAGATCTCCACGTCCTAGGAGTGCCGGTTAATATTGAGAAGATCAACGACAGCCCTGCAGGGAGGACTCCTCGGATGCTCGTTGATCTACCACCGTATGTATGGAATCATTCGCGAACGTTCTGGGGCGAGTCTCGTCTAGCACAGCAGTTTCGTCTTCGCAAATTTCCCTCCATCGGCCTTCTTGGAGCGCCCTATCCTTCACCCAACAGTGAGGAGGCAGTATGGCGCGGCTTCCTCCGCATCGAGGAAGAACCATGGATTGAGGACCATCAGATTCAGTCCTCCATACTCTATCCCGCCGCTGGCTATCTCGCCATGGCCATCGAAGCTGCACGACAGCTGAGCGATGTCAACCGAAAGGTCAGCGACTTCCGGCTTCGAGATGTAATCATCTCCTCAGCGGTTGTTCTCAAGGAAGGGGAAGACGTCGAATGCGTTTGCCAGCTCAGACCTCACCAGGTGGGAACTCGAGACACATCGTCGACTTGGTGGGAATTCACCATTTCCACCTGTGTGGCGGGGACAAATCAGTTGAAAACGAATTGCACCGGTCTGATCTTGGTTGAATACTGTGTGACGGAGGACAGTGCAGCGCATGCTGAGATACACCTGGAGAACAAGAGTGTAAAAGCCCGTTTCAAAGACATGGAAAATGACTGCACCAGCAAAGAAGATGCCGTCGATTTCTACAAGGAGCTTGCTGCTGTAGGACTCGTGTACGGCCCGGCCTTCCGATGTGTTACGAGCGTTGCCCACTGTGCCGGCAAAAGCGTTTGACATCCAGGTTCCCAAGACGGGTTCTGTTGCTGCCCAAGTACAGAACGGCAGACCCCACATCATCCATCCAGCTACACTTGATGCCATCTTTCATCTTTCATTTGCAGCGTTGAAAGGAGGGTCGGGGACCCTGAAGGAGGCCATGGTACCAACTGCGATCGACGAAGTCATTGTTGCAGCCAGTGCACCTTTTCACGAAGGTGCACGTTTCCGAGGCTTCTCGACAGCGGCCAAGCACGGAATGAAGGAACTCAAAGCAGATATTGTGATGCTGGATGAGATGGTTGAAAGGCCTCTGGTCAGGATTCGGGGCTTCACCTGTGCTGCATTCTCAGGGTCAGGTATTGATGCATCTGCAGAAAACGAAGAGATGACAGAGAGAGGCATGTGCAGCAAGCTGGTTTGGAAGCCATGCCTTGGTCTGTTATCTAACGAAGAGCAATTTGAGCTTTTCAGCAAGGTGGGCCCCAGCACCATGACACCTGAGGAGTCGAGACATTTCAAGAAATCCGAGTATCTGGCTTTGATGTTCATGCGGCAAATTGTGGACCATGTGAAGTGGAGCAGTGTGGCGCCCGAACAGCACCTTCGGAGACTCTATGAGTGGATGAAGAACCAACAAGAACTTGTTATGGCCGGCAAGCATCAGCTTCAACACACATTCGGCGACGACTTACCGGACCAAATTGCAAAAGATGCCAATTCCGAGTTCCATTCCGTAGATTCGGACGACCAAAAGCTTTATTTGACGGCCACGATCCTTACACAAATCTTACTTGGGCAATTGAAGGCTGAGCGGCTTATGCTTGAGGAGAGTCTTTTGGACCGATACCTCTCGAACACTCCCGGAGTCGGAGCCTGTGCCAATAAGCTAGCAGAGGTAAGCCGACCAGCCCCATGTCGAATCTCAAACACAGTCTAATAGTGACGCAGGTTGTGGACATGGTCCTCTTCTCGCAGCCTTCGGTTTCTATTCTGGAGTTTGGTGGTGCTAGTGGAGGGGTTGCTGCTAAGGTCCTCAGCCGGCGACGAGGTATCTTTACCAACTATACATATGCATGTCCCACAGAAGCCATCAAAGGACTTGCTGAAGAGACGCTCAAGCCATGGAGCTCGGCGTCGAAGTTCTTGGTTGACGATCTCAGTGCAGCTGAGCAGAGAACGACTGACACCGAGACATACGACATCATTATAGCCGCCAACGCACTCTATGGCGTCGAATCCATTGAAAACGTCCTGGTTGATCTGAAACGCATGCTCAATCCGGGAGGGCGATTATGTCTGATCGAGACCACGAGACCTGGTATCCAATTGTCATGCGCTTTGGGTTGTTTTCAAAGCTGGTGGAGGTAACTTGATGCAACGACTCTTCCAACAATGATGCACTGACATTGTGAACAGCAGGAAGGGCGAAAGTGCCGCCATGGACGAAACCGAGTGGCGTGCACTTCTAAACCGCATAGGATTCGAGTCTGTCATACCATACCCTGATTTTGAGGACGAAACTTGTCAACAATTCAGCTTGATGGTGGCTCAGGCCCCTGATCCCTCCTGGAACACAGTTACGCCCGGAAAAGAGTTCGTCATCGTCGAACCGCGAGATCCTACGCGCGTCTCAGCTGCACTTGGTTCCAAAATAGCTCTCGAGCTCACTGAGGCTGCCTGTCGATGCAGCCTTGTCAAGTGGGGAGATCTATCTGCGTTACAGACCGGTGGCAGTGTCATCGTGCTTGCGGAGGTGGAACTGGCTCTGCTGCCAACCCTGAATGACGAAGATTTCTCATTTATGCAATCTCTCATTCTGAAATCCTCAGACGTGCTCTGGGTCAGTTCTCACGATCAGCCAACAGCATCAATGGCGTCAGGACTGGCCCGTAGTGTTCGGAATGAATGTGCCAATATCCGCTTCCGCATATTGCAAGCAATGCCGAAGTCTCTGGAAGTGCCTGATCACTTGGCGTCGCATATTGTCAAGCTCACGACGTACCCCGGCACGGACAGTGAATTCGTCGAGAAAGAGGGCATCTTGAATGTCAGTCGTGCCGTCCAGGATGGAGCATTCAACGAAGAGTTATCGGCCTATCTCCACGGTGGCAAGGTCGAGCTGATGCCCTTAGGCAAATGCCACGGTCCTCAGAAAATCCATGTCGGCGCTCCGGGGATGCTTGATTCGCTACAATTTGAGGCTGATGACCTAGCGTGGGCACACTTGCAGCCCGGATATGTCGAGATTGAGGTGAAAGCAACAGGTATTAAGTGAGTTCTTGCAGCGCATGTGGTATCTTTGTTGACGGCTTACTGATCGTGCAACAGCTTTCGAGATGTCATGGTTGCCATGGGTCAAATCCCTGACAGCTTGTTCGGCTTTGAGGCCAGCGGCGTGATCACACAAGTAGCGAGCGATGTGACCTCCCTTCAGCCGGGGCAACGAGTTTCCTGTCTCGGGCACGGAGCACACAGGACTCACTACCGCAGTCCTGCTGCATTCTGCCAGCTTATTCCAGACGACATTACATTTGAGGAGGCTGCCGGTTTGCCGCTGGTACATGCCACGGCATATCACGCATTGGTCAACGTCATGCGTGTTCAGAAAGGCCAGTCAATTCTCATTCATGCGGCAGCAGGCGGTGTTGGACAAGCGGCCATCCAGCTGGCACAGCACTACGAAATGGAGATCTTCACCACGGTGGGTTCGGCGGATAAAAGAGCTTTGCTACAAGAAGTCTATGGCATCCCCGACGACCATATCTTCCACAGCCGCGACGCTTCCTTTGCCAAAGCCCTCAAACGGATGACCGGCGACCGCGGAGTTGACTGCATACTCAATTCGTTGGCAGGAGAGCAATTGCGGCAGACCTGGCACTGCATAGCTCCTTTTGGCACGTTTGTGGAAATTGGTCTGAAGGACATTTTGGGTAACACACGTCTTGATATGAGACCTTTCATCCAAGATGCCACGTTCTCATTCTTGAACCTCCAGCACGTGGCGGTGGCTCGGCCTGAACTTATGGCGAGCATACTCAAAGAGACTTTCGATCTCCTCCGGAGAAAGGTGACTCGGCCAGTCTACCCGTTGACTGCATTTCCCATCTCTGACATGGAGAACGCGTTCCGCATCATGCAAGCTGGTCGACATCGCGGTAAGCTCGTCCTCACATTCTCGCCGGAAGATGTGGTCAAGGTGCATCGCAATCCATCGGTGGAGTTGAAGCTCAAGGCCAACGGCACATATGTTCTCGTGGGCGGATTTGGAGGAATTGGGAACAGTTTGGCTCGCCTTCTTGTCGAGCACGGGGCCAGACACATTTGCATCCTGTCCCGCTCCGGCCCCTCGTCCGACGAAGCAAAGAGCTTGTTGGTGGACTTGAAGAAGCAGGATGCAATAGTTAGAGCATACTGTTGCGACATCACCAACGAATCTGAGCTCGAGGAGGTGCTGCAGATCTGCTCGACCGACTTGCCGCCAATCAGGGGGGTGTTCCAGTGCGCCATGGTGCTACGAGACGTTCTCTTTGAAAATATGAGCCACCAGCATTGGACCGAATCCATCAGGCCAAAGGTGCAAGGAACTTGGAACCTTCACCAGCATCTTCCCAAACATCTCGACTTCTTCATTATCCTCAGCTCGTTCGCCGGGGTCTTTGGAAATCGTGGTCAAGCGAACTATGCAGCGGCTGGTGCTTACGAGGATGCTTTTGCCCAGCATCGACGAAGCCTGGGACTCAAGGCGGTTTCAATCGATCTCGGAATCATGAGGGACGTCGGAGTCTTGGCCACAGGGACCGCCAGTGCCAGTCGTGATCTGAAAGATTGGGAAGAACCTTTCGGAATACGTCAAACCGATTTACACGCTCTTATACGCAAGGTCATGGAGAGCGAGATGGCCGGCAGTGACAATGTCGAGGCGCAAATACTTACGGGATTTGCCACGGGAGGCGGTGTAACGGCTGCCGGCATCCGACGTCCCTTTTACTATGACGATCCTCGATTCTCGGTGTTGGAGTGGACAGGCTACCGAGCTAAGGACGGAACGGGCAATGGGGAGCTAGAATTATCGCTGAAGGCTCGACTGACTGCCGCTGTCTCTCTAGAGGATGCTTATGAAGCAGCTACCAGAGGCATCGTCGACAAGGTTGCGAACATGATGCAGACGTCGGTGGAAGAAATTGACAGCAGTCGGCCATTGCACACATTCGGCGTTGATTCTCTTGTGGCTGTCGAGATTCGAAATTGGTTGACCAAGGAGGCAAAGGCGGATGTGACAGTCTTTGATATTCTGGCCGCAGTACCAATTACGGCGTTTGCGCGAACTGTAGTCTCCAAGAGCGCATTGGTAGCCAAGCGCTGAAGGAACAATGAAGCTGTGTAAATCATACTGAAATTTTGTTGAATTTTCCCACGCCAACAATGGGATTCTTGCCCATTTTTGATTCCTGGGGAGCATGTTTAGGATGAGCGATCTAGCAAACACCACTATTTTCGTAATGCAGCTGTCTCTTCCGTGCATCTTCTTCTGAAATGAGTTGTACGTCATCACCGTTGACAAAAATATTGGTACTCCCACCTTGTAATTCATCGCTGGACATTGCATTTTGGATAGACATTATTGTGGGATGTATGACGGATTCGAGACTTTCATTGTAGACCGGACACTGAATGAGCGATACCATTCATCGTTGTTGTGAAGAAAACCCATAATTGAAAGGGTGCTGCTGCAGGTAGTGCTAATCGTGTGTAACTTTGTCCATCATAATCTCAATAACATTCTTCTCTAGCTAATGAGAAGATAAAAGAGGGTCAGCATTGCCGCAATAGCCACCAAAATACTTCATAGATAACTTGGTTTTCGAGGCCTGATCCGATCTCGTTCTTCGGCACTCTCGAGAGACTGCTTGTCTTGAACTTGGATATCCAGCCATACTGTTGAACAAAGGGATATTGTGTATAGGCTCCACAGCTGAAACACTGCTGAGAGGTTTCCATAGACGACGACGTTACTGATGGTTGCTCTGCGTAACGGCGTAGTATTCGCATGTCTATAAAAGAATTCTCAATACCTCGACAAGTAGATAGAGAAGAGAGCATTCAAGACATCTCGAGTTGCACCCAGTTTGACACATACACCGAAGGACGACGGAGTTAGGGAATTGGAGCTTACTGAGCCGGATAGGGAGAAGGTTTTGCACCTCGGGCGAAAGGGGCGGCGGAGATGAAGAAACCAGGCGGAGAGGAGGGGCAAGGGGTGCTATTAGTGGCCGTGCTGGTAAGGAAATGAAGGGAGGTAGGTGGGCAGGAAGGAAATGAAACCGGAGATGGGAATAGGAAGGATATGAGGATTGTCGTGTTCCCCTGACTGATCGGTACCTCCTTCAGATGTCATGTCATACACAACTCGTCTTGGTGGCAAGTGCTCCACCGTAATGGAAACCCCAGTCAGTACGGACCCAAATGCTGCTGACTTCATACAGTGATCGAAACCTGTCATTCATATTTTCTTTTCCAACCTAATGCCCTCTCACAACCCGACCTAATTAATATCCATTGGCCTGAGACACCTATGACCCCTCCATCTCCGTCCAAGCTCTAAACCAAAAGCAGTACCAACAAAATCCAAGGTCAATAGGTAGATGGACGCCTTCCACTCGCACCTTTCAATCCTGCAATCTCAGCTTCAATCTCAATTCACCCAGATCTACGCCTCCCTCCCCGAACCACTCCAACTGTACTTCACGCGCCAGAACCTCCAGATCCTCCTGCGCGTCATCATAATAATCTCCAGCTACATCCTATTCCGACCACATCTGGAGTCCTTATTCCGCAAAGTGACAGGAACTCCGGACCCGAGACAAGCGGAGATTGAAGCACGGCTCCAACTTCTGAGGCAACAACGAGAAGATGCCACAAATGCAAGCATAGGTACCAATACGGGTACGAGTGCGAAACCAAGGACGATGGAAGTCGTGGGGAAAGCCGGGAGGGTGGTGAAACTCGTCGTCCCGGGCGAAAAGGAAGAGCAGGAGAATCAGAGTCGGAGTCGGAGTCAGAGCCAGAGTGTGAAGAAAAAGGGTGGGAAGAAGAAGAAATGAAATGGAAACCTAGAATGAAAATCAAAATCAAACTGTACAACAGATGAGGCATGTGAATGAGGACCTGTTCCGTTGAACGTGCCGCACGCGGTGGCAGTGGCCGCTACGATAGAATACAAATATAAATACAACATAAAATGCCATCTCCCAAAGACGGACGGTATGGCATTCGTCTACAATACCAGCACCAGTACCAGTACCAGTATATATCAACAGCTGGCTATGCCTAACAGCAAACGTCCCGCGCCACGGGATCATAATCATCACAGTAGAGAACAGTCCAAGTACGGATCGAGCACGTATAGCATTAGTATCCTCCCATGACGAACTAGGTATGTTTTTCCACTACCTACTTGTCTGTCGACATCGGATCAGATCTAATATAAACGTCTCAATTCCTCCCCCCAAGCCCTCACTTCCTCGACTGTGACATTCAATGCTTCCTCCATCAAACCACCCTCCTTCAACACTACCTCTAACTCCTTATCATCTAAAGCCAATAATCCCTGCTCGACCATCTCACCATCCACGACGCGGAAAGGTTCGTCCTTCTCCAACACTTCCGTCTTCCAGGCTCGGAACTTCGTCCATGGCATATATCCGGGCGCCTGGACTCTTGAGGCCAGCGCCGACTGCAAAAGCAGGAGTACATTGACATATGCCGGATTGATGGTGGCGAGCATGTAGATGGCCCCTTCAATCGTAGCTAGGAACGCCCGAGGCGTGACTAGTGGACCGACGCGTGGGAGTTTTGGTGGAAGGAATCTCTTTCCGTTGTTGTGCATGTCATCGTCCGACCCCCCGCTCATGACGGTGTCGATCATCTTCTGCGCTTGCCTGGTCTGCGGCGAAGAGCCAGGAGTGGCTGACAGAGGAACGATTTTGTTCACGACCTCACCAAGGCGAAACTCTCCTATCACCTCTAACCGCAGACGATAGTCCTCGTTAGCGGTGTCGGGAGCATTCTGGCGGAGCATGATAAGGTTCCCCTCCATGTCGGCGACAACCCATTCATTTTCCATGATCGCCGAGGTGGCAGAGGACCACAGTGTGGCAAAATGTCGGGATGTCTCGCGCAATTGGTATTCTGGATAGGAGGAATTGGGGGGAACAACGTGGAGAACGGAAAGAGATTTCATCAAATCGGCGACGGCGATGAAAGCCGGCGCTTCGGAGGTGGCGGGCGTCACGGCGAGTGAAAGAGGGTTTGTCGATGTGCGATACGTCGCGAGCTTGGTGAGTTCAAGAGAATGGCTGGATCTTGTGGACGGTTTCAATCCGTAGAGAACGACCTGTTCATCATCTCGTCAATAGAGAGACCATCAAAATTTTTAAGTCCCAACTTACTGTTTTCACCAAGCCGGCCACGATCTTGCCATCACACATCGCCAAACTTCGACAAGCACCCTTGACCGCGAGTGACGTCACCTCTTTGAGTTTCTTCTCCTTATTGACTTCAAAGACCAGTATTCGGCCTTTCACAATATCATCCCCGGTTCCATCCTCTTCAAAAACGCTCGTTCCGACCACAAACATTTCGCCGTAGCCTTGAGATTCGTCATCTGTGTCGAAAGGGCCGGTCGATACGATGCATTCCACAAGCTCTCTGTCCAGGAGTTCCACCGAATCCAGTTCTTTGAAGCTAACTTCGTCTGCGATCTTGACAGAGCTCAGTAACGCTTCGACACCGCTTTCCATGATCCGACGAATACAACCCATGGCGAACATCTTTGCCGTCGATGCGTAGGTCAGACAGCGCACTGTCTCATGGATCGGTAAGGTCTGCAATTGGGTTGTCCGCTCTTTGCCGATCAAGGCAAGCTTGAGTTCTTTCAGAGTAGCTATGGCAATCGCATCGGGGTATGCTTCAGAGTTGAAGCTGCACACCCGAGACCCGCTTTCAGCATTGACAGCTGAGTAAATGATTCGACCTTCCGTGGAGTAGACCAATGATGGCTGCTCGCATGACGCGAAGATATTCGAAAGTGGGGACCCGGACTCAATGTCTTTGGGAAGTTGTTTAAAGAAAACTGGTTCTGATCCAAGCAACATTCGGGTCATCCCCGAAAGAGAATTCTTTGCCGTGTCGAACGAATAGGACAAGACCGTGCCATCAGCCATGGCAACAAATAAGTTGGGCGGAGCATCAGGCAGTATGTTTGCGACCATTACTGACCGTGGGATATCTGTTCCAGGCATACCGACGGTTTGGCTTTGAAGAATATCGAGAGAATGTAGATCAATGATGGCAACAGATGCCGTTTGCCAGAATGATACAATGCACGCATTGCTTTGTGAACCCAGGACTGTTACGCTTGATATCTGTGAATCGGGTAGGAATGTCTTTGAAATAGTAGGCTGGGAATCGCCGCTGTTGGAAATATGGAATACGTGGAGCGTGTGACCACCTTCAACAACAAGAAGATGCGCGGAATTTGCACATGCAGCTGTGATTTTGGCCCCTGCATCAGGAGGTTTCCACTCGAGAGTCAGCATGCTCGATTCGAGATCCGTCATCCTCAGCCCAGTTTCGTACACTTGTACCAGCTTCCGATCGGGGAGATTCGCTGCAAAGAAGGTCGGTTGGGAGAATTCCAAGTGGTGAAACTCGTCCAATTCCTCGACCGAGGCTTCCGAGTCAAATTTGAATATTCGTGTTTCGGTGACGAAAGAGACGAGAAGTATATCATGCACATCATTCTGTCCGGTGGAACTTAAGCCCCAGAGATCTGTGATATGGGACAGTTCTCCGATTGTGCCGAGTTCTTCGAGACCAACGCCACTCCTCACGCTGCGAATGGTACCATCTTGCCATGCGCCCGATGCGGCGACTATTCGAGCCTGACCGGAGGAAAATTCAAGAGATTGTCCGCCTTCCGCACCACGGCCCAGATCCATGATGGTGAAATCCAAGATTGGTGCAATATTGGCAAACGTCTGAACAATGCGGACACCCTCTTCTTCGATATGCACCACTTGCGAATCTCCTGAATGAGAGCCAATGAAGACGTAGCCGTCGTCAAGATACACCAAGCAAGCGGCCTTTGATGCGACACCCACTAGGTCAAGCCTCCAAGACGACACTTCGAATCCGCGGACGTCGATCATTAAAAAGAACAGTTTGCCAAAATCATCGGCGAGAAGCCATCGTTGATCATCAATCTGGGTCCAGCAAGTCCATATCGTCGCGTTGTCTTTGAGAGGTTGGGTGATCACATTGGTCAATTCGCAGTCGACATAGCGGATGGCATGGTCGCCCAAAATGAGGAAGCCCGAATAAGGCGCGGGTACCGGAATGAGGTGGCTCACTCCCTTGTCCAACTGGTCACCACCCAATTCTGCCACTGTCTCAAAGTCGGCCGTCGCTTGTTCACCCCCAGGGTAATACTTGAGTTCCCGCAGCTTTAATTGGGGATTTTCCGAGTTGTCTACCCACAATATTGCCAGCTTGGGATTGTCTTTGGATTCGGGATCTGTTTCCAAGAAGGCCGATGAGCTCGTTAACAGTTCTTCAATTCGAACCTGAACCGGTTCCCCTAACGTCCCAGCTTGGGTATTGGAAGTGTTCTCTTTTTTGACACGCTTGTTGGAGGGTTGGACGAAAGGGAGAACTGATATGACCCCGTCATACAATTCCAACATCATGAACCGCTTCGTAGGATCTATGTGGCATCTATCCACCTCTCTGGAGTCACGAAGGACTTTGTCCGCCAAGTCGACATAACTCTGCTCGGTTTGAAGCTGTTTCGTCTCGGCATTCCATGAGCAGGTGAAATATTGGTAGCGATCAGTGCCAACAAAGAGGTGATCGGTTTTTGAGGACGCCGGTCGGATCTGTTCAAGGATTGTGATGTAGCCGTAAACGGTCTTCGTGTGTAACAGCGACAGGCCTTCTGGTCCCTGCTCGTATATCTGGAGACGATTCGCTTTTCTGATCAACAAGTCAGTCTGCTTTCCTGACGGGCACGAATAGGAGACGCACGCTACAATGAGAGTGTCGACATTGGGATCCAGGAAATTCAGCTTGATAGCATGACGGACGCCACTGGGATGGTGAATTGGTACAACGTAGGACATGGCGGCTCGAAGTGGTTTCAATGAGTCGTCTCCGAAGCCGAGGTATTACTATTACTGAAGAGTAGACCAACTAAAAGTCATGACGAGCATAAAAGGAGGTAATCCGAAGCTTAGTCACACATCTAGATGTCTCCCAGATCAGGACAAACTGGTCGCGGGGGAAGCAGAGTCGGAAAGTTGAAGTTGACGGCGGGTTTTGGTCGGCTGGTCAGCCTCATTCGTTACTCGATCAGGCAGCGCACGACTCGCAAATACAACGCGGATGAAGGGGAAGAAAAAAAAAAAAAAAAAAATTGGGGTGGATGGATCGTCGTACACTTGATCAAAGAAGTCTGTACAATATTCTCGAATATCATACTATTCCTTGCCGCCGAGCCATCTATATACCACCGAGAAGTCCTTTCCCTTGTGTGCCTTCTCAGTTTCATCATAGACTTCTTTGGCTCTCTGGGCCAATACCAGTTTGGCTCCGGCTTCTGATGCTGCGGTCATAGCCAGCCTTAAATCTTTGTTCATCAGACTGACTCCAAAGCCCCCTTCATAATCTCTGCTCGCCGGGGTCGTTTCAATGACTCCAGGAACAGGATTGTTGATCTCACTTGGCCAACTCTTCCCCGTAGCGGAATTGATGAGATCAGCTAGCGCCTTGCCCTCAATGCCCCATTTCATGCCCAAATTCATTGCTTCAGCGGCCGCAATATTATTGATTGCCAGTGCATAATTATTAGCCAACTTTCCACTTAGCCCCGTTCCTTGGGGACCCATATGCCAGACCTTCTTTCCCATCAAGAGAAGTATGGCTTGAATCTTGGGCATGTCCTCCTTTTCCGCACCAACCATAAAAGTCAGTGTTCCAGCTCGAGCACCTACTACACCACCAGACATCGGTGCATCCACAAAATTGGCTCCGGCCCTCTCTTTTACCATCTTTGCAACTTCTCGCGAGGTTGTAGGGTCGATGGTTGAGCAGTCTATGAAAAGTCTGGAGCTTTCAGTGGGTGGGTTAGGAAGACTCGACGCAAGGACTTCTTCGAATACGCCTTTGACATGGCGAGGTTCTGGTAGTGCTGATATGATGTTATCCTGTTTCGGTGTCGTTAGTAAATGGATGCTCTTCCTCATCAAAAGCGAGACCAAAGTCACGTAGAGCATCAGAGGATTGGCTATAGGAATGTGAAATCAGCGAAAAGACAACCAGAAGGAAGTCCCCAACTTAGATCATAGATAGAACAATGTGCTCATCATGCAATGCATTTGCGTTCGAAACAGGTTGATCACCACTCACAGCATTTTCCACAAGCTCTCTGGGGCTCTTCGCCACGACAACTCCAACTGGTGTGGCCTCCCGTGAGAACTTCTCCAACGAAGCCGTATTTACATCAAAGATGGTCATGATGTCGCCTTCGGGGATCTTTGCTCGGAGGTTCTTCGCCATAGGATACCCTGCGGTTGTCATCAGTCACCATTATTGTCGAGTTAATGCAGTGGGAAACAAACCCATGGCACCTAACCCAATAAAGCCCCAGGATGCCTCTCGACGAGCTGAAAGGGAGAAGTGTCTGACACCAGTTTTCAGGTATTGTGAGGAGCTCCGCCGCAGGGCAGAGGATACCAAAGTATTCGTCATCTTTGCTGAGCTCCCCTGAGACACCGCATGGCGAGCAGAGCGACAGAGGTAGGTTAAGTACCAGAGGTAGGTCAAGGATGTTTGAAAATGATCGGTCGAATGCGGAGCGTCGCCCGAGGTTCACCAGTTCCAGTCTCGGGGAAAACCTGGAGGGACAAGCTGTGATTCTGGCCAAGACGCTAAGGACGGTGCCTCTAAAACGGCCACGATTGTTCACAGATTAGGCTAGTCTTCAACACACTTGGTCCTTGGCGGCTTCAAGCGATATCAATCCGCAGAAAAGACCACTAAATAGTTAGTAAGAGTGCGTAACTGTGAGAGGGGTCTTGGGCCCTGACAGGTAAGGCGGGAATATCGTGACGTTTCATGCAAATGCCCCAGCTCTGACCAAACTATTCTGTAAGTTAATCCCAATCACTTCATCTTTATGCACGTGCGCGTTCGATAGCAGCATGATCCAAAATAATGCTGCCACCGCCACGAAGAATAAAACAACCCTATCACAAAACCAGGAGCGGACGCGCGACATGCCGAAAGCGCCGCGTCAAATGCGACGAAGCAAAACCTGAATGTCAACGTTGTCAAAAAGGGGCCGGGCAATGTGGAGGATATAATGCGCCTGTGGCATGGATCTTCGAGCCCGGCCGTCGGCGAAAGAATCCAAGTTCAAACGTTGATACTGTGTCAGAATGCCATCCCAAGTCTTAAAGTTTCGATTGTTCCGGCCTTGTCAACGAACATCAAGGGAACTCCCCATGAACTTCGTGCTTTCCAAATATTTGTCAGTCCATACCGCAAGTCTGTCATCGTGTCCCGACTATCCGATGGGCGTGTTTTGTGTTGTCTGGATACATTGTAAGCCTCGCTGATCCTCTCCGCCGAGACCAGTATTTGATGTTCTCCGAATATCAATATATGAAGGTGATCCGAACGATGGCCTTGGCCCGTTCCTCCAGCCTGAACTGGAGGGATACCATCACTCTTTGGCTCCTTTTGGTAGCCATCGAAGCACACCGCAACGACCACCAGAGAGCTCTGACTCATCTTCATGGTGCAGTTGCGATTTTTCAAGAAAACATGTCTTCCCCCGAAGCGAGAACGATGGATTCTTGCCCTTCGGCAGGTTATTGAGCGGTTCTGTCACAAGTGGTCACTATTCGCAGCCAGCGAATTCGAAACTGGCAATATCCAATCGACAGTCAAGTCATCTCTGGACATGACTAATGTCCTGTTTGACTTCCATCAGCATATTTACGGCCTTTGCCGGCAGCTTCGAGGGTTCAGAACTTCATCGATCTCGGGGCAACACTCTCTCCAACAAGTTTCCCTTCAAACACTGGATCGGAAATTGCTTGAGGTCGAAGAAAAGTTTCTGCTTCATCGCTGCCACCATCATGACAAGTTCCGGGGAGTTTATCTACATATTCAATACGAAACGTGCCGTTTAGTACTTTCGAACATGCATAAGCCTCGAACTGTTATGTTCAACAAATCTGATGACGCTTTTCGAGTTATTCTGGACAAATGTCGCCAATTTTCCTCCCTCAATTACAGAGGAGACGCATTGTTGTCATCATCATGCAACGCACGCCCGGTAAGACTGGTCTACTGTATCGAAATCATCCTCAATGCTTTTTTCGTCGCTAGTGAATGTCGTGATCTTGCTGTTCGCCAATCTGCCATCGAATTCTTGCGCCAATACGGATAGCCTCCACGCCGCAATGATTGCCGAGTGGTTACTAAGCGAGGAACGGAGACGGAGGCAGCGATGCCTTTCAGTATCGGGAGATGGACCAGACACCAATCAACTTGTTCTCTCTGCTGTTGAGCTCTATAGGGACGACGACATAGCTAGATCCTCCTTCAAACGCCCGTCTTGGGCACGTCTTCATATCGAAAGGAATGGAAGTGTTACCCGACACTGGGTTTGTCTTGATGATTCATCTAGTGTCACGGTAGAAACACTATGGCTACAAAGAGCCAACAACGCCTTACAGGCCTGTTATTGGCTTGACGGACCGGTTTGGCCTTCAGCCGCGAAAATGTTGGGTCAAGTATGTTTCGGTGGACAAGTCACAAGAATATTGGAATGAGCATGAGACTGCATTGTCCTCATGTGATGAGGCGATGGGATCGCTACGAAGAGAACGTGTACAGAAGAACTAGAAACTTATTCGAAATGCCAGGATCGGAAAAAGAAAAACTAATTTACCTTCTCCCTAAAGTTTCATAGCGCAATTACCACTATTCATCCCCTTGAAAAGGAACTAGCATCCACATCCAGAAGAAGAAATAGCAGTATGCAGGAATCGAAAGCCCGGCCCATAGGCCCAAAAAGAAAAAAAATCAGCAATCGAGAACAAAATACACCAAAATCTCTCTCAACGACGCCTAGACTTCCCTTTTCCCTTTCCAGTGCCATCAGTGCCCGGACTAGGCGACTTTACTAGAGCTGGAAAGTCCTCGTCATGCACGAATCTACTTTGCTCTTCGGCAAGACTCAATTGCAAGGCAAACTCCAAATCATCCTCTTCCAGTGCTGTTACTGGCGCCTTGCTACTACCAGCCTTTGTTTTTTGTGACGGGGTGCCATGTCTGGACCCTTTAGCGTACCTGATAGGTATATCGAAATCACTCGCAACGGAGGGAGACGACACTGGCTCGCTATCCAATAAACTGAGTCGAATGGCTTCTTCGAGATCGACGTCGACTGCGTTGGCTGCAGCATTTCCAGTCCGACTTTGATTGCGACGTTGAGGTGAGTTCGACGAGGCGATCGAGCTGCTACCCTCGTTCGCCTTCCTCTTCATCTCATCCGTCGAAAATGCCTCTTCACTAAGCATGGTGGCGTAGGCTAGCAGTTCTTCCTCACTTGCACCTTCCCCCAGAATGTCGGTGCCAAATCGACCACTCAGGCGTTCGTTCTCTTTGTGTCTTGCGATTTTCTCCCTTTCCATTTCGAATCTCTCGTTGGTGATGTAATCCTTTAGTAACCCACGACCGGTGGCGCTAACCTTCAGACCGGCTGGGGTTGAGTTGCTCCCGTGTTCCGATCGGCGACGAAGCTGACCTCTTTTGCGACCTTTATAGGCATCGGCAGCTGTTGAACTGTAAGACCAGTAACGAAGCAGGGTTCCCAAAGAAACCATTCCGCGTAGAACTGTAGGATCCGGGTCCAACACGATCGCACCTGCGGCATAGTAATTATTGCCAACACCCTGCATGGACGCTTCGGCTTGAGCAATACGTCGTCTGGCCCGATCAGAAAATCGTGAATTGAGAGTTCTAATGGGTTCATTCGTCGATGCCAGCGGGTCCCACGCTTGAACAAGGCCATCATTTCCTCCATGAACGACATACAACGAGGTGAGGGCGATTGATGCAATTTGAGGGGACTTTGTATGTATGATCCGGACCGGCTGGACGGTATTGACGATGTCAGGACTTGGCGAAAGTCCGGCACGCATGTCCCAGAGCATAGCAACGCCTGACGTTGTGCCAATTCCCAGAAATCGAGCGCGATGACCAGGAATTTCAGCGGTGAAACCGGCTGAAGACACGTGGCCCAAAGGAGAGGCTAGGGGAGAGGAAGTGTTTGAGCCACCTGACATTCCGAGAAGAGGATCTTCGAAGATGGCTAGCGTGGCAAATTCGGATTCATCAGAAGCCAAAGCGGAAATATGGATGTTCCGATGTTCCGCGAAGGAGAATTGAGAGATGTACCATTCTTCCCTAAACCTGGAGTCGGCGCTATCATCCTGGCTCGACGTGCGTGACGTCGGTACACTTCTCGAAGCCGGCGACGAGTGTGCCTCATGCTGGGCTGGGGAGCCTGTTCCAAAAATGGATGGGCGATTCATTGTCGACTGGATCATCGGCCAGTTGTCGAGGTCAAAGTCAACAGCAATCTTGGTCTTGCAGCGGGTGATACGGTGCACTGAAGCCGCACTGCCAGGATCCAGACCACAATCAACTATGAAGATGGCCTCCCCAGCACCGTGATGATCATCTCCGGCAAAATCGACCATCAGTCTGCGCCGCATATCCCAGCCGTCACAGAGGTTCCGAAAATATTTAGGTTTGTACAGTAACGCCTTTTCAACCTCCTTGGTCTCGGCGATGATCTGATCGTTGCTCAAATCGCATTCATCGCTTGAGATTCGTGGAATATAGCTGCCATCGACCTGTACAGTCCCGAATGGGTCAGGTTTGGCTCTTCGTCGAGTGGCCTCCACGAGCGACCATTCTACGCTTTTGCCGGTTTGCCATGCGAGGCGATCGATGTCGTTAGGCGAGGCTTTCCCAACAAAGTCCGGTCGAACGGGAACTTTTGTCAGGTAGTAAACCTCTCCAAGCGCATTGAGGACGGTGGCCCAGATTCGGTGAGAGCCCAATCTTCGAGCCGAAACTCTCTCATCAACACAAATGCCAATGATGGGCACACCTGGACAGAGCACCCATTTGGCTGTGGGCTCACCCTTTTCGTAGCGGCGATCGTGTACAGGATTGACGCCCAAAGCGTAGGCGGCAAGGACGCCGTTGGAGAAGCCGGCAAGGAAGCCAAACATTCCATTAGTCACGGTGAGAACCGGTTCAGACTTTGCCAACCAAACAGAACACACAGCGCAACCGATCATGGTCACATCGGGAATTCCAAGAGCATGATTGGCCGTGGACGAGATTGGAACAAATCGGCCCCGCTGTTCGGTCGTGGATGTATAATAGAGACGGCCGTCAGGACACGCCTCGCCGTATAACTTGCCGTAGGGTTGACTGATGTCCATGACATTTGGCATACCCACGAGATTACCGGGTCCTAAGCCATAAGGCAACTCGCCTGGATATTGATCTGCAAAGTGTTTGAACCCCTCAAAATCGGACAAGCCCCAATTTCCTGGTTTGCCGACATTTGGATCACTCAGAGACACTCCTCCCTGTTCAACGGCACCATGCATAAACAAGGGCTGTTTTTTGTTCAGGCCAACGCCAAATGTTGCATGGAGATGACTGATAGGGTAATACAGGCCAGAGGCGTATCTCGTAACGGCGGTGGCAGAAGCACTACTGGCATGACGAGACGCACTGGATCGAGATGCAGCCTCTATCGCAGGCCTTCCCCGACTGAGTGAACGGAGCAATCGTGTTCGAAGAATATACTCGCTCCTCCACGAGGACAATGCTGACAATCGTGTGAAGCGTCTTCGCTGTGCCCTTTCAATGTCGGACTCAGGGTCGCGTGTATTTTTGCCAGGCGCCTGACCAAGTGCTTCGGACCCAGGAAAATATCTCGCAAATGCAATGCGCCACGCAGGAGGTGTAGTGACCAACTTGTGAAATCGCTGAGATACAAGGTTCATGGAAGATAAAGTTTCCGGAGGAAGGTGTGACAAAATATGGGTCAAGACCTCTGTAAACCGTTAGTATATGTTGAAGGACAAGGATGGTGTTGCCATACCATTCGGAAAACTTTCAATTGACACGCTCTGGGATTTGCCTTTGACGGATGGAACAATTTGAAAGATCATTCCATCGGATCTCTTCCGAGGTTGTGCATGAGCCCTTTCATATTCATCAATGCGACTGCCAGGAGAGCCGTCTTGTGAAGAATTTTCCCGACTGCTTATCCGTCTGGTGTTGGCTCTCCGCCCGCGCTGGGTGCCCGCAGAGCTGACAGATAAGTTGTCCGTATTATCCTCGGGGGAACGAGACACTCTGCGGCTGCTCGTTGAGAGCGGGCCGCCAGAGGCCGCGCGTTCAGTGTCTGGAACTCCATGCTGTGTAGGAAGATAAGGAGGAAATCGAGGTTGGTCTATTGAAGTCGCGTTTTGGGAAGCTTCAGAAGGCGCAGGTTGCATAAAAGGATCTAAAAGAGTGCTGGAGAGACAGTCAAGACTGAACCAAGCGGTGGATCAGTCTTCAAGAGTGCTGCGCTGGGTGTCGGCGTCAATAGAATGCGTGAATTGTGAAGAAAAGTAAATGACAGGAGGCGTGTTATCGCATCGAGGCTTTCTACCAAACGGTACCAGGTCAGAGCCAGTCCAGGCTTAGTGTAGTGCCTGCCGCTTTTACTTCAAATTTTAGGCGATACTAGCAGCGCGGAGTAAGTTGGGCATACTGCAGCATCGTGGCGTGCCACTGGATACCACCAGGTGCTGGCATTTCGGCAGAGTTCGGCACCTCGGTATGTATTGCCCGATCGTAACTACGTATACAAATAGCTTTTTTCCTTCAAGTGCCTCAAAGTAGATACTAGCAGTACCTGGGGATTAGGTGCCTAGGGTGCCTAGGAGGTACGGGGTACCAGCCACGCATTAGTGATTCCTATTGGCTGAATCCGAACTACTGACTGTTGTTCGCAGTTCTTCCACTCAACTCACCACTGCCTCAACGCGCAGGAGAATGGCTCTCTGTCAATTCTTCCGAGCCATATTCCTGATCATCTAGACAGCTAGGGTTCAGAGGCGTCCATTCCCTTGGCCAAGTAAGAACAATCCTTCCCTCAAATCTGGCACACATACGCACCTCGAAAGTTGGCGAGAGACCTTCTATCTTTGAGTCTTCACTTCTTCCTCGCCCCAAGAAAAGAATCCCGTCAATGCGTTCTTCAATCTGCTAAGTCACCAGCGCCATGGCCGATACGATCAAGATCCTCGTCGCGACAGATAATCATGTCGGAGCTCACGAGCGTGACCCCATTCGCGGAGATGACTCTTGGAAGACTTTTCACGAGATCATGTGCCTGGCAAAAGATCGGGATGTCGACATGGTCCTTCTGGCTGGCGATCTCTTTCACGACAACAAACCCTCTCGAAAGTCCATGTACAACGTCATGCGCTCCTTACGACTCAATTGCTTAAGTGACAAGCCTTGTGAGCTCGAAATGCTCAGCGACGAGTCGGAACATTTTGACGCCACATTCGACCATGTCAACTACGAGGATGCCAATATCAATGTCGGGATTCCCGTCTTCTCCATTCACGGTAACCATGACGATCCCACCGGAGATGGACACTATGCCGCTTTGGACTTGCTGGCTGTTTCAGGGCTGGTCAACTATTATGGCAAAACACCCCAGAGTGACAACATCGTGGTCAAGCCCGTCCTCATACAAAAAGGCCAGACCAAACTCGCTCTGTACGGTATCTCCAACGTTCGAGATGAGCGTCTGCATCGTACCTTCAAATCCCAGCGCGTCAAGTTTCACCGCCCAAGCACGCAGATGGAAGATTGGTACAACGTGATATGTGTTCACCAAAACCACCATGCGTACACAGAGACATCATATCTTCCCGAGAGCTTTCTTCCAGACTTCCTCGACCTTGTGATCTGGGGTCATGAACACGAGTGTCTGATCGAGCCTCGTTTGAATCCAGAGATGAACTTTCATGTCATGCAACCAGGTTCTTCTGTCGCTACGTCTTTGATCCCAGGCGAGGCGGTCCCGAAGCACGTGGCAATCGTCACAATTACGGGCCGAGAGATGAAATCAGAACCTATTCGTCTGAAAACTGTTCGCCCCTTCGTGTACAAGGATATCGTTCTAAGTGACGACAAAGGAGCGGTGCGCATCGCCAAAAAGAAAGATGACCATAGGGCCGAATTGACTCGACGACTAATCGAAATCGTCGACGAGATGATCGAGCAGGCCAAGGCAGAATGGAGGGAAGCACAAGAAGAAAGACAGGACGATGTTGACGCGCCCGAAGAATGTCCATTGCCTTTGATTCGACTTCGAGTAGAGACAACCTCGCCTGATGGCGGGGTAACAAAATTCGACGTTGAGAATCCTCAGCGCTTTTCTAACCGCTTCATTGAGAGAGTGGCCAATATCAACGACGTCGTTCAATTCCATGTCAAAAAGAAGAACGCAGCAACCCGAGCGGCGCGCGATGCAGAAGCTGATCGTCAATTCATGGCAAAATTCCAAGGCATCGAAAGCATCAAGGTCGACAAACTAGTCCGGGAATTCCTCCAGGCGCAATCTCTCACCATCCTCCCCCAGAACTACTTTGGTGACGCAGTCAGCCAGTACGTAGAGAAAGACGACAAGCATGCCATGGAAATGTTTGTCAACGAGTCTCTTGCCGATCAGATCAAATCTCTTGTGCAATTGCAGACCGACGCGAACGACGATGGTGAAGACGACGAGGATCTTGCCTACCTGATAAATGAGCAACGTGCAAAAATGGAAGAGTTATTTGCAAAAGGAATCATCAAAGCGTCTGCTAATAAGGCCCGTTTCAAGCCCAAGCCTGACGATTGGAACAGCGATTGGGACGGTCACTGGGAAGATCAACCTGGCGCACTTATCCGAGCGTCCGAGGATCTGTATGACGACGAAGACGAGGATGAGGACGATGGTACTCCTGTTCCACGCACAACTACGGCTGGCCGAGGTGGCGGAAGAGGAAGAGGTGGTCGTGGTGCCTCGACAGCAATTACCTCAACTCGCAAGAAGACAACAACAACACCTGCAGCAGCCAAAAAGCCCGCCGCGACGGCTAGTCGAGGACGAAAGAGAGCCGTTCCTGACGACGAGGAGGACGAGGAAGACGAAGACATCGTCACGCTCGACAATGAGGGCGAAGACGATGATTCTCAAGCCATGTTCTTTCCTGAAAAGCGCAAGCCGACAACTACCCGCTCCAGTACTCGAGGACGAAACACGACACCAGCATTTAGCAGCACCACCCAAGGCCGGACAGCTGGCGCGACAAAGAAACCGCCTACTCGTGCCGCCGTGACGAGAGCTTCCAAGCAGTCGACTCTCAACTTCACGACTTCGCAGAATAGCATCCTTGGAAATGGGCGGAGCCAGAGTTACGATGTTGAGGAAGACGACGACGATGAGGCGTTTGAACCGGCACCCTCGACTTCGAGGAGGCGATGAAACATGTGCCGCAGTTTTGAAGCTCGATCTACATAATCGGGAAGGGAAGCAGGGGCCATGGAAATCTCGTCGTTTCAACATCCCATGACACACATATGTAATAACTTGGCAAGGTTGAATTGACCTGGACAGTGGAATAAAAATGCCAAAGCCGAGAAAGGAATTAAATGTTGTTTCTGCGACTGTGAGCGTTAGACTAGCATTGTAAAATACCTCCTGTGAAAGCCAATGACTGGACTGAACATTCAGGGCGGCTTTACGCTTTGCCTCGCCGCAGCTTCCCTTCCATCCTCTATCAAGAGTCACTTCAATCACTTCATTCTTTCTTCATTTCCTCCTTCGATACGGCGGTCGAAGCCGGTTCCCTTTCCGCACCACCACCACCACCACCACCACGTTTTCCTGAATTTCTTCCGCCACGATGGCCCTGTCTCGGTCCTTGGCCTGATCCTCGGGAATTCCCTCTTCCTCCAGAAGAACCTCCCCTGCCGCTTCGGCCACCACCAGCGCCACCTCGTGCGCTGCCTCGTGGGGCAGTGGGAGGAGCGTTACCTGCTGCCGTCGCGGTTGCTGACGTTTCATCTTTGGGAACATCGGCCGAGGATGCAGCGGGTGGTGTTGTTGCCGCACCGGGAGAGCTCGCCGCCGCCGCGGCTGTAGGAGTAGACGCGCTTGCAGCCGGATTCGCAGCGGCTTTCTGAGCTCCCTGACTCTGATGTCCCTGACCTCCACGCTTTCCTTGTTGGGATTTATTCTCTAAAACCACAACCTGCCCATTAGCTACTTTGACTGGACTAGCTGCCATTGCCTTCTTCAGACCTTCCGTCTCGCTGAAATCAATGTATCCAAGGCCCTTCTTCTTATCGATCTCGCAGCGGGTAATTGTTCCAAACTCCTTGAAAGCTGTCTGCAATGCTTCCTCGGTGACACCTTGTGACTGATTTGCATGTTTTAAGAATGCGGATTTAGCACCGCTCGAGGGCTGAGGGGATGCTTTCGAAGGTCTTTGCGCAGGGGTGCCTTGATTTTTGGGGGGTGCGGCAGTTGGTGTACGGGAAGAACGTGGGCCTGTCGGAGGTGCTGTTGTTGGCGTGGCCGGTGTGGATGGTTTCTGCTCGACAGAAGGCTCCGGCTCTCCGCTTGTTACAACAGGAGCTGGCTTCGCAGATGATGAGGCCTCAGTTTCTGCAGTACCAGTCGAAGCCGCAGTTTTAGGAGTACGCTGCGACTTGCTTTCCTTCGCTACCAGACCGAGATCTCGCTGCAGCATACGTGCGGCTGCGCTGACGCTCCCTCGCTCGCGCTCTCGTTTAGCAGGTGTGGGCTGGGGAGGCGTGTCCTTTTCCTTTGCTGATTGCTTTGCTTCGGCTTTGGTCGGCGTCTGTTTCCCTTGCATCGCAGCAGCTGACTTGTTGATTCCCTTGACTGCATCTTGAGTGGCCTTGGTTCCACGCTCTTTGTCGGGAGCAGGCTCATTCTGGCCTTTGATAATAATCTTCGAGCGGGTCTCAGATTTTGCGCTCTTAGCTTCCCTACTCTCTCGGGCTTTCGCTGCTTTAGTTTGTGATACTTCTTTGGCTTTGTTGGCCTTTTTCTCCTTGATGTACTGGACCAAAGGCGTGGTGGATACCTTTTCCTGTTTGATATCGCCAGCATCTGCTCCATTTGCCGAGGCTTTGCTAATGGGTTCTGTCAAGCTTTGCAGAAAATCAATGAATTCTTGGTCTTGGTCGATGGTGCCTTGTCTGCCATCGTGTCTAACGCGGCCACTGGGCGTTTTATTGTAAGGTGCAAATTCCAAGGAGGGGGGTCCTAAAAGGCATGGATCTTTGCTGGTGTTTTTGGCATCCTGAAACGATGATTGCTTGACAGCAGCTGACAGATCATCTAACACTGATTGCTCCTTGACCTTCAGATATGCTCTTGATGGTCGAGATGGTTTTGCCGGGCTACCTGTGGTCAGTAAGAATAGAGAAATGTCAGTCGAAGTGCTGACTCTTTTGATATCTTTCCCTCTTTGAAAGCAGCCCATTCAACCTTCCCAGCTCCCACTTTCCAGTCATCACCCAGAATGGTCCAGAACTCGGGTTCCGTCAACCCTGGTGGCAGGCGTCGAATGATCAGTCTCAATCTTGGCGCAGGCGTTCTTTGGGAAGACTTCGATCCAGATTGTGCGGTAGCATTCTTCCTTGCCGCTGCATTCACGGGTAGGACTCCTCCTGCAGAGCGTCCTTTGGGAGGATTTGACATTATTTGAAAGGTTCTGGCGATTTATTGATGACAGAACAATAGCGGGACCGGGGTCCGCTCTATGAAATCGTTATTGTCACGCAGGAGGCCATCCAGGAAACGACGACTTACAATAGGCGACATGAGATGAATACTGAATAGTGAATGGTGAAGTGAAAGAGTGTCCGTGACGGAATATTAAGTATCGGTCTCTTTTCCTCTGTCCATCGGATTTTCTTTTTTCCGAAACGACGTCAGTCACGTGCAGATATGTCGTTGCCGTTAACCTCTCCGTCCTCTTCTGCTGTCACCGACAACAGCAACCCCTCCACCTCTTCTTCCTTCCCCTCAGACGCCGCCGCCGCCGCCATCGCCGACCATACCTTAGAGCGGGCGGCTGACACCGAGTCATTTCCCGTCTTCGAGGACGAGAGTCCCAAAAGGACACCCTCCCCTCCTCCCCTTCCACCTTCCCGTCGCCGGCCACGAAACGTGACCAAGCACGACCTTCCCTTTTTCCGTGGCCTTCCCAAGAAGAAGATTTTTGACTACGCAGACCTCGTCAAGTGCCTGCGTGAGCCATCTGCCCCTGGAAAGCTGCCAAAAGTGCCACGCAGCCAGCTGGGAAAAGAGGCGACACGCACGAGGGCGCCTTCTGATCAAATCAGTACACACTCACCTGCACCATGGGTGCAGTCAAAGTGCCCGTCCCAGGCCCAGCAAGGCTGAAGAGATCGGCGGGCCCGGATGAGTGGCTTGAAGCAGCAAAGAATTGCAAATATCTCTCAGAGTATCACATGAAACAACTCTGCGAAATCGTCAAAGAATACATGATGGAAGGTTCGTATTCCACTGCACCCGCCCGATCTGCAACTAATCAGGTACAGAATCAAACATTCAACCCGTTTCCACCCCTGTCACCATTTGCGGTGACATTCATGGCCAATTTTATGATCTACTCGAACTCTTCCGAGTCGCAGGAGGCATGCCAAATGAGACCGCGCCAGAAGCACCGGTGACACCGGCCAATATCATTACCTCCGCAGATATCGAGCCTCCTTCTACCATTACAAACCCGAAACTGAAAAAGAAACTAAGACTTGGAGGTGCACAGCATCCAGATACCCCCAGTGAAAAAAGTAGTGAGGTGAGCGACGCAGAAGACATCCCTTCCTCGCAACAATCAGAAATTGAAGATGAAAGATCCGAGTCTGGCAACGTCGTCTCACGCAAACAAAATGCCAATTTCATCTTTCTCGGAGACTACGTCGATCGTGGATACTTTTCCCTCGAAACACTCACACTACTTCTATGCCTGAAAGCGAAATACCCGGAGCGAATCACACTAGTCAGAGGAAACCATGAGTCCCGTCAGATCACGCAGGTCTACGGTTTCTACGAAGAATGTGTTCAAAAATATGGAAACACCTCGGTCTGGAAAGCTTGCTGCCAGGTCTTTGACTTCATGACACTCGGAGCTATCGTCGACGGCAAAATTCTATGCGTACATGGCGGACTGTCACCGGAAATTCGAACACTTGACCAAGTTAGAGTTGTTGCCCGAGCTCAAGAAATTCCCCACGAAGGCGCGTTCTGTGATCTTGTCTGGTCTGACCCAGAAGACGTTGAAACCTGGGCGGTTTCTCCAAGGGGGGCCGGGTGGTTATTTGGTGATAGAGTCAGTCAGGAATTCTGCCACGTCAATGGACTTAGTCTTATTGCAAGAGCACATCAACTGGTCAACGAAGGCTACAAGTATCATTTCAAGAGTCAAGACGTGGTGACGGTGTGGAGCGCCCCAAATTACTGCTACAGATGTGGAAATCTAGCATCGGTATGCGACATCAACGAAGACATGAAACCGACATTCAAGCTTTTCAGCGCTGTGAAGGATGAGCTACGACATGTTCCACCCTCAAGAGGTGGCCGCAACGAATACTTCCTCTAGGATAACAAACAGGAACCGGAAATTTGGCACAAGAGAGTGCAATAATGGTGCTCGGAAGAGTCCAACGCTTCTGGCTTGAAACAATTGCCACAGTTTCAGCATAGCGAAGGTGTAGATATGGCTCAGGTTTTGCTTTGCACAAATATCCAACGAAGCTAGTCATAGAGCTAGCCTTGATATGATGAATTTATCCAATTCCGCTTAGCTTACGTAGCTCCCCGTGGCGCCTTGCCTGGAGATGGCATCGACTTCTGGCTATTTGAAAGCTTTCTCCAATTGCAAAAGGAAATTGAGTCAGATCCTAGGGACCTCCAACCAACCTTACAGACCGCGATCAGTTTCTAGATGACGATGCTGAGGATGCTAGTATGCGAAGGTCACCAACTCTACTCTTCCAGAGCCTGAGATCTGGGGAAAGAAACTTGATCCAGATCCGCAACGGCACGTTCTACAGAGAACACCCTGCGACCGATCACTCCCAAGATTCTAACCCGCCTCTTTTCCCAAACCTGACCTTTGAGCTACCTGCCACGATCCAGTTTGAAAAACATCCCGTCCAGCGTCAGAATCAGCACTGGGCAGTCATCGGTGCGTCTGGCAGGACTACGTTTCTGGAAATTCTGAGAGGCTCTCACATTTGCTTGCCACCCAATGCAAGATCGTTCCCTTATTTGGCCTCCGACCATATCGACGATGAGAAAGACCATCGGCTACGCATACCATCACGAGCGATCCAATATGTGGGCTTCAACAACGGGAGGGGCCAGATCTCCGGCGGAGGAGTAAGAGGCGCATATCTCAGTGCCCGTTATGAGAGCCGGAGAGAGGAGACGGATTGGTCCGTCCTGCAATATCTAAAAGGAGATACAGAATTGAATCCCGCTAAACAGTCCCTGCGCAGGACGGTCGATCAAAGCCTTCTTGACAAAGTCATCTCCGACCTGCGCCTGGAGAAATTGATAGATATGCCCGTGAGCAATCTCAGCAATGGACAGACGAGACGAGCGAGGATAGCAAAGGCGTTATTGGACAAACCACTGCTTCTCCTGCTTGATGATCCATTCATGGGCCTTGATCCACCCACTTTGGTATCCCTGTCGCCTATGTTGAAGAGGCTAGCGTATCGATCCTCGCCTCAAATACTCCTGGGGTTGCGTCCTCAAGATCCGATCCCCCGCTGGATCACACACCTTGTTGTCCTCGGACAGAATCACTCCGTGGCCCTGATGGGCGGAAAGGCCCATGTCCTTCTCGACTTATGCCGATGGGCGGCGGTAGGATCCAGAATCCAGTCAATACAATCGGACCAAGTGCCGGCAGGACACAAAATCGACAGCGACGTGGCGGAACAAATAATTGCAGAATATGGCCTCCCTCCTTCCGGTGTAGGCGACATCCTAGATGAGAGAGGCATCTCGAAACACGTAGCTTTCGACCTCGATCCAAGCGCAGATCTTCTACAACATCCACCAGACGACAGAACGCTTGATCCTCAGGGATTTTCTACAGAAGACGAAACAGGGTTAAAGTCCCACCAATCCAGAAAGGCCAGGTCACAGAAAACCCTCGATGAACTCCTTTCCCTTACCATCACGATGCCGGAGACCTCGACAAATCCACAGAAACACGCTTCAGCTCTTTCCTCCAGAAGTCCACCTGCTTCTTCAATAAGGAGAAAACGTGACCGAGACACTCGACACGAAGAAAGGCCCCTAGGAGATCCCTTAATTGAGCTCAGCTCTGTTATCGTCAAATACGGCGATAAGACCGTCCTCGGCCTTCCTCCAGCCCGGCCCGGGTTCTCATCGCCGGGCCTCAACTTATCCATCCGACAAGGCACACGCCTCGCACTCCTCGGCCCCAACGGCTCCGGAAAGACCACCTTACTCTCCCTCCTGACCTCTGACCACCCACAATCCTATAGCTTACCCATCAAATTCTTCGGCCGCTCTCGTCTCCCCAGCTCCGGCCGCCCCGGCCTCTCGCTGTGGGAAATCCAGTCACGAATCGGCCATTCATCTCCGGAAATCCACGCTTTCTTCCCCAAAAACTTACCTGTTAGACGCGTCCTTGAGAGCGCCTGGGCAGAGACATATGCAGGCAAACCGAAACTCACTGCGGAACGGAGTGCGATGGTGGATGCGTTCCTGCGCTGGTGGGAGCGGGAATTGAGGCAGGACTCTGCGCCAGCTACAGTCGGAGATCACGTTCTGCAGCAGAAACACGCCTCTGATCTCGAATGGGCAATGGACAGACACACGCATTCTTTCGGCGTACTCCCGTTCGCGGCGCAGAGGCTTCTGCTGCTGCTGCGTGCAATCATCAAGGACTCAGACATTATTATCCTCGACGAGGCGTTTTCGGGCCTCTCAGCCGACACGCGTGATCGGGCCATGGCGTGGCTTGAGTACGGTGAATCCAGTTCCATCGCCAGTCTCACAGCAATGTCCAAGACAGGTCCAGATCCAAATTCAGATCCAGATGTCCGGTTCTACGGCCTCAAACCCACACAAGCACTGGTGGTCGTGTCGCATGTGAAAGAGGAGATTCCTGACGTGGTGGACGAATGGTTACGCTTACCGAGTGAAGAGGAGGTCATTGAGCATGGCCGCTCTGTCGAAGGTGGTCGGACGGCGAAGGGAGAGATCAAGAGCTCCGAGGGCTGGATGAGGGTTTGGGGCTTGTGAAATGCTATTACCACCTGTGCTCCAATCCTTTCGTGCAGTGTACAGGGTTTCAAAAGTGAATCTTCTCGTCAGCAAAACTTGGCCTGCTTCAAAAGGTTTCCGGGAAAGTCATCAGGATATTCCATTGGAGTATGTGACAAACAAATCATGAATTGGGCCGGTGAATATAGAAGTGACAAGATTGGCGCCCAAAAGTTATTTTCACCAAAGTGCAAAATGTACGAGGTAGCGAGTCGCAGACATATCAATGATTACAGTCCTCGGCCCACACAACATATCGATTACAAAGGTGTTCGAGATTCAACACCATGCGGCCCAACCCGTGATCAGACGGATACATTTGGAATCTGCCAATTTGGCTCGCAGAGATTGCATTGGCACTCCATTGCACATCCGATACGGAAGTCTCGAAGAGGTATATCGTGCAGATCTCGCTGATTGAATGCCTCACCATCCATCATGCCATGTATATAACACTCGCCGATCAGCGAGTACTCTTCGAGCAGGCTGGTCGCTTCGAGCGAGCTGGTCGGCGGGTTCTCCGATGGATCTCTGACACCGAATTGCGGCGAACGCGGCGAACCAGACTCCATTCGCCGTGGTGCTTCTGCGCTCATCGTCCTGGATCGAGTCTGCGCTCTTGAGGCATCGTCACTTTTGTACCATTGACGTCTCTTTGGTGCCTTTGCGCGCAGCTGTGGTTCACCGCCCGCCTTGCGGATTTTAGGTCGAAGGACAACAGGCACGCTACATCCAAGAAGGATGCAGATTTTGTCACCAGGAGAAGCATCTGCAGGAGCAAGACCAAGGAGTCCGAGAGACCCCGGATCTGGGCCGGTGGTTCTGATCAACTGTCTGTTCCAGATCACCGCCCGAAGACGGTGCAGAAACGGCACGACTGGGGTTGAGACAGTGCCAGAAATATCTCTCAACAGAGCACCTGTGTCTAGATTCCCCCCGTGTGCTGGTCTCTGGGTGAAAGCCCACTTGCAGGCATATCGCCAATAGCCTGGGGGGAGTTTTGGTCCGTCAGAAGACGCTCTATTGGCAACAAGTGTCCTCCAGAACTGTTCAGGTGGAGCGCTCATTTTGTACATCATTCCAATCCACAAGCTTCAGCCATTTGGCTGGAATGACGGCATTTGAGGCGGGGGTGCCAACTTTGAATATATCATCTAGAATGAATCCCCGGACATTGAGTATGCGGCCCTCAATAAGCCGTGGCGGCTGGAGATCCGGAGGAATAGGAACAATACCACTGGCACTATACGGTTTGGCCCCGTATAGCTGGGTACCCACCAGGGGGGTCAGCCGCGACTCGGCTGTATCTAATGCTGCCAGGATTAAGGTTGAGGCCGTATGGTCCTTTATCAAGGGACTGGATCCACGATGGCATGGTGGCAAGATCGTCTTCATGCAATCTCGCCTCCTTGGATGAAAACTCCTCCAAATTTGGTACCCAGGGCTTACATATCATGTCGATAGAGTTCGAACGTTGAACTACAAAATTGATAATCTCCGAGCAAAGACCGAACATGCTTCTCTGGTAGTTGACAATGAATTGTCTGGGTTGTGTTCGATATTCTTTTTCGGCGTCTTCCTTCGCGCCAACTGGTGATCGTGCCCTTGATCGTGCCCTCTCGGGTGCGGCTAAGTGATTGCTCAAGAAAGTGTCGCGTTCTCGCGATCTCCCACGAGATTGTTCCTCAGAGATCGAGATGTCCACTGATTTCTCACCATCATTGAGGACAAGTTTTATCTCATCATCATATCTTTCAGGAGATGAACGTTTCCGTTAGAGTCAATGATAGGGATGTCATTCTCATTGCGTTGCCCGTTTGGCGCTTGATTGGTAACATTGATTGTCCGCAACTCAGAATGAGGGCCCAAGTCCTGTGCCATTGAGGTGCGAGAAACCGGGCGGGCATCATTAGAAAGCCGCATGACGGCATAGACATAGTCATGAGGGCGGTCAGCATCGAATGCCGTGAGATTCGTGAGAACCGACTCTAAGGACAGAAGTTGCTCCATAATAATGTCGCCATCTTCCGTTTTCCGAAACATGAAGTCAATGGTGTCCACGAGATTCTTTGCCCCATATGCATCGATCTCACCCAGATAGTCAGGGTTGTAGCCGAACTTCTCAGACTTTTGAAACATGTGTCGCAGGTCGTCGCCTTTGGTGGCGAAAAGAGACATTGCACTGGACAATTCGGACCAGGAAACTTTGTCAGGACCGCAATATACCTCTGCATCTTTGGCAAAAGCGATTTCTTGCACGATCCATCGACGCTTAAACCAGGCCCTTTGCATGAAATTTCTCAGGGCATGCCACTTTTCCCCAAATTCCTGCGAACGGCACAACTTATCGAAACTCTCGAAGGAGAGCATTTGTTGAATGAATGCGCAAGCGATTTGGCTTTCCTTCCCCAGCCACACACGAACTTTTTCCGCCTCGGAATATATCCACCCAAAGAAGGAGGGAACTGTTAGGCTCAATCTCATGGCGAAATCTGCGCAATGCGTCATTCAAATTGGGAGTCAGGATGACAGTGCCTTTCGATTCCTTTTTGTCGTCAAAAATGTCGACGATCTCGATCATGGGTGGTTCGGATGGTCCTGGCGTCTTTTTGGCCAGACCCGATTGCCCTTGCGACTTTACAGATCGGTCTCCCCAAGTATAAGATAAGGCATCGTATTGCGGAGCCTCAACACAATCCGGTGCGGCTTGCGGATTGTTGCAAGCCCCGATGGAGTGGACGCTGTATTGAAGAAGGCTTTCACGAGTATCAGTCGTTAAATTGAATGTGAGGAGCCTTCCTTCAAGAGTTGAGTCCCAGTCCCCATGGGGAGCTGGCAATAGCTCTAGAAGCCTAATTTGATTTTGGCTAAGCTCGTTATATTTGTAAGTGCCTCTGTAATCTCCGTCTATGACGGTCCATCCTCGAGGCATTTTGGCCTTCACAAATGAGATAGAAAAGAGCTAGGCGGGCGTACTTGTGAATAAGGCTAGTCAGATGTACAGGAAGGAAAAGCGAACAGAATTTGGGTGGGCCGCGAGGATCAGGCGTGCTGTTAATAAGCCAATTCATCAGGCAGACTGTTAGCCGTGGGAGACTCAGACGAATCTGTCAGTTCGTGTTTGATCGGAGACAGCGTGGAGTGCACATTAGACGAACCACGAATCCAAGACTCGAGTTGTCTCACCCAAGACGCTACTTAAGGAATTGCGCAAGAACTCGGGGAGTAAATTGAAAGTTTGTACGAGACTTTCCGCATACCGTGGACGGCTTAGGCCTCAAGCCACGCACAGAGAAGTCTCTTTATCGGTGGCCTTGCAGGGCAAAATGTCCTCGTGAGTGCTATCGGACCCACAGCCTCATGATCGGAAAGACGAGTCCGGTTTTTGACGACTTTTGCGCCATGGACGTGGATTGAAGAACGGACAGTAGTCTGCGTGGGATGATAGGCATTTTAAAGAATGCGAAAATCGTCCACCTTTCGCCATACTCTGGCTCCAGAGGGCCTCAAGACGGACAAGTTGGAGCCGCAGGGTGTGAAGGAGCCACTCCAATTCAGCCTCACAGCCTGACTCTCACTTACTGAAGAAATTAGACAATTGACTTAGGGTCCTTCCATCTCCATCCTGCCTGTTTCAGGAGGCTTCGTGGTTCCCCGTGGCTGCATGGAATTGCAGAACGCAACATCTCTGATTGATTGTGTAACAACGTCGACATAGCTGGAGCGTGCACATGACCTTTGGTTTGAGGATGGCCGATTACTGGCCATGGCTCAGTTGAGGGCGTGCTCGAACTTGACAGAGGCGTGTGATAGCCAACATGATTGGCCACAAGGAGCATATAGTTCGGTGATGAGGCTGTCGATAGCGAGGGCCCAGCCTAACCAGCCCGCAGAGCTAAGAAGTCGGCCGATGTTCGAAGCACTGTTGGAACGTTCTAGAGCGTCTTTCAAGACGAAAATGTAGATTGGAGTAGCAGCGCGGGTTCCTAAAAGTGCGACATCGCAGATAAGTGAACCTGTGGTTGCTAAAGAGTTCTATCTTTTGAGAACTAGTATATTGAGCAAGAGTTAAGAGGCCATTGAAGCCACTTTAGACTTCGATTAGTCAAGGAAAGAAAGCCCTTATCAACTTCGCTTCAGGTCCTCGAGTCGTTGGGTTGAGGTGTAATAGCTGTCTGGTTAGGCTGAGAGCTCATGAGCGTCGCTCTTTTTAACCAACTTGAAGCGCCTCTCTTTCGCTAGACACAAGGAGACAAGGAGACAAGGAGACTCACCCGAACTGCCGAAATTGATGATGGCTACTCTGTTCGATTTTCTTGGAGAAAGAGTCTATCGTCTTGATGGATGAGCATGAAAGTTCAAGTAAGACTTTTTAGCCTATGGAATGACCCTGGGGCGCTTTGCACGTGTCCCGGTGTACATACCCGGGACGTCCCTTCTCAGGTGGTTATGTACGAGCCGCGCGATACCGCCCATAGATAGACCATGTCATTCAGTATCATGGAGATACCAATACTGCCCAGCTTCAAGGGAGATTCCTGCTTTTGGGGCTTGAATGATATTTTCCGAATTGGGATTAAAATTGCATATCATGTGCGATCACTATGACTAGTCCCTGCAAACACCCTATCAACGATACATATTGGTATCTCAAAAGATTCCGATAGCCATGTTCGCTCCACCCGCCGCAGAAACAATAATATATAGTATAAGTTTGATCAAGACTATAGTGAGATAGATATTAGTGACCGATAGACACGAAAGAGACACAACAGCAATTCATCTCGTCGTTGACACATGCAAACAACGCTCAAACCATTTTTGAATTCGTGACGCTTGCGATGATCGGACCGGATTCAATCCAAACGGAAACATTCAACAAGAACTGAGAGAGAGTAAGACATGTTGAAAATGCCCTACCCTCTGCAGCACCTTGGCGTTTGCCTAACTTCGTGAGAGGGGTGGAGTAGTCACACAACGTCTTTTTCTGTGGCATGTTGATGGGTTTCAGCATATCAGATCGAGCGATCAAAAGTATGTTCGGCCCCAATCTTGTCACTCATCTGCTTCTTCCATGACCGATCGATCCCGAATACTGCTTGTTCGATCCGGAATCGCATGATAGGGAATGCTGAACGCTGAAGTGCTGCTAGCCTCACTTCGTTGACTTGACTGGCGTCGAAGAACACGAGTACTGCTACTGGACTGATGCGAATGATGAGAACCATGCTGTGGAGGGCTAGCTTGGGGCTCCGTCGAGTCTGCCACTGGCTTCACCGATTGTTTGGGTGACGATACGGGTATGGGGAAGCTGGAAAGAGAGATTTCGCCCGGGCTGGGTGGAACTGGCGATTGGTGCTGGAGGCGATGACCGTTGAGGTGAAGGGGAGGTGGAAGTGGTAGGGGTTGTCGAGGACCATCCTCTTCGTTGACGATGGACGGGCCAGGGCCGTTGAGCTCTGCTTCCGCCCTCTGTTTGCCCTTGTTCAACTCTTTGCCTGGCCGAGCCTTAGCAGATGCCAGCTCGATCTCACGGACTGCCTGAGATTTGTCATAGCTTGGTGCGGTCGTAAGTGAATGGTACGACGTATTTGGCCTAGCATCCTCGATCGGTTTGTCAGCCTCGGCCTTCAACTCTGCTGGAATGGGTGAGGTGTGTCTGACCTGGGCAAAGATAGACGACGGAGCGACGGGCTTTCCGTCACTAAAGGAGAACGTGTGTTTCGAGGTTCCAGTTTTAGACGACCGCACAACCGGTGCGGGTGGAGGTTGCATGAGGAAATTCTCATTCAAGCTTTGTTGGAGTCGAATCAATGCCGCACGAGCATCCGCTTGCTTTTGAGCGAATTCTGCTTCGTCAAAGGTCGATTTATAGAGGGATGGTTCTGGCAGGCTTTGACGCCTTGGGGGTGTTCCGACATTGTGCGGGTCAAAACTTGCTGATCGATTTTCCGTCACAGGTATCCCGGGGTGTCTGGGTTTCCCGTTGACGGTTGGCTCTGGGTCCTCGGGCACGCTCGTGAGTGTGGATTTGGTGGGTGTTCTTGCGAAATCTCGCGTGCTCACCCCAAATGCTCGACTTGGGTCGACGAAATCAATGGAATGTAGATTTTCAGGTGCCATATGTATATAAGCTTGGACGGACGGCGGCGCTCCAGAGGAACTGGACAGCTCCGATTCCAGGGGCAATGATTCCGGTGCTTGAGCCACAGTACGATCAATTTCAACAGGTTTCGTTCCCTCCGTCATGGTGGTATTTCCGTTGGTGATCGGTTTTTCCGAGTCGAAGGCAGTCTCTTGCCGGACTGGAAACTGCGGCTCTTTGGTTTCGTTTTGAAAAGATTCTTTGTTGCCCTGGCCATTTTGTAACACCGATTGTTGACTTTCCAGTGTCTGCGCGTCGTTGTTTTGCTTATCTTGGCTTGCATCTGAAAGTTGCGCTTCCGCTTCTACACCGCCGGCCATAGTAGATACAACAGGCGTTTCCAATACTACACTTTCCCGAGGCGTCAAGGAAGCGATCGTGCTGATCGGTGAGAAGGTGCTTGTTGATTGAAGAGCTTTTGCCGAGGCTGCTGACACCGCCAGTTCTGAAACGGGGTCTTCCTCAGGGAGCAGAGGGGTTGTTCTTGGCTTTGGTGGAGCTGGCCGGACGTTTCTTTCCTCGATTGTTTCTATTGTTGGCCCGGGTACAGCAGCAAGCGGATACGTGCGCATTGTATCGAATTTTGCATGTTCTAGGATCGGTGAGGAGCTGTTGTTCGATTCTGGAGTTCCCTCAGAAAAAACGTCGGAATCATTTCCGGTCAAGTCCATGATTGTGCGATGAGGGAGATTGATCGAGCGCTTTACCGAAGATGTGCTGCTAAGGTTTGAGGGTGAGTGCATGGGATAGCTGGCTCTCTGTGAACCATCGGACTGGTCTATCGGCTGCGCCGTGCGTGGAGGCTGGTCGACCGATCGACTCTGCGTCATTTCCGTCGCTGAGAGCTGATAGTTGCGAAGTGCCTTAGTCGGGATGGTTTCGTCAACGCGATCATCGGTGGTCTGTCTGCCTGGGTGTTTGAGACGTGGAGTAGGAGAACTCTGGGGCCCAATAACTTCCGGGGTGTTGTTTGTCATTTGTATATAATTTGGAGGCATCTGCATTGAGCCGACTCCCTCAATCCCATGCCGCGAAGATGGCAGTTCGTGGATCTGTGATTGGGACTCCAACGATTTCTCACTTTGGTGACGAAAATGTGAGCTAGTTGAGCCCTGCATCAGTGAACTTGTCCACGCAGCTTGATCTGCGGAATTCGGAGGTATTTGGGAATGGTTGCTCCTTCGACTTGAGATATCCCGTGCTCTTGTGGTCATTTGGTTGGCATCAAAGACGCCTTGAGCGACCGAGGGGGACGATTCGTGGCTGCTGGGCAAACTCGGATAGGCATTCCGAGTGGCCACCTCTTCCTGGAATTTCGACGAGGGAATATAAGCTTGCTGTGTCCCTTCGAGTGCCACTCTGGCCAGATCCAAGTTACGCTCCGCGACATCCTCATTGTACCCAGGCTTCGGGTTCCCCGGACTAGAGTTGGAGAGTGAAAAAATGTCGACATATCGAGGGGTCTTCGGTCGCATGTAGGTTTTAGTGGACTCTTGCTCCGCTTTGACCACGGCGTCGGCAGCGCGATTGACGGCATTCATCAGACTGCCACTTCCAGAAGTCCCCGGCCGCGAGACCATTGTCGACGGTCGTGAGACGCCGACAAGCATTGGCTGCACCTTGCTGCTCGAGACAGGCCTCACAGAGCTGTCTGCAGTCGAAGTTGGGCTGAACTGGCTGGTTCCCTGGTCGGTGGAAGTGGTGCGCGCATGTTTCGATCGTGGACTGTAGTTGGAAGACAGACCGGTTTGATCGGTGCTTTGACTCATCCTCAGACTGCTCACTCCAGAATCTGGCATGCCATCACGGCCCTTGCTCTTCCGGCGAGTCCACAGCTTCCTCAGACCGGTCTCCATGTCGCTATCAGAATGTCATTTCCTAATTGGCCGCGGCAATGGTGTCTCCAGCTCGTATGCAATTCATAACAAAATCACAAGCATCTTCCAGCACGCATGACAAACATAGACCTCGCGAGAAGTCAGGGAGAGAATCAAGACCGAGTCGGAAAGTCTACCGAGGCGCATAACCAAAGAGTAGAAGAGGGCGGTGCGGAGGGGCTCTTTGATCGCAAGGTGGGAGCTTAAGGCTGAATTGCCGAGCACTGAGGGACAGCGGACCGGTATGTACGCATATGGGAAACTGGATTACCAGTGATCTGGAGGAGAAAAGTTCAGCATTGTTTCTCCACAATACAGGAGAAGGATATAAGGGTGAAAACGGCGTGGAAGAAAAGAGAGAGAGAGAGAGAGAGAGAAGGAGGCTGGTGACTGAGATGGAGTCGATGAGAGAGCTGTGTTCTGATAGCTTGGACATGGGGCAGGCCACCATGTGGACATTGATATGGGATGCGATGGAATCGTGGATCATAACCCGTGGCGGATGACAATGACAGACCTGGCCTTGGGCCTGGGCCTTACGATTGGGAGAATTAGGCGGCACAAAGTGGAAGCAATGAGATGTGCCGCGCTGCAGAGTGCGTTGCATTGCTGCCGCTGCTGCAGGTTCATTGATCTTCCACTTCTGACTGGTGATTAGCTCGTCAAACCGCGGCCTCTCTAGCCTCTCAGATGCTGCAAGTCCGCTCCGACCTTTTTTCATCTGCTTGTGGTCATGTTTGAGAGATGGCTGGGTGTCCCGCGGCCGAAGTCGACAACTGCTTGCCACCCCATTTCAAGGTTTTGGGAACTTTCCGGGCCGCAGTCTGGGAGCAGGCCTCCAGATAGCCAGATGCCCCTAATTGGTGATCGGGGATTAAGCAAAACCTGGGAAAAGGTTGATCACAGATGCGAACCCCTAATACAGTAAGGAAATATCCGTCTGTAGTGGGTTTGAATTGTCCGAGCAGACAGGGGAGCCTGGTCACGTACGATGGAAAGCATGAAGCTCACATACCCCACTACTTGAACAAATCGACCAGTCATAGCGCTCCAAGGTGTATTTTGTCCTTCTGTCAAATACGCAATCTCTCTTAAGACAAAGCAATGGCAATATTTTCAGTGATAATGGCGGGTAACTAGCTGAGTGTCTCGATGTCCCCTGCAGAAAAATAGAACTGCACCATGCACAACACTGGGTTTGGCAGGCCGTCTTGCGATGGCAATTGACGGCAACGGAGTGACCAGGATAGCAATCGGCAACACTCGCGATATAACGCGTGAAATTGATCTACGAGCTTCTTCTACGTGCCCCCTTTTCTTTGGACTATCTCACCTTCAATTACGAGGTCCAAAAGCCTTGTCGTAATCCGTCAAGGTGAATCGATATCGAATCTTGTTGTCCTTCACTCGAGTTACCGCTTCTTTGCATCCTGCTTCTGAGATGGGGACGGTCTCCACCATCGGGAAAAGTTTCTTCTCGGCCGCCAGCTTCAACATGGCCAAACATTCAGGTCTGCTCCCGATGTGACTCGCACCGATGGAGCTGCCATTGCTCATAAACGCCTGGGCTTTTATAGGTGGCAACGCCTCGTCCGGTAGACCGACTTGGTGGAATGTGGCGTTGACTTTACACAACGAAAGGTATTCAGAAACGTCAAACGTGTGGGTCATGTCGGCAGTGTTGAGGACGAAATCAAATGCAAATTCATAATTCTTGGACCACCCTTGTTCGTTGTTTGTCACAAACTCTTTCGCACCCAGCCTCAGAGCGTCATCCTTCTTGCGCGGCGAGTGAGAAATCACCGTCACCTCTGCACCGAGCGCATTGGCCCAGATGACGGCAAAATGTCCCAACCCACCCAAGCCAACGACGGCCACCTTCTTTCCTGGCCCAATTCCTGCTCGTACCAGAGGAGACCAGACAGTTAAACCGGCGCACAGCATCGGCGCAGCGAGGGGGGAGGGAATCTCGTCGGGAATAGGGAAGGTGAAGTATTCGTGGGCCCGAATGTGAGAAGCATATCCACCTTGGCTGATTGTCTCATCTGGATCGGCTTCTTTCGGATAGGGGGCTCCGTATGTGTCGACTTGGTGTGGGCAATAATTCTCGTTGTCGCTCTTGCATTGAGGGCATTTGAGACAAGCCCAGATCTGAGCACCCACACCCACGCGATCTCCCACTTTTACTGTCTTGACGCCAGAGCCAACCTTCACGGCGTGACCAACAACCTCATGGCCAACACAGAGGGGTAGAGGAGCTTCACCCCAACCACCATTGATCTTGTGTACGTCTGACCCGCAGACACCACAGCACTCGATCTTGATATCAACATCATGATCTCCGAACTGCTTGGGTTTGAACTGCGCAGATTTGGTCAGTGTTGTCAAGGAAAGCTTGATGAGAGCAGAAGCTTACCGATCTCTTCTTGAATTCAGTCCATTTGCTTTGATCCTCGATCATGAACCCTTCGAAGCTATCTGGGTATCCCATAATTGCCAGCTGCCCTTTGTTGTTTGGCGAGAATTTTTCTGACTGGGTAATCTATCTATGGAAGCGTGATCTAGCGCGAAAAATGTGTGAGCGAGGTATGGGAAAAAAGAGGAAAGAATTTTTGGACTTGGGAAAATTTGACCAGCATTTATCCAGACACAAATGACACGCGGGGCAAGCGAGCGACGGCTGCAACCACAGCCAACACCGACATTTGTGGGGGGGGTTGATCTGAATAGGCTATGATCTCAAGCATGACGATCGTACGGTGATACCTGTCAGAAAATGAATAATTTGGGACCGAGTACATCACAAACGTTGCTATCGTGACGTATCAAAAGCCGGCTGAGCGAAGCTTTAAGGAGACACGGACCGGCGAAATGGTACGAAAACCACTTAACATCACGGTCAGCTCCGGGCACATCCAGGTCACTTTGCCGCGAACACCGCACCCTGAGCCGGAGTTTGAGTTCAAATGCGAAAGGAGGATCTATTGCACCGTCCCAAGGAGATAGAGTTCGGTAAGTACACTGACGAATAGCATCTCCTCACTCTGGATTTACGATTTGTTGAACTCGTGAAGTTTCTAGGAATAGGATTTGCAGGGAAGCAAATTCTTCCTATCAACCTCTATCATGCATCGGACATTCTTACCGAACGAGGGGGTGGAGATGGCCCCGTTCTGAGGTCGCTCACACTTCGCCCGCGGCTTCTTACTCTCCAGGAACGCCATATAGAGCAACATCTACATCGTAAGATGCCCGAGCCTTTTCAGACAGGGTAGCATACATGCATTATTCACGGATGGATCTCCGACGAAGCACATGGCTCGAAATTTACCTTCGGACCATTCAGTTATCGAAGCGCTTTTTGGTCAAGTCTCCCCACTGGGCGCGCACGCAATGAACTCCTTGATTGGTTCAATTGTGTAAGTGAAGGTGTGACATGACGATGATTCATGTTGTCAACGCAATCTGACATGGAACAATTCGTTATTCATATCCATACAAAGACAAAACCACGAGCAACTTGGGATGGAAGCTATCCTTTCCCAGGGATTCAAAGCCCGCCGCATATATATATATGTGAAACGGTCAACCTCGAGCTCGCCATGAGCAGTATCTATGTCCGGAGACACTCTTTTATACTCATCATCATGAATGACCTCTTATATTTCTTCGACGGATTAGTTAGTCCTCGGTCACCTGACCAGCAGGCATTATAAGTGAAACAAAGCGCCTTCCAACATGGCCCCTACTCGTCGAGATCATCCTCAGCATAATTGATGGCCCCTCCTTTTCGCGCTTCGTTTGCTTGCTATCCGTGTCGGTGCCTCTCACTTGGCCTCTGGAGTTGGAGGAGCGACCATTTTCTTCCGTGTCAGTGAGATCAGGCATACCCCGATCACCGCCATCCCGATCTTCATTCTCGTCAAATTCAGAGGCTTGGTCGCTAGTGCTACCGTGGGTGTCGAAGCAAATCTCCCACTCTTTTTCCCTCGCGTGCTGCCTGCGCGAGGGACATGGACTAGTTTCTTCGATCTCGATGCCTCGTAAACGCTCTTTGGCTTGTCAACTCGGTATTTCCATTTGCATTCCCTTGCCGAGCTGTTTGCAACGCTGACGTTTCTGCCGTATCAGAGTGGCGCGCTAAGCGGTCGACATAGACTTCCCTAGATCTCGTTGTGTGACTTCCATTTCTTCGGACACCGCCACTCTTTCACGCCGGGCGGCCAGTAAACCCGGCCTCCTTGCCCACCCACGGCGACCTCGGAGTCAGGAATAACCGGGGGTGATTAGGCTTCAGCCTCAACCTCTCTTCCTCCCTGTCACCGTTTCCTTGTGTCTTCTTGGCCTTCTTCGACAGTTTCCAAGGCCTATCCTCATCATTTCGAACATATGGGATGAATGTGTCTGAACGTTATCAAAAACTGCACCAGTTCAAAGACAGCCTGTTAACTGCTTTTGGTCTCGATCATCAGCTCCATGTCCTGTGGGCCTAGCGGGAGCGTTCCGACTCGTAGATGGGGTTTCCTTCTCTGGCGTGCCGTGATTGCGGAGGCCATGGCTCGGAGGAGTGCATGATTCCCTTCGTATGCCCTCAGAGTTTGTCCGCGTCGATCACGATGTTGTGGTGATGGTGGTCAAGAACGAACGGGATATTGAGCTCTTTGCACACTGGGAGAAGGCCGCGCACACCATATAGACATTGTCGTTTTCCAGTATCAGCCGATCTTTAATCCCCTGTGGTAATTTGGCATAATTCTCCTTGAACCGGGCAATGGCGGCCGCTTTGTAGCTAAAACACTGCCCATCTGCAAGATCATCAGGGCTTGCTCTCTAGCCACGTCGGCGGGCTGGTTTTTATCTGGCCGATCCTTGGTCGGGAGCTCAGTCTGTGTCAGGTCTTTGAGCGGATGGCGGTGCTCGAGGATTCATGCGGTGCCGCATGTTCGTGATGAGAAAGCGGGTGTTTAGAGGCGGTGATCGGGACAGGGCTTCCTTGATTTCTCCTGGATTGGCCTCCTCTTTCCCATCGGCTTCGGAGTCTGCTCTATCCATTCCTTCGTCATTCTTTTATGGCTCGTCCTCAGCTCTTTCGTTTGTTTCAGGTATTTCGTCTACTGTAGAAGGGACAGACTGTATTGCTCGCCTCGAACTCGTCCGCCGACCGGGAGTTAGGGTATTATGACTGAGGCGACGGTGGTAATGTCTCTTAGTAGGATAGATGGTGTTGGCACAATGGTACCAGCACTGGGAATGGAAGACTTGCGTTTCGCCATGACGTTCAAGGGGAGCGAGGATCCCTCGAGGCAATTTGTAGTAGTAGATGAAGGTATTGAACACCACACATGTGATTTTGCAAAGAGAACAACCCCCCTAGGCTCCCGGTACTCAGCTGGGGCATGCACGATGTCGTGGACTTTTCTAGCTTCAATTACGCAGTCGATGGTCCATTTTGCTTCCATCGACGCGTCGTAGCGCAGGGCATTATGATTGGACAGTAGAGCCACCAGCTCTTCTCTCCTCCAAGTCCCCCTCCCTATCATAATCACAAGGTCCTGCTTCCCTGCGGCTGCAACTGGGGCCTCTCGCACTAATGGCTTGCCCTTCACACCATGATTTGCTCAATTCTATGCGGGAGAAAAGCTGTCGCGCAGCTGTCCCATGGTTAATCATACCCTCGGCTGTCAAACAACCGTACATCTCATGCAACTCCTCTTCACTCTAGAATATCACAAAGCGTTAGCGAACAGGTCAGCACCACCTTTGTCCTCTCCTCACCAGTCTTTGCTTTTATGCTCAGATAAGAACTCCGAAGTACCTGTCCGGTTTCTAAGACACAGCTTGACTCCTGAGCATGCGATGCTCTAGAAAGCCCGGGGGGTCCACCTGAGCCCTCCCAGTGATCCGAAATCCCTCCCCAAACATCTCCTCTGTCTGGACTTCACAAGCCTGATCAATAATGCCAGTCTTGAAGCGGGTCCGAAGAAAGCTTTCTCGTACCAAGTCGATGCCTGGAGACGGGAATCAATCTGAACCACAGCCATGGCCAAGCAACGCCTTGTCCTTGACGCCATCTGACGAGCAGCTTGTTTCGAAACTAGCCTTTACCCCGGAAACTGAAATCATCGAACGCACACCTGATCAGCAATCTCCCTCCATTCGAACACGTCGATCTGAAAGAACCGTCTTCAACAATGTCGATTCGGGTATTCTCTCGTTGCCCACAGAGCTCCTAGTCTTTCTTCAGCAGTACTTGGCCCCCAGCAGCGAAGTCGCTCTGCGCCACAGCTGCTCGAGGTTTTTTCACCTCTACCGGACAGCTTCTTTCCTGTTAGCTGGGAAAGAGTTGTTTGACTTCCTTTGCATGACCGAACGCGATCAGGATCCCACGGAACTGGACAGACTGGTGTGCGGCAAGTGTCAGGAATTGCACATTCGGTCTACCTTTCCTTCATCTGAGGTCAATCAGGAACCCACCTCTCGAGACTGCCGACAAATCTGGCTCTGTGCGCATCGTTATCTAGGATACCAGAAGACGATACGGACCATCAAAGCGGGTGTGGAGTCTCCTTTCCGAGTTGAAACCCTCGACCCCTGTTCCCGATGCAGAATTTCGATCCGCAACAGATCAGTGGCGGATCGCCCGGAAAAGGGCACATCAGCTATTGATTTGGAAAACCCCAAATCGGAATCATTGCTGATCTCCAAAATTGCTCTCCTCCAGGCCCCTTCTCCGCTGTATAACACTAGGACAAGTGGTGGCAGTGGCATGTACAAAGAAGTTTTTCAGGTCAAGGATGTTTCAGCTGCCCTTCAAGCAATCGATTTTCAACTCTGCTCTCACCTCAAGTTAGGCGATCCCTACATTCTGAGCAAATTCTGCCGAGCATGTATCAATACTCAGCGTCTTCCTTCAGGAGTAAAGGGGCCGCCTTGCATCAACGAATCAAAACGGGAGTTTGGTGAAACAAGGTCGGGTGCAAAGTGTAAAGGTACCTGCTATACTCGAGGTTGTAAAACACAATTCATGTTTCAAGCTCGTGAGAGTCTTTCACCCGACATCTCTGGGAGACGACAAGTGTGGTTGATCATTGTAGCCTATCGTTGGCTTGGTCCACTCTTAACCGCTGGAAGAGATTCAACATGGAGCGATCACGCGGTCGACCACAAAGAACGAAAAGAAATGCGTGGAAAATGGGCGGAATGGGAAAGGGCAAATCGGACAGGACGACCATGCATGCCGAATTGGAGCATCTGCCTTCTTCATCCGGAAGATTCGAACCTACGCTGATATCAAACGGGGAAGACGCCAGTGTCAACCACGAGCATTGTGGCGTTATGTTGTGCGGCCAACCGTCAAGCTTCTCTCGGAACAGCTTTGTTGATGCCCCATGCGTGTCACTTCTGGATTCTTTTGAGGGGGGAGATCAACATTGCCATTGCCTGACGTATGATCACGATGACAAAGATATTTCGGATCTGCAGCCAAAAGCGTGAATGAATTTCATAACATCCCACCATCGTTTCAGTCCCACAGCGACCGCGGGTGTGACCTAACAAATATTTCCAGTCACCAAGTGGAGGTTTACAAGAATGGCCAATGCATTGACTCAGACAATCTCCTCGAGTTGGCTGGGAGAGCCTGTCCACCACGGATTGCGATGCTCCTTCTCAGGCGAGCAGGTTGGAAAAAAAGGTCTCGTTCTCGAGATGAGGCATCAAGTCACAAAACAGAATGCGAGGACTAATCATTTCCTTTGAGAACCAGACTGACAGATCTAGATGACGAAAACCTTGTTTGCCCCAAGCCTCATGAACGAAGACGAAGTAAGCCTTTGGTGGCTGAGATTAACGAGATCGTCACCTGGGCAAACAGCGCTTCGGGGGAAACTTAGGCATCCTTAGCTTGAGCTCGGAGGAAAAGCAACGCCTAAGAATGGGCCGGCGACGGGCTCGCTGGAGATCAAAGGTAAACAATTCTCCGGGTGGATAATGACGCCACCCTCGCCCGGACCGTTCTCTGGCCCTCAAATCCTTCATTTCAACGCCTTCCACACCTCTCAGCCGTGTATCCAGACCAACGGATGAACGAGCTTGATTCACGAACATCCCGCCGCGCAAAAGAATCGAACTGGGCGGGGCATGGCTCATGGTAGGTTGTCGTGACGGTTGTTGCTGTCGATTGAGGTAGAAAAGAAGCCACCATGTTCCGACTCTGGCCATCAGTTTTTCCTTGCTGAGCTTCACAAAGTTTTGTCTTGAGCCAGGACAAGTCAAGTTTGTACTTGGTTGTTCTTGTCTCCTCCTCTGTCTATTCCACATATTCGCTGCGCAATAAACCAATCAGACCGATTCCGGCTGTTTTACTGCATTCTACATTACAGAAACTCCCCCCCTTCCTCCGTCCGAGCTTCCTCCACCTTCATTCTCCCTAATCCGAGCACACCATGGCTCGACTGCCACACAATTCCTTTGTCATTTTGTCGACACTGTCACGCCTTCTCATCTGCACTCAAGCCCATATGCAAATGAGTTGGCCCTATCCCTTAAGAAGTCCCCTTGATCCCGAAGGCCCTGATTACGAGAAAGACTATGATATGACGTTTCCTCTCTTCTCCGATGGTTCTAACTTCGCATGCAAACACTACCAGAACGACACGGATTCTTACGTTACAAAGGCTACTTATGTGGCAGGCGGAACGTACGATATGTGGCTGAATGGAACTGCAACGCACAACGGAGGCTCCTGTCAATTGTCTCTCTCATACGACAATGGGATTACCTTCAAAGTCATCAAATCAATGATTGGCGGATGCCCTTTGGTCAACACCTACAATTTCACGGTTCCCAGTTTCGCTCCAGCCTCGGATGCGGCTCTCCTTTCCTGGTCCTGGTTCAACATCGTCGGTAATCGGGAGATGTACCAAAACTGCGCCCGAGTCCAGATCGTCAGTAGTCTGAATCAACGATACCAACAGACTCCTTACAAGCGACCGGCTTCTTCTTTGGACCAACTTCCGGACATGTTTACCTGCAACATTGGCAATGGCTGCCAGACCATCGAGGGGCAAGAAGTGGTTTTTCCTAACCCCGGTGACGATGTTATCTACGGCCAGGACGCCATTATTCCCAATCAAGGCCCAGGAATTACGATTTCAGGAGCACAGCCAACTACTAGTACAGCATTTACCACCGGAGGATCAACAGACCCGACGATTACCACTTCGGATGGAACACTGAATTCTACATTAAACGGTAGAGCGTTCTCACTTACAACCACTACTTCCACTGGAGTGTCCACTTCTATGACCACTGATCAATCTTTTACTTCTACAAGGACCGCGAGAATATTCGTCCCACTGACGACTGATGACCCCTTTAGGACGACTACGAATAAGACGATTTCCACGATGACGACGACTTCTACGGCACCACCTTTCCCTTTTTTGAACGCGACAATCACATCCAATGCCTTTGATTCTGGAACCGGACTCCCGAATACTACTGGAAACATGACCACTTTCTTTATGCCCGCTTCGACTGCCTCGTCTAGCGAGACGATGGCGACCATGGTCGAAACGACATTGACGACCACCAGCATTTCAATCCCAGACTTTCAATTTCCCACCTCAACCTTAGCCTTGACCTCGACGTCTGGACCGACTAGACTCACGGCCATCGATAGCCCTTCTTTTTCACTCCGATCCTTCCTCTCCTCCTCCTCCTCCTCCTCTACATACACCCGTTCGGCAACCAGGACACCTCGACCTTCCCTCACCACATTCATAACACGCATTCTCTCCTCTAGCTCGACGCCTTCATCCACCTCTTCTACTCCTATCCTCAACTCCGTCCCTTGTGTCTCCGGTACATTCACCTGCAACAGCGCCACAAGCTTCTCTCAATGTATCAGCACCAGTTCTACTTCCACAACATACATCTACATGGGCTCCGTGGCGGCTGGCATGCAATGCGTCAACGGTCAAATCATACGCCAGAATGCCGGTCCCTGTACCCCGTTCAGAAGTATTTTCTGTAATGGCGAACATACATTCTATACGTGCGACCAGGGCGGGTTGGTGGACATGGGACCTGTGGCGCCAGGGATGGCGTGTAGAGATGGGGAGATTGTGTTTGCTTAAGACATAAACAAGTCGAGCCCTGATCTTTCTTGTCTGGCTTGGTCATTTGTTTTGGAATTGAAGCGAAGGCAATGTGGCACGGCATGACATAGAAACAGGGGGACACTGCATCAAGGATAAAGATAGAGATCGGGATAGGGATGAGTTGTCAGCAGAAGTTGGAACGGAGCCCGAAAGGAAGGGAATACGCAGCACAAAACAACATCGAGATACCCCACAAACGGCAATAACATTGGCATCGACATCACGACAACGGCGTTTAAAAATCAAAAATGGAATCGGATATGTTTATCAGAAAATGGGGAATGGATATTATCAGCATGGGCAGGGCGGCGGAACACCAATGGAATGGAATGGAATTGAACTAAATCACTGGCCGTAGAATAATGAAACAAGTCTTGCTCCTGCTTTCAAGCTCTTGGTTTTGAACAAAAATATGCATAAGTCCGTACATCAATCCAGAAAGCATTGATCTCTGTTGTCACCTTCACAATTGCTCGGTGCGAAATGGCAAGTTGGCATCTAGTCTTGCTGCATCGTACGAGACATTCTTGGACTTATCTACATCTCCAGTCCCAGCAAAATCATTCCTACCCTCTGATGCCTGATGCCGTGTTGCCTTTGTCAATCCCCTTGCTCCAAACTTTAGTGCCAGAATATACAATTCAATCAATCATCTGGGTTTTCGCCAAGCTTTTTCTCCTTTTCTCTCCAAGCCTTCGCATTCCTCTGCTCCAAAACGGAATGGACAGGAAAAATCTTCCGTGTCTTCAAACCCTCGCCGAACAAAATGTCTTTGTGTTAAAGAGGACGCCGACTTGACCGAAGAAGTTCTCAAGCAGAACCATACACAAGTGGGTATCAACTGAAGCATAGAAGAGTAAGCAGAATTGCCAACAAAGAATTCAATGCCGGTACCGGGAAAACCGCATGCAATGACCTGACCGTGTCGATGATGTGATGTCGACGTCGAATCCCGGAGACCAAGGTTGAAAGTCCTTTTTTTGGATCTAAAAGGTTGTGCTTTGTGATATTACTGGTATTATCAAGTATTGTATTTTCATCGGTGCGTGGCCATCGTTCCGAAACGCCCGTGCTAACTGCATGTCGTCATAAACTCAGCATGATTGAATATGGCCGGTCCTTCAGGTTGGAGGTGGGCCGCCTGAGCCGCCTTCCGTAGATGCGTCACCTTCTACCGTCTTCTTCCATGCCTCGGGCAGACAGACGCAGACAAGAGGGAATGCTTTGATCTCTCCTGACGGCGTAGGGGACTCGTCACGGGCTGCAGAACCATTGGAAACGCCACTGTCTCGCTGCACTTTATGCTTGCCGTCATAGTCTTCCGCACGGTCATTAATCCGGACTCCCGTCGCCCAACCATCATCCCAAATGCCAACGACTTTCAGCATGTCGCCTCTTTCGAGTTCAAATTCATCGCCCGCACGAGGTTGATATGCCCAGAGGACTGAAACTTTGTCCCCAGGATGAATGTCATCATTCGAGTAGTAATCTTTGAAGAATGGCAGTTGCTCGGACTGTCCACTGGCCACTCCTTCTGGGGACGAGAAATCTCCGGGTGAGCTACCATTTTGGGAGTCACTGCCTGGTGATCCACCGTGTTTGGCGGCGGCGGCGGCGGCGGCACCCACGCCCATAGCTTTGTCCCGGGACTCGGGACTGTCTCCATACGGATCCGTGTGAGACGTGTAATTTCGAGGTCCAATTCCAGGCGGACCAGTCAGTCCTGGTTGGTCGTCTTGCAGAGCGGACATGCGAGCAACGCGGCCACCAGGCAAGACTTCGTAACCTGGTTGCGACATGGGTTGGTTGTACGCTGAAGAAGCTACGCCCTTCCTCTGTGGCGATGGTTGATTGAGGAGGCTGCCAGCTTTGCTGTCATGGCGTCTGCGGCGAAGACATACCACGCCGAGGACGATCAGGGCTAGGAGAAGGATGAATCCAACCACCGAACCAACGACAATTCCTGCAATCTGGCCACCGTCGAGACCATTGCCTCCCCCAGAGCTGGCGGCACCTGTAGCTGTTCCCGTAGGCGACGAGGTCGGGCTTGTTGTAGAGGAGAAGAGGTTTGAAATGGTGGAGAAGACTGGAAGAGTGACGCCCTGGCAACGACCGGTTGAGTTAGAAGTCACGCAGCATGAGTCGGTGCCGTTCTCGGTGCTTGCTCGACAGAAATTGCAGAGGCCCATCAAGTTGCTTCCGAAGCCACAGTCGGCGGGTTCATTTGATTCTCCCGTGATGCAGCTTCCGCTAATCGAATTGGCCGGTAGAGCGCAATTGGTAAAGTCGGCTCGAAGTTGGTCCGCATAGTCGCTATTTCGTCCCTGGCATAGGTCGCTTGAGACAATCTGCTCTTCGCTGAGAGCGAGATCCGCACATGAATCGGCGCAGAGAGGTTCGGAATCGGCCGCAGACAATCCACACAACTCCCGGGAATTTTGGACGATGCCATTGCAAATGAAGCTCAGGGTGTATCGGGCATAATAGGTCGAGGTGTTGCCCAAGTTGACGTTGTCACAGCCGAATATGTTGATGTATTTGGACTGTACATATTGTTGAGATACATACTGGCTGAGTTGGGTGTCAAAGTCTTCGGTGGAGGAAACATAGGCAAGAAAGGGACTTCGTGAATTAGTCACCGCGTTCGTCGAGTCATGGCAAGCAAGCACTTACTATAAGTCGACCACAGATTGGTCTGTGGAAATGGAGGAAGCGTTGAACGCTGGACATGTCGTGGATCCCGCCAGTGATATGCAGCTTTGCGCAAGGACACGGGGAGCTATGAGGGCCAGTGCGCCCAGGGACAGGAATTTGGTCATGCTCGACAAAAAGCAGGTCGTCTCTTCTTCTCTTGCTCGTTGGGTGATATGTGCCGGTCAACTGTGGTTCCCCAATCCAAATATCCAAGAAGCAGTCAACTCTTCCAAGCTCATGCTGGACTCATGATCCTCCAGCCCCTGTCTGTTGTCGCGATCAATCCAGCTGCCAACGCGACGACAGGTAGCTAGCGGGTCTGGAAGGGAGGATTCTGAGTCGACGAGCTTTGACAGTCTCCGACGATCTGGGTCCGGGTCAGAGCGCGAAAAGGGAGCTTGGACGGGTGAGTTGGAGAAGTTTGTATAATAATAAGTCGCGGATGACGCAGAAGTGAAGGACAAGCAAACGAGTGACTGTTGGTCAGAAGACGGACACGAGCTCCGGGTAGAAAGACCAAGGAGCGAATTGGCTGAAGAAACAACGCAAGGTTGAATGAGAGGGAGGAGGGAAAAGGTAGAGATGAGCAGAAGGACGGCAAAGTTGTGATTGGGTTGGAAGAAGTGCGCAGAGAGGAGGAGTAGCAGCAACAGCGCGATCTGTGGCAGAGTGTGAGTGGAGGTGGAAAAGTGCGCTGGCGTAAAGTCGCGGGTTGCCGGACTGCGACGGCAAAGCACCGCTTGAAAGTGCTCGACTTTGCTTTGGCCCCGGGGCCTTTTGGATTTGCGCTTGCTTGAGGCTGGTCTTCGCTGCTGATCAAATTCAGGAAGAACTCTGAAGCAGGCACTGAGGCTTGGCCCAGTCTCGATGATAGGCTCTCATCCTGTCAACGGAAGTCGACCAGGTGAGCAAGCCAGGTGGACGCCAGCTATGAAATGGGCACCCCCAAGGTGGCAGAGTTAGTGGGAAAGCGCCTAAACCTGCCACGGTAAAGTATTCGTCTAGCCGGTGCCATAATCCCCTCATTCCGCCTAGCCGACTGCTAACCTGGCCGAGTAAACAACTACTAACCCTGTTCCTCTCAATTTCCAATTTCGCGGACTTCGCTTCCCTTCGTTGGTCCTGCTCCGTCTCACAACCCAGTCGTCTTGTCTCTGTTTTTAATTTTTGAAACAACCAAAGCCCAGACAGATGCTCAATTTCACTCATCACCAACATCCTCCTCCAGTCACATGTGTTTCGGAGCAGAAGCGGTCCAGAATCGAGATCGTCCTTGCTGGGCATCGTGGCCTTTAGTACACCTACGCTTGATTGACTACAATAACAATGCAAGATTGCCACTGTATCCTCCCTGTGCCTGATTGAGAGCAAAAAAAGACGTCCCGAGACTTACGAGATTCAACGGGTGAGGTCAATCGTCATGCATTGGGACACTAAAAAAACATCGGAAAGGGAAACTATTGAGGGAGATTGCATGGCGTCGCAGCCCATTTCGCGCCAACCTTGGCTTTTTACCCTTGTCCACTCAATTCATCTCGGTGACCACTCGTCTCGCAAGGAACGTCCTTCTTTTCGCTCGGTTTTCAAAGGCACAACCCCGACCGATCAGCCAGTCATTTTTCCTCCTATCGATCTTTTTCATCAGCGACATTTCCCTCCGGCAAACTTCCGTTTTCCCACCCCCTCGAGATCTTTCCGAATAGCGTCATTCTGTCAGCCGCCTTTTAAACGTGGCTAGTTCTGGACTTGTCCGTTACTGATCATTCAATGGACTGCAGGTACTTCGGCTTGTCGAAGTTTGGGAGTTGTACATCTTTGCTAGAAAGAGAATTGGGAAATCCTTTCTGACGATAAGACAAGATCAGGGGTCTCGGATGCCTTCCAAAATTCAATCTTCACACATGGCGATCTGAATACCTCGATCTAAAGAGTTTTCAAATGCATGAGTGTGCTCGCATGATGGTCGGGTGCGAACTTGCGGGAAGCTCCCTCGAAGACGTTGACGATCTGCGGCTCATGATGACTTTTCTATCTGGCTCGGGCGCTTCACTTACGTCCAGTTCATCCATTTGACCGAGACTCTGAAACTGTTCATCAGCATCGATGCTTGTCAGATGACACATACGGATTCACACGTGACGGGTTGTCCTACGTACAACGCCTGGCCCCCTTCCATAGTAAGGCTACGAGGTTATCAAATACAATCGCATCACGTCTTATGTAATATGACACATTTTCCGGGTATCCATAGTCCATAGTTATTCCTACTATGATCTTCATTTCTTCATCCTCTCGTAAACCGGGTAGTGATACAGCCCGTGTTCAGCTCTCGACCGCGCCTCAATCCAAAAGTCAATCCACAATGACCCCTTACATACTTTTGGTCCAAATGCTTTTTGTGAAAGAAAACGTTGCCGAACACGGTTTTTCCAGCTCGTTGTCCCTTTTTCTGGCGAATGAACACATTTTAGAACCTCCGTCACTCTTTCTGGCCGAAAATGCCCCTGACTTTCCCAAGCCCTTTCTCACGCAACCTTCATCTTTTAGCCCCGGCTCTTTCTGCAGAACGTACGCTGGCTCTACTTCTCCTCCAAATATCCGGTGCAGATTCTGTCTGTTGATTTCTTAAGACTAACCCAATGTTGGAGTTAGAGTTAGAAGTGACCTTGCTTACTCTACCCTGGACGAAAGTCCGGCTTGGGCATCTCCATCCAGGCCGCGCGCGCAGGAATGTAGGCAAGACCGGCGTAAGAGGGCAAGTGCTGATCATCGTGGTAGAATGGAAGCGGCGAGGTTGATGGGGAGATCGAGGGCGTAAAGCGATGACGTCGGTAATATGCGCCAGAGAAGTCGTGCCACTGATCATAGCCTCCGAAGAGCGGCGAGAGAGATTCCGCCTCGGCCATGTGTCGGCGCGGTGTAAGGAGGGATGGGTAGGGCTTGGTGCTGGACTTGAGCCCGAAATGGGTGTTGACGATGGTAGCGAGGCTCAGAGTCAGAACGTGAAGATGTCGTAGACGATCTCTCGGAGGGTGGTCGCATGAGTTTTCCGCTGAATGGTAGCATTGGGCCCGACAATGGTGCCGATGATATCTTAAATAATTCAGCTGGTGTCCAGCGTTTCTTTCGTAGCCGGTCTGGCCGGTCTCGAGTTCTGAGGAAATCCTTGTAATGGCTGCGGAGCGAATCAAAGCCCATGTGGGCATGAGGCGCGGCTGGACTATGGTATTCAAGGAATCTTCAACTCCCCAATGCACCTATCTATCATTCCAGAGCAGGATGAACGGAAACGAATTCTTGGAAGAGGTCCAGAACGGTGGTTGGTGTCGAAGGAACAACTTCGTCTGAAAATACTTCCCGGGTCTCAGAGGAGGCACACATACCAGACGGATGTGCTCAGTAGTCCGCATAGGCGGACATGAACAGGATTATTTTTTCCTCATCTGATACCTCAGTAATTCCCCCCTGCACCGAACGAAAATAGCTCCTCTGTTGGCTGTGATTGAGTCGGAGTCTCAACTGGTCCCGAATTGTAGCGAGCAGAAACCGATGCATTCAGTGAGGACTGGTATTGGAGCCTCGGCGGAAAAATATAGAGGGACTACGAATCAAGCCGAATCTCTGGCCAGGAAGGGTTGAAGTGCATACTTTAATTGGAAACACGCAAATTCTAGCGTCTGAAGTGTCAAGTCCAAATAGTGGTTGGTCCTTCAGACCATTCCCTCACTAGGAGTTGATTCATTGTGACGACCACGCTCTCATCTACGGATTGTTGAGGTCTGGTTCAAGAGCGTACGAGTCGAAGAGATGGACGATGTAACTGAAGTCGATTGGGGCGACTCAATATTATCGTAGAGGAGCTCCAGCCCCGGTATACGGTTGATCGATTAGTAGACAAGGTTGGATGAAGAAGTTGAATCGAGCGACAGCAAAGATGGAGCAAGGTTCAATTTCATGGCAGCCTCAATGGCATCCAAGCTTGCCATGAATTCGTTGGCTATAGCCGCCACTTTTTGTGCAGGGATAGGTGATTTCTGCTCATCGGATGCGATAAAATCGTCTGGAACTTCCACTATCCGAGACGACAAAGGGTTGCCCCAGTGCCTTCCATGTATGGATTCGAACTCTTCTTCACAAGTCATCCCGAAGATTTCCTCGTCTGAACGGCCTCGTCCCTCATGCTCTGGAGAGTATAGCTGATCATTTGGTCCCTCGGAACTTCCATAGGTGCTGTCGGTTTCATCATCCGAATCTGTTTTTGGCCCGACCTCCTCATTGTCAGATGGATCTGGAGAACTTGTTGAAGTGGCGTGGGACTGACTGAGGTCGGCACTTCTGGAATGGCCAGCAATTGACCGTGTCAGCCAGGAAGTCGAACATTGATGGTTGATGGTGGGGATGTCGTTGATAGTGACGTTCTCCTCCACCAAAGCAATCGTCTCATTGTAGTCAACCACCTTTTCAGATGCAGTCGTGCCGATTTCCGAGGGCTCCTCTTCATCGTCGTCGCTGTCAATATCGTCTTCCCATTTGGCCGAGGGTGGCGGGCAAGTAGCATAACATTTCCGCTCGAATTCATCTCTGGGGACAGGAGCCGCCGCCAAAGGCAACGGAGCAACAGTGGGCTTACCAGAAGTCTGGCCCATCGTGGCCTGAAAGGTAGTACTGGCTCTGGCAGCAACAGAGTCTTTTTCTTCAGCCCCAGTTTTGGGGTTTGCGGTGAGTCGTCGTCGAACCTGACGGAAGATGGGGGGATTCTCGACATCTTCGTACGAAATGCAAGCAAGGCCAAGTCTTGATTTGACTGGTTCCCGCCTCATTCGAGACTGTACTGCGGCCTTGCGGGCTTTGTCGATCTCGAGCATCTCCTCCGTGCCAGTGGATAGGATGTCTTCTCGACTACGAAACCCCTTCGTGCAACCGTTGACAATGGTCCAGCCTTCGACGTATGCGTTTGGATCTAGAGGATCCACTTCAGGGTAGTCTTCATCCTTACTCCATCGGTCCATGGTCCACCAGCCCGCACGGCTGTAGAATTTCAGGCACTGTCCAATGACAGCGTTCTCGAGTGCTGAACCTCGTAGTTTGTTGAGAACGTCCGCATCACCGTAATAGAGAACCGGGTCAAGGAACAGAGAAGCAGACGAGACTGTCGTGTGAATCCTTAGGTCCCGGGGATCCGTTTTCGCAAAATGCTTTGGCGACGACTTGAGTACGGCGATGATCGCAGCAGGAGTCGTCGACGACTTGTCATAGACCGGGCGGCCGAAGAAGTTGAAATGGTGGACGCACTCTCCAATCAACTCCTTGATCAGGCAGTCTTCATACTTTGTATGTCCATCGATTGACTCAAGGAGCCGTCTTTGGCACTGGGCGTACAAAGATTCTGCGCTGGGTTCTGCTTCCGGTTCCTGAGGAGGAAATCGTGCAAGGGAGCGAACAGGACAGAAGACATCTGGCACGGCGTTGTCTTTATTGCTGCTGCTGGGGAAGTAAATCCCGTGCGGATATAAACCGTTCTGTTCCCGGTCCTCCTCATAGGCTCGAACCCTCGAATCCATAAATCGAGCTTCCGCGTCGAAGTCTTCCTGAGATTCAAAGACGTATGGGCACCAATCATGTGCACCTGGAACAAAAGCGTGCGCTGTCGGGCTCAGTGAGGAGGAGGATGCTTCTTCGAATGGCGCAGGCTGAGAATTTGCAGATGTAGAGGGCGTCAGGGTGGGTATGTGCTCTTGGTTGCGAGGCATAGACTCCATGGCGGCAGCGCCGAGTTGCTCTTCATGGCATCTTAGAGTATGCTCTTGCTGACCAGGCACAAACATTCTTGCATGAGCACTTAATGTCGATAGAGCGTATTGAAATCGACCCTCTGCTTGGCCGACGATGAACTCGGAAGCTTGAACGTTCCACGAAAGCTGGTGGTCCTCCTCTGATATCATGTTGGTATTGTTTTATGTTTGATATGGATAGTCGATGTATTCCGGAATTGCAGGGTGGTCGAAAGGCGTAAGATGAGCCGGCGGCGAGAATCTGTCTAGGTAGCAGGAGGGAATTAAAGAGGGCGAAGAAGATTTTGGCATGTTCATGAGGACCTCTGCAATCAAATGTGAAACTTCAGGAGTAGACGTGTGATCTGGTTCAAAATATTAGACTCTACTTTTTTGTGTCCCGAGGCCTCATTGGGTACCATTGCAATAGACGTAGTAAGGTGGACTCAGGAGGGTCCTTGGCCAAAAGACTCTTTCGCGCCTTGTTAATAAAGGGCAGAGTCCTACGCTGCACATTCTCGGTAGTTGAGAATATTCGAGTCCTGCTTGATGATGGTAAGAGATCAGAATGGGTTGATGTTCAAAGTGTTGTTCGTGGTGTAGGTTGGTTGGATTGAGTTTGTTGTGGGGTGTAGAACATGAACGACAATAGGAGTGCGTACCACCTTAGAAGCAGTCCATGTTACGTTGAGTGTGAATATCGAGGCGATGACTGCATTAACACAGGACAGACGTTGCTGGATCATCACCAAGGCAGTGTTGCGCAGTCGACTGAACGAGGGGATGGAATAATTGTTTTCATCCTGCCTCCGCCTGTGCCTCTGCGAATTTCAAGCGATGCGTTGTATGATGTCCTGAAATCATGTTTCCGTGTGATGTCCGAGGCGACGTGGGAGGGGAGCAGAATGGCAAGACAACATTTCTCTTCAGCAAATTCCCTTCTCCGTTCAACGCTTAGCCATAACGGTCAACGAAAGTTACAGCAACAGCGCTTGTGATAGAGAACCCAGCAAGCCCTCATCCGACGAAGTGGAGTACATTTGCTTTGGCCCAAAGAGCGTGTGATATGTGGCGACGCCAAGGCTTGTAAAGACCTTCGGAAGCGTTGTAAGTATAGAGTCTGACGGTCCCCTGGACCCCTTCGAAATAGGACGCGTCCTCCGTAAAATTACAAGCGCTCAATTACTCAGTCAAGGACCAGGATTGGCTATGGCCAATTCTCCTACAATCATCCTATGATACAACCTATTGTCCTCAGCTTGTCAATAGATGTTCTCGAAGGGCATATCGAGAGTCGTAATATCTGATCCTCTCCTGACCGAGCCCATACTACTGTGTTGCCTCTCGTATGGCGACGTCATAAGCATGACGGCAGATGTACTACGACAAGAACTCAGCCGACACTCCACGATGGCTTCGAGAATCCTCCTGTGCTGATGAGGCAGCTGTCTGCGGACACCAAAGGTCAAAGTTTCACATGGATGACATGATTGATCCTGGTAAAATGCTCAATTGGTAATTCCATCTATGACCGCGCCGCTGTTGACCTGCGTCCTTGCCTTGAATCGAGTCTACTGGCGCTTCAGGATATTTGGCACTCTTGGCCCCGATGACTACTCGACGATTTGGCCATGGTGAGTGAAACTTCGCTTTATGTGTTTTCATATCTGTTCAGGGATGCTTGATAACTTCCAGACTTTCCTCCTTGCTCAATGTGATGCACATCTTTGGAGATCGTCTCTGGTTCGTCCACATATACGGGCCCAGTCACATATCTGCCGCAAATGATGTTTGATGCGTTGATTCTGAAATTTCCCGGCGAGTGCTCGTATCGAGGACGAAGAAAGGGAATATGTCCTATCATATTTGAGAAGAGTTCATAAAACCGAGGAGGTATGATTTAGACGTGAGATGGCCGGCGATACCCTGATCGAATCCGGAATACATTACGAACTTCGGAAGCGATTTCTATAAACACAGATCATTTTTCCTGCTTGAGCTTCATCATAGTGAAGTTTTCGTCGCGGATGGCACAAAGGGGGTCTGTCGCTTCGGACCCCTCCAAATTCTCTTTCCTTCCAAAGTTTTCACGAGCGGATTCAATATAGACGGACCGAGGTTCTGTTTCGATGGCAAGGGATGAATACAGTCTGCTGGCAATAATGGAGGCTCAGTAACTAATAAGAGGATAGAGCGTAGTGTTTAATGGATGTAGCTTGCTTGGACGAAGTGGATATGTTTCTGCAAGAATATTCCTTGAGTCGGTTGAGATCTGCTCAAAGGTATGACATTGTTGACCGAGACCGTCAAGGTTCAAGACGGTGACTGAGATTTAGCGCACGATCCGGTCTCGGTACAAGAGAACAGATACGGTGTGCATTGCAGACCAGTAAATAATCACTGCTCGGTATAGCAGCATGGCTCGGTCGAGCATAATGACGGAAATACATCCTGCAACTGCGAAACTATCCGCCTCTGATTGGCCTCTGATCCGGCGTCTTTACCGTACAAGGTGGTGCCTTCCGGAAGCCGGGGAAACTAGTACTGATTAATCATATGGCAACCCCTCTAACCAAAGATATGCTCCGTGTTCATTAGATTCAAGGCACAAAGTTCACTGAAACGGCAACAATCAAGGAACAAAATGATGTGACGCCAAAGGCCATTCATTGTTCCTGTCATTTCAGGACCTCCATCACACCAGCATTGATAGCCTCCTCGTCACTGTGCATGCCTGCGGCCATGTTCACCTTCTTTCGTGATCTTCGGATCCAAAGTCTCCATCCAAGTAGAAGGCCAAAGGTCATTGGAAGGGCAATCACCCACAGTAACCAGAACCGTTGATTCACGTGAAATGAAGATGTGACCTCATCATGGTCAGTCGAAGGGTCCAGACAGGAGTCGGTGCTGAAGAACTGTGTTCCAAAAACTGTGCTGACTGTCGAAATGGGCAGAAATATCATGGCGAGAACAGAAAGTGTCCTCATGAAGTAGCTGTCCTGTTGCATGATCCGGCTGTCGCGCATGCTTCCAATATTGAACGCCTACACGATGTTAGGTCGGGGAAGAAGCGAGGGAATATGCGATAAACGAACCAGATTGATCAAATTCTTCAGCCGGTGTTCCACACTCAGCGTTCGTAGCCTCGTTGAATGAAACATCTCCCGGTGATGAAGCAATGCCTCGTGAGTGGCTTGCCAAATGACCGGATTCTTTTTACCAGTATCGGCATGGCACTGTATTGCGCGTTCGAGTGACCGGAGAGCAGCTTCTAGCCCTTCTATCAAGAATATGGTGTCCTTAGCGAACCTGTGGATCCGAGTGTAATCGAGTACAGGCTGATGAAAGCTGCTGTCAGCTAGCCGTGCTGAGTGGTTGAATATATCCTAAGTGATGTCTTCAATACCTAACCATATCTCCGGCTGTTCGCAATTGGATGCCGCACCTTTTCCGTTTCACGGGACCAGTCGTTTACAAGCCATGCGTTCTCATCAGTAAGCGCGTACCAAGACTCGAATGCCATGCTAATCAACAGATATGGATCGTAGAGGATGTCGACCCAACTGTCGGAGTGGAAAACGCGATTAATCGCTCTCCAGAACCCTGCCACCGGACCGAAACAGATGAGGGTAACTCGCCATGAAAGCTCTGGCGGTGACACACTTGCACCATTGTAGAGTGTGCCTGCTGGAGAGCAGTGCAAGATCAGCCCTGACTTGGCCCATGAAGACGCAGGTTCTGATGGGAAAACCCCCAGGAAATGGATCCACACGGCTGATTACGTCTCAAGTCAGTGTTTGCGGACAAGTAGTTAGCGCTTGATTAGAGCTGACGTACTTTCGGACCCGTCCTTCCCCTTTCTAATACCAAATGAATGAGTCACAGCACGAAGTCTCTCAGATACAAAGGCAGTAGGTATATCGTATCGGTCGACCAACTTCCTATATTCAGGCAGGCAGCTGGGGACATCCATGGGAGCGGTGCTGAGATAGTTAATACACCGTACGGGTGGGATGTAGTAAACCTTTATTTGGCTTACGTACATGATGCGCAAATCCCACCCGCCATCGCTGTCAAACGCGTCGACAGAGTCAGCTGGAGTAATCTGCGGTTCCTCACCTGCCAGTCGACTATTATTAACTCTCAAATGTACGTGCTGGCGGGTATTACCTCTCTGCCACTTCAAAAGAGTAAAGGGACTCGTGTCACCTAAGGGGGTGTCTGTTGGCTGACGATCTTGAACTCCACTGCGTCCCACATGAGAGCGCTCATCTGAGTTCTCTGTTGGTCTGTGGTGGCCATTCAACCCGGCCCTTTTCTCGAATTCTTCGATGGGAAAGGGATCCTCGATAAGGCTGGCCATAATTTACCCCTTGGCCTAGTTTCGCGATCGCCACCTCTTTCCGGATGTGGAGAACTAGTAAGGTTGTTAACACAGGAATAAGGTTGAGAATCAATGACAGGATACGAGATAAAAGTACAGGTGCTTTCTTTTTTGGGCGCCGTGGAGCCAGGATCCTACCACAAGTACTTGACCATGTGATTCCGCAAATGGCTCGCTCTGATAGGCTGGACAATTTCCTGAATGGCATCTTCTTCGACAACTCTACGACCTGTAGACTAGTCCAGACTAGGTCTGCTGTCTTAGCCACTGAAAGCCTCGAGAAAGTAGTGGCAAAGCAACGGGGTGCCACAGATACTATATATAGAGATACTTTTTGTTTGAAACAGGAGCCTTATTGCAGATCTACACGGCCTTATTTTTCTTCTTGAGACACGGGGTTGACCCGTGTTGATATATCAAGGACGAGCCGCATGCCTTTCGCATCATATTAGCATCTTGAACAAAACGTAAAACACCTTCCCTTCTTCTTGTGTTGATCTTTATGGTGAGAATCCGTCTGACACAAGGCTGAAGTACGACAGGTTAATAATCTTTCCATAGGCTTCGAGTCAACCAACCCGCCACTCTGATAATATCAACCCCGACGAGGAGCGAATCCAGGCCCTTCGGGTACTGAGCATACATCTCGTCCCTTTGGCGATCGTGCTAACCAACACATGTCTAGGCACAGCTTAAGTGGACAAGAAAATCGACATCAGGCGGTAGCAGAGAGAATAACACACCTTCTGACAGCAACCACCAAGGTTAGCACCATCACGGACTTCGGCAAGCTCTGTCAAAATAACTGTAGACATTCCCTCAGCTGCTGTGGACGCTGCACAAGGTGGGTTACCCGGCACAGGCGATCCACCTAATCCGTCTAGCACTCCTGAAGAAACATCGGCTGGAGCTCGTGTGGATTCTGCAAATCAGTCTTGAGCGTGCGGTATGTTTGTCTGTTTTCGTTCATCAAATTGCCAATTTTCATGTCTGACGTTCAGTCGAAGTCATTCCTGCGATCCTCAACGCGACCCCGATCGAATAATTCTAGCACTCTGCAACATGGCCCTAACAGAAGACGATTACCAGCTATCATCGGCAGCCATTTCGACCGCTGAAACGGATTGCCGTGGCTGGGTGCATGCCTGGGCCGACCCCGAATGCTCGTGGAGAGGCTGGTCAGGTGAATCTAGGCCTAGGGTTTACTACGACGCCAAACTCCGATACAAAGACGGTGATGAGTACTTTGCAGTGGATGGCCTGGGAAGGAGAATAACAGGACGCGTTCCATATGAATGCACGATCAATTCAGCTTCGGGGAAATTCCAGCGCCTCTGCGTCCAGACCAGAGACTCTTACTGCAAGCTTCCAAACAGTCCCTGGGATCGAACATGCATCAGGAATGCAGCGCCTAAACTCTTTCGGGTGGCACGATTTGCTCTAGCGGGTATCCCTCCGGAGCGAAGAAACAACATCGGCTCGTGGACTGGACAAGATTGGTTGTCTGTTGCTTGGCGTTGGGTCCCTGCAAGTCTCGGAGTTACGATCATTGTAAGTTTGTATTTCCTCCATACTCGCATGATCAATAGGGATATCGAAGCTTACAATTTGCTTTCAACATTGAAAGTTATTCCTACAACGTCAAGGCCAACCGCTGGGAAAGGAACTCAATGCTTATCTACCATTTCTATACAATGGCTATCGATATCCTCGCCTGGCTAGGAATTTCCGAGAAAACAGAGAGGACGTTCAGTCGCTGCGACCTGATGACCCTTCATGGCCCACTGGCAACATTGGAATATACCGGGTGCTGAGGCCTCGATACCTATGCTATCTCACGAAACCGGACGAGGATGGTGTTATGACATGGTTCGAGGCAAGGCCTGTACCAGATGTGAGTGAGCAACAGCGGTCGGGTTTGGAACCACTAATGAAATTTAGAATGACAATACGCCTTATGTTTTCATATCCTATACCAAAGCCCAGTTCCGTGGGGGCCAGAATTACAACCACCTTTTCCTTTGGGCGATCCACGCTACACAAGAGTACGCCAAGTCTATCAACGATGAGGAACGCCGTCCCAGGGCGTTTTGGCTCGACACCCATTGCCTACGTATTCTCGAAGGGGCGACCGACGAGGAGAGAAGAAGACTAGCTGATCAAGCCGTGAGACTGTCTAGCCCCACAAGTATTACAATGCGCCTGACTTAGATTTGTTAGATTTACAGCATGAGTGATGTCATCCGGGGAGCAGAACACACCGTCGTCCTTGCGAGACGGGCGGGCGATGAAATGCGCAGTTCGTCTGCCGTCTCCGACACCAATGAAGCATTACGCGAATGGGGCGACAGAGTTTGGACTCTGCCAGAGGTTCTCTTGAGCAAGGGAGACACTGTCACAGTCGTCGTGGATGGAGCACCCCCCACCAGGATTCGGAAGCTGCAGCTGGCACAAGCCGCCTGGACGGACGTTGCCCACTCAAGACAGTTGGTGGAACATTTCACCAACCTCCACCTGACGCGTCTGGAGCTTGTGAGCATCGCCCTGAGATGCTTGAAGAACAGAAAGTTAGAACTCGAGTACCAGGGAGACCGGAGCTATGCCCTTATGGGACTGCTTCGCGTTCGACCAGGAATCGACAGTACCGACTCATCATTCCAAGCATTCGCCAGGTAAGAGAACCAGGACACTGTCATCACTGGGCTTTTTAGAATTTGTTTTTAACTTTTCAGGCTCTCCCTACCTCAAGATAATGATCGGCTGATGGAGCGTTTGATATGCCTTCTTCCCAATGATTCATATGAGCCTTGGGATAAGATGTCAGACCAGTACAAATCAACCCTTTGGGACATATACCCTGATACGCAAGTTTGTGGCATTGGAGAGAACGACACCATCATCATAGACGGTTTCAAGGGGGCCATGATCCAGTGGTCTATGTTCAGCACCGTTCAAACAACCAAACGGATGACATGGTTCCGATTCATTATAACTCTGGCCACAATGATTGTCCCCATCCTGTTTTTCTTCGGGATACCCTTGGTGGCCATGGAACCCAATTCCGCTTTCATTATCTTCTTAGTGATTCCATCAGTAATTCTGCTAGCAACTCCGTTCTACGTCCCGTGTTTGTATACTGGCAAGCTGACCGAGGCTGAGCCTTGCCTATTCGGTGTTGAAGGCTACCTCCCACTACCTTTGATCGAGGAAATGCTCTTTGGCGAGAGGATGGATCGCATAACTTGGAGCGCATATGGATCGCCACTCTCTAGACACCGGTACCGACACGGTTATCGAGAGCGACATGCCCGAGACGATGTGGAAGGAGCTGCCAATCAACCATTTCTGGATTCAGCTGTCTACACTTATCCCGTCGAAGCGCTCGATCCTTGCTCCCCATGTCCCCAATGTGTCACCGGAGAGCAAGGTCGGGTTTGCACTCATCCAACTACAACATCAGTCGACAAAATGTCGAGAAGTCCTTTTGGTGAAATGAAGGTACGTAAGAACGGATTGATGTTGAAATCCCGCTTATTTTGCCTGTGATGACCACTCTGACTTGATGATATTACAGGTGTTCACGCTCATTGACACCCATTCAATGACTGCCACACTGTTCGAAGCTTATCGACCTCCTGTAATGCTGATGATCGGGGGATCCGAAGGTGGCATGAAGCGGGCTCTTGCATGTTCATACGACGTCGCCACGGGGACTTTATACCGCGAAACAGTCCTCCGAATACCCTCACGTACGGTTGACTGCATGCACTCTCTACAACGCGTCCGACTGGGGCTGAAGAATCCCCGCACAGGACAAGATGTTGAGGATGTTTCGCTCGGATCGTCATTAAGTGGTGGGTCCCCGTATGGCGAAGTATCTAACGGAAGTCCGCCATACGGCCGGTCAATGAATATCCCGTGAAGCTCGCGGGATGAAAGCAAATATCTTTTCTTGGGGAGAATTCTGCGCAAATAGAGACCGCCACGTCCTGTTAACTGGTCACGCACTGTCACAACACCATCTTTCCTGTATATTTGTGGATTCCTGCCAAGGTCCCTAGTTTACGCTAGGCTATATTCCTTTACGCACGATATATAAGTAAAGCGGCCCCCTCCAGCAGATAGCTCTGGTTAGCTTATACATTCTCTTCCCGCCGCTATAACAACACATACTGCGCTGTGTATTCCGCCAATAACAACCTCGAAATTGACACTAAATCGTGGTTAGCCTCCGAGGGGCCGATAGGATATTCCGCGGGGGTAAATGGGTAGCTTTGTATTTGCTCTCAAAACCTAGCCCTCACTGCGTTCGAGATTGCCAAGCCATCGAGATCATGTGATTTGTCTTTTTTTGACCAATCAGCAGCGATTTCGGCGACCAACTCCCAGGCCTCATCTCGACCAATCAACAGCGATTCCGCCGACCAATCAGCGACGACTCTAGTCACGTGAACAAAATTGATCCCTTGATAATTTTTCTCCCTCGGCCGGGGGGCCGAGCGGGGGTCGGAGTCTAGAAAAAGTTCCGCTCCACGCTACGCTTTAATAAGATCCCAGCTCTTGATTTGCCTAGCCTGATCCGCGATGCAGTGGTGCATATCGTGAAGGATGATGGTGCCGTCATCCTCCTCTTTAATGTCCAGTGAGACGCGCCCCTAGATCATGCTTACATCGTGTCAGCTTTGGACCAGTTGCTTGACATTCAGGTCGATGAAGAAACCCATTAGTTGTACATGAGGGAGGAGAGTATTTGCTATTGAAACACGGAGCCTTTTCTGCTGCCTGGTCGGGTTCCTGCAAACCGGCTTGACACGATAACAAATGTGGATGATAGACTCCCTCGAAAACCTCATAGGCCCACCAAGATCGAGATCCGGGATTTTGGGCGCATCCTCGCTCGCTATTGGTAGGATCTTTCTGATTCGGCGTGACTTTAATCAGCTAGGCTTGCGAAGGTGTTCCGGATGTGGACGTTGAATAGAAGAGTCTTTGGAGATGACATTATTCATATTAGGAGGCAAGGAATCGTGCAGAGATCGAAATTTTCTCTAGCAGTAAAAGCGACGGGCTGGACCTATGTCACATCAGACAACGATTTGCGTAGCGAACAAGAACCAGGGCATCCATCAATTACAGTCATCTGATCTCCTCGAACTGATGCCGTCGGTCGCCTTTAAATGGTGAAGAAGCATACCTGACACCAAAGTCCCCCTACTTCTTCTCCCTGATTCGCTTCCACAAATCCCGCTCAGATTTTAGCACCTTCATCCTCGAATTCGGCCTCGGCTCCGGGAGGCTGATCGAGCGGGAAACCATTGTCGCTGGGCCAGCGGGAAGGCCGAGTGCAGAACCTCTTGTGACCCAGCACAATGTCGCCGCTTCATCCAGAGGAGTGGGCGATTTCTACCATTGGTTCGGCATTCAACATCACAGCGTGAACAATCTCCTCGACGTGCAGAATCGCTTTCACCAACTCCATCAAGGCCCAATGTCTCCACCGTCGGTCCATGAGAAAGAGGCCCTTACCTCGGCCGTATCCACGACCGTGGCCCTTTAGGTGGTTTGCAAGGTTGAAACAACCCGGGGGATCCCATTGCCGGCCCATCCTATGCACGTGCCCCATTGTCAGCCATAGCGCATCGTATGTGAGTCTGGGATGGCAGAGCCCCCTTCTTCGAGGCGGGTGGGCGCGAGTTGCCACAGTGCTCGGCAGCGGCTAGCTCGACGACAAGAATCCTGGCGGTCGCCCCAGGGGCTGCGGCGACCGAGAAACTCCAGATCGAACGTTGAGATGAAAGAAACCGCCGAGGACGATCTGGGAATGTTTTGGTGGACAGAAGAGCAGACGGTGAAGAGAACTCGGCTGCGGGAGTAGGGGGCCTCCGGAGGTTGTAATTCAGGAGTAATTGCACAATAACTTACAACCTAGGCTTCGGTGGAACGTTTTCAGGGTTGCCTCTAGCAACAAAGGTCTTGAGATTTTTCGCCTAGAAACTCTTCAATTGAGAAAAACACCCTTAGTCGCAAGGCTGGATAAGATGTGATGTGTGGGGGGGTAGATATACGAGTGCCGCTTAACTCGTAAGGCACTCGTAGATGCATTCACCTGTTGCATAAATACCGTGCTCGTTCAAAATCAATAGTTGCCAGAATAGATTGTCATTTCTTTGACTTCCTCGTCGACTCAAGGGAACGAATATTTCCCTTAACCGCTCAAGAGAGTATTCATTCGTCGCCCGGCTTTTCTCTGTAAAGCCCCAGCTGCCGAACAATAGACAGGACCCCTTTACTTTGGAAAGGGTTACCACCCCTATGCAGGATACAGGGGAGGAAGAAGAGTAGAAAGTGTGTCGACCAAACGTGTATAAACCGGCATTCTGGCAAGGTCAGTTGCCAAACAGAGAGCCCATTCAATACATCTCAATTTGTAACCTTAGTTTGACGCCAGTGCTAATTGGGTGTCGATTTGGAGAGAAGAAACCAGCAATCAAGTGGTTGGTTAGGCAATTTGCCTCGATAGAATGACCAAAGGCATGAGAGCCTCGCCCGCCTTGCGAGGAGTTTATTCTGTAGCTGATCTCGTCCATGCTCCAGATATTCTCCAGAGCGATATTGAAGTGCAAAATAATCTCCGAAAGGGGGTTCAACCAAGCCTCAAATATGAGAGGGGATGGAGGCTTGAACTCTGCTTTGTTCCAACGGCTCATTGCGCCCGCAACGGTCGTTCTGTTGCGTAGTTGTTTACCCGCACTTCGATCTCTCAATGTATTTCGGCGCACTCCTGTGCCTAGTTGTAGCCTACCAAGATGGTGGATCAACAAAGTAGTTGGCGGAGTGGAGGTTGAGTTGCGGAGGATTTGTCACCCTAAGACCAAGGCCCTCGAATGATATTTCTAACGGGCTTCCCCAATAAGACTCATCTCCGAAATAACGCTGGTGCGCTTACCGATTGTACGCAGCAGCTCGTCAATAGTTAGTGGCCTTACAAAATTGATCGTCAGCAAATTGGATTTATGAGATGATGATCGGGATCCAACCTTAGGCTAAAGGTTTGGAAATGCTGCGGCAAAGTCCAAAGGTTACGAGAGTTTACGCTGGATCAGAATCAGTGGACCGTACCGACGATCAGACTCGATGTATTTAAAGGGAAGAAGGGACCTTGATGCCCATCTCTTGAGCTTTGCCTTCATATTATCTCTTTAGATATACAGCAAACTATCTATCACCAACCAAACCGTACAAAAGGTCAACGTGCAGCTCCTCAATTTGATACTAGCCGCCGCCGCCACCATGCTCGCAACAACAGAGGCCTGAAAATACCTCGATGTCGGTGAGAATCAGGACGATGCATGTACCCAGTTTGCTTGCGCCAGCCTAGGTGGAACTTTCCAGTATGGGGACGATTGTGCGGCCAGTTCAATCTCAGAGGTTCTGGACGGTTTCATGGATATCTGTCAGGACTGTGCAGGGCCTGTAGGAAGCACAGGCTGCCCCTATTAGCTAAGGATGACCTGGCTTAAGGTATGATATAGAAAACCTATTGGGTGACATGAACTAACCGTTTGAGAAGGAAGCAATAGGAGGGCCCTCTATCATGCGACGCCTACTTGTTTCAATTATATGCCTTCTAGCATGCAACAACTCTTTGTATAGAGGACTAGAGAAAGTTTGTTGACATTCTTGGTACTCTCTTTCGTCGACCACTCTCTTGCCGTTCTCGATCACATTTCAACGTCTCCACCAACAAAGCCGCAGCCTCGTCGCGATTGGATAACTCAATAGCGATCTCAGATGCCAAGATCGTTGGCCTCAACAGAATGACTCGGCACGGCCTGGCAGGGTACCTGAGCTCTTTTCTCTATAGTGTGTGTTATGCTTTTGGAATACAAGAGAGCCATATGAAGTCCGATTCCACAATTTCTCTACTGTGTACAAAACTCGGGATCATGTCTCCAACAATTCAAGGGAGATGATGATATTCTGTCAAACAGCTGGAGCCTACTGGAGTCTAGTGCCAAGAGCCCCTATATAGAAGGGCTTCCCCCTTTCCATAGCTGCAATCTATACACGAGTTATCACCCTTCTATCCCTCCTCTCAAAGTTTGACATATTCCATGCCTGGACCCTAAATTTCAAGCCTCCGCTGTCGTCCTTCGTGGGCATATGCACTTCAAGAACCATGAACCATGTGTGCATAATTACGATATCTTTCTGAAATACAGCTAATCTTCGCTCTCTCACAATATGGATATTGCTGTCACTCTTGGATGACATCGAGCCATGTATTCCCAGTCATGGAGACAGTCTGCCTTGCTTTAATCCTATAGGAGCAAGGGCCACGGATGTCCCTTGATCTACTACGTCGATACTTTCAAGCAGCCAGATTTCCTGAACAACTGCCCGCTGGGGAGCTTCTCATGCTCCTTCTTGAGGTGACGCATCTAGTTGACCATTCGTACAACCCCCTCCGCTCTTCCGCGCCGAAAAGTGTTACACGGCATATCAGGTGAGTGCCGTTGCCTGGGTCTGACTTGATTCTGAACAGGGGCCCAAATCGGCTCAGGAGCCCGAAACGACCCCTCGAACGTGTCAAAGGGTCCAATTCCAGTTCGACCACCCAAGGTTTGGGGGTCTTGCAAATCCAGCTTCGGGTTGGTTACCCGCGGCAAGTTCCTGGAGACAACAATGCGGACACAGGCCGACAAATTATAATCTAGTGCGTGGTGGGAGTGGGTACACATGCTCGTTTTTGCCTCCAGGAACTTGCCGCGAGCAACCGGCCCGAAACTGGATTTGCAAGGCTCTGGTGACCTGCTGGCCGCGCAACATTGTTCCTGGTCGCCAGACATATTCCTGACCTCGTGCCATTGCTGATCGTCACTTGAATCAATGCTACACGATGATGGAGTATCAAGGAATGCCAAGGAACGGAAGGGCAAGTGTGATTCAGTAGGGAATTGATGGAATTGACAGTCCTATAATGATATCGACTCGATCGCTTGGGGAGTCAAGCGATGATGGGTGAGATGAGCAGGAATAAGCCTGCGTCTCGCCCGGTATCTAGTGTCTTGGCAGGGGCCGCCCTGACATGGAGCGGGCTACATTATTCCCACAATCACCCGTATAGCGCAGAAAGTGACAAGGGAAGACTATCGAATGTAACTTCACGGCACAGAAACCACTACTGAGCAGACTATAGGCAGATACACCTGCAGTTTACCATAATGTATGCCAAACAAGCGAGTGCGACCTCGATGGGGCTCTCAACTTATGTGTAGAGGTCAAAGATCTTTATGTTTCGCTCCTGCGAAGGCGTAGAGGACTCTCTGAATCTATTGTAGCGGGGCGCTACGTGCATGGATTATGTAAGGGGAAAGCAGACAAGGGTGGGTAGAAAGTTGAAGAGTGCATCGAGTCTTAGTTGGTTTTCCAAGGAGACACACATACACGCTAGGAGGCACAGAACATAGAACGAAGCAAACAGAGCTTTGTGTGTGGTTACTCAATGATCCTGACAACGACATCCTCCCTGTGTGACAAGTACTCAAGTGCTAAACCGTTCATCACCTTTACACTATAAAGGATGGGCCCTCTTAGCAGGTCAACCTCATCTACATTCCCACACATATACATCAACATGAAGCTCATTACGATTATTGCAACCATGATTCCTACTATATTCTGTAATCGAGCCATTTACGATGCGTACTCTGGCCAGAACGAAGGGAGTCCAACAGGTTGCACAGGTGGAAGACAAGGACAAGTCACTCAGAGTGGCACGGGTAGGTCGAACTCTTGTCCCTATATATACACGTACAATGCCCATACTCCCTCCCTCCTTTGAACTTCTGTGGAATTAACATATCAACGTATAGGGACGAGTGGTTGTGCTACGGTGGGCCAAGCAGCTTGCGTGACGTTGGGTGACTACACGGGTACTGCGGGAGGATGTTCTATCGATGTGTTCTCAGACGCCGATTGCGAGGCCATTGTGCAAACAATCACTCTCTTTAACCCAGGCGATTTTGGGAATGTCAATTATGCTTCATTCCTCGCTGACTGCGATTAGTGAGGAACGAGCATAATAGGGTATCACAGAGCAGGCGACGAGAGACTTTGCAAAGCGTAACGTGCTATTTATGATAGTTCCTAAATAGTTCGAAATAGTTGTGCTTCCTTAGTTGGGTGAAGCAGTTGTTGAGCATTAATTATTCGCCGAATTGCGGTCTGTATGGCCATGAAGCCTCCGCTGTAATGTCGATCGGTCGACATCGTGATAGGCTACAGCTTGCCTAATTGAGCGAAAACGACACTGACTATAGTCATTTATCGCATGCTGAATTCGAATCTGCTTATTAGGAAATTTTGGTTCATTGGTGGTAGCTTGGCGTCAACCGACCCACTAGGCAGCAGTCATCATCTGCGCGAGAATGCGATTTGAGCCACTGACCGAAGATGAAAACACAATTTCGATCTTACCCAGGCTGCTTACTCACTCCTGAGCAAGTACCAGGTCTCTTTTTGGCTGAAAGATGAGCTACTCCAGCAGACAATTCTACCAGGATTACCGTTATTCGTTAGAAAAGGATTTCCTGACCTCCTTAGGTGAAAGGTTCCCATACGCTGAACATGGCGGGTACCGTCGATGGGGCGATGAGCTGCGCAAATTGACATTCGAGGACCGTCAGCCGAATGTGGCTGCTGTCAGTGACGATGGCAAATACCTCGCTATTGGCCTCCAGCACGAAATCCACGTCGTCGAAACGGAGACGCTCTCCGTGCAGCAGGTCCTTCGAGGACACGATTCTAGGGTTGACGCTCTAGCCTTTCAACCAGGAGACTCAGACACGCTGGTCTCAGCGGCGATGAACGTGTATGCCGGTTCCGCGCCCACGAAGCCAACGATTATATTCTGGAATCTGAAGGATCAAGCTTCGAAAGTTGACCTCGCCGGAGACGCAGATACCGTCGCTGCTCTAAGTATCACCGCAGCACAAGCTGTGGAATCGAAGCTCACCGCGGTTTCGCTGAATAAGACCGAACAGACTGCGATAAGCAATGCATTCAACCCAATAATCAGTCAAGCCCTCGCGAACCACAACATCATCAACTACCCACGATTACACGGCCGCCTCGTCACCTTATTCCAATCCAAGCCCCTCAGTCCCTCAGGCAAATGGATGCTATATCTGCCTGGCGACAGACCTCATTCGAACGACAAAGACGACAGATGGACTATCAAAATATACTCCACGGCGGACCACAAAGACCTAGCGACCCTCGCCGGGCACACCGACTCGGTCGTCTGGACAGGCTTCAACGTAGACGAAACGCTCATCGGCTCCGTATCCTGGGACAAGACCGTCCGCATCTGGATGTGGAGCCCTGAAAACGGCCTGGACCTGACAGGCATTTCTGCTTCTGAACCGCTGCTCAAATTCAAATTCGAAACTTCCGGGCAGAACTGGACAGGCGGCTTCTCCCCCGACTCGCGCTTCTTCGCCGCGACATGTGGTGACGGCACAATCCACGTCTACAATCTCATCGATGGCACCACGCTCTTCACGCATGACAGCGGCAAACGCTGGTGTCGAGCACTCGATTGGCATCTCGACGGCAGTCGTAATCTCCTTTGCGTAGGCGGAGGCCCGGGCGGGAAATTGCTGCTTTTTGATATTGAGACGCAGGCGGTGATTCAAGAACGTAAACTTGGCGTGGACCGCGCCAGAAACATCAATGAGCAGCGGCGTCGGTTCATGCCTCGTATGCTTGAAACAGGTGTTGTCCGGTTTATGGATCGCGGGCGTAAGGTCGTCGTCTTCACGAGCGGCGATGGATCTGCTGAGGTGTATGATTTGGTTGGGGAGCGGAAGTGGAGATTTGCAAGGGAGGGTGTTGATCAAGATTTGAGGACCGAGAAAACCACGAACGAAGAGGGTGACAACTTCGTTACTAGCATCGCAGGATTTCGAATGGAGATTTGGGAGGACTTGAAGAAACAGCAGATTATGCTTGCCACTATCGATGGTGATGCTGTGCGAATTTGGGCTGTGCCCATGACTTTAGATTGAAAGTGGACCAAGTTTGCAGATTCTTGAAGCAAATCAACTATGAACCCGCACTATACATATCTAGATTTGGACTTATTACAGATCGTGATTGTGGTTGCGATGTCTTTATGTAGTCAATTCTTAGTTGAGTTAGGCAAATACTAGATGGCAAAGCATACTGTTGGACAATCGCATTGAACAAATGCTAGCCAATCATTCACAACAGACTAGGATATATTGCAACACTCGCTCAATAAACTGTATCACCATCAACAGGCAGCAATGGTGACGTACGCTCGTTAGATAGATATATAGATGGGCTCTCACCTACACTCATGAGGGAGAGCCAGAGCACTCTTTCAATTGCACGAAGTTCAACAAATAGTCGTTCAGCTCGGCCCTTGCCAAAAGTGAGGCGATCTTTCGGCAGTATCCTGATCAATAGAATAGTTGAAATTGTCCCAGGAGCTCGACTTGGTGCCACATAAGATTAGTACGCCTTTTGCGAGTACAACTTCTTGAACTACCCACATTCTCGTCCAATAGGGACGTCGCCACATGGTCCACGGATTGGATCCGATGACGGTGCGATATGTGGCGACGCCAAGGCTTGTAAAGACCTTTGGAAGCGTTGTACGCTTCGTACACGCTTCGAAAGTATATAGTCTGACGGTCCCTTGGACCTCTTCGAAGTTCTCCGTAAAATCACAGTGGCAAGGGGAGTGCCCACGTGACACTGCCAAGCCATAGGCTTACGTGATTGGCCAACAAACCGCTCTTGGCGTCGCCACACAAAGCAAATCAACGCAGGTTGCAGGGAAAGCCTCCCGCCGAATTTGGCGGTTGGCGCCGCCGCTTTTGGAGGCGTTTTTCCCTCGATGCCAAGAATGCTAACCAGGTCTTTCCCCATCCCAGACTGACTTCCCACTACGTATCATCACCGGGGCCAGAAACAGTCCCCGTCAACTCCTGGGTACCTTCGACCGCACCGCCCCAAACATGGCGCCTCGAGGACGTGGAGAGAGAGTCCCTTTGGGCTCCCTCATAATGCCACAGAGAAAGAAGCCTTTCTCTAGCCTTCATAACATCACTGCCGAATTGCGTCGCATCAAAGTCTCCTTTCATGCATTCGACCGGCTCCACCCAAATTTGCGTTCGATCTAGCCGCCGAAAGCTTTTTCTTTCTCCTTTTTGTAAGAGATACTTTTTCTCTGACTTTGCTATCCTACGCGCAAGCGATTGCCTCTTCTGAAAAACAGTTTTAGCTTCGCTCGCTCCATGCGATAAAACCCGACAACCTGCTCGAGTATGTGGTCCAGCACTGCTGCTCTAACCGAATCATCGTGAGCTGTCGTGGTTGGGAGAGTCGTAAGGACCAGTCTTGTAATCACTGCTTATACAGCTTCACAGGCGACGCGCTCTTCCTGACATCGCTCATTAGTCCTAGGATCGATGGCTCCGTATCGAATGCCTACTGGCCAAGCTGAGGGCAGTCGGTTTGCATCCAGAACTGGAAGATATTGCTATACTTCCGCTCAACAGGCTGTCTGACTCCGGATGGTCCATGGACTGGATCCGATCAGGGGGTCTGGCAAACAAAGGCGGCATTCTACCCATTCCTAGGTGGGCCATGGATTGGATCCGATGGGGTCAGCAACTGTGATCACGTGATTCGTCAAACCTACCTCATACGGTCCAGTGACGTAAGTCACTGGAGTCTTTGTTGAACACATGTCGAAACAGGAAACACTGGCTTGGCGTGTCGCGTTCGCCATGTCACTCCTGCCGTGCTACTTTAAGACAACTCGCACCCTCAAACCTTTCTACTCATTGGCATGCTCTGAGAGAGATGAGCCGAACCAATCAATCAATCATTTAACGGACTGAACAGTCTATCAGCATCAACGCCTTGCCCTCACGTACTCTTCCTCCGCCGTCATACTCATCTTCATCTTCTCTTGTCACCCGATCCATCACCGCCTCCGCTCCCTGCCTCTCTTCCCATTACGTCCCCGGCCATTCTCGGTAGCGTCACGATGAGCACTTTTTCAGAACCGAACACGGGACTCCCCGGGTCAGGCTCTCAAGCAGTCCAGGCCAAACCCGTCACAACGGAAGAAGAGCCAAAAGATATAAGTATGTTCGAGCTGCTTCACTGGCTGGAGAAAACGTTTCCGAAAGAGTTCGAAGAGAAGCTAAAACATATGACTTTCGACGAAATACATCAGTGGTTGGAGGAAAATCACCCAGAAGAGTTCAAAAAGATGTTGCCGAGTCGAGTCAAAAAGAGGACAACCAATGCCGCCTTCCACGTACGTTCCCCCTCTCAGACAAGTGCTGTCCTTCGCGCTCTGCAAAAAGACTGGAACAACGCCTATTTTCCGCACTCCTTAGTTGCGCTACAGGACCTCATTCGGCGATACCAGCTACTCGATGTGAGCAAGTATTTCTCAAATACTTTGGTATTCGTTCAGAGCAGTGGTATGGGTAAATCAAGATTAGCAGATGCTTTCGGCCAACGCTGTCCGATGATCAACTTCATTCTTCGCGAGTCTGGGACTTCCGGCTTTCCACCTCCTGATGATGAGATACTATTATTCCTGCGCGACCCGCCGCCCACCAACATCCCCGAGCCTATCAATCGACAAGAGAGATCTACTAATTTTCTGAAGAGGAGAGCAGTCGTAGCGTGGAATCATACTCTCGCTACTGCATTGCTCCAAGCTAGTTTCGAGACATGTAAGTTGCCGATACTCTTTTACCGAAATCCTCCTTAATTTAACCTTATTAGTCTATACTTGGGTGGAGAGTCAGCCCTTTACCACGATGACTCTAGAAGAGCTTGCGGGTAGCAGGCATACAGAGATGGCAACACTTGAACCAGCTACCGATGCTCAGGACGCTAAGAGCCAACGGTCCAAGATGCGCATCGAGTTCTGCGATTCGGTAGCGAAGAGAGCTCGAGTGATTGCTCAAGAATTAATTTCCAGCCCAAATTGGATGGAGAAGTTTGACGATGACGGACCGTCTAAGGTTCACCATCATCTCGAAGAGGCGGACAGTGAAGCTCACTCTAATCCCTTAAACGGCCTTCTCAATGCTATCACAAACCTGATGAAAATTCTTCGACAATGTCGAGACACCAGCGACACGAGTCCACTCTTGGTGATCGTGTTCGACGAGGCGTCAAGCTTCATGAGAATGCGGCCGTCTGACCAACCCAACATCGGACTCTATGTAGCGCTCAATCGAGTCATCAGTTGTCTGAAGAAGTTTCGTGCGTGGTTTTTCTTCCTCTCGACAGAATCTCTCATCGGATACCTTGTACCCCCGAGCAATATCATTCGAACTGGCGACTATCTTCTGGACCCCTCCGCTCGTATCAGCTTTACAGAGACCAAAACCGAACTAATGCGATTTCCCCCATTTGTGAGTCTTCAGCTCGACGTCGAGGATCGACGAAAGATGCAGAATCCAAAACTAAGGAAAAAGGAGCTCCGCAAGTCGTTAAAGGAATTTGCAAATCTAGATCACATGGCCCAATTCGGCAGGCCTCTCTGGTATGCATATGCAAATGAGGGCCAGGGGATGATCGAATTGGCCAAATTGAAGCTCATTGGCGGCCGGCAACAGGGGTATTACAGTTCTGACGACCCGAACCACGTATTTGCTGCGCTGTCCTTCCGTCTCTCCTTGGATGTCTGCCTACAGAACCCCGTCACCATCTCCCTCACAAGGACTGCGGTGAATTCTTTCATGAGGGTGGTTATATCCATGAACCACGAGACGGGAGTGATGGACACAATGACGCCATCAGAGCCAGTCTTGGCTAGAGCAGCTATGGAGCATCTTTGCAGCGACAACTGGTCGGGTAGTATTCAAACACTCTGCAAGGAGCTTCTTGAGAAAGGATTGATAGAAAAAGGGCGCAAAGGAGAGCTCTATGCTCGGTTAATGTTAATTCTGGCACACGACTGGGTTCGATGGGCTCGACAAGGTCATACGCCAAAATTTGCACCAACCTTCACGGTTTCCGACTTTCTCCTGGCATTGTATGCTAAGGATCATCACGATTTAATTGAACAGATGCCTAAGCGGATACTCGAAGCCAGAATGAACTTTACTCATTTTCTACCAACCGATTCAGCACTTACCCCCGAGGTCATCCCTGGATTATGTCGCGACCTGTTACGCCGAAGCGCTGCGATGCAGCTATCTTGGTGCCAGGAAACATACGATCTGCTCATTCCCGTGTACTATGGTACGGAGGATGAGGAGTTCGATCCATCGAATTGTGGAGTCATCGTAGTACAGGTGAAGAACAAGAAGAATGCCACAACAGTGAGAGAGATCTTTCGAGAGGACTTTGTTAATGTTGACCAGAAGTCGAATTCGGGCAAATCGAAGGCAGAAAGTTTTAATCCTGGAGGGAAAGATTCTGGACGCGACGAGGAAGATTCCGAGCGCGAGAAGAAAGACTCTAAGCGCGACGAGAAAGGTTCTAAGCGCGAGCCGACGAAATTTGTATTCAACCAGATGAAGTACCCTATCCTGTGCCTCCTCTTCGATCTAGGGGTAGTCAGAAGCAGTAGGGCTTACGCTCCACTTGTCCAAGTGATGCAGAGCGAAAGTGGACAGCAACCTGATTTGTGGGCGATTCATTCGCGAGGACACGACCACACCATCTTTGGCTGCTTAGAGCATATGAAGGCTACAGATTCGAGCGATCGGTTCTTTGCTTCGGTACAAACGAACGAAACTCTGGCTGACCAACTCTCTCGGAGAAATAGAATGTTCTCTCAGCTTGAGGAAGACTACAGATATGAAGGATTTGAGCAAGGGGAAACGAGTGCGGAAGGGAGTGAGGCCGGTGTGCAGGAAGGGGAAGCAAGCAATACCCGATCGAAGGAAAAGGATGTGGACTGGCCTAGTCTCGCGTTTCGGAAACGCCCAGAGGAAGAAGACTGATTGTGTCACGACTTCGACTAAGTTGCGCTGAAGGTTTGAATGGGCTATTGCCT